ATATGAAAACTCGCTTAGGTAACACTTGACCATCAAAAGTTATAACAACGGATTCAGTCATTACAAATTCAGATTTACCGTTAACAAGAGACTTTCTCTTTAAACGCCTAACTTTCAAAATTTTGCCACAACCTAATGGAACTGAAACATTTTCTATAATTTCCTCATCAGACCAGGTAGTTGGAATGCCCCTTATTATTCCCATCCTTGTTAAATTGAATGTTGGTATAAAGGCTTTATAATTATGAGATTTTAAATCCATACTATTTATAAAAGAATTAGCATCTGTATAATTAGAGAAAGCTAATGATAATCTATTTCGCCCTATCTTTTTCAGACTACCATCAATTACATTTTTGAAAGGATTTTTCTGAAGGAAACGTCCAAAGGCTATTGGGTGAAGTGTAGAATTATCATCCGGGGATGATAAAACTTTTTGTATGTGAACGGTGAATGGAGCAGAATCATGAGGTTCATAATAAACTCTACTAATAAAGTTATGTGGACGAGATGAGTCATTCTCCTGATTATTTATTAAATTATTGTTATAAGATTGTTGCTGGTTTTTCTCGTTGAATTGAGTACACTCACATGAAAATTTATTCTTATTGTTTTCACTTCCTCGATTCCTCCTACGTTTTTTATTGCAATGCCTACAAACATTGCCGGCTACCGATTTACGTTTTCGTTTTGTTCCAGAATTATCAGAAATATTAACAGAGCAATCTGTGTCCATAGAATCCTCATTATTGCTAATAATTACATGAAGAGCGACCTCGGGGACAGTGCCCCCGGGATCATCCGGGGGGTCCATATATTAAAAAGAAATATATACAAAAACTTACCTAATTTACAGCTACTATTACACAAATCTAAAATATACGAAAATAAACTAATATAAATGCTATTTGCATTTATATTAGTTTATTATCTGATCAATATTATAATAAAAAAATAATATTAATGCAGAAAAACTCGACCGCCAAATTTTACGTTTCCCGCCCTTTCGTCAGGTAAAATTATTCGTTTGTTTATATTTTCTATTAATTTTATTGACATAGACTATAACATAAGATATATCGAGTTCTATTAAAATTCTACATTTAAATATTAAAAAAATTAAGAAGATACCGCCAGCGTATATCGTTATGTAGCGCTTATACTTTTTTTTTTTTGTGGTAGATATTTATTTTTGTCTATTTATATAATATCTATTCTTATGTGATTATATGTTGCTATGTTGCCATGCAATGACCAAATCATTCTTTAAGAATAAATCCCAATATTTTGTCTAATGATATGACAAATCGCTGCTGTGATATAAATAAAATATTTTCTCAATACAGATGTGACGCGCTGCTCAAAACTGATGTTACTAGGTGACGTATTACGGTCTTTCATCAATTTATTTGGCACCGTGTTTTCTTTGTTGTCTTCTATCTCACTCAGTTTCAGGCAAATATTTGTAATAGGAACATTTTATACAAGTTTTTTTTAAGATCACGTCGATTCAATATCCATTAAATTATTCCAGTCAATTCCTTCTGTATTTTTAGGTTTATATGAAACTAACTGTGTTTCATGGATTTTTCCGCGTAAATTAGAATAAAAGTAGCTTATAGTAATTTAACTTTTGTATATAACAGGCAGATGCATCAAACATTCAAATCCGTCCAATTGTTTATTCATGATTGAGTTACAAATATCCTATAAAACAAACATTTTTTGTTTTAATATTACTAGTTGTAATCTCGCGGCTTTGTTTGCCTCGATAAAGATAAAAGTTATCTATGTGTGCCAAATCTTATTGAAGGAATGGGCCATTCTATGCTGGAATCACACGGCAAGTCGACAAGTCGGTCTATTTGGTTCTCATAATTGATAAATTATGTAATCTATTGTTATTTTGTAGATATCTGGAAATTTGTTGCTCCGCAATAAAAAGATTATATTTACTTATTAAAAATACATAAATGTCACTACCCATTATTGATATAATTGAAATTGAAATAAGTTTATATTCACAATATGAGTAACCGGGAGAATGAGAGAAATAACATAAGATAAAAATGCACAGCCTTTTTATATGGGGGAGGCTATGTTCAGTAGTGGACAGTAACAGCTAATACAACATTTATAATATTCTGTTGTCACGGAAATTATACCAAAATTTCATTATAATCGGATGTCAGTACGTGGTCAAAACATTTAGCATACTTATAGTTTATATAGTAGAGAAGGAGTGTAGAATGCTAATATTTTTTTTATAATTATGCATAAAGAATACATTAAATCATTAAAAAAAAACTTTACTTATATTTGACACATATATGCTCTTTTGTTTATTGTTAAAGTCTATGGTCAAATTCGCCGTGTAGTCCCGGCATAGAATAGATGACCCCTTCCTTTACCGTGGGTGTCGTAAGAGTCGACTAAGGGAGGGCGAGGGACGGGCAGTAGCATTCCTCTTGAAACATCTCCAAAGCCTAACTGCGGTTGGCAATCCGCCTGCCAAGCGCCCTCCCTAGAAGAGGCTTATGTTCGGCAGTGGACAGTTAAAGACTGATATGATGATAGTAAAATTGAAAATAGATTAATATTTTTTGTCTATAATATTATTTGTCTATAATATTACTGAATGCCAAACATAACCCTAATAAATTAATTTACTACAATATATGTCATGGTCGAATTTCAACCACTGAGCGACCACTAGTATAGATAGGTGAATTAGTATTGATATCTGAATCAAACGATACGTTACATACAAAAATGACCTTACATAAAAGTATAAATATTTTCACCAAATTATTATCTTTTCGATCGTTGTGAAATTATTTCTGCTACCTATTCTAGTCACGTTGTTATAAATTACACACATTCGTTACTAGGTATGCATATGTATATGTGATTCTAAGGGTATGTTTCATTTCTTATACTTGTTCCATATGAGAAAGCTCTTCAAGGCGAAAATTGTTCCAATTGTTTTCTTTTATAGGCCTCTAAGGTGCTACGTAAAGTACAAAGAACAAATTACCAGCGGCAGTTTTCGTTGTCACATTTTGTGACTGTTGATTTAAAGAAATACTTCAGATAAAATAATAATGGCTGTGAGACGGGAATTTGTAGGCGGTTTATTATTTTGCTCCAAGTGTTATTAAATCCGTTAATACAAAAATCATAATAGTTTAAGTTTTGTTTTATAAAAAAAATCCGGCCAAGTGCGAGTTGAATTTGCGTACCGAGGAAAACAAAAAAAAATTAAAAAAAAAAGTTATGCCAAAAAACCTTTCTTTTGTGATAGATAATTAGTTGATTGACATGATTCTAGAACAATGGGAAGTACCCTATAGATTTTGGTTCCTTTGCAAGTAATGAAAATATATGTTATATAATAATGTTATAAAACGACCATATCTTCCGATTGAGTTCAGAATCAGAAATCAATCAATCAGGGATTGCAAACTTGAACATTAAATATTATTTTTAGCTTGATACCTCTACGTGTTCCTGAGAAAACTATCTTGACAAACGAACAGACGAACAACAAATTGATCCTTTAAGAATATATATAAATAACCTTTTTCTTTTGAGATACAGAACTAAAAAAAAGATACGTTTAAATCATGAGGAAATTTATATGGATGACCACGATAGTAAATCTTTTTAGAGTAAAACAAAATTGATTTATAATGGACAATTTTCATCAATTGAAGAGAATACCGTCATCAAAAATGGAGCCCAGTTACGATTCTCTCCGAACCAATTCCAGAAATAAACTTTTTAAAAGCGGGCATAACCAAATGCCATCAACTTCTATTTATCACGTTATTTGCTTTCATAGCATTTACTATTGTTTATTTTTTTAGGCTTTTCTTTAATCTAAAAATAAAATTAATAAATTTATAACCAAAAATAAGCTGAATTTAATACAAATGCACACAAAAAACTAATTCATTTTTTTATTATACCCTCTATCGAGGGACCACACAAGCCATGATATGGACTCTCACAGACATATGATGAAGGCGCGGAAGACTGCACGACATTTGACTGACGCATTAAAAAGACATAGCAAGCTTTTGGGTGGTATTACAGTGGAATATCTAGGGAAATAAAAATGAGGAGGGAGAATAAAAAGCCTTTTAAGAATAATTGTGAAAATAATAAACATTCAGACATCTTTTTTTACTTTTATATAATATCAGTGTTTAGGCTCCAGTTACTGATGCTCATACATACATATCCAAAAACGATTATCCTCCTTTTTTACAGTAGTCGAGTAAAAAAGTTAAATTTATGATCTAGCTCTTTGCATGCTACTTAGTACGCATCGATTTCAAAAATAGCAAAACCTATGAAATAGCTCACTTCTATTTTGTTTTCTTGATGCCTCATTTAGATAAAACATAGGTACACCAATTTTTCCTGTATATCTTCAGGAACATATCTGTGAAAACTTATTCCAGTTTAGTGCAATAATTTTTGTGTGATACCGGAATAAAAGTATAAACTGTCACATAATATTTTAAAAATTATTTTTTCGGCTTCTATTGCTCTTATTAATACCTCTTATGTGATTTTTCCTTAAATATTCCCTATGTACAGGCATCCTCTTAGTTACAGTTATATTGATAAAATAAGAATTACTAATAAAAATTTACTATTTCTAGTTGTATGTGTCGCCATCTTGCAGATTATATAAAAACTATACCTATTGAGATACTATAAAATATAGGTATTTAGAATTTAACAAAGATAGATGGCAGTTTCAACACTTACCTTTGATTTTTTATTGCTGAATTAGAAAAAACTACCTACTGACTATTCCGTTTTCATTATTGACGAACATTAACTTTACATATTATTATTATTATTGTATTACTTTCATTATTGAGATGTAGATATTCCAATTTAAGATTAAGATAAACGCATCCAAAATATTGATCCAAAGAGTCCCTAACTGCGCATGTTTTCTATATTCCTGACTATATTGAAGGGCTGTGATTTGCTTTTATACGTTTTTATACTTTCCATTCGTAATTACAAATAATAATTTTATTAAGATATGAATCAGATCGTTGCTTAGTTATCAATATTCACATTACTTGGTTGTGGTGATTCATTTCTGTAGTAGGTTCAATATTATAGCCAGTTAAGTAAGTAACCAAGAAAGTGATAAAAATACTTCCTGTTTACTTTATTCCTATTGACATTTTAATCTCACTATGTCATCAAATATGAGATAAAGTCGATATTAGAGTAACTTCTCACAGTAAATTAACTACGATGGGAAACATTCAAACAAATGAAAAACAACCTAAAACTGGAAAGTCTCCAGCGAAAGGAAAACATTTCATCAGGAACTTAAATCGGAAATCATCAGGTCGTGAGAGTAAAAAATATGGAAAGAAAAAAAATGAAACAAAACGAGATGTTATCGACAGAGACTCTGATAAAATGCCAGATTCCGATAACAATGAAACGATAGAAGCATCCGATAACGATACGGTCGAGTGCTTATTTCAAACATTACGGCGAGATGGTGAGGGCACAGAGTCGGGTAGCGTGCAGTCAGAGGTAACGGTGAGCAGGTGCGGGCTGCGCGCGGAACCGCGGTCAGCGACCCGCGACCAGCCGAACGCCGCGGCCGCCACCGCAACACCGGCAGCCGTCTCCCCGGCGAACGACTCTACCTCCGAGTCAGTGTTCACAGACCCGCTCACGCCGCTCGCCGTCGAGCTCAACCAGTGTTATTACTCCGCTGAGAGTGACAGTGCGCACGACGAACCCCTGCGTACTCTCACACCATCCCTAGTAGATGTACCGGAGCAAATCGCGCGCTCGCCCATTACCTCGTCGCGTACCATAAATATGCCGCACGACGACGCTACCTCTTTGCTATCAACTGACGATATGCCCAAAGAAGAAAAAAATGACGTTTTCGATGACAACAATGATAGAGACGATGAAAAGGTCATGGGTGCGTTTTTTATTAGACCCCGCTCTGAGCATTTGGAACGCACCACACACGAATGCAATCATGATTTCCGCGAGAACCGGTTAAAGCCTTGTCCAGGACAAAGTTCGTTTACAATCTCCAAACATCGGAAAGTTGAACTGGCTCCAGTCGCCTGTGACCCGAATCTCACAATATTGGAAAATGGTTAGTGTCAAATTATGTATTATAATTACCTATATGTTTGTAAAATTTAAGTAGTTAGGTAGGTACAAATATTATTTATTATTTACATTATATGTAAAAAAGATGCAATCAATGATAAATATTTGTAGGTAACCTTTCCATCAGTATAAATACAAATCTATCACGAAAATCTATATAGGTATTTATCTCGACTGATAAGTTGATTAGTTCGCCAATTTACCGATAAAAAAGTTCAACAGGTATTAACGTCGCTGCTAAGAATCGTACAATGTGATGCTACTCCTATCTGTCACTCAATTGTATTTCACTTCACAATAGTAACAAAACCAGTTTGTTGATACCTTACTTACTGTTGTTGAAAGACTTACCAATCGAGTTAATTTATTTTCATCACTATTCTTTTTGAAATAAAGTTCATTGTCGTCCAATTAAAGGAATGGTCTCTTTATAGATTCAAGACCAAAAAAGAAAACTTTTGTTTAATACAATGTTTAAAATTGTTTAACATACCAACCTTCTACTGTTTACCAATCCTTTTACGATTTTTTATAGACATTACTATATAATATATATAAATTATCGCTCTAAGTATGAATAATCCGTACCTGAGACACATGAGACATATATGTAAGGACATGCCTTATGCGTTAAAAATCATGCCTCCCCGGGAAAATAGTTTTAAATACCCCAATGCTCTTTAGTCTCTTTACTCTTGACAGAATGGTCGTAGTTTTTATGACGACAAAAGTGGATTGTCAATAAGACTCTTTTGTAATCGCGAATGTAAAGAGCATTGGGGTATTTAAAACTATTTTCCCGGGGAGGCATGATTTTTAACAATCATGTATATACTAAGTGCACAAGGGATGGGCAGCAGCGTCTCATAAAATTACCAATAGCTTCACTGCGGTGGCCAAGCCGCCTGCCAAACGTGGCAACTACTGGCAAAACGATACGAAACTTATGAGGGAGGACAATGTTAATATTTTTAATTAAAATTTTGCCCTATGTCAACTGCAGTTAGTTATTTATAAATACGATAAGTATACTAAATAATTAAGTATAAATATACAAAAATGATTTTATATATCTGATTAATTTTCATTACTGAACATTTGCTTTCTCTTTAACTAAACGGTCTGTAAAAATATCCTTTCAAATAAAAAAAGGTTTTTTCCAAATCGACTTAGGACTGACGGAGTTATGAGGTAACAAACGTAAAAATAATTTTGAATAGAATTGAGAACCTTCACCATTGCACGAGTATGATAGATTGCATATTTACAGTAGATGATAAAAAGCGGGGCTAAATGTCCTATAAAATATATACTGGGCTTGCTCCTACTACTGCTCCTACTAGGTACTTCGAACTAACTTTTAAGAAATAGAAATAATTTTAGATCATTGTATGTGTTTCAGAAAAAGATCGAAGACATTCTAGCGTAAGCGACACTCCCATATCAGAATCAAACGTTCTAAGGAAAGTGGCTTCTCTCACACTTGACAAACTCACAGAGTCCAAAGTGGTACGACCAAAGTTTGTACCGGAAAAACTCGATTTTCAATTACATGAAAAGTTTGAAGGTAAGATACCTAATGTACTAAGGTACCTAATTTAAAAATAGGTTTGAATTATTATATAATATCACAAGAAAGTGAATTAATATTTTATCGAATAAATCTGTTATTGATATTAAATTTATACATATAATAATTGATTTATTGTAATGTATGATAAAATCTGAAAATACAGAATAACAAAAGGCCACTATGTTTTAAAAATATAAAATTTTTGTTACACATTACTTTTCGTTCTCTAAATGATAAAAAGGGACTTTTGATAAAACACTGAACATATTTTGTAAGACATTAAAATTAGGACTGTCATTACAACATTAGAAAAACTAATTATAAAGAAGTCAGTAACTAATAATAATACCTAATAATGTGGAATATATTCAAAACCATGCTGAATACATTAAATCGGGATATTCAATAATAGAGGTATTCTATAATGATCCTGGGCCTCTAGACAAGTAGCAAGCGAATTCGTTGATGGAATCGACATCGCTAGCGAGTCCGTGAGATAGAATGAGATAGCAACGTCGGTTGACTCATTCCAACTATATATTATAAAACTTTTGGTGATATAATTCTAATTAGAAACACCAATATCTGAAAGATAATAATGTATCAAAATACAATAATAATATATGAAAAAATGACAAACACCTAGTTCTTACATTCTGTTTATATCTTTAATCTTCAGTCACATGATGGCATCTTGTAAATAGAAATTGCAAATCTATTTAATATTTAAAGAAGGTAGGTTCGATGGCATTTTACTTAAATAAAGATTAAAAAATCAGTTGCACTCAATTGTCAAAAGCCCCATTGCAAACATCTCTACTATACAAACACTATTACGACGAGTCGTTTAGCCTTACTTGCAAAAATAGGTGAATGGACACAATGATAAACATAATTATCTTTTATCAAAAAATAAAGACTAAACTCTTATCTTATAACATTAGATACGGCAATGATATGGCGCTATTAATGACTGCTTAACTAGTGTATACGTGACTATTACAACGCCCGGTAGACAAATTGCAACCATGCAATTATCTGCGAGTCGTGTAAATTTAACAAACTCCTCAGTTGCACATTTCAATTATGTTAAATTTCTTAGCCATCGCTATACTGAGGAGAAGAGTGCTCAAGATGTCGTGTCGATATTTGGATTACATTCTGAAGAATTTGTGACTATCAATGCTGGATTAGTGTCACAACGAATACGCTCCACTGCAAAAAGAAATAAAAATAGACGTGCTCTAGTGCTATATGTGCCTCCAAAAATATTGACTTTGAACTTCAACAAACCAGAACATTGGTATAACTTCATTATGTTAACAGTGGCCAAAAAATATTACACAATTAAAATACAATGTAATTTAAAAAGCGGATTAATGACGATAGAGTTTTTATTAAATACTCATAAAAATATTGTGTTACAAATTCTTAACGGTAAGTTATTTTATTGAAGTAAATCACAATTATCATTATCTATAAGATAATCACATTGTGATTTGATTACATAAATGATATTAGGTAAACGGTGGCTCAGCTTGAAATGTAAATAATATAGATCCCTTGTCAGTAAAAAATATGATTATCAAATAATGTAGTAATAAGTATAAATAAGTAAATGTTTTTAATGGAAAGGTAACCCCGCCTGCACTATCAGTATGCGCTAGTGGGGCATCAGTGAGGGGTATAAAGATGAAAGTATGTCAGTTAGCCCATCGTGATGAATTTCATAAGAATAAATCACGATAGTTTCCAGGAATATAGTTTCCAGGAATAATAACGTTGAGGTCGACTTGATAGGGTATATTACAATGGAGCTATTAGACTTCGTCACTAACTATCCCTTTTACTCCGTTCCAATAAGTACCTAAATAGGTAAACACGTAATCTTCTTACCTAATTTTACTTGTTAATAATTAATTTCTCTAAATAATAAAGCAACTGTATCTATAACTGTTGCCCTGTAGTATTCTCAAATGTTCGTTATCAGAACCTCTTTATCAAAAGGAGCTATTAGTTCTACAATGCGAGAGACGCAAACAAGTGTTTTAATGCAAATTTCCAGCATATGTCTTAGAATTACGTAGTACTGATATACGGAGGATAAAGGAGTAGTGAGTCTCTTTGCATCTTCTACATCATCTTATTAACAACTCTTCGACATGATGTCTACAGCCACCTTTCACCATCGCACCGCTCGCCATTGACAGTCATAGAAGATTCCTCCCTTGAACACTCAGGTTGTGGAATAATCTTCCTGCTGACATTTTCCCTAGATACTATGGCATGAGGTTCTTCAAAAAGGGCGTATTAAAGTTTCTTAAGGATCGGCAACGCATGAGTGATATCACTGATATTATAAGTGTTCTTAAACTCCAATTACTCTGTTTTTCATCGGAGGGCCGTATAATTATTTACTCTCATAATTATATAAAAAAGTAAATGTATATCTTACAAGTTTATCATAACACTATACCTATTCTAGTTTGAAAACCAAGCAACAAATATTTTTGTAGCTTAAACAATTGTATATATAATCGATATATATATGATATATATATATATATATATATATATATATATACGCTTTTAATATGTGACACTATATCTCCATGGACAGAGACCGAACTTTTTAAGAGAGGCAACAATTTTAAAAAGATTATATTAAGGTTTCTTCAGGGTCGGCAACGAACACGGGACAGTCCTAGAATTGCAGGCGTCCATAGACCACGATAACCGTTTACTATCAGATGGGCAGTATGCTTGTTTACCACATTTGTAGTATAAAAAAAAAGATGTTTTAGGATTGTTAGTTTCAACTGCAACGACAAGTCGTAACATCTTTATGTTTCTACTTTATATGAGTTAACACTCAACTTAATGACTTAAGTTACTTGTGAAAATATTTGCTTTTTAAATCTTAATTGATATCTTTAATATCGGTTAGAAGGGTTAAAGTTTACAGAGAGATTAGGTCTTAGTCCTTAAGAATGGCAATAGATATATACCACGGCGTTAATAACATATTCTGTGGTGCCGTTAATGTCTATAAACAGAAGTAATCGAAATAGCTAGCGGTACGTAAAACTAAAAATATACTCATACTATAAAACATATTAAGATAGAAATTTTATAATTCAAAAAGTCAAAATCATCAAAAATTTGAGTCTCCCTTGTTAACTCAATAGCTACGTTCAGCTGTTGAGCCGCACCGTTACGTTACATTATTTTTTTATCTTATCGAGTTTGCGTTTTTACCAGTGCAAAATTCTTAATGGTACCTATTCAATATTATTCAATTAGTTTTTGGAAATTAAAATATTTTCGACTTTCGCACGCGGGGGAGCGATTGTTAGTAATGCGGACTACCAATCCCACTGCTTGTCAGCAGTATACTTATCAGGTCGACCTCCACGTGGTAATCCTCCTGCATCGTTGCATATTCCGTTAGCGCAGGCGAGATTACTATTCCATTAACATCCAATAAAAAAATACTTTTTTGAAACTTTTTCGATATAAAAACTTTCAAATATAGGTTAACTATATATATATATATATATATATATATATATATATATATATATATATATATATATATATATATATATATATATATATATATATATATATATATATATATATATATAATAACTATATATATATATATATATATATATAGTACTGAAATAAATTGAAATCTACTAAAAGTATCCGAATCTGAATGCAATCTATAATGTCAGTTAGGAGTCAATGTCAAATCGTACATAGACATATGTCAAATAAAACAAGTGTCATTTTTTATTTTTACGTTCTTGCTGTTTAATTGCCTATTTTTATTTATTATTATTTACATTTTCGGTTTTTTGTTTTACACTTAGTTGGATTTTTTGATAATTTTTATTGTAATTATTATAGCAATGTGTATCTTCAACATTTTAAGGTCAAATGCTACTCAACTGGTTTGTGTCATCGATTGCTGACAATAATAATTTGAAAAGCGTATTGAACACTCAAGATCTGAGAAACCTTGGAATCCAAAACTTCACCCATCTTTTAGCAGCTGGAGTTTTGCGACAGATATCTGATAAAGATGCTCCTAAGGAGAATATATTTAAGGTAGCTACTTAAAACTATATTTTGGATTTCAGCATGGTTTAGGTGTCAACTGACATTTTGACATTTTTTACTATAAAAAATGTATTGAGTAATTTGGAATTTAACAATATAAATTTTATTTTCATATACATTCTTACAATAAATTGTTTTATTGAATCTATTAGCATTTGTAATTACAAATTTTAACCAATTGAATGGTAAGATTACCATTGAAATCCCTCGGGCTGTCTTTTGAATTCTCTGTCAGACTTACCAAAATTGATGAAATATAGCTACTTAATTACTTTTAAGTAAAAATATTTACTAGTATGTACATACTTATCCATAAGGTTTATGCATTTACAGTAAGTATTATAGATGTAAGAAGTAAAAATAATACATTGACATCACTGTATGAAAAGAATGGAATTAGATAATTTAATAATAATAATTTGTCACTATATCTATAAAAAAAAAGAAAACAAATATAGAGATAATGTAAAACTTACACACAGAGACTACACTGCTATAAGACCAGCTAGCCATGAAGCTACTGAATATTATAATAAACAGGAGTCTAGACTCAAAAAGTCTTGCCTAACCAGCATTTGAATTATTTGTTTGAGATGGCTTCTCACTTGATGTGGTTCTCTCTTAATTTCTCTTAATGCCAGCTGATTGCAGATAGAGAGAAAAATTAAAAAAGCATAAAAAAAACATATAATATAATTTATACATACATGACACTAGCTTTCGACTTTGCCCAGTGTGATTGAGATATATTTACTGATCAGAATAAAAAGTAGCTTATACTTTTCTCCTTCTCATATAGTGTATGTATATTAAATTTTATAGTAATTTTTAAGTTGTTAAGGTGCTATAAAGTAACAAACAAACAAATTCACTTTCACATTTATAATATTGGTAAGGATGTGGTTGTCTATCTCAATTATGTTGCATGATTGAGTAACAAACATCCAAACTCATACACTTTATCATCTATCTTATTATTAAAAATAGATTAGATTTTTTATGAATTATGAATGGCATCCCTATCTATCTACCTACCTGGCTATCAATATATATTGGCAGAACAGCAATAAAGAATTATAAGGGAATCAAAGTCAAGTCAGTTAATGTGTCAAATTCAATAAGAATTAAACATGAATGGTTCTAGGGGGATTGTGTAGAAGTTAACCTGACCAGAGTCACCTCTCTCCCCTCCTCCCACACTAGACCATACCTATATATGTATCCATGCCCTATTTAATCACATTGGTTATTTTAATACAGTTTCAATTTTCAAGGTCACCATATCAGCCATTATGTGTTTACTACTGAACATTTTAAAAATTTACTTAAATCTAAATCCATATACAGTAAAATGTATTCAACTAACAAATTTCATTTCTGTATAAAATTATAATAAGGATATCATTGTTATATAGATTATATAAAAAATACACCAGTTGATTTTTGTAGATAAGTAATTAATTTATAATTAACCTTATTTTTTCTATTCCAGCCAAATTTGATGTACTATTGGGCACACATGGAGGCTCCAGCACCACAACCATTAACACCAGGACGATTACACCTGACTGCATGGCCACCAGATAGAGATCCTCATACAGCCCAAGAAAACATTACAAATTACTGTAGTTTGGAGAACAACAAAATTCTTAATCAAAATAACAATGATGAAATAAAGGATATTAGTGAAGCAAAAACTGTTATATCTCAATTAAGAAGAAAACTTTTAGAGTTAGAATATCAATTAGAAAAGTTCAAAATAAGTGCTCAAATTGATACTCTTAATAAAAATTTGGAAAAGGGCTTTGACACTCAACACCAATTGTTAAATAAAAAGAAGATTGAGTTAGTGTGTAAAGAAGTACAAACATCTAATGCCAGTGATGTATATAAGTTATCTGATAAACCTGTGATAAATATACCTGAAAATGACCCACATATAAGAACAAATGTAAATATTGAGAATAATTTAAGTTTAGATAGTTTAGAAAAACACATTGAGAAAATACCTGAAAATAGATCTGAAAAAATTGAAAATTATTGTAAATTAAATAAAAGTAGAGAGTATAATAAGAGTTTTCGAAAAGATGAAAATAGTGAAAATATAGACAATACTAATATGAGTAACAAAAATTTAATTTCTATAACAAAAGATTCAAGTCACACCAATCTCAGTGCTCCACATGATAACTCCTCTGATGCCTCATTTCCGAGTACTTGCCCTTCAAACGAATTACTGAGTAGTCAAACTGAAATAATTTCAGATTTAAATAATGATAATATTTCTTTGACAAATGTTACAAACTCAATAAACATTCCTGTAGATGGTTTGTGTACAAATATAGAAGCTAATAAAATACAACACGACCATATTGATACTTGTCAATCTTCACTATCAGAACAATCAAAAAAAGATCTTTTAACGCATAGCAAGCTTATAACAAATGAATCAGAACTTTATAGTTCTAAGAAATTTAAACTAGCAACTTCAAATGATTCAAATGAAACATCAACATGCTCATCAATATTGAACACCCTAATTTCTGGGCAAGATTCTTCCCCCAGTGCTAACCAACATCAATCAGACCTTCCTCCTCCATCACCAGGGGTGGCTCCGTCGCCACCACCAACACCAGGAACATGTCCAATTTTATCAACATCTGAAGAAGTATCTGTAATGAAAGAACATCAACATCAATCAACTGAAATTTCAGAAATAGTACAAACTCAACTTTCTGTATCACCATCAATATCTACTATAGTACCTCACTTGCCGCAGATCTCTGATATGGGACCATCACTTACGTCAAGCTCAGTGGTAGAATCTCCACCTACATCCATACAAAATATAGGTTCTGCAAGTCCTTCACCACCACTAATGCCTAACATGGGACCTCCACCACCCCCAATGCCAGACACAGGTCCTCCACCACCATCAATGTCTAGTATGGAGCCTCCAACGCCACCGGTGCCTGGTATGGAACCTCCGCCACCACCAATGCCCGGCATGGGACCTCCGCCACCACCAATGCCCAGCATGGGACCTCCGCCACCACCAATGCCCGGCATGGGACCTCCGCCACCACCAATGCCCGGCATGGGACCTCCACCACCACCAATGCCTGGCATGGGACCTCTGCCACCACCAATGCCCGGCATGGGACCTCCGCCACCACCAATGCCCGGCATGGGTCCTCCGCCACCACCAATGCCCGGTATGGGACCTCCGCCACCACCAATGCCAGGTTCAAGTCCACTTCCTCCACCAATGCCAGGATCAGGCCCGCCTCCCCCACCAAACATGCCAGGACTTGGGCCTCCATCACCTGGCCCACCGCCACCACCTAACTTAGGGCCAGTTCCATTTCCAGCTCCTCCTGTTGGTGGATGGAGTATGCAACGAGCCAGTAAGTATATTCCAATTAAAAATATAAATATTTTTGTTAAGTAAGAAATTGATTGTTAAAATCATTTTACAGCATTGAGAAAAATTCCTGTTAAACCTGCTGCACCCATGAAGCCTTTATACTGGACACGAATATTAGCTCCTCCACCACCAACAACATATCAAGAAGAGGACTCAAATGGTATCAAACCTCTTTGGCTGGAAATTGAAGAAACGAAACTAGAAAATATTGATGAATTTACAGATTTATTCTCACGACAAGTAGTGAAAGCTCCAGTTAAAAAGAAAGTCGAAGTGAAGACAAAAATTCTTCCTATAAAAATATTAGATAGCAAAAGATCACAAAATGTCGGTATCCTTGCTCAAAGTTTACATGTCGAATTCTCGGAAATTGAAAACGCTATATACAATTTCGATACATCTGTAGTTAGTTTAGAGGCATTACAACAAATTTATGAATTGGTAAGTTTATAGCTATTAGATAGAAAAAAAAAATTATAAATAAGAAAATCTCTGGTGTTTTCAATACTAGTCATAAATAAATGTTATTGATTTCGCTCATACTTTTATAATATTATCTATTGTATCAATTTCTCTTTAGCACATAAGCACTAAACATGGCAGATGTATGAATCCTATGCTATAAATAAGATCTATCTGACTATCCACAAATTTTTGTTAAAAAAAATATATATATTTTCAGCGTGCAAGTGACGAAGAGCTATCCCTTATAAAAGAACATTTAAAAAACAAGCCGGATGTTCCTTTAGATAAACCTGAAGCATTTTTACATGATTTGTCAGGAATACCGAATTTTGCAGAGCGCATTTCATGTTTTATGTTTCAAGCGGAATTTGAAGATGCAATAAGCACAACTATGCACAAACTAGATAATTTGAAACACACTTGCGAGGTAAGAGATAAGTTATATTACTTGATTTGTAGATCCTTGAGCTTTAAACCATACCACTCTAAAAATTATTTCAAAGGTTATTATTATTATTGAAAATCTCGAAATCTTTGTAATTGCTAAATGACGGTTGTTTGATATTATTAGAAAGACACGTTTTTCCGTTTCCTCATCACTGAGGGTCGTAACTACATAAGAATATCACTCTCATCATTATTACTCCAAGCCATGCAGTCTTCAGCCATCCATATATACTTGTGTACTCTTCCACAAATTATAACGTATGACTTATGATATCTGTTATTTGCTTATGGTAATAATGATACATTGAAAATTATGTATCATTGTTACTTCTATACGAACCTATACTATACAAGGTATAAATCTAAAAACTTTTTACGTTTATTTACAGTTCCTAATGACGAGTGAATCTCTTAAGAAATTGTTTGCTATAATTTTAACTCTTGGCAATTATATGAATGGAGGTAACGGTCAAAGGGGTCAAGCTGATGGTTTTGGCTTAGAAATATTATCTAAATTGAAAGACGTCAAGGTAATAATTTATTTTCTTTTGAAGTTTTAAAAGTATCATACCAATTATCAATTCAGTTTATTATATAGAAATGGAACAAATTGATTTTATTTTTTAACTGAAACGAAACGCAATTTTTATATTAATGTTACTAGTATCATAAATCAATAATTAATATTTTTCTAAACCAGTATTACAATAGTACCAGTGCACGTTGACAGAGGTCGCTTGGTGGGTACTCTCGACAAATTTAATAACTCAATTATGAGCGTTGGCCACAAATGACAAAAACACGTAAATAGGCCCAGTATATGCATTCGTCGAGTGCACTTGTCGAGCATGCTCACGTGCTCGCCCAACTTGAACTAGAATCTTAAATGTAAAAGTTGTAAAGATATATAATTAAGGTTTCACAGCTGGTATTAAACAACCTATCCCTCCCCTATAGTGGCCTAAGAAGTTTTAATGTATTTGTTACACAAATATAAAGTATTAGGTAAAAGCTAATTATAAAAGTTTATTTTTCTGTGTACACAGTCGAAACAATCAAACGTGACACTGCTGCACTTTATTGTACGTACGTACATGAAGGTGAGGAGTGCAGGAGGGGCGGCTGGCGAGTGGTCGTTGCCAGTGCCGGAGCCGGGTGACGTGGCTCGCGCGGCCGCGCTCGACTTCGCTGACGTCGCCGCACACCTCATCACGCTCACGCAACAACTTACCGGTACCCGCTTTCATGTACTTTTACCCCCTTATTCATAAAGTGACCAACTATTTTTTGTTTAAAAAGAGTACACTTTCCAAGTATTTCATAGGCGAAAAAAAAGAACCTTTATTTTCTTTTAAAAACATATTTTTCTTCGGTTGAACTTTTTGACTAGTTGACTTGAAGTAGATTTTTTTTGCTAAAAGAGGATGTTCGTCTAATAATGTAGCCACATCTGAAAAACTTTCATTTTGCATATTAAATTTGACTGTTAAGACGGCAGATAATGTCTTTACAGAAAGTTCTTCAAAAAGATTTCTCTCTGCTCCAGTAATCATTCCCTAGTGAAAATACCCTTTCAGCAGCAGCATTAGTGCCTGGACACATAAAGAAATTTCTATTAAAACTTCAATTTTCATGTAGGATATGTTCTACTAAAATTCAAATCACTTTTAAAATAATTTTAAATATTTAATTAATAAAATTAAAATATGTTCTAAAAAAACATTTTACAAATACAAATGAGTACTTTCAGAGTACAGGATTTGAAAAGAGTACGTTTTGCGAAAAAAAGAGTACAAAACTCAGTAAATGAGTATAGTTGTTCACCTTATTATTCGTAAAAACGTCAAAAATCTTATGAACCTCTTTTTAAATTCTTGATTTGAAACAAAATGAAAAAACAGTGTTAACTAAGATTGGTATGTTTTAGTTTTTATGAAAAAGATTGGTAGTATACCCTTCTTACCACTAGCTGACTCAGCAAACATTATTAAGTCCCTTAATCCCATTTTTTTCTTATCAATATAAAAACTATCCTTTCAAATTGTTGTAGTAGTATGTTTATGACCCACCATAAAATGTGCTATCACCTTTTTTACAGCGTGCAAGAAAAAAATGAAAAAAGTTATAGAAAATGATGGTCAATCTCAAATGTTTGAGGAATCTGCAAAGAGGCTCGAAGTATTCAGAGAAAAAATGACTTCGTTTATGAACTCTGCTGAAGAAAAATTGAAAGCTGAAAATGAAAACTTAGACGATTGTCGTAATAAATTTATAGCTACTGTAAAATTTTACCAATACACTCCAAAGTGTGGAAAATTAGAAGATTGTGAACCGAAAGAGTTTTTTTCAATGTGGACATCGTTTTGTAGTGATTTTAAAGATATTTATAAAAAAGAAGAACAAATAGCCATAAAGGAAAAGTGAGTTACTTTTTTATTAATTTACAGCTTATTAACTTTTATAACATTACTAATTTCAAAATTGTAACTTTTAAATATATTCATATGTCATAATAATTGTACAACGCCCAAACAAATCACGTTGATGTATTACAGTCAAGTAAATTTTGTATTTTAGTTAAGTAATAATAATAAGTCAGTACGGAGTATTCATAACAAATATTATCAGTAGTTGCACAATAATTGTTCTACGGAGTCAACTTAACCTACATTTAGATAAAAACAAATAGTTTGATAATTAACGGCCGACATTTATTCCAGATTAAAAGAAGCTAAAAAACTTCAGGAAGAACGGAAGGCTCTAACGCAACCCAAGAAAGAGGGAGGTTTGAAGGCCCGCCTACAAAAATTATCAACTAATAAAAAATGAAGTAGAAAGAGTTCATTATATATCTTGAAGAGGGAGCAATGCCAAATTTAAACACACAAGTTTTAACGATACCTTTATATCCACATTGTTCTATGTTAATTTAGTCTGCTTCAAAATCTCTTGCTCACTCGCTTTCTTACACAGAAGCAATGTTATTTTATGACCAAAAACATTCCAATCTCGCATTTTATTCTAAGCTCAATATAAACGCTACAATCTATTGCCATCGAATTTTAAAGTTTCCTTAATACATTCTAATGTAAAATTTGTAGAACTGTTAAGCATTAATGGAAACTGAATTACGGCTTACTAATATTGTGTATTTAATGTACTTGCAATAGAAACAAACAACAGGTATTTATCATACCGTTACAAATTTCATTATTTATAAAATTGTTTTAAATTTTTCATATCTCAAATGCCTAATACATAGGTACTAATTATTAACAATAAGTTCCAGTTCCAAAACTCGGATCTTACGTATTTTTCAATCATTACATTAAAATATATATATTGAAAAAATATGTTTAACACGAAAATTCCTGGTTCCAAAATTAATTTTGAACTCTTGTGTATTTTTAATGTGTTTTGCTTAAACACCACATTCATACAAAAATTATTTTTTTTATGGCAAACAAGAATTAAATTTTTAAGAAAAAGCGCAAATAGTACAATTTATAAAAATGATAACGTTAAGCATCAATCTAATACTTTATCATTTATATATGCCATATGATATATATATGCCATTCAATATGAAATTCTCTAGTATGTCTCAAATGTTAAAAAATATTCTATTTGCTATTGTCAAAATAATCTAATTACAATAAATTGATTCTGCAAAGATATCAAACTTAATAAAAGTTAAAATCAAACTCCATGATTCATTACCACGGTGTAGTTTTCTTTTATTTAAAAATATTTCTATAGAAATATCTATATACCTATGAATATTAAAAAAACATCAGATTCTAAATTATATAAGTTATTCTTTTTTATACTGCGGTATTTTGATATATTTTTATTTCCTAATTTGATTAGCATTGATATGACTAATTAGAAGGAAAACTGAAGTCAAATGGGCTAGTGGTAATAAATCTTATATAGTCCTACTTATCTATTGTTATATCCTTCTTGATATTTTTTTATAATTCATGTATCGACCTTTTCAACCCTAGAGGCAAATAATTACTTTATGAGAATATTGTACCTGACCTATGCATTTGCTATACATATGTACTTAAAGCTTATTAATTGCCTGCCAGTCATCATGAATTTGTATCTAACAAAATGGTGCTGTAAGTTATATTGTATATAATTAATGTTATATAAATAAAATAATAAATGACAAATACTTTTATTAAACATATTCCAAACATTTTTCTTTCCATATTTTTTGAAATTTTCTTTCTATTTTTCTGTTCTTAGCTAATGAGTTGCCAAGTTTTTCCAAAGAAGTTTTTAAAGTTTGCCACTGCATAAAACTGAGATGCTTTGTTAATGATCTGGCATCACTATCATTTCTGTATGTTTCCTCTTTATCAAGAAATTGTTGCAATGTGGCCTTATTAGTTACATTGTTAGCTGAATGGTTAAACATTTTATCACTTGTTTGAGGATTAAAAAATGACTTAAAATATTCCCTTGATATTGACTCTCCTTTATCAACACTTTGAAATGATTGGGTTTCAATTTGTAGTGACTTAATTTCCTGATTAATTGGTAATGACATTTGATGTACTTCCTCCTGTGTTTCATTATTAATTTCTTTCACATAATCTAATATGCTATCAAAAGCTTCTCCATCCTCTTCAACCAAATTGGGATCTATTTGTAAATGTCTTTTTTCAGACCAGTCAAATCTGCCATAACTATCAATATTTTTTAAGTCAATCCACAGTTCTATATCAACTGGGAGCTCATAAGCATCTGGTAAAAATTTCACACCTTTCAACTGTAATTTGTCAAGATACTTATATAAATTGGTGTACCAAGAACATGCATGTTCAAGCAATACAGTACATATGGACCAAATTCGACTCAGTAGAGCATAAGGCATCAAGGACATCCAATGACTCTCACCTCTCTTCAATCTGTCCATATAAAATACAGCAGCCTGTTTAGAACATTTGCAAATTCTAAACATTATTTTTAAGAATGACATTATACGAATTAAAACATACTCCAACATTTGTCTTGTTGGTAAATATATATCATCATTCATTGGGAGTGTAGAGGAAAAATATTCAACATCTTTTAGTAAATTTAACTTCAGGTATGTATGAAGAGCAGTGTTGACCTTCTTGAAATTTCTGTATCCAATATCATTTCTAAATTTTTTATCAAATTTATATAAAAATCTGGATAAAAGTGCACTTTCTTTGTGCAATGGTGATTGTTTCAACATGACTGCTATTATATTATTACATATATCCCTCAGCTCATCAATATCTGAAAAATATATTTAAAGTATAAATAATTGAAATTCTGGTTAACATTTCAGATTCTCAAAATTGTGACTCCATAAAGCTATTAATTATATTCACACTTCTTGCTTTAATATAGATGTTTATGGATGTATTAAATACAATAATAAAATGCAATTATAAAACCATATAGTTGAAATTTTTTGTGCAGTAAAAACTAAAGAATGATTTGATCAAAGCTAAAATCCATAAGATTCCATATCTTCAGTTTACAAATGTTATTCCACTTAATTGGGGGGAAAGGAATTGTTAGCAATGGAGTTTGACCTCCCCATTGCTAGCAATATACCCTTTTTTTTTAATGGGTGAAAATGAATTGGTAACCTCTCCCTCGCTATTGATATACACCGACGAGGCACCAGTGGAAGGTGATAGGTGAGAATAAATGCAGGTTAGTTGGTCCACCATGATGAATTCGACAAGAATTAAACATGATGGTTTCCAGGGGGCACTGCGTGGAGATCAACCTGAGAGGGTATATTGCCAACAATGGGGCTATAAGATCCCATTACTAACAATCCCTTTCCCCCAATATACCCTATTAGGTCAACCTCTATGTGGTTCCCCCTAGAAATCATTAAACAATTCTTGTTGAATTAATCACAATGGGCTAACTGACCTGCTTCATCCTCACCTATCATCCTTCACTGGTGCCCCACTGGTGTATACCAATAGTGCGGGTGGGGTTACCATTCCATTATCACCCATTAAAAAATAACTCCACCTAATTTTTGCAACAAAAATAATTTAGAAAAAAATTGTAGTAAAACATAACTAAGGATGGATGATATATATCGTATTTAATATTCCACCACTGTTGGTGATTGATTGATCATTTGATGAACGAATGATTCGAATGTACAGACATTCGGTCTGAGAAATGATCTGCCACAAGGACTTTCTTTATCAATTCTACTAATATTATAAATGTGAAAGTTGTAAATCTGTACAACTTTCACATTTCTAATATAAACACCAGTCAAAATTTAGGTTATTTACATTACAAATTATTGTTAATGAATATTCAGTGTAGCAAAATTTATGCAGATGTAATGGTGAAATGCAGATACCTATTACAGTATTTTATTTTTTTTATTAATAAAAACGATCTCGCATTTACGTAGGAAACTGCAATCACCACAAAATTAATATGTAAATGTATAGGAAAAAAAGGAATAAAATTTATAATACCGATACAAGATGTCTGTAGTGCTGAAGTATGCACCGGAGGACGAAGAATGGAAGAATCGTTCCATGGTTCCAGCATCTCTTTGGCCTAACAAGTGTTCATGGGACACTGTCTTAACTAAACTGAGAATTTTCTTGTTCCCCAGAAAGTAAGCAAAAAGAATTACATCGACTATTTGCAATGCCTATAAATTATATAGGAAGGTTCAGAGTTCAGAATAGTAATAATATTTATGTATATACAATGGGAAAGAAACTAAGGCATTCGCCATACAACCTGATACACAGGAATGATTTTTAGAGTTTCGGAATAAAAATCTATAAAAAAAATCATACATATAAGATAATTGTCAAAAATATAATTTTTGTAATACAACCTGAGCAAAGCACAGATTAGAGAGACTATTACAAATTACAGAGATTATGTCAGTGTTGCCAACCCGAATTTTAGAAAATAAGTAGATTATGTGCCAAATGTTGGTAGAAATTGGTAGAATGTAAAATGCAAAATCAGTAGATTAACCACCTCAATTTAGAAGATTTTTTAAGACTAAAAATGCATGAACAATTCTGATAATGTTTATTTTGGAAATTATACATATTTTTATTGAACAATTTTAAATGTTCTGTGCTAGGCTGCTCGTTGTTTGTTGATTCCATAATTTCGAATATTTTTGGTCATAGTGCCTTTTTCTAGCTTTTCGTTGCGGAGTTCCTAACCTAGAACTCTGTGCATAGCTTTCGCTGCTATCAGAATCCATTATATAAATAAATGCATCCAACACCAAAACAAACGGCAATCAGCACCGCGAATACTTAGTTATTTAGTTTTAAAAACAAAACAACACAAAACAGGAGAAAAGATCATGATTCCGCAACAAACCAACCGGAAATGGGCCACAGAACAGTATAATATGGTATGGTACCTGCGCTAACGGGATATACTAGCGGAGCACCTGTGAAGGGTGATAGATGAGAAGCCCATCATGTTGAATTGATCAGGAATTAACCATGATAGTTTCCAGGTAGAACCGCGAGGAGGTCGACCTGATTGGGTATATTGCTAACAATAAGATTCTCAGTCTCCATTACTAACAATCCCTTTCCCCCCATTACTTTATATTACTCTATAGCATTTTTAAATCAAATTTTCTGACAGGCGTACAATGCAAATTCTCTTTGCCGCAATAGAAATGTTATGTCGAGTCTAACAGCATCTAAAAAAACCGTCTTCAATTCTAAAGAATATACTATATGCCTATAAAAGAAATAGCACTGTTCGTAGGCGTTATTAGAATTACATACAACTATACAAGTAATATGAATAAAGATATTTTGATTTTAATAGGTGCCATTTTAACGGTGAACCGCGTACTACAAAAATAATTTATTAATTATTCATACACAATATTATGTACTATTTATCTTCGGAATATATAATTCAATTTCAGTTCATATCGTTTAATAGTACAAACCGTGGTAAGAGTAACTCTAATGGATTTTACAAGTTTATTACAAGTTCAGCAGAATTTGTAATATAGCATAGAAATGAACTCCACTACTATATTAACGAACAAATTATCTATTAGATAATACATGCAAACTTTAGTTATACTTAATTACATTAATTATAACTATTGTTTCCTCGCCGGTTTAAATCTATTGAAAATTAAATTAAAAACATCGATTATTCTTTGTTAGTATTATTATGTCACACTGAATACAATTTTTTTATATTTTTATTGTGTAATTTATTCAAACACATGCGCCATAATCAGTTCAGGATACAATAGGACTGATATACCTGAAAAAGGTAAAAGCCCTTAAAATAATAACAATAAAAAAAAAAAACTTCGAGTACGGTGACGCCTATTCAAATTGACCATGATCCGCAATAATGAATTTGTTTACAGTTTGGTAACATAGATTTATAGAGAAACATTATTCCAACAACGACTTTCGACTGTCGCTGGCGTAAATAATATTGTTATGCCCATAGATTAGAGAAAGAGAGAGACTATAATTCGTTACTTGGTGATAACTTCACTTCGTTATTTTTTTCTCTTTTAACATGTTTGTAGTTTTTCATTGAAAATATATAAATTTTATGAAAAACTTCTATTTATATATTATCACTAAGCTTCTTCTCAACGTTTTACTGTTTAATTCAGTATTTTGTCTCCTACGAATATAGTTTTGTTTACTTGCAAATAAAGCACGTATGTTATTTTTTTGCATAATAAAATATATCTATGTATATTTTTTCTCCTAATTCTTAATTCAAATTGTCGATTTTCATTTTTATAGGAGAGGTACAGAAACATTAAAAATAATGCCTAAAAATAAGAAAAAGGAGGAAAGTTCTAGCAGTGATAGCGATGATGGTCCAGTTGATGTAAGCAATTTTATTTAAATTTTAAATACGATTGTTGAAGACAATTTAATTTACCAATGAATAAAGTCCATATACTCATTTCAATAAAAACAATGTTAATAGTTTAATGTATTCCACACATATCTAAGATGCGAAGCACACGTGGCGTTCTATCACGTTTAACAACTTTGTGACTTCTTAATTTTAATAGACAATAATCGGATATATAAATAGCAAACACTCCGTACAAGTTTATTTAAATCCGGTGGCAAATTTTTAGAAATGATAAGGTTATAGTATAAACAATGTGTTTGTAACCTGTATATGAAAATACGAATCTTCCAAATAATCGTAGTAAAGCCGGCCGGTTGATTACTGTTACGAATTACTTGATTTGTACATGTATACACTAAAAATATTTTTTATATGTACTTAATATACTAAAAAATACATATATTTTAGTATATTAGTAGATACTAAGTTTTTTATAAAATTTATATTTAACGATCAGTTCTGATCAATCTATATTAGATATTGAGATCAAAATTATGAAAATAAAAAATTATTAAACTTCATATATTTATTAATAACGATTTTAAATTACTCTTTATTTATTTATCAATTCTTTTAAATTCATATTTTTAGAGAAACCCTCCACCAGAGAAAAAAGCCAAAATGGGTTCAAGAACAGACGACAAAGAACCTACTTGGGTTTTACAAGGAAAAAAGTTGGTGAAAGTCAGAGAATTTAAAGGCAAAGTTTATGTTGATGTACGGGAATTCTATGAGAAGGGCGGTGAATTGTTGCCAGGAAAGAAAGGCATTAGTTTAACTCCTGAACAGTGGAGAAAACTATTGTCCCTAGGTGATGAAATAAATGAGACTATTAGTACTATGTGTTAAGGACAAAATGTTTTGTATTCCATATGGTAATATATAATTATATTAAAATCTTGTTATTTGTTTTCATTAACTTTTGTTTACTATTATAAAAAATATGGCATAGTGGGATTTTTGTAAGTAGAATGTTATAGTAGTGACTATACCTGATAAGTCCTTTTTGTATTATTTTTTTTCAATGAAGAATATTTCTCCTAGGTCTAGGTTTTGCAATATGCCAACATTCCTAGTTTACTTATATATACACTTACTTAGGCCATCCATAAGTTTTTAAAACATTTAATCTTATATTTTTTCATAATATAAAAAGTTATTAATTAAAAAAGAGAAAAATGTGAAAGATGAGTAGGGTTTCCCTAAACTAAGTATTCCTTGTAATAACATAGGTACAAAATATCTGTTAAAACTTATAAATTTGATAGTGAAAATCAACATATAGATAGGGAGGGGAAAAGGGATTGTTAGTAATGGATACTGAGAATCCCATTGCTAGCAATATACCCAACCAGGTCGACCTCCTTGCGGTTCCCCCTGGAGTGGTTAATTCCTTATGAATTCATCATGATGGGCTAATTGGCCTGTTTTCATTTTCATTTATCACCCTTCACTGGTGCTCCGCCAGCTTATCCCATTAGCACAGGCGGGCTTACCATACCATTTTCACCCATAAAAAAAAAACAGGGTTATTACGAGCTATTGTTGGATTTTATCTAAGTTATAGTGTTAAAATTATTTTTATATGGACTTACATATTCATTAAATTCTATAAAACAAATACTTACTGCTTGCCTACATTTTTGAAGACACTTAAATGTAGCCCTAATTAATTTTAAATTTTAATTAAAATTTAATTTAGGAATTATATTTTATTCTTATTGTCAGTTCTCGATGACAAAAGCAACTATTATAATAAACTTGCCTAAGATAAAAAATAAGAATATCACTACGCATCTCGGCCCATCTGACCCCCTTTACACCTTTTATATATATCTAAAACTTTGTATTTTTCATATATATATATATATATGTATGCATTTCTCATACTGAAAATATATGTTTTACCAGAGGGAGACTGTACAAAAGTCCATTGCTTGGGTACCTCTGCCCCATTCGTGTTTCTACCGTGAAGCAGTTGTTTGCATGGCTGTTTCGGTTTGAAGGGTGGGATATGGCGTGAATTTACAGGCTACAGAGGAATAACATCTGGGTTCTCAAAAATGGCAACGCGTGAAGGGTTTCATGGTCGAAACAGTATACTCTGTTATGGTACTGCTCATGTCTATAGGCGATGGTTACCACTTTCCATCAGGTGGGCCGTCAGCTTGTTTGCCATTCTAAGTTGTATAAAAAAAAATTTAAAAGAAAATCATAGTGAAATATGTACTTAGGTCTCATTTGGCTCTCCGATGTTAGCAGTATGGTCAAATATCGTGTATAGGTCAATGAAAAATGAGACTGCAATAGATAAAACAGATTCAGAATGACACTGTATATCCAGTTAATGATTCTGTTCTTTACGCATATAAAAATAAGTATCATTTTATAACTGCTGTAATACATAGAATAGGGTTTTCATTCTTGCATGCCATTGTTTTTTCAAATTTTTTAAATAGAAACATTCCACTTAGGTGGATATGTATATAATGCAAGTAAGTATTTAAGATGAAAATTAAAAATAACTATATTTTTGACCGATAATAATTTAATAATTCATAATGAAGGTTACATCTACACATTTGTATGTATACCTATAACTGAAAATGGTGAAACATAAAGAATAGTTCCTCTCGTTTACTGGATCGTAGACAGTATTCCGTTTACAAAATTGTTACAACAGGTAAAAAATTAAATAAAACATTAAAATTATGAGGTGTACAATTTGCATATTCTTTTATTAAATTACGATAGTACACTACTGTATACCTACATGTTACTGTATACACTAACATGTTCGAAGAAGACGCATGCAAAACATTATATACTAAGTAAATACTATTACAATAGTTTAAAAACGTACAAAAATATGGCTAATATTATTAATGGCATTGATACCTATTCGAAAAGTTTGTACAAATTCACTCATGTGGTACTATGACGTAAGTAATAATTGGAATGGAACATTGTTATTTTACAGGGTATGTGGTAAAAAGTATGAGCTTATTATGTTAACTATGTTGCACTGGATAAGAGATGTATTCCCTTTTGTAATTTATATCAAACATTTCGTTAACAAATTCCATTAGGTTTATCTGAAAGATAATTTCATATTTATATGAATATGAAAACAAACTGCATAAATTAATATATTAAGTAGAAAATAATTTTTAAAATTATGGTGTTCTAAATATTCTTACAAGTTTTACTTGTTTTATAATATTTTGCAACTGTGATTGACTTCTTTAACAATTTTTTTTACATGCGCCCTGCGCACACAGTTACGTCGTTAAAAATGATAATCTAATCTATAGTTTTTTGGTAGATACTCGATAAATTAAGAAGCCCGTATCTACCAAAATAAGTAAATAACATACCTATTCCTATTTTTGTTTTCCAGATAAAACTTTGTAACCTGTTTTTGTCGACTAAAATTTTATATATATGTTACTGATGACACTATGTCAAAGTAAATTATGAAATTATATTACTATACACGAAGATACCTACCTACGTGTAGGCGCCAAACTATAAGATTCTTTGGCGTCATAATCAAGGACTGGAATATATATTTAAGTTTATAGTAATGCATATAATCTGATTGCGTATTTGACATTACGATTTTTAGAACTCGGCATAACCTAGTTTTTGAAAGAGTAAGAAATGCTGTTTTATCTTTAAAAGTTATAAGACTTGGATTTATTCAAATGACATTTTAATTTAATAAAAAAAAATCAACATTGTCCGCGTAACTAGGATATGTTGATTGACTGGGATAAAATGTAATCTATGACTTACACACCAAGAGGTAACAATAAACTAACTTTAATATTTATAACATTAATAAGGATGATAAAGTCTTGAAATAAAATACTATATACAATTTGGAATAAGCAAAGATTCAGTTATATTATCCTTCAAACTGAAATAGTAGAAATATGTAAAGATTCTTTTTAGTTACCTAAACAAATGGTAGTCACATGATATATTAAGCATCATATTTAATAAAATTGTTAAAATTTCTATAGTCGCATAATGATTACAGAAATTGTAATAAATAAATAATATCATTTATTATTAATAGAACTTGAATTTATTTTATTAAGATAAAATGGGTTAAAATTTTTTATAATGCCATTATGAATAATATTTAACACAGTAATAACCATAAACATCAAGTCTAATTTACAATTCTAGTAGTTATTACATTATTAAATAAAATTATAATAATTATAAAATGTTTTATAATATTATTACAAATTTTGAGTGTCGTAGTTCATAGTGTAATAGATATTAGAATGTAAACTGCATTACCAAAATTATTTACAAATTACTACATACTTGATATATAATATAAAAAATAAAATTTGAAACATTTTATGTAATGAAAGATTTAAGTAGTATACATTGATTTTTAGTATATATTTTCACACCTGGCCACATAATATAAAACTAATTATTTAAAAATTACATTTTTCAATCCCTGTTTAAAATATTTGATATCAGATATCGTTATGGCGATGACGATGTATTATTAATGCATGACTAGGTAGTACTAGTAACTTTTGTGTAACTTATAAGGCTATTTTTTAATAAAATAATTGACTAACTTATCTTTAATATTTATCTAAATACATATTAGATTGGCAAGTTTAGGAAAGGTTTTAAAATAATGTATTTTTAGAAGCCTTAGAGCATTCAGCACATGATCAGGGACCCTCTCTCACAATAAAATAAATATCGACTAAGTAAACATAACAAATCCATAATTATATGACTATAGATATTAATCATGAGAAAAAATACCCAAGTGAAAAAAGTAATAATTTGACGCTGTAGCATACAATTATAATGTCAAACTTGTCTACATGAAGTTACTTTAACTTGACAATATTGGCAATATCAGAAGTAGAGATAACCGTTTATTTTTAAATTTTCATTCTGAACATTTATTTTGTATAGCACAAAAGTGTGACACTAAAAAAATAAGAATTATGCCATAATTATTGTATATATTTTCATATTAACAATACAAATTATTTGCCATTAATGGTTATTATTAAGCAAGTATTTCGTAATTAAAAATATATATATATAAAAATTCGTGAGCTGTGATTTGTAATACTATATACGATACTCAATACGATATAAATGCATTTTATAGTCTTAAGAAGTGTCATGATGTTTTAAAATTTAATTGTTAAAGGAAATACGACACCATTTGTACTATGTGCAAATTCTAGCAATATAGTAGTAATATTTACTTAAAGAAATTGACAAAGAGCGTAATTTCAATCGGTAGGTAGTACGACTCGCTTACATCTGGTTCAATTTTAATGTTAAGGAATAGTCAATATTCCACACTGTATAAAATCTCCAACAAATTCGTGGTATAAAATAATTCATAATACCAAATAGCATACACTTTATGACTTTCCACTGGCAGAATTTGCAATTCGTGTCTCACTAAGTGGCTACCAATTAACAGTGGACTATAACGTAAGATTTTTTAAAATACCACAATAACACCACGATTTTGTCACTATATGAACAAAGGTTTTTTTATATAATTTATTGACTTTTATAAAAATAGATTCCCAAATAGATAATTATCATTAAATTTAAACGCAAGACTAATTGATTCAAGATTATGGGTGTCGTCAATGTAGAGTAAATACATATTACATAGTTCAAGAAATATAAAATTTTATTTGGAAAAAATGTAATTCATTTTGTAAATTACATTAAATTGCACTAATATATAGAATGGTAGGATATTTTATTTTACTTGAACTATGGATCGACTATAACATGCATGACACTATATATCAGATGACAATACTATAGCTAATTACCAGCTTTAACATAATTAAAAAAATATCAAATGCTACGTTACGTCATATAATTTACAACCTATTCTGATGATTATCTTAAACAATCCATTCTATGGTTTTTAAAAATTACTAATTTCATTACTTGTAAATTTCCATTAATATCGATCACATATTGGACTAAAGTATAATATTAAATGGTTACCCTGGCCTAAAATAATAAATAATTACTTAGTCAGATCTCTATCAGTATAGAGAGTATAAATATAGGAGAGCTCGTATATAGGCTCTAATCGCCTTATAAAATAAAATTCTTATAATTGAAAATTACTTATTTTATCTTTGGTTTTATGTGGAAACAATTTATTTTGAAATGCTCACACATCTCTTGTACCTGTAAACAGATAAATGGTTATTGTCAATTATCTCAGCATAACCTATTTAAACAGCTACTGTACTGTTGATATTGCGGTTGAGTGTTTAGATACAAGAATAGGTAATATAGTAGTAATCATGTAGGGAAGATTGTTTTTCACGAATTGATTTATAAGCCATAAATCAATTTTAAGCCATAATTGAAATCCTACGACGCGGATGTTTAATGTGTCTTCCGAACTACAAAAACAAGCGACAATCCTCTTTCCATTTATTGTAATTTACGATAAAATCACAATAATTTGAAAAATATTTTCAGGACAATAATTTGTAGCAAGATTGTCGTTTGCTTCGTATGTCTTTAAATGCCATAATTATTATAGAATACTTGTTAAAAATCTTCGCTGTGTTCCGGCATAGAATAGGCCACCCATTCCTTTCCAATACATGTCGTAAAAAGCGACTAAGGGAACTTATGGTTGAGGGTGGGCAGCAGTGTGGCGTTTACTGGAAAAAATCCCCTTATACAGAAGGCATATGTTCAGCAGTGGACATTAAACGGTTGAAATAATAATAATAACTTCTTAAAAAATAAAAATATAATAAGAGAGTGACACTCACAACTTTAGTTCCATAATAGATATGAGCAATAGAACACGCTAAGCACAGCACGGCGAGTAGCAGAAGCTCCGTCATGGGCGACACGTGGAAATAGAACACGATTCCCATCACCAGAGCGTACGGTATTAGAAGTCCATTGAACGCTTCGCATCTCGTATCGCTCATTTGCGACACGATCAGCCGACACTGAAAGACATTTTCTTAGGTAATTAAAAAAAAGAGAATGGCCTCAATTGTAATAAATTATTATTATGTTACGGGATATCTTTAGTATTTATGAACAAATTTTGATGGTGGAGACTTGATTATACGGTCTTCAGGTATACGAATTCGCGAAGATCAAGATCGCCAACAGCAAGTAACGATTAAACGTATCAAATCAATAAGATTTATTAGTTTTTGTTGTTTTAAATACTCATCTAGCCTTATATATAAATCTTAAAAAAGAATCATGATAATGATTGTGATAATGATAATACGGATCAGAATCATATGTGAGCAAGTGCAGCAAATTACATTAAAAAACTACGAAGAAATGTTTTTTTTTACATTTAGCCTCCCGAAACAGCTTACACGTATGTATCTAAAAATGTTATTAAATAACCTTTTAGACCGAAACATACTATTACTATTTCACAGCATAAGTAGGTCGTATACATTATAGCATCGTATCGTTTTACTTTTATATAAATTGACTAATGGGGCGAACCTCCTAGACCAACGACCTCAAATGTGTTATTGCATGGAAGTGGTTCTGGACTGTCTTTTGTTTAATGGGAAAAACCTATGTTCAATAGTGAACAATTAGCGTCTGAAGTGATGATGATAATGATAGAATATATAACTCACATTAATGTTAGAGAATATAGTTCCAGTGAGAATGTAGAAGAGTCGCGGTCCACGATTGACGATATCCGTGGGCGAATACAGGGCCCAAATTGTGCTCAACGCGAAGAAAATCACTACTGGGACCAACGGCCGCATAGCTTCCGTGAACGTACGCATCTTACCGGTTCGATCTCGATATGACCTGGAAATACGAGAGCCACGTAACTTTACGATATCTATGGGCACTGCCACAACACAACACTACAATAGTTGTGAGTTTAATATTAGTAAGGATTAGTATAATACTTACTTGTAAATATTCCATAATATTACAGTTTGACTCGTAAGCATAGCGGAAAAGTAGAGGATTATCTCGAAAACGATACCAGGCGTGATGCCACCCGGAAGAGTAACGTGCCAGGCTTCGGGTCCGATCACTGACGTCACCAATAATAAAAGACAGGAGCCCTAAATATGTAGAAATTATAAGAATATTAATTATTATTAAAATTTAAAGTTATTTTGTCAAGAGCATTCACATCGAAGTATAGCAATATCTGAATTATCTGTCATTTTTAAAAATCACGAAATATTTTTAATGCCTATTAAACTAATGTGTTAGTCTTGTAATTAAATTCTTATTCTTAAATTTTTGGTTTGAATAATAAAAAAAAAGTATGTCGAAATTTTAAAATCAAAATATGAACTTTTCCGGACCAAAAAAATATTTAGTGAATTTATTATTTTTATACTATGAGAAAATAAAATTTTCATGCCTCCTACTTTTAGAAAACATGCCTACAGGTTTTTAAAAGGCCGGCATCGTGAAGGTCACAATGCATGCGTTCTATTAGGTAGTCCAAAATATAGCAATAAAAATATACTTTTTTTAAGTTTTAATAGAATACCTTGCTTAGTGACTTACAATCATTGTGAAATCGTATCCCCATGGTAGAAACATAACTCCTGTGTTGTACTTCTCCCAGTGAGTGAGGTAGAAGTTAATGAATATGTTCCAAATCACGAAGAAAAATCTCAAAGGGCTTAATTCGTCTCTGAAAAGTAAACATCTAATATTAGCTTTGTTGGTAAGGAATAAAATTGTCCTCATTGCTAGCAATATAACTTATCAGATCGACCTTTATGGAGAACCGCGCGGAAAGTATTGCATTCATTCCTGAAGAATTTGTCACAATGGGTTAATTTACCTGATTTCATCCCCTCCCACCCCAGAAGCGTAAACCAATAAATAATGCAGGTAGGGTTACCTACTCGTTTTTAATATAAAAAAATATCCACATAAAGATAATTAAACCAAAACATTATTTTAAATGCTTGTTATAGGCGATTACTGCTTGATACTCCTTTAAATAGTTCAAATTTTATCAATGGAAAATATTTAGGTACATAATGCTATTGTAAATCTAAAAAAACTTTAAATACTACTCAACAAATAAGACGGTATTACAAGTATGTTAATCTGTGCTTACACGGCATTGACCTGTGATCTTGATTTATAATTATGTATATGCATAATGGTTGACATTGTTCAGGTAGTTAATAATAGTGTATGTTTAAATGCCTACTTATTTCGAAACTTCGAAAGATATGTACTTATAATTCGAAATATGTATACTTATTCAAAAGATATAAACTAAATAAGTAGGTATTAATTTCATGTATGTGTTTTCACATAAATTTACATAACTGTTGTCAAAATGATGCCAGTAAAAATATCAACGATTTTTTTAAAATATAAATGTATAAATCTTATTTTAATATATAAAAATGGTAAGTCGCGATGTTCGTTCATATTAATCTCAGAAACCGCTTAACCAATTTTAAAGAAATTTGGTGAATGTGTGTTTCTTTATATACAAGGTGTTATCAAATTATCTGCATTCCCTTTAAGAGAATATAAAATTACAAATATACATTACGATAATGATAGAATTTCGTGTATCAATTTTTTCATTCTGTGTAAAAAACGACGTTGCCGCTATATATACGATTCCTCTAACTCGAAAGATTTAAGGAGACTGTACAAGTGTCGTATCCAGCTGGGCCTGCATAGCTGTGTTTCGGTTTGAATGGATCATCATCATAATCATCGTATCAGTTATTAAGTGCTGAATGCCAGGTGTAAGCACCACGATGGTCTAATTGACCTGCCTTTTCATTCTCACTTATCATCCATCAGTGGTGCTCCGCTAGCGTATACTGTTAGCGCAGACAGGATTACCATTCCATTATCATTCCTAAAAAAAAACTGCTCTTTGCTATACCTTTCCTTGGAGGGTTTTGCCAGTAGTTGCCACGCTTGGCAAACGGATTGGCAACCGCAGTTAGGCTTTGGTGACGTTTTAAGTAGGGCGCTGCCACACATGGCTCGACTATTAGTCACCTCTTACGACACTCATGGGAAAAGTAGAGATGGCCCATTCTATGCTAGGACCACATGGCTACAATTTGAAGGAATATGAAATTTTCTAATTTGTACGGAGACATAACATGTTAGTTCTAAGGAATGGCAACGCAAGAGCATGACTTTATATTCTGCGATGTCCATAGTGCTTTCATGTATATAGACAACTGTTACCATTTTCCATTAGGTGAGCCGTCAGCTTGTTTGTCATTCTAAGTATTATAAAAAAGGATTGGATAGTTTTTATGCCGTTAAGAAAAAATGGACACGATAAACAGTGCAAACGTTTGTTGGGTCAGTGAATGGAACTATAGATTACCTTCCAAATATACTGTATAGGCATGTGGGTATAAGAACAGTGGAATACGAGTCCAAGCCATGATCAAAAAGTTCTCCCAGCGGTCCGCTGGTCCCTGTGCGTCGAGCCTGCTTTCCGTCGATACCATCTGAAAAGACCACCAACGTAAAATTTCCTTAAGTATATTAAAAAAAAAAAAAAAACACAAATTACACATATCTATTAATTTTTTCAACTATTTATATTTATTTCTGTTAGTTATGCGACATATTACTAGTTCTTACTAAACATATATATTTTATATAATTAGTGACTAAATATATTTCTTTAATGCCACAATTGTTATTATTCGAACGTAATTTCTGCACTATTGATTTCATGATTTTGAAGTTCATGTCTTAATATATTATTTTGTAGGAAAATATGTGTAACTATGTTTGTTGTTTATATATATTAATATGTTTATATATGTAAATTTTAGTATGTATGTATATCAATTGTTACTGATATCGCATTCGAGTATTCTAACACTTCCCTATGGTTGACTGGGAGAGAATGCTTTTAGCATTAAATACGCCTTCTACACATACATGTACTATCGAAAATATAAAAGACATAAATTATAAAAATGCAATTTTAAATATGTTTTTCCTTTTTTCACTTGTACTTATTTTTTCATAGTGAAGGAAAAAGCAACAGAATTTCATGTTGCTGATCACTGTTTAATTTTTTAGTAAATCATTTATTTAAGTATTTTATAATTTTCTTTTATTTGTACAAATTTTATAATATTTTAAATAATGTAAATATTACTTTTCGTATTATAAATAATAACTGGAATAAGTGATTTATTCTTTAAAGTTTTGTTTATTTAATATATATTATTAAGATAAATCTATAAACGATTTGTTATTTGTAGCCTTGCATACTACTTATCATTTGTTTAAAATTTTAGCAGTCTATTTGTAGAAACAAAAAATATTGATTTTTGATCAGGAAACGACATCGATTTTCCGCTGTGCGTTCTCATTTCGGTAAGTAAAAATATTAATACTGATGCAAATAGATAACTTGGCGCAGAGTGCCAAGTTATTTATTTAGTAATCTAGTGATCGGTAAGATGGATATTTTTTTACTACTGAAGGTACCCACTATTGATCACGATCTCACCTGATGAAAAGCGATGAAGTGGTCTAAGATGGAGCTTACATATTAGCATTAACTATTACACCTTTGAATTCATGTCTGTTAGCGACGATTACCACTTGCCACCAGGTGGGTTGTCAGTTTGTTTGTCATTTTAAATATCATAAAAAAGTCCTTCATATAATAATTACTAACAAAAAAGAATATTATAATTTAATGAGTGTTTGTGAAACCACAGTCCGGTCGGCAAATCACATTAGGACTTAATGCGACTTAAAAACCGGTAAATAGGTAATAATGAATAGGACATATAAATTATATTTCTAGTTAGGCGTAAGTTTTAGTTTCAATTTAAAACGTTATAGACATGACACGTTAAAAAAAATTGAATAGGTATCCACGAGGAAGCAAAGGTCGTGTTTTATCTACGTTGGAAATCAAAATGTGTTCTATCGGATTTTAATCCCGTGATAAATTTGTACGTGTATATTTATACAGAACTCATGTAGGAGAGTATGTGTGTTTAAACATATTATTTATGTATGTTACCTAAAAATAAACAAAAGGCGAAGACAGATAAATGCTGTTCATTATACACAACCTTAATGTTGTAGTAGCGGTTTAACACTAACTCACATTTCGATGGTTAAGGGTTTAACACCAGCATTATACATATAAATTTTTATATAAATATGTACTTGTCTAGGCCTTTATAACATTATAATATATACAAATAGAAATATGTACATAATATTGTCCGTCATCCAGTATCAATAATGTTCTGATTCTGAGTAACAGACTAGGGCTTAATTTACTGTTTATTTTAAAAAAAAAAATTATTGATAGGGAGGCAAACAAGCAGATGATGTAAAGCGGCTACTGTCGCCCATGAACACCGGCAAAAGGTTTTTTTTTTTTTTTTATACAACTTAGAATGGCAAACAAGCCGACGGTCCACCTGATGGAAAGTGGTAAACATCGCCTATAGACATGAGCAGTACCATGGACATAACAGAGTATCCTGTCTCGCCCATGATACCCCCATGCGTTGCCATTCCTGAGGACTCAAGTGTTATTCCTCTGTACCCAGTAAATCCACGCCATATCCCACCCTTCAAACCGAAACACAGCCGTGCAAACACAGCTGCTTCACGGTTGAAACACGAATGAGACAGAGGTACCCAAGCAATCGACGTGATAAATTACTTGTGCGTTGTCGGCCTTTTAAATTTTTGTAAGCGTTGTGTAATAGAAAGTTTATTTGTATTATTATTTACTAAAGGTATCCCACGACTTTATCCGCGTGAATCAGTATATAAACTATCCTACGTGCTAAGTTAGGATATAACCTACCCGTGTACCAAATTTCATTCAAATCCATCAGTAGTTTTATGCGTGAAAAACTATCAGACATCCATCCATCGATCGCTACAAACTTTCGTATTTATTATATTAATACAACATTCGGACGATCAGTATTGTCTATAGAATATGTAAATTAGACGGCGCCTATTTTCCATAAGAAACGTTCGATTCTAAGCGGAAAGAGCCACGGAACAAAGTAAAGATAATGAAATATAAGCGATAGGCAAGTAATTGGATAAGCAGAGTTCGCTGTTGTGATTACATATGGAATTGTTTATGTCTTATCTTTTTTAGGGTACATATTTATGGTAGACAAGCATATAAAATAGAAAGCAGTATACCCTGTAATTAAATAGTACGTAAATATAGAACAATACTACGGCCTATACGTAGCATCTAAAAGGAGTAGATTCTTACTTCATATATTTTTTGTGCCCAAAACGCGATTAAATCGGTAATTTTGAATTGACGTAAATATTATTTTTGAAATCTTTTCTAAATTCAAATATTTATCATTACTGAAGTCACTTTATCTTTGTTGAGTAAAATCTACTTCTGTGTAACAGATTACATGAGATAGCGCAAAAAAATACAAAATAAGCATCACTGCTTCATAGTATAATAGAAATAAAGTCTAAACTATATATATATATATATATATATATATATATATATATATATATATATATATATATATATATATATATATATATATATATATATATATATATATATATATATATATATATATATATATATATATATAAACAGCAAACAGGAAAAGTTGACTTGTTATAATTATATATATATATATATATATATATATATATATATATATATATATATATATATATATATATATATATATATATATATATATATATATATATATATATATTATTAACAATTGACATGTTATAATTAAATTCAACATTCCAGAATTAGAGCAAATTGATGAAATATATACATCCAATTATCAATGCAGACATTTAACATTAGATAAGAAAGGGCACCAAGAATATTGTATCTATCGTGCGTTCACTTTTTGTGGTTATATACATATTAAATGAAGAGAGTTTGTTGTTATTAATAATTTGTTTATTATATATAGCTATCATATATAGGCGATTTAATTTCTCACAAAAAGGCTGTCCATGAAGGAGATCTGCTCATGACAGCTCAGTATGTGGTTATCAATAAATATATAGGTACAATAGAAACATTTATTTACATTTTACCTATTCTCTTTTTATCTCTTGTTATATAGATAATAATAAACTAATATAATAATAATACTTTTTTATTTTGTTATTATAATAATAGCAATTACAATTACAACTTAGGTAGGTAGGTCAGAAATACGTTTTAGAAGTCAGTGCCCTCTTCCATATACATTATATAATCTATAATTTTATTTTATAAGTGCAAAAAATTAGATGAAGTAAATTAATGCTAAATAAAAAAATTAAAAGTATAAATTAATCATATAGTGAAACAAAAAAAGTGATGGATATGAATATAGGGAAAGGTGTGAGAGTGGTAGTAGTCGGTGTAGGTGTGTGTTTACGTGTGAGAGGATATGTAAATGGTAAAGTCAGATGGTCTATACATTATGATAAATGTAGCTCCTGTGGAGCCTCCTATGTCCATGTGGAGCTCAAATGTAATTACCCTACGTGAACGCAATAGATGTTAGGATAATTACTAAAGGTTAATACGCCTCTTCTAGAGGACAGGCTAGTGGTATGATTTAAATCATCCCTTTATAGGTAATTGAGCAGGAAATGTAGTAATATTCAATAAAAAGAATATATAGGTAGAATTGTATAGACGATGGTTTGTTACCACGATTCACAAGAGTCCTGGCGTAAGTTCAACTTTAGTAGTCGCGACGGGATAAAAATCATCGGAAATTTCCAACGAGAGACACGGCGATCGTCGGAAGCAAGTACCTATCTATCATAACTGTAGATGATGAAAAAAATACATGATAAAAAAAAAATAGTTACAACTGAATCGAGAACTTCCTTCTTTTTAAAGTGACATGAAAATATTATTGAATTTGTGTTTATAATATCTGCTAGCCGTAAACTGCGGATTCGCCTGCGTGAATTAGAATAAAATTGTATATCAAATTTAATTCAAATCTATGCTTAGGTATGATTAAGATCTTTATTAACTTACACATTTGTAATAGGAATTAATGAATTTTTGAGTTTACGCAATTTTAATTAATAAGATAATATTTTTAATTATTATGCGGTGTAAAGTCCTGTAGTACAGGTTTTGACAGTGATTCTAGGATCCCAAAATCCTAGCCTAATAATTTTCTCCGAATTTTCAACTCATATTTGGATCGATTAAAACTGATTGATAATTACTACGTAATTCGGAGAGCACGTAAAGCATTCGTCCGGTAAGCCAAATCACAGGTCTTCATGTATGACAAAGAAGGTCTAGCAGTTCACCGAAGCCTTCTAGTGTCGATGAATTTCTAAATAAAGAATATCTTGTATCACATGAGTAGTAACAGGCCAGGATTTTAATTACGAAGATTTGTATATAAATTATGAGGTGTGTTAAAATCTAACGTTAATTATGCATTCAATTAAAAAAAAAAATACATCTGACTTAACGTTAAACCACCACAATTGTAACTGAATAAGGGAATAGGCTACATGGACAGATAAAGATCGCAAGTATACCTAAGTGAACAACAATAGAGCGAGTCATTGATCTGATTTCCCAGATATATTAATGCTATATAACATAATAACTTGTATTAAGGGGAGCAAGGTCGTATGTTTTGAATGAGTATAACGGACATTTTATGTTAATGAAATTTTTTTATCGATGTGTATCAGCTGAATTAAGCATTGAATCCATTAATTATAATTTCTATGTTTTTAGCACTAACAGAATTTTTAGTTTTTAGCACTAATAGAATTATACGGAGCAAATATAAAAAGAATGCATAAATTTAAAAACCTGGGGCACTATGTTACTGAGGACCTTAAAGATCAAACTGATGTCGAAAGGGAGCGTAGGTCATTGGCTGTTAGATGTAACATGTTGGCCGTTATAGTGAAGAAGTAAAAATCACACTCTTCAAAGCGTACTGCCAAACATTCTACACTCAGTGCCCTACGAATCCAGTATAATAATAGTGTTAGAGTGCTATTGGGGCTACCTCACTTTTGTAGCGCTTCTAGCATGCTTGCTCAATCTCGCATAGATGATTACTACGCTATAAGGAGAAAGAGAACTGCATTATTACTACACAGGGTTAGGACAAGCACCAACAGCATTCTAAAAGTAATAGGCGAAAAATATAACTCGCCTATAATTGGGCATTTCATTCAGATACTGATCGAATCAGCTGAGTCACATCTGAGTGAACTGCTTTAATTAAATTAATTTGCTTTTTTTACTAACATAGTTTGTAAGAAAATTGTTACTAACAAAATAGACCTAATTGTAGTCTGAATAATAAAGTATATATTATATAATAGGGTTAGTCTAGTATGGGTCCCTAGACATATAGGGATTAATGAAAGGGCCGATCAGTTGGCGATAAGGGGATTAGAATCAAAAATGATAGATCCTGAACTATATGTTGCACTTGCATCAAGAGTTGTTAACTCTGCCCTTGAGGAGAATGTGATGAAAAAACAGCAAAAGGAATGGAAGACTTAGAGGCCTTAGGCACACTAAAAAAAATTCTTAAAGGACAATGCTGAAGGATTGGATAAACTCATCTACAGTAGTGGCAGACAACAGGCAAATACAGAATTAAAGATTATAAATTTAACAGTTCTTGTAGCATGTTTAATATATAAATAAACTGAGTGTGTTAGGTCATTCGATTAAAACAAAATATGTTCTGATGAAGATTGTCTTTTAACATAGTTTAACACAGCTTTATGTTTAATATACAGAAGGTTAAGAGATTTCTTTCATAGAATACTTTTCGTTGTATTCATGAATAACTTTACCACAATTTATAATATTGGATGTCAGTCAATTATGTCAGTATATTGAAGAATTGTTACAGATGATGCTTAACTTTATGTAAATATATATAGTTAGATCTACCTACATAATTGAATACATACATATTAACATCATATTTAACTTAATTAAGTTAAGCTATTAAAGTTGAGTCATATTTACTATTTTATTATCTCAGTCGACTTAAAAAAAGGTTCTCAATTCAGTTGTACTTTTATAATTGTTACCTCTAACTTTATCAGTTATAAACTGATATAGAAAATTCTTATTATTATCTCAAAGGATATACTTACATATTGGTCCCATAGAAAATTTATAAAAATTAGTTTAATAGTTTAATTTTTAAATCAATATTGAAGTCTGTTTGTTTTGTGGAACAATATCTTATTTATATTAATAAATAATTAATATTTATGTACCCAAATATTAATTCAGCTACCAAGCAAATTGTTTGCATGCTGTGTTGTAGTTTCAGTAATGTCAGTAAAATTTTAAGATACTATGACTAGTACCACATGTGGGCTCAGTGGAAACTTAATATCAGAGAGATCACCCATAATTATCAATTTCTTTGTATTATTATGTTACATTAGTATTTATAGATTTATGAACATAAATTAATCTTACCTAAAGTATATGCAACAAAAATGTTCACAGCTGACACAGCCCACACCCACCAAGGTATACTGTCTCCAGTTATATTTTCTTCTGTGAGGGCATGGAATCCATAATCATAGTAGGAGAATAGCAGGAAATTTAAGACTGTCAGTAGAAAGCCAGTGAATGTTAGCAGGTTTGGTGCTACCCATGGTGGACAATACTGCAAATATGTTACTAGATTAATAAGCTAACTAAGATTATTAAAAAGTTACAATTATAAATTATAATAAGTGCAACTATGGTGCAGCTACCTCACAGGTCTAACATACTCATTAAATTATGACATATTCACATACAATAATTAATTATTATCTTTAATTTGGCACTTGGGGTCAGAACACTACCTGTCACATTTTGACCAATTGAAAAAAGTGAGTAAATATTTTAATGAAAAAATTAGGATCTCACTTAACTACATTTTAGAAATATTTTTATATGCAAGTCCTTTTCACCATTAAGTAAATATAAAATACATTAAAATTAATGAGTATAAAATATTTAAGCGTGTATTCTAATAATTATGTTCAAGGTAAGACTCCATAAAAAAATAGTTTAAATTAATAATTCATTATTTTCAAAAGTATGGATGTCAGTTATATCTTTTAATACTACATGTCCTTTTCTACTAGCACTAGTATGTATAGGTACCTATATGTACTCTTACCTGTACACACCAGTTCCAAAATGGGTGCATAACATAATTGCTAAGTATACTCGTGTCGATGGAATTATACTGAAAAAAGAAAAAAATATATGAAATAGAGACGTACTTACTTATTTTCATTGCTATTTAGTCAGTAAGTACACTTGGAGGCGGTTTAATAGTATAAAACTTTGATCTTTTTATTAAAAGGAACAAAATACATCATATACCTTGTATTTTTCAAAACCTTCCAATTTATCCCGCGACAGGAAACGGCCCATTGTACACGAAAAAATATGGAACTTTATCCAATAAACACTATTTTCATAATTCCTTGTTATATGATATGTTTGTTGCAAATGTTTTAATTTCTTAGTCGTTAATGTTTTCACTGCTTTGTGTAATTAAAAATAATAAAAAATACATGTATTAATCTTCATTTCTAAATGACAACTGAAAAAAATACAATATTTTGTTTTCCGTTTCAAGTTACAATCTATTGGTTTTGCTGAAGTTAATAATATTTCCAATTCGACTACGCATTATTTGCTTAATATATTTTGATTATATGTCCTAATACAATAAGTTTTTTTTAAACTAAATGTATATTTCAAATAAAATTAAAACTACATTTTCGATTTAAAATAATTTACGCTTGTGTAGATAAAATAATTTTTAATTTCTCAATAAGATATTGCGTCTATTGGAATGGAATACGAGGTCAGTATTGCCAAGTAATCATCATCTAAATGTTCTTTAATTCAGGTAGTTTTCACCGACTGAATTTTCGAGACATGGGCAGTACTGACTTAAGAAGATGGAGAATAATGATAATGTGTAAAGGTCGTAACTTAAAATATTAACATTTAATAATCTTTTATAATGCGTAGATAAAGAATAAAATGCGGTAAATCTAACTTCATATTTCTTTCACATTGCTTTTAAAAATAGTAAAGTTTTGAAGTAAAGGTTTAAAATCGGTACTTGTGGATTCATGTATACTATAAATATGGACGGATAATGCCACTAAAATTAACAGCGATTTTAAATACTTTTTACTTAACCGATTTCTTTAAATACGAATATCTCAGAATCTTTGTAGATTTAAAACATGTATTGATATTAAAAAAAAACAAAGTTGGATTCATTTTAATTTTAAGCGAGTTGTTGGAAATATCTACGTATGGTAACAGAAAATATGAGTTAATAATTTTGCAATTAAGTTGACTAATCTAAAAAAAAAAATTAATCGTATTTTTTCTTAAGTTTAATTTCTTAATACTGTTTTGTTAATCCTTATTTAAATAAGTACGTTTATCACTTTAAATAAAAATGACGACCATTTTGATTAATTCTGATACTGCATCCATATTTGAAATGTATACGGATCTTCAGATATCGATTTTAAAAGTAATCGGTTAACTAACTATGCAGACTTTCAAAATACCTATTCAATAATATCTCACATAGCTATATAAATATTATATTTATATTATGTAAAAAATAATTCAAAATACAAATAACAAATAAAAATAATTTAATTCTTATTGAAAAAAAATCCGCCTCATTTCGGGAATTTTAATTCGTTTGTGGAGAATTTTTTCGCATACTTGCAACACAAAAAGTGGCGCGATTTTACGTGAATGTCGTAAGAGGCGAATAAGGGAACTCATGCTCGAAGTATGGGTAGCAGCGTCCCTCTTAAAACCTTTTTTTTTTACAATGCAGGGAGCAAACGGGCATGCGGCTCACCTGATGGTAAGTGACTACCGTCGCCCATGATCACCCACAACACCAGCGGCATTGCAGGTGTGCTGCCGGCCTTTTAAAAAGGAATATACTTTTTTCTTGAAGGTTATGTTGTCGTATCGTTTCGGAAATACTGCTGCTGGAAGTTGATTCCAAAGAATGGTTGTTGCTAATTGCGGTTGCCAACCCGCCTGCCAAGCGTGGCAACTACTGGCAAAATTCCTCTTATGGGGATGGCTTATATCCAGCAGCGGACAGTTAACGGCTGAAATAATTATAAATTAAAATTAAAGATATTTACCGGTTATAAGTAATTTCTTTATTAGTTATATTTTCGCCAACGTATGCCTTTAGCACAGGCGGGTTACCATTCCATTATTATCCATTAAAAAAAATCAGTCCTATTGCCAGCAATATGCCCTATTAGATTGACTTCCACGCGGTTCGCTCATTGCTAGCAAAGGGTTTTTTAGATTACTATTATTAAGTATTCTTTTTGCTCCAATCAATACATATTAACCCATAACTACATATTATTGCTACGTAGTGTAGCTTTCTGAGCTGGTGCCTGTTGTATACCGTTAGCATAGGTGAGTGCACCATTTCATACATTCATTAATAAAAGGTCCTCATTACCTATTGAGGGTAGAAGGGATTATCAGTAATTATTAAATACACCCTATGGGTATTTTTTGCTGAATTTGGTGCAATATTCTTCATCGGTGCCCCGCCAACGTATACCGATAGCACAGGCGGGATACCATTCAACTATCATTTTTTAATAATTATTAATCTTACCCCAAGGAGGAAGGGATTGTTGATGGAGACTAAGGGCCCCATCGCTAGCAATATACCCAACCAGGTCGACCTCCACCTGATCGCCGCTGGAACCCATCGTGCCGAGTTCCAGGTTTATTTATCACGATGGGTTAGCTGACATATCATCACTCACTGTTCCGTCAGTGTATACCATTAGCGATAACCCCCCTCCCTCACCCATTCCTAATATTCATAGAAATTTCTATTCCTATTTTTATCCCAGGCGACTTTAGCCCATAAAACGTCTGTGTGCAATCAATTTCCTAGCATATTCTAGTAGGCGCATGACTAAAATAATATGTTTATGATATGAAAATTCGGATCTGACCAAATCATGCAATTTGATATGATGTTGGGAAGCAATAGGTACACGGATAGAAAGTATTTTTGTAAGACAGAAAGGGTTACGAAAATGAAAAAAGTACAACTTTGCAGTTATTTCAAAAATTTTTAGTTTTAGAAACTATAGGTATTATAGGATGTTCGTAATACTATACAAACAAATATATAAAAAACCAGTCAAATGTGAATTGATCTCACTTGCCGAGGGTTTCGTAATTATAATATTTCTAAAATAGTTTTTGTTTTCTTTAGATAAAAAAGATTTAAAATGAATTTCAATATGTTCTGTTGCTTCAAAAATACACTGAAACAAGATAAATAAAACCACAAGACAAAACTGTATGCTATAATGACTGGAAATTAAGGGCTAAGCGCTGTGGACAAAAAACAACACTGAAATTAACTTATTCGAAAACAAATAGTTTAAAATAGCATAGTGTAATGATCAATAAACAGTAGTAATAATTCGATTTCATTAAAGAGCTCGAAACTTTCTACATCTGAAGGGCCAACATGGCACAGTTTATTTTCTAAATTAGAACAATATGCTTTTTTGTATCTAAGTCCAAATTCTTTCAAAGATAAAATTTTTTGAAAATCACATTTTATCCATTTTTTTTCTATACCACGAAGGTTGCAAACAAGCATACAACCGGTCTTACGGTAAAGCATAGCTCCTGCAACAATGGGGTTTTTGAAGAACCCATACTCTAATTTATCTAATTTCAGGAAAACCTCGGCAGGGATTTTAAACTTTCAACTAGTTTAAAAATATGTTTACTTTAAGATATGTTTTCTTATCTATTGTCGGTTTATTTTTTACTTCATAATTAAAAAACTTTCTACGAGCGCCAGGGCAGATAGATGTGGAAAGTTTTGCCCGCTACAGATTTCGCGCTATTAAGGAATTCCTCAAAAGCGAACTTAATTCCTTAATAGAAGGATTATATTTTTTTTACATATTTGTATACAATATATATACAATTTTGTATATAACTAATATAGATCAATATTTATATTTACATAATGTACAGGTATTATAAAAGTAACACAATATTTGGTACACAAATAATTCCTTAATTCAAACGCAATTTTACATGATTGATCATTGTTACAGTTTCTGACAATGTAAAGTCAGTAATCAATTTTGCTATTAGAAGGAGTGACATCAGCATAAAAATGTTTACAATAAACGAATCAGTTGATTTAAAGTAAACCAGCAGAAATACTGATTTCATGTTGAAATAAATGTTATTGTGGTATAGAAATGCTCGTGGCGCATCTTGCTTTGTTACCGCGCCCGGGATGTTCAAGACGCCTACTCTGGAGACTGCTGACTGGAGGTTCGTTATAGAAACAAAAACTACTCGACGGATTTTAAAGAAACTTGGTACAATTATTCTTCATACTCCTGGGCAGGTTATAGTATACTTTTCATCACGCTACGATCAATAGGAGCAGAGCAATGAAGGGAAATGAATTTTTAAGTTTTCGTCGCGTGTGCAGCTTTAATGGCCACTTTTTAAAATGTAAAAATGTCTACCCGTGCGACGCCGGGACGGGCCGCTAGTATATAATAATTATTTCATTTACATTATATAAATATCTACGAATCTCAGTAAAAGATTTTACTGTTTGTGTAAACAACAACCAAATATGATCCAATAGGCTACTGGTCATATCAGTATCACAAGATTGATAAAATGAAATATACATGTAATATTATTGTCTCGAAGGAGCTTAGTTATTTTGTGTGAAGCTAAGAGCGAGTTGATGTGTAACCTGCTACGAAAGACGCACGATAATTGTGTATTATTTTTTGTTTTTTTTTTTTATTTCCATTACATTGACAAATAATATAATATTACTAATACCTGAAAGATGTTACACAAATCGGCGGCTCTTCGCAAGAAGAGTCAGTTAGTAAAACAAATAGTATATTATTCTACAGCAAAGGTTAGTAAATTATTTTGTTTATCCTATAGATACTATTTGATTTTTTATATAGTAAAAATATACATACAGAATTTTGAATAACACTATACTGTGTAATTTACTTTGAATGAAACTGGTAAGCTCTTAGCTACAGATAATAACGCTGTGATAAAAGCTTGATAAACGTTTTAATTGATATGATGTAAAGTAATTTTAGAAGATTAAAAATATATATATATAGATAAAAGTATAAAAATGAAAGACAAGAGTTACGAGATTGGAGATCTCCGTGGGATACAGTCAGTCAGAAATAAATATGGCTTTTTAATAGATATATTTAAACAATTAGGAGTTCAGCACATTACAATTAATTAATAGGTAGTAAGTAGGCTTAGGAATGCCTTTCAAAATTTTTCAAATATATTTTTTTATATATCCTGCTATTGAAAAAAAATAATAATAAAAGGTAGATAAACTTGTATCAATATTTTATTTTTGCTATCTGGTGACCTTTTATATAAATAAAATTTCGAAGATATTAAGTATCCATAAGTGCCTATGGAATAGTTGGGCCATAATATTTTTTTTTATTTTTAAGTTTCTACCTATTTCATTACATTTGTGATATTCCAATGTCATTTAAATCATCATTAGGACTTATATGACATATAAGTAGTTAATTTTTTTTATTGTACCTATCTGTTACTGAATTGTCACCTTAATAAAAATTGTCTTGCTACTAAAAACATCACTCGATTCCTATTATTTATTGTCCTCTGATATTTAGCGCAAACTCTATATATAATTTTTTTTTTATTATCATAGTGTTATTTATATATTAGTTAGTTATTTATATTAGTTATAAAATTTAATCTATAATAATAATATTAATCTATAATAATCAAAATCATCTTACACTTCTTGACATGCACTTATCATGAGGGTTTGTGACCGAGAACTTCCTATACCTATGTTTAACAGCGACCGTAGTATTGTAACCAGTCGACTAAATGTTTGTAATCGACAACTTTATGTACCTACGAGTATATTTAACAGCGTAGCGTCATAACTAATTGACTCAATAATGAGATGTTATTGTTTATGTTTATCTTTATCTACGATATTATATATACTTTCCGATATTCATTAGTACTTCAATGATATAATGATATAGTGCTTCTGCAGTCGCTCTATATTGATCAATTAGAGTGCATCTATTTGTGTTCTAATACATTATATCTAAAATGTCGTATCTTACTAAAAAAATTAATCCGATTTTATATTTACGAAGTTGGCAAAGACATAGAAAGATAACTCTTTATGTCAAAAAAGAAGATACAGATGAAAATGTAGTGGTACGTGAAATCTTGATACATAATTAATAATATTCAACTATAATTAAAAATTAATTAAATTATTTGACTTTTGTCCATAAAAATAATAATCTATTCTTGTTTCCATATTATGTTAGTATTCGAAATTGTCTAATTAATAACAAATAATTCTGTACCCTAAACATTTTTCGGTTTTCATAAAATCTAAAATTGTGCTCCCCTAAAAAAAAATTGGGAGGAAACCATTTATTTTGATTTAAAAATTATACTACGCGACATATTTTGATATTTTTTTATGGAACCAATCTGAAAATTCTTTTTATTATTATTCCATAAAAAAAATTATCTTATTATTATATTCTTTCAAATAAAAAATGAATTTTTCAAATCGATTTAAAACTTACGGAATTATGAGGTAATAAACATAAAAAATACAATTGAATTGAGAACCTTTTCCTTTTTAGTCGGTTAAGAATATGTAAATCATTTTTATTTTAGTACTTTAAAATTATTTGAAAACGTCTAGTCCATATCAATTGTATTCCACTTAATGAAAATTTGAACAACCGAATATTTGACCCGATCGTATATTTTTTGTAGAATGTACCTAAGTAGTATATAAAATACTAATATTTATGTTATAAATGGCTAGTTTTATTTTGAAATAACCAGTAATATTAGTTTCATGTACTTGGTATATTAGTGTTAAAATAATCTGTAATAATACACATCTGATTAACATACTCGTAGTAAACTACTGATGTTCAATAGTGGTATAAATCATAACTGAATGTTTTAATTAGATATTAATTTCGTTTAGAGAGTGTTTTGTGATAATATTAATATAACTTGGTTAACTTTAAATTAAGTTTTATTGTAACATGTTAAGAGATAAGTAATGGTGTGAAATATTTAGACTACTAAAGTTTTAGAACAGATGTCTTCGAGTCTAAAATTTTTCAAATGATAGTTCATCAGGCATTTTCATTGTAGACATTTTTATTAGAGATCTTATTTTATATTCTTTATTGCACTTAAACAGTATTTATAATCAGTTAATATTCGACGATTAGTTTAACAACTTGTTAGCAAGGGAGGACTTATCTCTGAATGAGATCTCTTCCAGCCAACCCAGTGTAGTTAGAGAGAAAATGATTTAATTTGGGTAATCCAGTGCAGAAAAGGTACCAGTGAAAATAATGTAAATACATCAAACACTATTGTGAGTAAATATGTAAATAAATAAATAAATTAATGAATAAATAAATAAATAAATAAGTAAATAGATAAATATATATATACATATGTATAGGTGCATGGAATTATCATGTACAATTGATTAAAAGATGTGATTTCAGTCTTTTCTTGAAGTATTTTATGTAGAGGTACCTTCTTTTATATACAACTTAAAATGGCAAATAAGCTGACGGCCCACCTGATGGAAAGTGGTAACCGTCGCCTATAGACATAAGCAGTACCATGGACATAACAGTGTATACTGTTTCGCCCATGATACCCCCCAGGCGTTGCCATTCCTGAGGACTCAGGTGTTATTCCTCCGTACCCAGTAAATTCACGCCATATCCCACCCTTCAAACCGAAACACAGCCATGCAAACACAACTGCTTTACGGTTGAAACACAAATGGGACAGAGGTAGCCAAGCAATCGACTTTTGTACAAAGTCTTCCTGTGGTAACCTAACGTCACTTTACCGTCTGTGGGATATATAGTCAGTATACCTCTGATACAAGATGCATACCAGTGTATTTATAATCACAAGAATGGCAATGATATTTGATTATATAGGATATGTAATTTGGGTAAAAAATTGATGCTTACGAAAAGACGAATATTAGATAACTTATTTAGAACAATTATTATTTACTTAAATGAAATTTTAGCCTAAGAAGATCATAGCAATACGTCGAGAAGATCAATCAGTATGGGAGAGAAGGGCGCCATTTTCCCCGTCCAATGTAAGCAAACTAGTTCGACAAGGTGTCACAGTAATAGTGCAGCCTTCGAATCGACGGGCCTACCCCATGCAGGTACTGTTTTCATTGTCCACTTACTACCTAAAGGTACTTATTGGCTACACGTTCTAAAACCTAAGCAATTTACATACATATTGTGCATGTATATCACAATACAGGTGATTTATTGATTAGTACGTACCTACACACAAAGAAAGCTGAACAAAAAAATAATAAAAAATAAGTTATAATAAAATAAAATTAATAATTAGCTAACAATATTATTAAAAATAATTATAACTAATTATAAATTGAACATTAGAAGATAACAAAACACATTGCCCGACTACTTTACCAAAATCCTCATTGTGTAATTCGAACTCATACCTGAATAGTTTTTAATTTTATTCACATTTGTTCTACAAAATTAAAAAAGAAATCCGAAAGTACTTTTTAAAACTGCCATAAGAGTTCCTATAAGTGATGAATATATTATATTCATAACATTAACTTGACGAAGTGTGGCAATCGTCCCAATTAGATGTCGGTTTTCTACAATAATTAAATAATTTTCAATGTTTCTGATTGATTATATAAAAAATGCTATTATAACGGATTAAAACGTTAATCGTGTAAAAATATACTTAATATAATATAATAATATTATAGTATATCGTAGCTGAAAATTTGAATTTAGATGGCAAAAAAGTATTTGAACGTGCCGAGGCAATTTCTACAAAGCTGCGTATAGTATTTAATGCTAGCGCCAAAACGTCTACTGGACCTGATATCAGCCACCCTAATGTGGATTTAATCATAGAGGGTCGTCTAGATCCTAAAGAGATAGTTTCTCCATTAACAATATGGAAAAATAACTCTGCTCCGATGAGTATATCAATGTCGTTTCTTATGAAAAACTGAGGATCGGCATGTGTAAATTCCGTAGGTATAAAATTGGTGGAAAGTTTTTTGTGGTAAACTTATATGCAATCTTAGTATGCAACATGTTGTATGATTAATGATATTGGCTTGTGAGAGCACTTTTTAAATAATCAGTTAAAACTTTGAAAATAGTCAACTGTTTTTTAGAAATTCATAGATAATTGCGAAGTAATTGTACTGGTAATGTTGTGTTGTGTTTCCTGTGTAGGTTCTTAGATAGATATATAATTTATTTGCATCACTTACAATACACAAATAACATTAGCTATTGGTACATATTTAAAGTAACAAAAAAATACACAAAAAAAGTATATAAAAGAGTTACACAATTACTCGTGAGTGCGCCACGGTAACACAAAATGGTCACAACTCTGTTTATTGCTTTGCCCTTAAAAGAGTTCTTGCCTTGGAAATAAAAAGGAGAGTCGATCTTATTATGTCATCACATGTAACATCCTCTTTGTAATAATTCCTATACTTATTATCTAATTTCAGTCATACATAAACGCTGGAGCAATAGTTCAAGAGGACATCAGCGAAGCAAGTGTAATATTTGGAGTAAAACAGACCCCGATTGATTTGCTTATACCAAACAAAACATATTGTTTTTTTTCGCACACGATTAAGGCTCAAGAGGCAAATATGCCTATGCTGGACGCCATTTTGGCAAAGGTAATGTATACATTTTTATTACCACTGTTATCCATAAATGTTATTATAAACCAATTTGGTGAACCATCGATATAACACTAGATAAGTCCACGTGTTTTTCGTCACTAAAGAATTAGTCAGAAGTTTAAATCATGTCAATTTACAACGACCTGCAAAGTTTTTGTTGCTAACTAAATTCCAACTCATAAACTTTGTGGTTTACATGTCAGAGTAATATATACCTCCAATCCACGATCTATATACGAATACTTATTTGCCGAAAAATATACTCAACATATATTTGTTGTAAAATTTATCCTAAGTAGGTACTTAAATAAAAATTAAATGAAATCCGATATTTCTATCTTTGTTGTCGTTTTCTAACAGTCAGTTTGTTAAAACACTAAACTAATTTTTCAGAACATTCGTCTAATTGATTATGAGAAATTGATGGATGATGCGGGAAACCGGGTGGTCGCATTTGGAAAGTATGCAGGAGTTGCTGGAATGATCAATATATTACACGGGCTGGGTTTACGACTGCTGGCTCTGGGGCATCATACACCATTCATGGTAAATTTTACAACACGATAATTTCCATGATCTGCGATACGCCTGGATAATCATAAAAATGGTGATATTTATAAGTATCTACTAGTATTTTTTCGTAACATTTTATTAGCTATTTAAACACGTTTTATTTCTATTCAAAAATTAATATTTTTTTTAGTATATGGTATGATATGACTGATTAAGGACTCAGTTTTAATAAAAAATTCTAAATTAAAAAAGACCAATAATAAAATTTTAAATATTTTATTACGTGCAATGTTACTACGATTATTTTAGTGACGTGACACAAGTCAGTTTATTTTTCTATTTAATTGAGCTGTATCTATGGCCGTGTACAACCTGGATGTGGAATGTTACAGGAGACCAATAATGTTATTTATTATTTTAAATATTTTATTACGTGCAATGTTACTACGATTATTTTAGTGACGTGACACAAGTCAGTTTATTTTTCTATTTAATTGAGCTGTAGGTCTATGGCCGTGTACAACCTCTTTCTTATGGATGTGGAATGTTACAGGAGACCAATAATGTTATTTAATATTTAAATATTTTATTAGTCTCCTGTAACATTCCACATCCATCATAAATCATAAAACGTTGAATAATTCAGTTAGCTTCTTAGTCTCCACTACTATTTTATATTATTTCGTGTCTAGTTGAGATTTAAATATAAGAAAATGCAATGTAAATAAAATGTACTTGTTTTGTAATAATGTAATAATATACACTGAATACTGAAAAGACGAAGCTATTCGTACGAGGACAGCGGTTTGAAATTATAATCTTCTAAACAGCCTTCGTTATATACGAACTGAACGTAACGTAACGTCACTTCTGAAACACAAAAGTAAAAGTAATAAGATAATAGTTTGTAATGTTCTAAATATAATTAAATGTTTTTGGTATAAGAATATAATATGCGATAATTCATATGGTCTACTACAGAATGCAATATTGGGAATTTTTGCCTAACTTAACATAAAAATTTCAGCACATAGGTCCAGCACACAATTATCGTAACTCGAGCATGGCGCGACAAGCCATCAGAGACGCAGGGTATGAAATTGCGCTTGGCATGATGCCTAGATCGCTCGGACCTCTCACATTCATATTTACAGGATCAGGAAATGTTTCACAGGTACAAATCTTAAGTTTATGATAACACTAGTATTAGTGACTTTGTTTGCGTGACCTGGATAAAAATAACCAATGAGACAAGAAATTAACAAACTCACATTTATAATATGTATTAGTAAGAATAGATAAAATCGTCTGTTTAGAAATGCAAATTGTAATAAAATCATGTTGATTTAAAATAAAGTATTGATTTAATAATTAAAGATTGTGTCTTAAAAAAACCTACTTCTGTTGTGACAAAACTAGTTATTTTGATCTAAAAACTAAACTATTGAAAAGATTTGGATAAAATTTCTATGGAATAAATTTGTATAATCTTTCAGAAAAAAAAATCCAAATTGGTTTTGAAACAAAGAAGTTATGAGATACCAAACTTAAAAAATTCAAACAGATTGAGAACCTCTCTTTTTGAAGTCAATTGAAAATGGAAGTTTCATGATGATTATATCGTATAATCTCTAAAATTTTAACTCGATGGTTAAAGTCAAAAGAGTCGCTACCTTATTATTTTTATTAGTATATAATAATTGAGGATATTTTCTATCCTATTATTTACTATAAAAACTTATATACAGGGAAGCCAAGAAATATTCCACGAGCTACCTCATGAATATGTTCCTCCAGAGATGTTAAGGAAAGTTGCTGAACATGGAAGTAAGTTAATTATTTCTTATATTCAATTTTCAACTTTAAACTCATTCAATTAGGTAACTAGTGTAAAGTGATGATGGAATTAAAATCGCTATATGTTAAAAGTGAATATACAAAAGTATTTATATGAATCTCTAAGAGGCGACTAAGTGCAAAATTCTATAATGGTAATAGAAGGTTAGAATCCTTCTTTTGTAAGGAGAGATCCATGTCCTATATTAGTACATTGGTTGTTTATGGTTAATAACTTAGAATTTTTATAATATCTTTGATATATATTTAATTTCTCATATACATTTGCAATATTTCTTAGGCCCAAATAAAATATATGGTTGCGAAGTACGTCGACGACACCATCTGGTGAGAAGGATTGGTGGAGGTTATGATCCTCAAGAATATGAAGAGCATCCTGAACGATATATTTCCACATTTGCCCAAACCGTATGTAAATTAGGCTATTGTTTCATTAATAAGTAGAATCCATTTCTGATAAGAATTGTTTCCGATATTTGTGTATTATTATTACCCATGTCCAATTAGCATGCTGGCATTAGAAGCGACCGAATATGATAAAACAGTTGTTTCCATGTCAATATTTATCAATCATTAAAATTATATACACACCTAAAATACAAATAAAGATAAAAATATTTATTTATTTAATTATATTTATTCAATACTTATAAACTTTCAATCACATTTAAGTAGTAAATCTAAAAAATCGTTAACAATTTCATTCTCATATATAGGTAACGACTTTGAAAATCAGCTAATTTGAAAAATTTACTTCTAGAATAACATAGATTCTAGATTTTGCCCCCAAAATTACTAGTTTTTAATAATATCAGTCAAAATTAAGGGCCAGCCTCAGATAACTACTATATATTATTATATTATATGCGATTTCTGTCTAATTTCGGTGAACTTTTTATGGTTTTCAATCTTCAGAAAATTTGATATCCTTAAAAAAACATTTTATAAAATTTTCCTTTTTTCTTTCAAAGCCAACATCTCCGTAATATAGAAACGGAACGGGGACGTTGACTTTTCTGGGAACTCAAAAGTTTTATTGAAAGAATTATCCGAAGTTGGACAGAGATCATATTTGTTACAAATAAAACATATAAATAAGTAATATTTTAAAGAGGTAAGAATAAAAAGTACCTCAATAACTTTTGTTACTAGTTGTCGAAGACTTTATATTATTTATATATTCTATTACAATTTGACAAACAGATAGCGCCGTATACGTCAGTACTAGTGAATTGTATTTACTGGGCGGTAGATAGTCCGAAGCTGCTTACAATACCTGATGCAAAGCACCTCTTGCTCCCCTCGCATACTCCGTGGTTGCCGAAGAGCATTGGCGCCCCGGCTTTACCACATAGGTAAGAAGGTTATCATATTTTCTTAAAACATTTTGTATCTAATGATATTTTATTTTTGTAAAAAATAAATACTTGTATAAAAAGCTTTAACTTCCAGTCAGCGGATCCTACTTGGAACTACAGTTGGGAAAACTATATTACATGTTTTCATTATAATAATTTACATAACCATATTCACGTATAATAAAGCTATAAACATTAGCTAGTAAACATTAGTTTGTAGGTATACTATGAATGTATAAGGTATTTTTCAAAAGATAAAGCCCTAAAAATTTACATTATGGAAAGAGAAGTTTATTTAAAAATACGGTTGATCAAAAACCTGCTTTTTATCAATCGTGTTTTAGTAACCGATCTGTTTTTATAACAATATATCTCTTTCTTTATAATAGAATGTTGGGCATCTGTGACATATCTGCGGACCCCGGCGGTTCCATAGAGTTCATGAACGAGTGCACCACTATCGACACACCCTTCTGTCTTTATGATGCTGACAGGAACAAGGATACTAAAAGGTGAGAATTTTTTTATTGTTGATTATCTATTGGTTAAAGACCCAACCCATTTTTAGAGGATGGAATTGTTTGTAATGGGGATATTATGTCTCGCACTTTGCACTTGTAAGTTATATACAAAATAATAATAAATTTATAAATGTTGTGAGCAAGGGTGGATTTATCTCTGACAAAGATCTCTTCCAGTCAACCCAATACAGTAAGAAAGCATTTCGTTAGCGGGCAGCTGAAGTGCTACAACTATTACTACATAAACAAATATACAGTTAAATGAAATATTAAAATATATAATAAAATATTACATAAATACCTACCTACTTATATAATAAAAGTTAAAATAAATGAATATACTATATGACTACTTACATTAGAAATTTAGTTTAAAAAAAAATATTACTCAAGGGAAAGAAAATGTGATTTCAACCTTTTCTTTAAAAAGGGTAATAGAGAGACTCTCTTGTATGTGGGAAGAAAGTTTGTTCCATAACTGGACCACTCGATACGAGAAAGAGTTGCCCATAAAATGTGTCCTATACACAGGAAGTTCGAGCATCCTGGACTGAATTTGACAGGAGCGTTTAGGACGGACTGGTGGTGGTAATAATTTATACCGGGAGCGGAGGATACGATGGAGAATTGGGGTTATTGAGTATGTTATAAAGGAAAGAAAGGATGTGCATATCACATCGAAGTCGGATAGGGAGCCACTTTAACTGGTTGCGAAAGGCAGACACGTGATCGTATTTACGAAGACCAAACATGAATCTAATAGCTAGATTTTGTAAACGTTCCAGCTTGTTTAGAAGCTCCTCAGTCACATCCAAAAAACAGACGTCGGCATAGTCAAGTATCGGAAGTAGTCGAGATTGTGCGAGCATTGACCCTATCAGCTTGACCACATAATCCTTCCAGGAAACTATCTTCGTTAATTCTTGATGAATTTGTCACAATGGACCTACTAACCTGTTTTTATCCTCATTTATAATCTCTTTTCAGTATAATAGCTAGCAATATACCCTAATCTAAATTGGACTCTTTTTGCACACTAAGCTTCTCGTTTGGACCGTGTAATATACCCTATCAGGTCGACTTCCACGCGGTTCCCCTTCATGATTTTTTCTCGTGGTATTTTTCACGTTGAGCTAGCTAACTTGCTTTCATTCTTATTCATTACCTCGTACTAGTGAGTTGTCAGCGTATACCGATAGCGCAGACGGGGTATACATCTATTAAAAAAAACACTTGTAGAGTGACTACAGCGCACATGAACTGTCAACTGATACATGATACACAAAAAATGACAACAATACGCTGTGTTGCGTTATATGCCTAATCTATTACAGATAAAATATAATAATTATAACGGACTATATCATTGAATACATTTTGTTTTCTAATTTGATTTTATATAGGTATATCGTAACGATAAAATAATAAAATATCGTGCCATTATGATGTAGTAAACGGGATAGTAGCTATGATTGATCAAATTTATATCCAGTATTTTGTAATATATATCTCTACAAAAATGTATATATTTACAAGTACATAGCTAACATTGTAGAGTTTTACTGCAAAAACTGTGATGAACTAGTGATTTTGATCCCTAAAAACACTATCTTTAATTGTAACAAGATTATTATGAAATGGGAGTAAACCCCATCAATTGCGAAGAGAATGATCATAATCTATTCACGATTCATAATATATAAGCGATACGACCAAAAAAAAACCCTTTTTTATTCTGGATTAAAATATTTATATGTAAGTATATATAATTAAGTGCATGCGTGCGTGTTTGCACGTTGCTTTTTTTATGGAGTAAATTGTAGGTACTTTATATAAATAATATAGTTAATGCATATATGTTATTCCAGTTTCAAAGGTCCTGGAGTATTGGTGTGTTCCATAGACAACATGCCGACTCAACTACCGCGTGAATCTACAGACTTTTTTGGCGATCTATTGTTCCCGTACACAGAAGATATCTTGCGTTCCGATGCAACTAAACCTCTTGAAGAGCACAACTTTTCTCCTGTAGTTCAAGGGGTAAATTACCTTTTAAATATTCTTATAAACTCTCGTTAAAACCACCTTTCTGTGTGCCTTCTTGTACAACTTATAGTTTCAGTTATGCAATACTTTTTCCCGTGGTTCTTCCGCGTAAATTACTACATATTAAGTTAGGATATAACGTGCCTAAGTACTAAATTACATTCAAATCTGTTCAGCCGTTTAAGTGTTATCGAGTACAAACATCTTTACAAACATTCAATTTTGTAATATTAGTAAGACACTGTTTAGAGAAATAACTTTATCTAAATTATACATATTACGAGTATACACATATTGTTATGTTATAGTATGCATATGATTATAATATGTACAGATTGTAAACGTAATTAAGTTTTATTCCTTACATTTATCTAATCGCTTTCTCGACCGTAAGGGTCATCGTGCATCGAATGTTTGATTACGACCAATTCATATAGTATGCTTGAGAACATTGTAACAATTGAACGTCTAATTTTAATGCATTAATTTTGCTGTCATTGTCATTAAACAACCCCAGATTTAGCAAAATATAGAAAACAAACGAAACAAATTAGGACAATATAATTTTGTTTCATTTTTGATGTTTTTCACATAAAAGATCGTAATTTCACATCTGTAATAATGAATATAAATATGTATGAATATATTAAACAACAAACATTCTGTAATGTTATTTACAGGCAATCATAACCAGCAATGGAAAATTAACACCACCTTTCGAGTATATTAACGAACTTCGTATGGCTAATACGTAAGTATAAACTTGTTTTAAACAACTAGATACATGAAATAATATTTCAAACTGTTTACAATTTAATTTATATTTTCAAATTCAGTCGTTGCCGACACACAGTCGATGGTGGCGAGCCGCAGACCTCTGTAGTGATCCTGGGTAGTGGATTAGTCTCTGCACCAGTAGTGGAATATCTTTCTCGGGATAAAAACATAGCTGTTACTATTGGTAGGTATACCTTTGTTTGGTATCGGACTTCATACATTTCCTATAATTTTTATTTTTTCTTCACGGTTACTCTTGAGAGGTATACAGAAAAAATCAAGTACCAACATAAAATAATGGGGCGGGGCTATATCATTTTTGTACATTAAAACTCTCCTCTTTCAGACCTGATCTCTTGTTAGATTAGCTTTTATAACTAGTTTTATGAATACACGCAAGTATTATTGATTTGACTACCTCCATGGCGCAGTGGTGGGTAAGTTGCTTTGCGTAAATGAGATACCGACTTCGATACCCGATCGGGCCAATTTAGTAAAACGAACTATATAAACTATATTGGCATACTAAATCTTGTGGCCAATTGATATTACAGATCATTCGGAGCTGTCATTTAAAAAAAAAATACGAAAGATCTCTTGTTCGCTTTGATATTTTGTTTCATACATCCATGCAAGAACATTCTTGAGATCTCAAATGGACTATAATCATATAATGTCAATTTTATAAATGATCGGTTATAAAAGTGAATAAAACGAGAGAACTATCAAGAGTCCTATTTTTGCATGTCGGTTTCATCCTTAAACATGTTTAAACATATTTACTCCTATGCTTGAACCAACTTGCCTTTTCTCATAATTATAAAACATCCTATTGTTAAATGTTGACACTTTTTTTTTGGTTATTCGATAATGATCATCAATATAAAATATCTGTTCACAGCATCACAAATAAAAGAAGAGGCCGATGTTCTAGCTGAAAAATACGGAGCACGCGCGGAATATCTTCAAGCTAATGACGAGGAGGCTTTACACTCGCTCGCAGCTCGTTCACGGCTGCTGATCTCGCTGCTGCCGTATGACTTGCACGGAACTGTAGCGAAAGCTTGCATTAACGCTGGTGCACATATGGTCACAGCCTCTTATGTACGCCCCGAAGTACAAGAACTGCATAATACGTATGTTATATTTCTATACTATATTTGGCCTTTATCGATAACATTCCTTGAGTTTATGCATAATATTGTGTAGACAATATTATTCTTCACAAAGGCGAATTTAATGTATAGTACATTTCAATAAGTATCTTTACATACATCGTATTTTATTTATAATTACAGAGGTATTTAAGAGATAAATGACAAAACTGACCCCTAGTTTTGTTTATTTATCTGCTTATTTATTTATGAATTGCATATTTTTTTTACATTGTGACTTACATAATAAGGATGAAAGAGCACAGATAATAAATTACTTTTATATGAACTTTACCAAAATATATTCAGAATCCAACGTATCATATAAAAATGTCAAGGAGAAAAACGGTATGGTTTCCAGCATCCACTATCAGTGAACATTGGCAGGGTACTGGTGAATGATAATAGGTCAAAGCCAAGTCAGTTAGCCAATCGTAACGGTTTTTACTAGAAATTAAATATTATGGTTTCCAAGAGGAACAGCAAGAAGGTCAATCTGACCGGGTATATTTATTTACGGAGTTGATTTACTAGTCCCTATTATTATCAATCTCTTTCCCCAATGTCAAGGTTTTTTTAATAGATTTTAATGGTGATCTTGTCAGTAAGGGATGATAAATGGTGGTAGCCGGGGTGGGGGGGAAGGAATTGTTAGTTATGTTGACTATCAGTCCCATTGCTAGCAATATACCCTGTCAGGTCGACCTCCACGTGGCCCCCCTGGAAACCATCGTGCTGAATTCCTGGTGTATTCATCACGATGGTGTTAATTGACCTGCCCTTTCATTCTCACCTATCACCCCTCACTGGTGCTCTGCCAGTGTATACCGTTAGCGCAGTTAGCCATTTTATTATCACCAATAAAAAAAAAGATGGCGGTGGTCCATCGTGAAAATAAACCACCATGGTTTTCAGGAGTAACCACGTAAAGGTCGAGTTGATAGGATAGAAATGAGGCCGCTAGTACCTTTTACTAACTCCTCTTTACTAATCCTTCCTCCTTATCTAATGTCAAGATATTTTTAAATGTATTGATAACCCCGCTTGCGCTAAAGGAAATCATTGGCTTGGTGCCAGTGAGATATGATAAGATGAAAGAAGAACAATTAGCGTATCGTGATGAATTTAACAAGAATAAATCACAATAGTTAACAGGGGGAACTATGTGTAGGTCGACCTGATAGGGTATAGTGCTAGTAACGGGCTTATTACATCCATTTTTAACAATCCTTTTCCCCTTATTGTCAAGGTTAGGTAGTATTATTTAATTTTTATTTTATATATGACGTAGATGTAATAAATTTTGTTTATATTTGCAGCGCTAAAGAAGCTGGAGTGACATTACTAAACGAGGTAGGCCTGGATCCTGGCATAGATCATCTGTTAGCGTTAGAATGTATTCATGATATTCAAAACCACGGCGGAAGGGTCGATTCATTTATCTCGTATTGCGGCGGTAAGTTGATAACCTTTCACATTTTTTTAATATACAACTTCTCCCAAAATTTAATGATAAGCCGGCACCACGACATGGACAAAGTTATAACTTGCCAGGGATCAACTTTTTTTTAACTTCTAATGTTTTTGAAAAACTCTGAAATTTGACATCTGTATAATATTTTTATATGTCCACAAATTTGTAAATATTACTGTTTATTTTTTTAATTAACAATCTAAATAACATAGCTTTTCATCACAAAAAATACATATAATAAAATCGTAACTAATCACTGTCTGTACATGGAAGATTATATAAGAAAAACTATTATAGGGGAGCTTTATGAACGCAATAGAATCCAAAACAATGATGTTTAGAATTTTTATCTGTTTGTCTTTTTGTCTGTACGTTTGTGCACGCTAATCTCAGAAACGGTTTAACGGATTTGAATGCGGTTTTTAGTAATACGTTGCAGGTTGCTCTACTTAACATTTATTGTTCATTTTATTTCAATCGGTTCATAAATAAAAAAGTTATATCAATGTAAAAAATCACAAAAATGCTATAAAATAATTGATCAAATGAATTGGCTGAAACTTTATGAAGGTATTAGGTATGTAGTTATCATCTAAGTATATAATGCAGTATAAGACTTGATTCATTAAGGGTTCCAATGGGAATGATATACGGGAATTACATAGAAGCGTGAAACGTCTAGTAGATAATATAACTCGTGCTGTAAAAAAAATTACCTACAATACTACGGCAACCTCTTTTACAAATTAACACAAATAATCAAGGTTCTAATATAGAATAATACTCTAAGAATACTAAGCACAAAAATAAAACACAAGTATACCTACTTTTTTATCTAAAAAAAATATATTTTATTCTTGAAAACATTATTGTGTGCCCAAAGGTAGGTCAGTTTCGGTAGATAAACCTTGTCAGTCGATATTTTAAAGTGCGAGTGGGCTAGATAATTAGACAATAGGCAAATTAATCGGGATAGGTAGTGTCATGATTCTACCACTCTCGACGCGCAACTTATTTAAACTAAATTAATGTTATCAAGCTAAATATTATTAGAACTTTTTTTTGTATTTTTCCTAACTAATCATAAACCTATCTACTTCCTGATACTGATTTATTTTTAAATTTTGGGACAAGTTTTTGTGTGGCAAACTATGTTAAAATAGGAACCAAAATCTTACTGCTTAGTAAATAGTTCTAGCAGTAACAATGCGTTTATTGTTTAGATTCAGTTTGAGGCTACCTAATCTATGTAAACCCTATTAACATAAGATCTGTCAGATGTTGCAATGGATGAGAGATATTATAAGCGTCACAGTATATTCTGTAATGTAGTTACTAATTTTAATCATTTGACCCATCGAGTTTGCTGCCACTCATGGTAGTTGGTACCTATTACATAAAACAATTAATTAATAAAAAGCGTGGAATTCTCTAAGTCCTTTTATCTATTATTTTCCAGGTTTGCCAGCAGCAGAATTTAGTGACAATGCCCTGAGATATAAATTTTCGTGGAACCCTCGTGGCGTTCTGCTCAATACCATATCTGGAGCAAAATATCTCAGTAGAGGACAGGTAATACAACACTTTAGTTCTTTGTAAATAGCGAAATTAGGTTTCAATCTTTTTTATTTTTATTTTTAGGCAACTTAAAATGGCAAACAAGCTGACGGCCTATCTGATGGAAAGTGGCAACCGTCGCCTATAGACATGAATAGTACCATGAACATAAGAGAGTATACTGTTTCGTCCATAATACCTTAATTATCAGGAATGGTAACGACCATTCCATTGTTATGTCTGCAGCCTGTAAATTTATTGCCTTATTCCACTCTTCAAATCGAAACAACGATGCAAACACGACTACTTAACGATTGAAATACGAATAGGACAAAGGTGCCCAAGCAAACAATTTTGTACAAAGTCTCCGTCTGGTATTTTGTACAGAATTTGTAATTTGCTGTAGAATGTAGGTAATGAAATATCTGCCTACATTATCCAATTAATATAACAGTTTTCAGATGATCTAATAAATCGACTTGAGTTATGAAAGTTTATTTTATAAAACTATGAGTATTAAAGATATTAGAATTGCGTACGTTAAGACCCTAGAATACAACTATAATAAAGTGATCCTGTATTTATTCTTTTCACCTTCTCTCTTCCTTTGCTTTCGATTCCTTTCTCTCGTCCTCGTCCGAAAGGTGAGTCGTGGTGACATTAGAACAAAAATTAATATTAATATCTTAAAACTGATTTTAAATTGTCACTGTATAAATGTTTTTTTTTATATTATACTGCTGAGTGCACAGTGCAAACTAGTATTCTCTGTTTCAATAGAGAATACTATTGTTTCTTCATCTCAATGAACTCACAAGAAAATCGGCAGTTCTTTTTAAATCATTCATCACCATCATTCAATGCATGTTATTAAAAAAATCTACAGTTATCTGCTTCTGAGATAAATACAAGTTAAATATTTATACAAGTTATACTTAAGTGATGCCGTCATGACTAATTACTGGTAATACAATAAGTTACAATGGACAATATGTCCTGACTTCGTTCCCTATCATCCCTTACTGATTCTCCAACAAGCTAAACCAATATTTTCGTCCATTAAAAACGTATCTATTGATGTTTTAGATCGTAGAAGTGTTAGGCGGCGGTGAGCTGATGTCAGTCGCTCGCGAATTAGATTTCCTGCCTGGATTTGCTTTTGAAGGTTTCCCCAACAGGGACAGTACCATATATTCTTCACTCTACGGTATCGAAGATGCACATACTATGTTCCGAGGAACTATTAGATATAAAGGTCAGTTAGAGTTAGAGTGCATAGATTTGTCCTTCAACTAAAGTACCTAATTAATATATAAAAAAGATCCACTATTGTAATCCTTAATGGTCACAGATAGATGTAAATGTGTGTGATAACAAATCATAGACAACTGTATTAAGTTAGTAGTATTAATTTAAGATAATATATACCTACTTATTATATTGCCATGTATGCCCCGGCATAGAATGGACCACCCCTTTCTTTCCCGTGGGTGTCGTAAGAGACGACTAGGGGAGGGCGAGGGATGGGCCACAGCGTCCCTATTTAAACATCTCTAAAAGCCTAGCTGCGGTTGCCTACTTGCTTGCCAATCGTGGCAACTTCTGGCAAAACTTCCCTTATGGAGAGGCCTATATTCAGCAGTGGACATTTAATGGCTGAAATAATAAATATCTACTTATAAATAAAGTGAATTTATATTTAATCTAATTTAGTTTTTTTCTTTATGCAGGATTTGCTGAAACAATCAAAGCAATGCAACTGTTTGGTTTCATAGATCCAAATCCACATCCATCTCTTCATCCTGAAGGACCTAATATCACCTGGGTAGGTCTTTACATATTTTTCTGTATTTTATTTTTAACTAACAAGGTTTAAACCTAGCCGATACTAATTTCATCCCTGATCAATAAAACCAATATTAATTTATAAATTTTATTTCATTAAATAGCGTCAATTCGCGTGCGAGTTACTCGGATTGATGGATCAGTCGATATTCTACGAGAATCTACGGACGCGATTAGCAGAGCGCATTGGCAGTACAGGTGCACAAGCGTTGGAGTCACTGGGCCTACTCAGTGACGATCTCATTGTAAAATGCGGGACCCCATTGGACACAATTAGCCTTTATCTAAGCAAGAAACTGCAACTCGGTAAGTCAGTTTTTACCTGTAGATATATAATACTATTATAATAGAATTTGATAATATCTACAAGGTGAAATCGGTAGCAGTCTTCTAAGGTTAATAATAATAGGTAAGTATACGTACAACCCACCATAAACTAAAATTTCATCCCAACAATCTGGACGCGTGGCGGTCTTCCACCGTGCGTTTTTCAAGGCACTTTCTTCCATGCACAACCACTCTTTGGAATCAACTTCCAGCAGCAGTGTTTCCGAATCGATATGCCATCATTATCTTCAAGAAAAGCCGGTCATCAGGTGAACCGCATGCTCAATTGCCCCCTGTGTTGTAAAAAAATTATTTTCTGCCAAAAAAGGTTTTATCTAAAGAAATTCTATAAGTAAGTCTGAGTGGGACATTCTAAATTTTTCTTGTTTTTCAATTAGGTGCGTTTTATAGGTGGTTAAATTGTTTTTATGGATTTGTGACTCAAGTTTATTTGGAAAAATTTTCAATTTAAATTCAATGTAATACTAGATATACTCACATTTCGCCAAGCATATTTGCATTCAACGTGACAGGTGGCGAACCTATCACCGTTTCTTGAAGTAATTTGTTTTATTAACAGTAACTTCTATCATCCAAGTGAGACAAAAATTTATATAGACAAAGTAATTGGCCATATTAGCCAAGTTCAAACTCACAGACTTTGGGGTCACTAAATCTGGGTAAACATATTACTAGGTCAAATAAACTCTCTTATCTCTTGCGTTTTATATTAATTTTCTTCATGACTTGAATGTTGCAGAAAAAGACGAAACAGATTTTGTAGTACTCAGACATGAATTGGGTGTAACGTGGAGTGATGGACGGAAGGAACTACGAGAAGTTACCATGACAGTCAGGGGAGATCCAGCATCCCACACTGCTATGGCACGTACCGTCGGATTACCCACTGCAATTGCCGCTAAAATGGTTTTGGATGGTAAATAAATTTTACTTCTTGGAAACTCAATATAAATAATTGAATTATTATTAAATTATCATCATCATTTTATAAGCTATTAACTGTCCACTGTTGGACATGGGCCTTCCCCATATAGGAAGTTAGCCAAATTGCCAAGTGTGGCAACTTGGCAGGCGGGTTGACAACCGCCTTGGTGTAGTTTTAAGAGGGACGCTGTTGCCCATCCCTCAACGATTAAGTTATCTTAGTCGCCTTTTACAACACCCACAGAAAATATCATATATTCATGCTTAATAACAAACAAATTGTCGACCTATTTGATGAAAACAGGCGACTATAACCACTTTCGAACACGAAGCCTGATGCAAGAAACGCCTATAAAACCGTTTAAATTAGGATATTCGATAAACTTACACTGTCTGCCTGTCAAGCAGAAATACATACCTTCAGTGGTATGAACCTGTCTAGATTCATACAATTTTATCACCTGCATATGAATGAATGTATAAAAATAATAAGTAATCACATAAGAAAACATTTAAACAAAAATGAAAGGATTGTAATTATTTATGTAGCCTTTACTCACGGTTACTTTTTACTTTAATTCGGGGATGTCCGACTAGTTTCGCGCAGTGTTACACACGACACGGTCGTGAATCATGCTCATGAATAAGGGCTCCTATTCAATTCGAATGGCCATGTGGTCCCGACATAGAATAGGCTACCCATTCCTTTCATGTGTGTGTCGTAAGAGACAATCTTACGACACACACATGAAAGGAATGAGATTGGATGGAATAATGGAATTTAATGGTAGAAGCATTGACAGCAGTATTCCTCTTAAAATATCTCTAAAAACCTAACTGCGGTTGTCAACTCGCCTGCCAAGCGTGGCAACTATTGGCAAAACTTCCCTTTTGGGGAAGGCTTATGTTCAGCAGTGGACAGTTAATGGCTGAAATGATGATGATGTTTGTATTCGAAACTAATCGAGAATCCCTGAATTAAAAACGTGAGCAAAGACGACTAAATAATTACAATACAGTTTGATTCACGATAGTTATTATTCAAAAACTAAGTTGTAAAATAAAAATTGATTTAATTTTATTAGAAAAAATTACTTTTATTTTTCTTCATAAAATTAAATTAATTTTTATTTTTCTTAAATAACTAACTAATTATTTACTATAGTTTTTTTTATTAAGCGCAATAAAATGACATGAAGATTATTTAGGCTCTGCAATTGTATTGTATAATTTCTAGGTGAAATACAGGAACGTGGGGTGGTACTTCCATTTTCACCAGGCGTGTACAAGTCGCTGCTGTCTAGGCTCAGGGCTGACGGCATTACGGCGAAGGAGACCTCAAGACCTCTTAATTAACCTCTTTATCTCATTACAAAAGTAAACTATTAAGTTCTAATCAAAAGACTGTGCTATTAATACTATGTATAAATGATACATAAAATTTGTTATGTATATGTATTGTCATTACTTTTATATGTTTCATTTATTACAAATTTTTTGCTAATACCGTCTATTTATTTTATACCTACCTTTCTTCATGGAAATGTAATTTGGAAGTAACGCCGTTACTTTTTTTTCCAATTTTATTTTTATATCTCGATTTAATAAGGAAATAAATACCCCATTCTATAACCTAGACATTGTTGATAGAGTCTTACAAGATTATTTATTTAAAAAAAAAACTATCGTCAACTACAACCTTCTTTCTTACGTCACATAAAATAGGCCTAAAACCACGTCAACAGCCTTTATCGATCAGAAAAAAACAAAAGCAAACGTTTTTTTATTTCAGTAAGGCAACCGTTGAAAATGAAAATACTTTTATACAGTAATGTCAACTGGAAAAAAAAGGTTTGACATGCTTGTCATTTTTATATCATTTTTTTGCTAACCTAAAATGTTTTATCAAATGACTTGATTTTGCTATTTTGAGTATTTTTTGTGGTTATTTTTATAAATTTACTAAACTAAATCTCGGTTGTGTCCTCACACGTCCCAGTACGTGCTTAAGATTTTTTTTTGCGTTACAATTTTATAATGATGACTTCGCGTTAAAGACAAATGGAAAACGACCCGAATAACACTGTAAGTACTACTGACTGTTCCGTGAGATTGGATAATCGCTCACTTCATCCTAACAGTCTATAGTCAAGACAAATACTAACAGATTTAATTACCAGAGAGAAGGTACTACAGACACTATACACAGGAAGTTAAGTTTTTAGGATATTCACACATGTATGTCTAGTTATAATTATTATTTTAAAAGTCGATATGTACGTAGCAGAAATAAAATAATTTTCCAGTACACAACAGGAAATTAATAGGATGCCGGTTCCTGTTGAAAAGAGATGTAAACTAATCTATCATGATTATACGTATATACAGAATGCTATCTTAGGAAAGAGTTAAGAATTTTCAGAAAGTCTCCCGGCATATACATGTGAGTGGAGTTATGAAAACAGATAGGATAAAAAATATAAATACATCTCTTGCTTTAGCCACTTTTATAAATCCTTTGCTTCCAAGTTGTACAAAACGCTCTGCTTCTTCGTTTCTCATTCGAACAGCCAGCAAATGAAAGTCTCCCTTAGTGTCTGTATTTCTCCTGTTATCTATTTATATTAGGAGTTGAGAAATAAAAACGTCTGTCTTTTAAAACTAAGTTGAATAGATTATTTAAATTCGCATTATTATCTTAGTGCATGGTCCATCTTAGAAAACGTCATCACAAAATATCACGTAAGACAAATCACAGTCAAATCAATAGTAGCCGTGTTTTTTTCTAAATAACATAAAGAATTAAACATTATACGGTTTGTATATTTTATACAGACGGCGGGTCGCGAGACTGGGCGGTGCATGTCGGTGGCAGCGATGCAGGCGCTGCACCGGCTGCGCGAGTGTCGGTTGCTCTGTGACGCTATTGTGCGCGCAGACGACGGCGCCGCTTTTCCCGTGCACCGCGCCATACTCTCTGCCTGCAGCCCATACTTTCTGTTAGACCCGCTTCTTATTTAAATTGATTAAATACTTATTATCTATAACATTTCTAACAAATAACCAAACAGAATATTAGGTATAGAGTGTCATGTGAATTGTCTAACTACAGAGTTAGTAAGACAGCTTACTGTAGTGATGAAGTGTATAGTGAGAAGACACAAGTCTGAATCGACTAACCAGTTGAGTAAGACTTTGGTCTTTTACTTTTTTTTTTATTTAAATATAAAGTCATTACAGGGAGTCAGTCGAGTCAGGTAGCTTAGGGGGCATCCATTAATTATGTGAGCTCTTTTTCGATCAGTTTAGACTCCTCCCTCCCCTTAGGTGAGATTTAGTGAGATTTGCCTTGACCCCCCCCCCCCCCTTACGTGAGATTAACACAAAAAATATTTTAATTAAAAATAACCTTAATTTATATTTATTATTCGGGAAAATAATAAATCATTCAGTATTCAATCGAATCGAAAATTTCAATCGAAATAATTGGACACATATCATCTGGGATTTCTAGTAGTGCAGGAAAACAATCACTGGAAACGTCTACGTTTATCTTTAATATTTTAGTAATATTTTTAATATTTTATATTTTATTAAATTGACGTGAGATTTTTGATTATCCCCCCCCCCCCCCCCTCGGTTTAAATGAGATTTGGTGAGAATTCATTAGACCCCTCCCCCCCTATTCTGAGCTCACGTAATTAATGGATGCCCCCTTAGGACCGTTCATTATGGCAGTCTAGGGAAGGTCTATGTTCAATAGTGGACAAATAACAGCTGAGATGATGATAGATATTTATATAAAAACCATAGTTTTTTTTTTACAAAGAAACGATTGGTTAATTGTATTGCTCACAGCTATAGATATGTGTCGTCCCGGAATATAAAGACAATCGATTTAATTCAAATTTCTTATATTTTTGTCTCTACATGGAGATGAAACCGAAGCAATACATATCATCTGTATCGTCATCTGTTGACACAGGGCTTTATTTACAACAACGCTGCATTCACGCGAGCAGAGCGATGTATTGATATCAGGTGTACGCTCCGAAATCCTGCTCTTGCTGATAGAGTATGCGTACCTTCGCCGCATTGATGTCACTGATAACAACGTCCACGAATTACTCATGACCGCCGATTATCTCGCCTTTCTCGGTGTTCTACAACTTTGCTGTAATCACCTAATGACCTCATTAAATTCAAAGAACTGTCTCGGTATAATGATGTTTGCTAGGTAAATATAATTATTATATTATTATAATAACTAGCTTTTACCCACGACTTCGTCCGCATGACTGGGATATGTTCACTAACTGGATTAAAAATCCTATAACCTTATCTATTCCATATAGTATTTTTTTTTATTTCATAGTGATCGGTTAAGCTTAACAAAATTGCCAATAGCTCGAGTTGGGTCTATGTATATGTATTTACATTCGCTACCTATTAATATAAAAACTCGTGTTTCTACCAAAAAGCAGTTGTGTTTGTATTGCTGTGATTCAATTTGAAAGGTGGGAATAACACCTGAGTCCTCAGGAATGGCAACGCATGGGGGGTATAATGGGCGAAACAGTATACTCTGTTATATCCACGGTATTGTTCATGTCTATAGGCGACGATTAACACTTTCCATCAGGTGGGCTGTCAGCTTGTTTGCCATTCTAAGTTCAATAAAAAAAAAATTAAAAATTACGATACTTTTTTACTACTGGGCAATTTTTTTGCCATTCAATGTTGCATAAATTTAAACATAAAAATTAGACCAAAATTACATGTAATAAAATCAAACCACAGAATAATTATGGGTATTATTATTTCAGACGAGTGTTTTGTTATAAATTAGAGGCAGATGCTCGTAGATACTTGCTGCGATATTTTGTTACGGTGGCAATACAAAGTGATGAGTTTCTCCATCTGCCACTCGAAGAACTGAATTCTATTATTCTCGAAGATGAATTGAATGTTAAAAGTGAAGAGGCGGTATGGGAAGCTGTCTTGCGATGGGTCAACTATGATCCTGATATACGCTGGCAACATACAGTGAAATTAATGGGTAGCATTCGGCTAGGGCTGTTGGATACGCAAGTTAGATTTTACTTTGTTCTTTCTGTTTATGTGATACTTGATATATTCTATTTGATTAACTCGACTTTTTTTTTAAAAATAGTTCTTTTTGGAAAACGTAAAAGACCATCCGTACGTCACTGGCAATGAAGGTTCACGCCCAATAATTATTGAAACTCTAAAATTCCTTTATGACCTGGAAATGATTGCTCAGAGAGATGGTGAAGTGGCCACTCCAGAGATAGCTCGGCCACGAGTACCACATGAGGTATATATTTTTTCGATTACTGACGTATTATCTTTTTTTATCAGTGATTCAATGACCTTGTAACCAAATTATTTTAGGTCTTATTTGCTATCGGTGGTTGGAGTGGCGGATCGCCTACAGCATTTATAGAGACCTATGATACTAGGGCTGATCGTTGGATCAAGGTAATATCTACCAATTTATCATCAATCATTGATTTCTGTACACACATAATTATGGAAGATTTTTCTGATTATTTAGGTTGAAGAAGTTGATCCTGCAGGTCCTCGAGCATATCATGGAACCGCTGTATTGGGTTACTGTATTTACGTCATAGGGGGATTTGATGGAATGGACTATTTTAACTCATGTCGGTGTTTTGATGCAGTTACAAAGTCATGGCGAGAGGTCAGTTGTGGTATATTATAAATTACGTTTAGATAAACCAGACTGATTCTTTTGATTATATACTTTATTAAGTTATGGGGAAAAGCGCCACTGTCTAAACACACTGAGAAAAACAAATTCTATATTTTAGTTTACTTAAAATAGTGTAAAGAATATGATGTTTTGGGTTAAATAAATACATGTATTATATTATTATTCTTATTTGTTTAGGTGGCACCAATGAATGCACGACGTTGTTATGTTTCTGTAGCGGTACTTGGAGAGACGATATATGCAATGGGGGGATACGATGGTCACCATAGACAAAATACAGCTGAGCGATTCAACCACCGCACCAATCAATGGTCACTTATTTCTCCTATGAATGCACAGAGATCTGACGCAAGTGCGGCAGCACTCGATAGTATGTATTCGTACTCCGTAAATTGATAAATTTTAATAAGTTCAAAACTAATACCTTGCCATATTGATCGAGTGGACTTTGGTATCTCCGCTTTCTATAAGTTTCAACAACTTATGGAAATTGGAGATACTGGGCTCCCATATATACAGATTTACATATATGTATTATTCTAAGTTAAAGCTCCGAGTCCGAAACCACTAAAAATAATTACCATCACTTTTCCTGTGTACTGAAATCATTAAAACCATACAAATTCCGGAGGGTATTTACTGATACATCGAACTCTTAAGAAATACTTACTTATATATTAAAATTGGAACTAGACCATGTAGACATGGAAGATATTTAAGAAAATATGATATGAGGGGCCCTAATAGGAGCAATAAAAAGCAAAACAATATTTTTTAGAAGTTTTGTCTGTCTGTATGTTTGTTCCGGAGGCACGCAAAAACTACTAATTAATGTAGAATTAATTGCGATTTCCACAGTTGTATTCATGAAGGTCTGTCCTAAAATTTGTTATAATAAAATAAAAAATGTTTTATTATATTACGCCATACGCAGAATTGGTCTATTTCATTGGCTTTTCTACTTCTGAAGTCATACGTACGAAGTAGCGAACTTAGAGTTACTTATGAATGTTTTTAATGGATAAAGTATACCTCCATAGCAATATATCTATTCCATATTAACAGCAACGAATATAATAACACATATATTCAAGAGGTATTTACATATTTCCCTTTATATTCAAAATTTAAATACTTTTATTGAATTCAGACAATGAACTGTCATTATCATCAGTTCATTGTCTGAATATCATCCACATAATTTGTCTCTAAAATGTATTCAAGCACTGATCCACCTGCATACTCACTACAACAGTAATCTCAATAAAAATGTGTATTCTGTTCTAACGTAGACAAGATTTACATTACTGGTGGATTCAACGGTCAGGAGTGTATGAACAGTGTAGAAATGTACGACCCGGACACAAATCAGTGGACTAACCTCGCGCCGATGCGTTCGCGCCGTTCCGGAGTCTCATGCATCGCATATCACAACAAGGTATTAACCAATCTCTTCTAGACAACCTTTGATAATTATATCGATTTATTGTAATAATATTGCAAGTATTATTCTCTGTTATATTATGTTTTATTATTCTGTTATATTAGTCACTCAAATTAATTTGATTTATCATTTGTGTTTTCCATCACCGTAAATTATTCAAGTTGACACATTAATTTATTTCAATATTGGTCAGACTAAAACTGGCGACATTTGCGGTCTATAATTTAGTTTGCGTATAATTATATACCACTAGGCTATAACGCTCTCAGAAAGCAATATTTTAATAACTATATATTTCAAGCTTACTTGTTTGCTTTTCAGATTTATGTAATAGGTGGGTTCAATGGAATCTCTCGTATGTGCAGCGGCGAAGTGTATGATCCAGTTGCAAATACCTGGGCTCCAGTACCCGATATGTATAATCCTCGAAGCAATTTCGCTATTGAAGTAATTGACGATATGATATTTGCTATAGGTGGTTTTAATGGGGTCACTACCATATACCACGTGGAATGTTATGACGAGAAAACTAATGAGTGGTGAGTTCTTACATGTATTATCTTAGTAATATAATAAAATTGTAACTAAATGACATCTGTACATGGAAAATATTTAAGAAAAAAAAATATGAAGAGTTTTAATAAGAGCAATAAATAGAAGCGAAAACAATGAATTATCTTTTTTTTTTATTTTTTCTATCTGTATGATTATTCCGGTATCACGCAAAAACTTAACAACTATGAAAACTAATTAGATACGGTTTTTATAGTTGTATTACTGAAGGGCTATGATTAAAACTGTTGTTTTATCTTCATATGCCATCTTCATATTATCATATTGTTATAATTTTCCTGATTCTGAAATCCACGCGTACGAAGTAATGGGAGCAAAAGTTATAGTTATACTTAGGTAGTATAACAGGTAATATCTATAAGCTACTCCCTAACGACCACTGATAGTTTGTTATGATCTGATCAATGGTGATTTGTCACCTATAGGCACGAACACATAGACATCACAGAATGACATTTTAGTTCTAACGACCCACTTCAAGTTGAATCATAAACATGCAAACACAGCTGTTTGGCAACAGAAACAAGTAATAGAGGCAAGTTCCTTTCAATTGAGCCATGCCTGTGGCTTGGTATATAGTTTCTCGGTAAAATGACGGTACGAGTAATTTCTAAAAAAACAATAGTGACAGAAACTTTTCGATCAGGTACGAAGCGACTGACATGAACATTTACCGGTCAGCTCTGTCCGCATGTGTGATTATGGGACTGCCGAATGTATACGACTACATACATAAGCACCGTGAACGTCTCATGGAAGAGAAACGGCAAAAGATTCTGCTGTCGGAAACTGCAAGGCACGGTCAGCACCGCACCGCGCTACCTGATGTTAGATTTTCTATTATTTTTAAGACACTGTTAATAGAATTTCTTAACTTTGATATTCACAACCGTATATATTTATTTTAATCACTAAATTTATCATAATATTTTGCTTTTTAAATGGTCGATCTGAAGAGATGGTAAAGCTTGGTGCCCCTTCACCTAAATATTCCTGAGGACTACTACCTTTATAAGCACAAGCAATGATATTTGGATACTTGATTTTGAGCTTTACACAAAAAAGTATTCTATAACTTCCCTAACTATCCCATGTGTGACCTAGGCATCCATCCACAAATACCTAAAGGTTAAATAAATTAGTTTAACTCTTGATCCTGGTACCAGTATTTTCAAAGCAAAATTGCCAAATTTCATTCTACCTTATTTATTACGTATTTAGACGCGTAAAATATTAAAAAAATAAGCTTATAAAACCGTTTGTTTTTTAACAATATTTGAACTCTTACTGCAGTAAATAATAAAGGTTATCGTCTTTAGCTATAATAACACTTGATTTGCGAAACTGCAAAACTAGATTACGCTGGAATGTTGCTGATACTATTGTGGTTGGAACAGGTTCGCTTGATAGAAGACAACGACGACATGTTAGAGCAGCTTGGTTTGATGGAAAACCAGGCGGCTAACAATGTACCAGCACCACCGCCACCGCCACCGCTTCCTCTACCTCCACAACCAATGGAACAGGATTGAAAAATCTGACTCTGTTACCTAATTCATCGCCCGTTACTTTGGTAATGTAGCAAAACAGTATAAACAAATAACAGTACAAACAAACCAGAGGGAGACTTTGTACAAAAGTCGATTGCATGGGTACCTCTGTCCCATTCATGTTTCAACTGTGAAGCAGTTGTGTTTGCATGTCTGTGTTTCGGTTTGAAGGGTGGGATATGGCGTGAATTTACAGGGTACAGAGGAATAACATCTGAGTCCTCAGGAATGGCAACGCATGGGGGGTATCATGGGCGAAACAGTATACTCTGTTATGTTCATGGTACTGCTCATGTTTATAGGCGACGGTTACCACTTTCCATCAGGTGGGCCGTCAGCTTGTCTGCCATTCTAAATTGTATAAAAAAAAATAACGTACAAACTATTCAGTACTAGCATCTACCTAAAAATACACTCTGTACAAAGTTAAATAACTGATAATGATATGTTTACCACATGCAATGTGGTCTCGGCATAGAATAGGCTATCCCTTCCTTTCCCGCGGGTATTGTAAAAAGCGACTAAAGAAACATAATGGTCGAGGAATGGGCAGTAGCGTCCCTCTTAAAACATCACCAAAGCCTAATTGCGGTTGCCAGTCCGCCTACCAAGCTTGGCAACTACTGACGAAACTCTTGTTATGGGGGCTTATGTTCAGCAGTAGTCAGTTAACGGTTGATGTACTAATAATAATGGCATGTTCTAAAAATAATGTAAATGAAAAATAAAAAGAACATTGACATAGAACGCTACGTATAATGTAGGAAACGTTAGATACAATGAAAGAGGCAATACTATAAATTGGAAAATAAGAATAGCCTACTATATTTTTTCCATAGAAAAGCAGTTAGGTGTAAATAATGTATAGTATATATAATTCACCTATGACTACACTAATAGGTTTTTTACGCTGGCAAATAATGTTTCATTAATTAATGATTGCGTCATTTAAGATAATGAATATTAAGGCACTTCATTCCTACTTGACCTTAGGTCGTAACTTTATCTTTTACTACCCGCTATCCGCTAATTATCGTGATGACATAGAGTATTTAATTGTGCAGAATTGTTTCCTTATATAAAAGTGTTCAGAAGTTGATTATCGAACTGAATGTAAACGAAAAATCGTCATTCAAATAAATATAACATAAAAAAGCATTACTCGCTAGTTGGTATTGATATCACTTAATATTTTTTTTAAATAATTACACAAAATCCTTAATGATACATCCTCTTGCGTGTTAATAACTCAATCAATTGTCATTAAATTTGGTTTATAGTCAATATTTTAGATGGAGAAGGATGTTGATTTTTTATCCCGGTCAATTAATATATCCCAGGCGCGCCACCGAAATCGCAGATTAAATCTACACTAGAGGAATTAGTTTTTATTTGCCCAGTTGATTTTTGTCTAAAATTTATTCAAGATTTGAAAACCATCCTTAATTTTCTTGTGGGATCAGCGGTTGCTGAGAAATTGATGGTTAAAGACAAAAGCTCCTTTTCCATTCAAAGTTCGATATCTCAGCGAGAAGTGATCGTATCGAAGTTTTAAAAAAAAAGCAAATTAAAGCTGAATGAACATGCTATCCGATCCATATAGTGGTTAAGTTGGAATTTTTTTTTCCAAGTTGGTAGACCAAAAATTTTGAAAAAAATTTTTTTTCGTTATTCATTATGATTGAGCGGAACACATTGTTTGAAAAAGTTTTTCATCGTACGATCTCAAAACTAGAAATGTTGAGCTTTAAAATCCTTTTTTTTTTTTAATTCCAGTACGACCATTTTTAAGGGAAATACAGTTACTTGAAAAACCTCAAAAATTTGGAATTTTTTTTTGATCCCTTAATTTTTTCATCTAATATGAATAATAAACAAAACTCATAAATATAATCAATAAAATAAGGTTGAGAGGTATATTTTTATACATCTGATTCTACTAAACGCATCTGATTCTACTAAAGTGCAAACCTACCGTCCTGATGAATTCATCATAAATTAATTACGATGATTTCTAAGGGTGATGTCGTAGAGGTCGACCTGACAGAGTATTGCTAGTAGTGGAGCTACTACTACCTAGATTAATTAGACTTGACAACTGTGTTTTCAATAACCAGAAAGTCGAACTTTAAAATGATACGAAATATTTAAAGTATTTTATGTACATGTTCAGATCTTTAAACGTGATTATTTATTTTTTTATTTAATATTTATGTATAATTACTACAATCTTAATAAATTAACAACATACTTTTATGACAAAATTTAAAATTACTTGTCAACCGTTTTCGTGATTTTTTTATATTTATTACCTCATAACTACGTTAATTGTAAACCGATTTAGAAAATTATTTTTTCATCTGAAAGAATATGCTTACAGTTTAGTTCCATAGAATTTTTATCAAAATCGGTGCAGTAGTTTAGTTTCTAAATCAAAATGACTGATTTTGGCGCAATTGAAGTCAGATTTTTTTTAGAACATAATTTGATTTTATAAAATTAAATGTTTGTGTCCAATAAAAAATACAGAATATTATCGTCGTAAAAGAAGATACAGAATAATAGTCGTAAAAAATAACTGTAATTATATGTTTATAAATAATTCATAAATACATGTAATAACTATTAAACGTCGAAATAGATCGATATGTAATCGCTCACGACAAGCCTATTTCTTAAAATGTGTCACTCTGGTCTGTGCAAATAATCTGTGTACGCTCAAAGAAAACCAACAGTATTGTCACGCAAAATATTTGAGGTCTTGCAACATAGGTTCCTCGTCTGAGTGTCAGAGGCAGACAACCGCCGATGTTTCGCGTAGGTCCTCTTCTACTCTCTGATACGTAGTTTTGATTTTCACCCCAAAGTTTCAACCACAGTTAAACAAAGAAAAATGTATCAACTATAATTTCGCGTATAAATCTTAAAAATTCTGTATATCGGTTTTGGCCAAATATCGACTTTAAAAAAATTAAAGACACTTTTTTTTACTAATGTTTGGTTCAGGATGTTTATTTATTTTATTTTTTTATTTATTTACTATTTATATAAATTAATTTTAAACAAACAGATTGAAGTTTAAGGATCAAATTGTAATATATGTTTTTTTTTCAGATTTTTACTATTGTTTCTATTATTATTATGTATTATTAATCTGAAATAACGTTTCAAAAATGACCTTCGATGGAAAAAAGTGCTTTAATTATGGTCATTTTCTTTTCAGATGTATCTAATTAAAACACCTTGTTGTTGAACGAAGTACGAGTTCCTCCTAGCTTGTTAAATACCACATAATAGTCAATAAATGTAACGGTATAGTCAAGTTAATATTATCTGTTTAAAATTACAACGTAACAGTATTTTATTATATTTTTAAATATTTACAATTATTGTAGAATTTTTGGCTTATTTATAATAATGTTGTAATATTTTCATAATGTGGATCATTCCAGAATTTTTGGAATAGTTTTTGAAAATTGTATAAAATTTTTCTGAAGAGTATATTGTACTTATTAAAACTGTTATATTGTTTTCATTTCTAATTGCTAAATAATACTCAAATTCATTTTTGAATGTACTTTAATAAATAAAAATTGTCAAGTACGAGTAGAACCCACACGCTGAGGGCTCCGTATATAGATATTAGATAAAATGACCTTATGTAGAAATCTGTTTATAGTATATCTTATATTAAATAGACACATATATGCTTAAGAATTGAACCGCAAAACTAAGTTTGTTTTGTTATACTATTATGGAGGCAAACAAGCATACGGCACGTCTGATTGTAAACTGTTGTCGTGGTCTATAGACATTTGTAATACCATGGATATAATTACATTGTCGATTCTCAAAAAAACTTTACTATGCCGTCTTTGAAGAACTCCATGCTGTAGTCTCTAAGTAATACTTCGGCAGGAAGATCATTCCACAGCCTAAGCATTCGCGGAAGGAAGCTTTATTTTTTTTTTTGTTTGTTTCTCAAAAACTACGCTTGTTAGAAACATCATTTTATTTTTCCTATAATATGCACATATCTACCTATATCTTTATAAACAGTAAATATTTAAAAAATTTTGCTCATGGTGGAAGAAGCGAAAGAGGTTTGTTTGAATCGAAGCATTTGGCGTTCCATTGTTTCTGCCTACCTTAATGGGAAACAGGCGTGACAGATAAGTATGTATGTATATCTGCTCACAAACTTCGCAAATAGAATGCCTTTATTATATTATATTATTATTATTATAGAATAGTCTATATTTTTCACATTTTCAAACAGTAACCAAAAAGTAAGCGGCATAAAATATTGAAATAAATTGGCCCTTTTGCTAAATTCGCAGGCGAATAATATATATAACTATTCAAATTGATAGCATTTAGTTAATTTGAAACTTTCGATTTATTTACACATTTTCAATACACAATCAGAACTTAACGCGATGAAAAAACCTTTGCAGGTGAACAGTACCAAGTAGGTACTGTGTACCTGCAAAGGTTTTTGCCTCAGACAAAACGCTGTGACAAAACAAATGGACTGACGGCAAAGTCATACCATATTTTTCTTTTGTCCGAAGTTGGCACGGAACCCTAAAAAAGAGACAAATAACATCACACTATTATATAATATAATATAATAAGTATGAAAGTGACTATGTTTGTTACTTTCGTGCCTTTGGAATCTTAACCACACAATCAATCATCAAGAAATTTGACATGCACGTAGTATTTGATATGGAAAACAACATAGACTACATTTTATTTCTAACAATTTATTTTATTTATATCCTGAAAACGCGAACGAAGTCGCGAGTAATAAGTAGTGTTCAACAAAAAGAATACCAATGGTTTAAGTATATGATAAACAAAACAAATAAAGCTCTTTATAAACATGTCCTGACTCATTACTTATTATCAGCACGATATAACTATATTATAGTTCGGAAAATTATCTAAATGCTCAATGTTCAAGATTAATCAATCACACATAATTATTTGCAATTCATACATCATAGTACCGATCTAAGTTTTCTGATGAAGTAGTTTCACTGATTGGGGCAGCTTGTACTAAAGTGTGTACTGCTATCTCGGAGGCACAATTTTGCCATATCCGTTCAGTCCATGCCACAGCCGTGAAACACGCTCCATTACTAATAAAAGCACGAATAGTTACAGCTCCCAAACCACGTGCCATACAACGCCATCCATTCTTCTTTATCGACTGCTTGAAACAATCCAACGATCCTGCATATCGGCCTTCAATATCACCTTGTAACTTTGACTTCACAACGTCCACTGGATAAAGAACCCACCACGATAAGGCTCCAGCTAAACCACCGGCAGTAAAAACTTTTAGTACTGATTGATCTCCACGTGTCATTATTTCAAACGCTGTAAAATAAATTGCAAAACCTGGACTGTCACGGATCATCGTAATACCTAATCCGCGATAAAGTGCTTTGAAACCTCCCGTGCATAAAACGTGTCTCGTTCCAGACAATGCTCCCGCTGGCATCATGTCTCCGGGTTTAGCGAGCTGCTGTCGCGTTTTTACTAATTCAATAGGTGCACAAGCAAAACTTTGAAACAGACCGGCTAGGCCGCCAGCTACTGCGTGTGAAGTTAGCGAATCGGGGTTCGGCAGTGCTCGTCTCGTGTGTCCGTATACTCCAAAAACTATAGCATTTACACCTGCTACACCTGCCAATGGTGCACCAATACCTCTATATGCTGTCGCTAATGTTCCATCTTTGAAAAGTGCTTTGGTACATGCTAATGGGCTTCCTCTACCTGATTGGATATGAACTTTTAAAGTATCTAGGGGATGACCTGCTACTATTCCAGCACAACCTGAAAAATGATAATTTAAATATAAATATAAACGTAGTGAGAATATTAAGATTGATGTAATTAAAACTACAACTTACCACCAATACATCCAGCAACGAAATCTAACGCCATATTGCTTTTATTATGATTTATTCTCAGTGGTAAACGTCTGTAATAGAAATTTATTAAGTTATAACATTTGCTATAACCGTGTCGTCGTGTAATTTACAATTCATGGTGCTCTTTTAATAAACACAGTTAACAATAACTTTACATCCACAGCTATGTTTTATAAAATGAACAAAGAATATGAAATGCCGTTACATCATTATCTAAATTGCTCATTTATTTATAAACTATTTCAACCCAGCTTAATTGACCTTCGATAAGATTAATCTAACAAATGTATTAACTTACCTCCTCGGTATTCAAATTAAGTAATCGTAGTGAGAATTGACGTTGTCTCCACTGGAAGTGATGCCAATGAACATATTGCTAGAGACTAGAGCAGTGGTAACTTCTGCAACCCAACGGTCCAATCTCTCCGGCGTTTAAGTCGAATGTACGCGTTCGTTTCACAGTCTCCAACTCACAAAGCACCCTCTCGTGCACCACCCACCCGTCCGTAGATGATACTAACATCCAATGGTATTATCTGAGGTCAGACTTATCGGGAGGGGCAAAATACGTCCTAACAAAATAATAATTACACCTATCAACATGTTATGTTCCGACTATATCAGTCTGCTTATTTTCTTTCCATATTGGTACCAAACAAGAAAATTTACAATCACAAACATTTAACTTTAGTGAGGTTTGTCTATAATCGCTATTTAATTTTTTTTTTTTTTATAAAAATATAAAATGTAATTTGTTTTGATTTTCTCTAAAGAAATAATTATTATTATTTAAATTTTCGCGTAGATGACAATCAGAACCGCTTCTATCTGCTTTATTGAAATATCAGATATCGGAAAGCTACCTTCCGCATATCTTCGCCAATTCGGAATCGATTTTGATAATTCTTTCTGCAATCGATCAATGGAATATATGTTGTTCCATATTGTTTTTATCACGATTTAAGTAGTTTTTTACTGAGCAAGATCTTAACTAAAATTATAGTAATCTAAGTATATCGTAAAATAAGTAATTACTCTCTATAGACCACATACAGAATTATTTAAAGTAATTGACTAGATGTATGGATACTATTTATACATAACTGTGGAGTTGTTCGTTTCTAGAAATGTAAATAACTTGATGAGAAGTTAAAATCAATAGATACCAAGATGATAAAGTGTAGAAAATATACCTAAGAATATGTACATATACAGAAAACAATTAGACTAATACAAAAAGTTAGTTGATTAAAATTATTTTGTTAATTTTGTTTCATTCCGCTACTATTAGTATTAGTGCAACTCAAAGGCGGATAATTCCTAAGGCAAATTAGGCACGTGCCTAGAGTTGCATGGTTACAAAAGGGCGCGCGCGCAAAACTTTTAAATGAAGAAATAAAAATAAAACTGTGTCAGTAAGTACCCGTGCACCTATTTACACAATATAAAATATAATTTACCTAAATGCTGACATAGCCTTAAGTATATTGCTATCTTTAAACTGTAACGATGTTGTTGACAATTTCGCAAGACAAAAATGTAGACCCAAAAAACTTAATTTTTTTAACATTCGAAGATGCCTACTTATAACTAGAAGTTCTATAACCTTCCATATTAGCCATCAATCTTCCACCGCTATTTAGTCTACGCATGTTTTGAGACACGTGTTTCACTTCTAAACCAGTCATTCTCAAGCAAAATAATAGATCTTTGGTGGGAACCTAGTTTGTGAACGATTAGTTCAGTGTCCAAACTGCAAAGAAAGACACACTAATGAATATAAAATGTTCGTATTATAATAAATTGTTATAATATGAATGTAAAATTATTAAAAAAATAAACCCCGGGGCTCGTAAAGATTATTTAAATTAAACTGCTTGATTTTCGGATGGTTGTTTTCTGACGTAACAAACTATACAACTCTATATAAGAACCTATTATCCGCATATGTACAGATACTCGGACAATATACAGCAACGATGCTTGATAATATATATTAATGTATTGACATGATTAATACAAACAAAATTGATTTCTGCATGTATGTAGACACTTGACAATTGATCGTCAATCTTCCGATTCATACAGACCAATTTGACGAGCACTAACACATTATAAGTATTTAAATCAAGATTTGCTAGATCCAAAACTAGAATAAAAAATAAATAATATAATATTTAGAGCCATAGTTTAGAGCAAAAGCCCGTAAGAACCCATTATCTTCTAGAGAAAAATTCGAGTTGGTGGATCATGGTTCTCACCTCAAAAAAAAAAAAAGCTTTCAATACCCCATTGACTAAGGGCATGTTTTGAAACTATTTTTGGCTTCAGCTGTGCTATACTTGGAGTACAAATATTTTGTTTTAATTTAATCCGAAATCATATGTGTTTCATTATAATTTTTGTTTCTGGAACATCTAAAACGGATCAAGAGATATAACTTGAACGCGGATGATGTCGCGACCACCGCTTGTACAAAATACTAAGACCTGTCACCTCATTTACATGTATCTTATAGTATATGTAATAAATGATGAAATCTCGTGAGTAACGTCACTCGTGAGCATATAATTAAATATCTAAAAGTATCCATCTATTAATACCTACTCATACAACCTACAGCTTTTATTACGTAAATTATATGTAGTTTACAATCATAGACGAAGTGTAACGTACTTATGTTACGTACCTACCTACCAAATCCGTTCAACCTTTTAACGTGATTAAATAACAAATTTATTATCATTATTTTTGAAAATTACCAATTGACTAAGTCTGCTAAAAGGACTAACGGTTCTTGATCCAATCAAACACGCAATTGATTCTACAGATACGATCCATAATCATTATCTACATTATTTAAACATATAATTACATAAATACGTAATCACAGATAAAATGGATAGATATCAGAGGGAGACTGTACAAAAGTCATCTGCTTGGGTACCTCTGTCCCATTGGTGTGTCGAGTGTGAAATAATTATGTTTGAATGAATGCGTTTCGTTTTAAAGGGTGGGATATAGAATTGAAATTACAGGGTCCAGAGGCATAACACCTTAGCCTTCAGGATCCACATATTATGGACGACACAGTATACTTTGTTATGTCTATAGTAATGATTGTCTACATAGGCGACGGTTATCACTTTCATCAGATGAGCCGTTAGCGTGTTGACCAAGTTGTATAAAGAAAATCATAATTAAAATATAATTTTTAGTACCAAACTGTTAACATAGAAAGGAATCCTTTGCGTTTTGTGTTGCTAGACACAGAGCAAACAAATATGTTAAATTGCATGTTCAGATGAACATTTTTTTAGCAAAAATAAAACTTAAGAAAACATTCTTAAATATATATTTATTACCTATTTTATACAATATTACCTTGAGACCTCAATTTCGAAATATTATTGATATTACTTGCAATAATAAGTGGACTTGTGTTTACACACAAGTTTTCAACACTTCCCGTAATATCTGGTCAATTTATAGAGTATTAATTATATATAGTCATAATTGCCACGTCAAAATAAACAGAAATATGAAATACAAAACTAAAACTGTTCTACAAATAATTTAGATGGTTGGTTTAGATCGGTCTTGCCGGTGAGTAGTAATGCGCCTCCCGCCAGGGTGTCTTTCAGCTACTTCACCAGTAGCACGATAACGTGACCATAATCTTGATATCACATTTTGTTTTGTTCCAATCGCCTCAGCAACCGTTCGTAGAGTAGCCCCCGTTTGGAGCGTGTCTACTGCCCGTAACATCTCTCTTGTTAAATGGCGCCGCTGCATGATGAAAACAGTCGCATAAATTCCGAATCAACCACTAACTTGCTTTAAAACATTAATTTGACAAAAAAGTTTTCCAAAAACTATGATAGGTAAATTGAAACATTCGAATTTCACCTTGGTAATGCCGCGCAAATCAATTGTTTTTAATTATTTTTTCAAAATCAAATTTAGAATCGTTAAAAAGACCTATAAAATAAGGTATCTTCAAAAAAATCCAAATTATATATATATATATATATATATATATATATATATATATATATATATATATATATATATATATATATATATATATATATATATATATATATATTTGGATTAAACTCAATATTTCTAATTGTTCTAAATTAAAAATATATAATTCATGAAAATATATTCTCTGAAGAATAGATAATATAATATTTGTAAGGTATGAAAATAAGGTAACCAACTATTTTTTGTTCAAAAAGAGTAATTTTCTTTTAAAAACATATTTCTTTTAAATTCGAAATCAATGATCGTCACATCATACTAACCTTGTAATTTTTTTGGAAGCAACCACTAGAATAGTAACAATAATATACTTACGCTTAGATTGTATACATAGAATATCTTCATACAAATGTTTCGTCAAAATCGGGTTAACGTTTATATCCATGTGTGCATGAATAGGATTACCATAATGTGTATTTATTATTCAATATATGGAAGAAATTATATAGTAAACTTAGATTGTAAGATTAAATTAAAAAATAAAAACGACAATTAGATAGATAGATAGATAGATAATTTTATTTGCATTACTTACAGCACACAAATTACAACATACATACACAAAAAAAAGCGAGATAACATAAATGACAAAAAAATACACAAAACCAAATGCAACTTTCGTTTGTGAGTGTGCCATAGCAATACAAAATGGCCACAACTCAGTTTTTACAAGTATATTTGGAAAAATAAAATACACCGTGCAACAAGATTTGTAATGATATTTATCTTTATTTATATACTTTTCTATCGGAGTATAATCATAATTAAAGATATCTTTGATTAAAGATTTTAGTATTATAGGAATAACGATAATTCCTTAGGATATTTATAATTAAGGCAGTTTTATAGTCTTAAACTTAGTAACGTGGTTGGTTTTTTAATAACAACTATGGCTCAAAACAAATAATTACAAAGTGCAATAACAATCGTTAAGGGTCTATTTTAAATCCTACTAATTTGATTATTGATATGTTTGTTAGTCTTTTACACAAAAACTACTGAACGCACTAGAATGAAATTTGATGACCATATTCGATGTATATGACCTACCTGTATAATTTATATATTGATTATATAATCTAAACAAAAATTTCGAAATTATCAAAATTTAAAGACTATATATATAATCTAAAATGATTCACGTGGATGTAGCGAAAGTGTTGGTAGTTAATCGTAGACAATGTTAAATTATAATAATTATCTATTGTTCTGATTATTTAATAACGCGCCGCCGACTGCGCGAATTTCATCTTGGAAGCATAGGACATATCATACCTCCGAAGACCCAGCCTTTCAACCGTCGTCAAAAAGTTTTTTTTTTGTGTATTATTTTATACAAATTCTTTTGCAATCCTTTTTATATATATTTTGTATTTTTATCGTAAAACTAATTATGAACCATGATACGGTTGCGCCTCCCATCGCGGAGATGTGTAAGGTGTCGGTTACGCTTCCCTCTTTCTTGTCCGATCGGCCGGCGTTGTGGTTTAAGCAGGCTGAAGCTGAAGCAAACATTAAGCTCGTAAGTATCACCAACGAGCGCACCAAATACAGTCACATCGTTCTATCGGAACGACAGGCAGCGGAAGAAGAGGGTATCCTAACCAACCCACATCATAAAGACCAGTATCGGGTACTTAAAACTACATTTATTAGTAGAATTTCTTGCACTGAACAAAAGCGACTTAACTAATTACTCAGCGATGAGGAACTGGGTGGACGTAAGCTTTCCCAATTTCTCCGTCACTTACAATTTCTTACCGATTTGTCCTTACGCGATTATTTGCTTTTTACGGCAATTTTGGTTACGTCGCATACCTAAAAACGTGCAAGCAATCCTTGCTACACAGCTAAACCTACTTTTAGGGGGGAAAGGGATTGTTAGTACTGGGGATTAAAAACCCCATTGCTAGCAATATACCTAACCAGGTCGACCTCCTCGTGGTACCCCTGGAAACAATCATGGTTAATTCCTAATGAATTCATCGTGATGGGCTAACTGACCTGTTTTCATTCTCATCTATCACCCTTCACTGGTGCTCTACCAGCGTATCCCGTTAGCGCAGGCGGTGTTACCATTCCATTTTCATTCACAAAAAAAAACCTACTTTTAGCAAAATTGGCTAATTAAGCTGACAAAATTTTAAAGGCCACTCCAAATTTTTCTTCTGTTTGCGCAGCAAGTAATCACACCACTTATACATCAAACGATAATAACTCGATACAAGTTATAGCTCAACGATTGGAGTCAACTCAGGTTGCTACATTACAGCGAGGACGAAACCCTGGCCGAACAAGGTCAAAGTCGCATAATCGCTCACAACCTGGTATTTGTTGGTACCACCGTAAATTTAAGTCAAATGCGCGTAGGTGTACTACTAATACTCCTTGCTCATGGATTGACAACCAGGAAACCGTTACAACCTCCGATGAATGCTGTGCGTCTTCGAAGATGGTAAGTAGGTAATCCACAGCACCGCACGTAGAAATTAATTTGGTAATAACGACAGAAAATAATTCGTAGGCACGTTGCGTTGATTCAAAAGTCGAACTTATGTTACTGATAATCCTAATATAATAGGTTTTGATGGTACCAAATAATAATATAGTATATAACCGTATATCCAATTTAGTTAGTGTGAAGGGTTCGTTGGATAGAACAATAAAATAGAAAATACTGAATAAAGATATATTTTCCCTAGTACAATAATAGCGATATTTTAAAAAAGTGACGTGCTCTAATAACAAAATATTCATTGACAGAAAAAGAAAATAAATAAATTCTATTTTTAAAAGTAACATTAATAAAACCTCAACAGTTAGTCTCCAATTCTTAGATAGCTCTTCGGATTTAACGACTCGGGGTCACCAATTAAGAGAAACGGTTTGATAATTAAAATGCTAGATATTGTAGTTCTCTTTATAACATCTTCATCAGTAGAAAAAACAAACTTATGACAGAGTTGTAAAACAAAAGATAGAAGAATAATAGAAAAATATAGTGTATTATGATGGCCAGTAATACGCCACATTAATAATAATTCAATCAGAGTTTTTTATTCATAATTCCTGCGAAATAAACAAATAAAAAAAAGAATGTAGTCACCACGCACTATATTATAGTCTTACATTATAGTAAACACTACGTTGTCACAGAACAAGTAATCATTTTTAGTTACAGTCATTTCTTGTGAATGTGACTAAATCTTTAATTCTGCTGCGATGTACGAAGCAAATTATATATATACTGGAGTGCAACTTATTTTTAATTTTTATGGCAACAGCGCCAATCATTGTCGTTATCCTTAATTTATGTACAGCGTACTTTCGTCATAGATTAAGTAACTGCTTAGATGTCACAGATTAGAAAAACAATAATAATAAAGTACCCTGTGTTTTACTTCATTTAAACAAATTTTAAATTCCAGACAAATTATGTTTTTGAAGACTATGAAGCATGGTCTCCGACCTTAGCCTTTTCAAAACGTAACAAACGTACTAAAAAAAAAAAAAAAAAAACAAATTTTAAAGCATATTTTCTGTTATTTTGCATTATTAAATACTAAATAATAATACCTATTATTATAATGATAGCTTTCCCGTGGTAGTAAACTGTGCTGCAACAATATGGAAGTTAATACTAATGAAAATATAAAGAAGGAAAATGATCCGGATGATAACATTGCCATTGAAATTCCTTTTGATTTATTAGATTATCTTAGTTCAAATGAATGCAACTTACAAAATGTATGCCGCATATGCCTCACTGTAAACAATGTTATGGTTCCTCTAGTAGATAATAAAGTATCCTCTGTATTGTGTATGTTATCTTCATTCACATCAATTGAAGTAAGTAAATTAATCATTATTATTTAGCATTTCAATGATTATTTAGTTGCTTGTACGTTCTAAAATGTTGTTCCCTAGAGATAGTATGGGGTCCTTAAAAATGAACTATCACTGTTCACTTGTTTGCTACTTTTCTAGTATTAAAAATTTAATCTTTTCATACACAGGTATACTTAATAAAAACTGCACAGAAGTGCTTATGTGATGCATGGGTGTGCATAAGTCAAACCCAGGTTTTTGTTGTTCTTAATTACCTATGGTATTATAATCTGATATTTAAACAAGTTTTTATCATATCAGAATATTTAAAAATTTTTTTATGTGAACTGGGTTATTGTGGAATCCCTGACAGTTTATATGAATATTATATAAATGTTCCAGTTTCTTCTTTTTGTTAAGCACTTACTTTTAAGATTTAACTTTTATTTCCCATACACAGGCATACGCAGAAGATGGCCTACCATTAAAAATTTGTGACATGTGTAGATCACAAGTTGAATATTGTTATGACTTTAAAGTTAAATGTGAAAAATCATATTGTACTCTAAAATCATTATTAAAAGAATTTTCTACCAAAGAACTCATTAACAAAGTGTAAGTTATATTTACATTTATTGTGTTTATTTATTCTATAAAAAAATATTTATCTTAAATCTATATTAACTTTTTTCAGTGTAGAAAATGTAATTAAAGAACAGAATTTAGCAGAGTCATCAATCAAGGCTGAATCTGAAATAAGAGGTTTGTATGATTAATATTAAATATATTTTTGTAAATAAAGTTATTTTGATGTGTTAAATATTTTAAACTCATACTATATACTTGAAGTTCATTAACTTGAACCTCATTAAGAGAAAATCCTAAGGAAGCTAAAACATAGTCATTCTTTTCTATTAATCTCCAATATATGCATTATCTTTAATTTCTTAATTTAAAAATTTTAAAAAGCAGATTCTGTAATGTGAAGTTAGTCAAATTAATTTTTGATATCCAGAACTAATTGCAATAAGATCTTTTGTAAATCCTGAAATTTCTTAACTGTTAAACATTTATAATTAAACTGTTATTCTACAACTCATAAAATATACTTAAAATTAATTGCCTTAGTAAGTTGAAAGTTTAAAAACCAGAATGTTATTTGTTAAGTTATTCAATTCATTAATATGATATTTTTTTGTATTTCTTTTGTAATTCTAATTTTCGAAATTCTACTGTATTGAAGAGTAATATTATAATTACTAATTTGATATATATTTACAGATATTGAATATCTGGAGGACTTTGATGATATTACAAGTGATAATGAAGGTCTCTTTATTGTACAACATGCAAAAGAAAGTAAAAAGTGGGTAAAATAATTATAATAATGTAATACACATTATTATAGTTTACTGTTACTAATATATTCTTTTATTTTCAGGAAGATTCATGAAAATCCAATTGAAGGTAAGTTATGTTGTGTGAGTGGGTAACATATGGTACAATATTATATTTTATTTTATTAGAATTTTGAAATAATGAATCTAAGGAATAATTATTATAATATAAACAAATATTGGTAATTATTATATTTTTTTTTTGTTACAGATTGCAATACATACTCAGGAAACGTGATTTCAAAGATTAAAACACTTAATAAAGCGCAGAAATCATATAGTTGTTTATTCTGTTCAAAGGTAAATATAAAAAATATTTATAAAATGAGTTTAAATAATATTCTATATTATATATAATGCTACATTATAAATAATATTATATCCAACCAAAAATTATATAGTTCAATTGTTAATTGAACTATAGTTAGGAATTAAGTTCCTTTCCATTTATTTACAGTTTTTTATATTGTACTATTTTTGAATAAATTATATATACTATATTTAACTTTATATTTTTTAGACATTCCTTAGAATGAAACTATTAAGAAATCACATGAAAAAACATGAGATATCTGAAAAATCACATTCATGTACACAATGCAAAAATTCATTCAGTTCTGAACATGATCTAAGATTACATTCTGCACTACATGAAATGGGTCCTACATGGAGATGCAACAAGTGTCAGAAAGAATTTAAAGGTAAGTAAATATAAATAATCCTAAGTAATAAAAATTTTTAATTAAGTGTTCATATTGAACTATAAGAAATTATTTCTGTTTGGGCAACCTTACTAGACTAATAAATGACATTATGGTCAATAAGTCGATTATTGTGTTTTTTATAGATATTGATATTGCTTATAATAATGTAAATATTCATTCCATGATTATGACATTGGAAATAATTGGGATTAACAACAAAATTTGTAAATATCTATAGAATTGTAGTCATAGCAAATGGAAGTAATGAAGGGCTCGTATGATATACAGGAAAAGGTCTCTCTCAAGGAGATCCATTTTCCATATTCATTATCGCCACTATACTATAAATAAATCTATTATAGCTGTGGTAACATTAAATAATGGAATATTGTACCTCCTTGTATAGAATGTTCGTCGTCAAGAACGTCGGCAACATATTCGCATAGATGACGTTTTATCTCTTGGTGCCATACGTCAGCTGGTGTGCCGCAGGGTGGCGTCTTATCTCCTCTTCTATTTGCCTTATTTATTAGAACTTTCACTTCGAAACTTCAATCTTTTTACCACCTTTATGCAGATGATCTACAGATTTACTCTTTGGCCCCTCTTTTTGATATCGCTTTAGCGATATCTACTTGAGCGTCTTCAAAATTTATGTGTCCGCTTCATATTTAGTCTTCGCGAATATGATCACATTTCTCAATTTCGTACTTAACTCAAGTGGCTCCCTATCCATTTTCATCTTAATTTTAATATCCTCTCTCTTTTTCACACAATCCTTTTTAATCCCGCTGCTCCTGATTATCTAAAAGACCGATTCTTGTTTTTCAGTGAGGCTAATGATCATACTTTACGCAGTGTCAATAACCTCCGCTTCTTCCTTTATATCTTCCCAAAAAAACTAGCTTAAGTATGTATATCTCTTCGTTTATATATATATTGTGTATGTGTGTATATATATATATATATATATATATATATATATATATATATATATATATATATATATATATATATATATATATATGTATGTATATATGTTTATATATGATAATATTTATATATTAGTGCGTCACCTACCCTTTGTTTTTTTCTTAATGTCCTCTACTTAAAGGTTGTCTGGAAGAGATTGTTTAGCGATAAGGCCGCCTTTTGTACCACTTCTCATTAATATATACTGTATTTGTTATTTTTCTTTTTGGTGCAATAAAGTGAAAAATAAATAATTAAATAAATGTTACTATATTTTGTTATGTTTAATAGAGTTATTTATATATACGATTTAATTTCTGAAAATAATGAAATTATTTTAAAATTTCTGAAAATAAATGAGTTTCATATTGAACTCCTTCATATTCTTTGTTATTTGATATACTTGTTTACAAAAGTTATTTGTAATGTTTCTCAGCAAAATCAATGTTGAATCGTCACATCCAACGGCACATGGAACTAAAGCGATATGCATGTGAGGCTTGCGGCAAACCATTTACAGAACTATATGCTCTACGACGACATTCGCGTGTTCACACCGGTGAAACGATCGAGAAGAAACATGCTTGCCATATCTGCAACAAGAGGTGAATAACACACTAAAGTGTATCTATGACGTTCATATATAACAGTTGCCCAATAAGTTATCGATCTAATCATTTTTTCTAGTTATATAAAAAGTTGATGTTATTAATTATACCTTTATATCACTCTTTAAACCTTTTAAAATTTTTGAAAAGTTTAAATCCTTGTAAATAAAGGCTCTCAATTTGTCTGTAATTTGTGTATATTTTGATTTTGAAATTTTTTTATATGTTTTTATCTTTTTTTATTAATGATTTTATAGATTTAAGAACCCTTTAAGACCAGATTCCAGTATGGAGTTAAAAATTATGCTATAAACGCAATAAATATTGCCGGCATGCTTATGTCTGTCGCTAATTATCGTACAGATATAGTGAGAGTAAACTGCTGGAAGCACACATAGCGCGCCACAATGGCGTGCGGCCATATGCCTGTTCTTGCGGCAAGACGTTCCCGTCGCCGCGCCTGCTCGCCTCCCACCGGCTAGTGCACTCCGACCGCAAACCTTACGCGTGCAATTACTGCGACAAAAGGTAATCTTGACATATTGAAATAACACTGTATAATGTTGTAAAACATTGAATGTGATTTGTTCGCTTAAATAACTGTCCCTTGTAATCAATTTTTTTTTTCAACTTTCCCTTGTATAAAAATTGTAATAATTAAAATACAAATGCACTTTTATGTAGGGCGTCATGACAGACAGAAGAAGTGTTCCATTAACAATGTTGCCAACCTTAGGCACAAATATCATAGAATATACTACACACTGGATTTTTCTTGAGAGAATAATATTTTAGAGTCATCGCAATATTTCTTTAATATAGGTTGTTTTCACTAAATAACAAAAAAATATTTTTTTTATATGTGTTCTGTTTCCAAAACATATGATCGAACCATAATTATAGTAATATAAAGTGAAGGCATTAGAAATGGGATATGACAAAGGCTACTAAAAATATAAGAATATTTTTTGTTTAGGCATACATTTATTATTCTAAACAAAAATATTATATCTGTCTCTTCTAATTTTTTTTATTTCTGATTAGCTTCAGATCGACTTTCTCACTATATCCCTCGTTATTAATTTTATAAGCCATTGTGTAAAATGAGCTTCAATACAAATAGATTCCGTCACGAGTCGACACGGAATACCCACCACCGCACACATACCGGCGAGAAGCCTTATATCTGCTCCACTTGCGGGAAGAGGTTCATACAGAACTCCAACCTGACGTTGCACATGAGAACGCACACAGGTAACACTGATAAATACCTTATCTATTTTTATTTATACATGTATCGTATTCGCGGTGTAGATCCCGATATAGAATAGGCCACCCCATCCTTTCCCGCGAGTATCGTAAGAAGCGACTAAGGGAGTCGAGGAATGAGCAGCAGCGTTCCTCTTAAAACATCACCAGAAGCCAAACTGCAGTTGTCAATCCGCCTGCCAAGCGTGACTACTAGCAAAACTCCCTTTATGGGGGAGGCCATGTTCAACAGTGGACAGTTAACGGCTAATACAATACAATGTACCGTTAGAGGGCGTTACTTAAATCGATCATTACACTATATTAAAGCAATTAACTCTTAAAATTATACAAGGCTCTTATTAACCCAACGGGTTTGGAAATAAGAATATAAAATGTCACTATTCCATTTCGTTTCCAGGATGATATAATAGGCGAGTAAGGAAATAAAGTACAATGTACCAATGCAAGACAAAAGAAGAACTCGCAAACTGTATATCAAGCTATTTGACCAAGACCAAGTTAATTGATGGCCCTCCTATAACTACTTTGGTCTATTCTTTAAATTCACCCATATTCATATTTATGTACGTGTATTCTGGTAAAACCTTTATATATTTAAATTTTCTTAATAGTACGCTGTCAATATTTCAGGCGAGAGACCATATTCGTGTGATAAGTGCGATCGCAAATTCACCTCGGGACCGTCACTCAAATGCCACCAGCGAACTCATACAGGGGAAAAACCATACAGTTGTAATATTTGCGGGAAAAGGTAAGATGAGACCTCCTCCACTATAGCGAGCACTATAGCGAAAATTATATAATTTTTTGTCTCGTTACTTTGAACTCGTACGCCTGCTAAGAGTTTTATTTTCTTGCAAATCAATAAATATTTGTTTGCTTGACTAGTATTATAAAATCTTTCATTATTTTGAAGATTCTAGAACAATCCCATTGTTTTCATCATACGTTAATCGTTATGGAAGTACGCATGTACGTGTTTCACGGCATTCATTTTATTAACAGACTTCAAAAATAAGGAGGTTCTCAATTCGATTGTACTTTTTTTTACTTCATAACTTCGTCAGTTGTAAACCGAATTGGAAAATTATATTTTTATTTGAAAGCATATTCAGATTGGTCCCAAAGAAGTTTTATCAAAATTGGTTCAGTAGTTTAGTGTTTAAATCAAAATAACTGGGTCTGCCACTATTGAAAGTGAGCTTTTTGTTTGGAACACAATCTTATTGTTTATGAAACTGGGTCGCCTTTTAATTTCGTTAAAAAAAAATTACAAAAAACAAATTGGTCAAAAATTGTCTCCCTTTTAGAGCAGTGTTTTTCAACGTGTGGATCGCGACCCCCTGGTGAGTCGCGATGCCTCTATAGGGGGGTTGCGAAAATTACCTCAGTAATAAAAACGAAGTTATAAACATAGATTTAATAAGAATAATGATAATTTAAACATTTGTATGATAATACAAATTAACAAAAAAAAAGTAAATCGGGGGTCGCGATATATTTATCTTACTGGGGGGTTCGGTCATGTCCTGAAAACCCTTGAAAAACACTGTTTTAGAACATGGAACCTAAGGATCCGATCGAAAATTCATTGGGATTTATTTTTAAATATAATAAATACTATTATTTATGTCATGATTCTAATAAGAATTTAAAATGCAATCTTTAAAATCAAATATAATATTGGCAGATTTGCTCGGATGGACCTAAGTGCTCATATGAGGTATCACACAGGAGAGAGACCCTTCGCTTGCAGCGTGTGCCCCAAAAAATTTATCAACGCTACTCGACTGCGGGATCATTGTCGTATGCATACAGGTATTATAATTTATCTTAGAAACGGCATAAGAACCGCAGACATGCCTTCATCTGAAGATATAGAAACTTTATGTTCTTATTCATGTAGATAGCTCAATTAACTCTTAATATAGAATAGTATAGGTGATATCAAACCTCGCTTATTCCGAATTTTTTCAATCATACAGAAATTTCAATAATTTTTTTAAACATTTTTTAATGGTATTGTATCACAGGTTTATTTACAATTCGCTATTTGACAGTCGTAGCAATATGATTTTTTTTCTTTATGGTAGCTTCTAAGTAAACAATCATACAGTATGTTTTTTGTATTTTTTAATATATTTTTTTAAATATAAAATATTAATAATAATTATTATTAATATTTTATATTATGAAAATTATTCTGAGTTTTTTATCTGTGATTGACAAGGAGCGGCCATGATTGATCTTCGTATGACGTCCTAAGTCAGTACAAAACGTTGTTAAGTACTCAATTCATTTGTTCTATAGTTTGCTGAGAAAAAGTGGAGAAAAATCGCTCAAATACTTCAATTTGTGCTGTCTAAAGAGCTTGCCTGTGGAGACCCTGTTCGTTTTAGTCTTTCCGGTTGACAATGAAATTTCGATGACAAACAGACAGGTTTTTATTTTACCAATAGAACCTGTATTATACTGTATTGGATAATTTTCCATATCATGTATTGAAAAACAAAGATCATTAGTCATTTTCCATATCTAAGAATAGGTTAAATTTAATTAATTTTTTGAAAATCAAACATATTGATTTATTTTAAATACATCAAAGTAATCCTCACAAAAGAATATCGTAGACTTATCAGACGTAAACTATGGGTCTCAACGTGCCAATTGTAAGCAGTGCTTTCGACATTTTGGGCATTTAGTAACGTGTATAAACAATTTGTTGGGGCATTTAATTGTAGTAACACATAGGCACACGTTAATTTTCATTTAATTATATTTTTTTTCAATTTTTAAAATCAAACATATTTTTTGATTTTTTTTTATTTTAAATACATCAAATCTACGTAGTAAAATAAGTTTAATGGAGGATGAAACTATGTGTAACGACCCGTTTGAAAACATTATTTGAACAAATATGAATATCCGATTCAAAAGGATATTTTCATGTCTCGTATCACTTATCAGACGTAAGTTTTTTATTGAGTTTGCTTTAAGGGATGCCTTCTAATGGTGTAAATATTAACTAACAATTTTATCAACGATCGAAATATATATATTTAGTGATGTAATAATTAAAAAATGTGTTCAACAAAAAACAATTTTTTTTTTTATTGTAACATCAACGCCAAGTAACGTGAGGGTAGTTTAGGCAACGAAAATGTTTTATGATTATGAACATATTTTATGTTTATCGTACCTACTCATAAAGATTCTATTTTATATAATGCAAAGGTAATAATAATATTGTTTTATTATACGTATGTACGTACATATATTATGTAGCACACTTGCCTATTATTTAACCAAAGTATTAGAGACATCATTTTGTTTATTTCTCCGTCCTTTCCCATAGTTTAAATGAAACAATTTAAATTCTTCGACACTAACTAATTTCAAGTTTATATGAATTTAGATTTATACAAAGTGCTGAGGATTTTCTTCTACCCGCCGTATTAGTAGAAATACTGTATCACGGTCAAGTATGAATCCATGTTTGTGACAAGAAATGTAAACAACCAAAGACAATTTCATCCGTAAAAGTTCAAAAGTGAGTTAATGCTTGATTGCAATAAGGTACAATATTGTATACACTGTAACAAAGCGAGCTGCATTTTTAGAACATAGTAAATGCGCAACTTTAAGATAATTCATTGTTAGAATTGTGTACATAACTTTATACGGATATGTATATATAATCAAATGCGCATGTATACATAATCGTCACAGTATCCTTTTTATGAATTTGGACTATTTAATTGTTTTTAAGTATACATTATTTTATTTATGACTAATAACTCAAAACTTAATATATAACTATAACCAAATAAAATATAAGAGACAATTAATAAAGATTAAATATAGACATGCATGATTGTGTTCAAGATTTATATGTCATATTATGTAAAATATGCATGTGTGCGCACAGTGTTTTGTGTGTGTGTGTGTGTGTGTGTGTGTGCGTGTATGTGTGTGTGTGTATGTATGTTTATTCATACTCTCATTAGATTTTCGGTAGCATTATTATCCGTTTCCAATAAGTAATTATCAACTATTTTTTTACACAAATACGTAGCATTTCAAACCAAAAGATAAAAAATTCATGTTTTCTCTATCAAATAAAGCTGTTTTTGAAATAAAGATAATTGTAAGGGGTTTAAAATAAATAAATTGGCAAGTAGCTAATTATGATTACGTACTAATACACAACTGCTGAAAGAAACATTAGTGAAACGTCTTTTCCTTTACTTTTCAACATATGTATAACTAGGCATATATCTGCTCACATGAGGATTAAAATTATGCTTTATGAGAGACAGGAATTAACGCATTTGCTTAGGTGAAGTATGTAATTTACATGGATTAACTCGACGTTTTAGTTAGGCAGTTTACCATGAAATGAAATTCCGTATTTTTGGACATAATTTCGTGTTTTTGTTTATAACGCAATCGACGTAAATGGAGCTTAACATTTCAACAACGCTGTTCCCATTTCTAATAAACCAGAAACCATGTAAGGCGAAAAATGAAGTTGAAATTTTTTTTATACCACTGAGGTGTCAGACAAGCATACGGCCCACCTGATGGTAGGCGGTTACCGTAGCCTATGAACGCCTGCAATACCAGAGGTATTACGCGCGCGTTGCCGACTCTGAAGAAACCTCTTTACCCCCCTTTTGAAGAACCCCATGCTATAGTCTCTTGAGAAAACCTCGGCAGGGAGCTCATTCCATATATATATATATATCTTATGTTAATATTATTTTTATTATTGTTAACAGGTGAAAAACCATTTGAATGCGCGATGTGTACGCAAAAATTCGCTACAAAAGCACATTTAGTGAAACATATAAAAATACATGAGACAAAAAAGAAAGTTGATAAGAGGAAAATGGTGTTAGTAAAGAGTATAGAATATGGCAGACCAATAATTGTCACAGATAAATTTATTATTAGTACAGAAGCCGACGAAATTGGAGTAATAACTGCAGAACAGAATATTACACAAAATGAGATGGAGCAAACTAATGAGGTAAAAAACCAATTTGAAGTCACTGTTCAAGATGATACAGATGTTAATACCAAAGTGTTAGTTGTTAATAACACCAAAGATAATTTAGAGCATCAGAATAAGGATACAGGTGATGGGGTCGCATACATGAACAGTGATGTTAGTTTTGCTGGCAATGTCAAATTGGTAACGACAAATCAAGAAGAGATGAATATAGCTAGCATAGCAGCTCCAATTTTAGAAGGCACAGCTCTGAAGTTGTACCAAGTAGATCAAAGTTTAGTACAAATTCATAGTTCTGCAGGTCAAGTCACTATTAGTAAAATAACTAGTAAGATGACTGCAAACTTTTAGAAATGACTATTAAATTATTATATTACTTCAACCAATTTTATTTACTTACGCTCCTCATTTCCTCCATGTATATGTTAATTGATTACATCAGTGAATATTAAAATTTAAAAGGTTTTTTATGGTTGCACAACATTTGTGCTCCATAAGTTGGGATAGTCGCATCTCGACTACCCCTCTTAATTGATCAGTAAAATATAATCAATAATAATATTACTTAATTATAAAAACCATCAAATAAAAATGTAGAGGCCTTTGGGACTAGATTTTCTCTACCTATTTCCTAAACAAATTAGTGTAAAATTTATGGTCAGGGAAAGAAAATATAATTATATTTTAATCAAAACTTATATGCAAAAATCTCAAGCTAATAAAACGTTAAATAAATGAAAATTTATATTATAAATAACAATTTATTTCACTTAAACAAAAAATATACTTTGTAACTAGAATGCTCATTTGGAAACGCCTATCTCACTCGTAACATGCCATAAGGCATTAAAACCACGATGTCTTCTTTCCTGCTACATACTTTTGAATATTTACAAGTATTGAATTATAGATTTCTGTAGCATTTCTATTTTGACCATAATAATCTACAAACTCGCCATCTGGATCTACTAAGTATATTATGATTGTGTGGTCCACCTGCAAAAATATTTTAAAGAAAATTTATTGTTTGTGAAATATGCATACAGTGAATCAGGTTCTTTAAATGAGAAAGTTGCATAAATTTCATGCAAATAGGAATTTTTCATTGTACTGTAAAATTTTATTCATGTTGAAGAAAATTTTACAGTACAATGATTAAAAACTGCCTTAACATCATCGATACTAATGTTATGAATGTGGAGAACTTTGTTAGTTCTTAAGATCTTAATGACTTATCCAGCCATTATATTTGATATATTTGAGACTACAGGTACTATTTGAGATGGCACAGTATATCTTGATCATGCAAACAAAATTATAATAGAATTATATATAGAATATAACAAAAACAAAATTGTAATAGCCAATAAGATATAAATGGCATATTAGGCACTTAGTTGAACAAAAGCCTTAGCAAAAATAAGAATAAAGTATAATATCTACTTTTAAAAATCTTACTCACAATGTAATCATTATCAACATCTTGTGGGCCTGCACTAAAATATACTCTGTAGGATTTGCAAGCCTGTTGTACTTGTTCTTTTGTACCAGTCAAACCCAGTAACCGTGGAGAGAATTCTTTGCAGTACCTATAAATATAAAAAAATCATGTTTAAATATCTAAAAGAATTTAAAAACATGAAAATGTGTATATCTTTTAGCATATTTTTGTCATGAACAAAGTTATACAGTACAAGTTGATTAGAATATAACTTACTTTCCTACTATCTCTGGGGTATCTCTCTGAGGGTCAACAGATATGAATAATGGTTGCAAGGGTGGTGATGAAGGAGTATTATCTGAAACAGTTAAATTTCAATATACACCTCTTTATGTTAGATGAAAAATGTTCTCAAGTTACATGAATAGTTAAAAAATCAAATTAAAAAAAAATTTTAAAAAATCTTTTAGGTATACAATAACTGTAAAATATTTCAGGTTACCTTTAATGTCTTTTAACTTTTTTTTAATTTCATTTTTATAATGAGTACAGATACTATACAAAATTATTACCATGGAGTTTTACCACCTCTGCTAGTTTCTCCAGTTCATCTGGACATATATCAGGACAGTGGGTAAATCCAAAATATATCAATAACCATTTTCCTAAGAAATCTGTATTTTTCACTGTTTTACCCTACAAATAAAATTATTTATTTATTATATTTATATAATAGTATTATGAATGAACCATTGCATATTGTGTTATATAGATTTAACAACTCCTTTATTATAAATATTCATCTACACTAAATGAATTAACAAAAAGTTTAAAAAAGAAACACTGTGTTAATCTATACTACTTAATTTCAGTATACCCATTCACTCTCTTTAATATTTAAAGAAATCTGACTGGTCATGAAAAACTACTAAGTCTAGAAATAAAAATTTTGTACATTTCCATAGAATATTTAGTAATTTTTTTGTAAAGACCCATACAAATAAAAAGATAGTTCTAATCATACTCCAAACAATTCAGTAATTTAACAATAAAAATGTAATATACTCATTTTGAATTTATATAGAAAATGATTTGTAATAGTTTACCTCTGAGTCCACTAGTTCAAATGTGCCTCCTATCTTTGCCTTGCCTAACTGTCGTTTCCTTTCACGATCTAAAGCTTCTTGTTTCTCTTTTCTGACATAAAGCATGAAACCTGTTAGTCCCCCCGCAACTACTGCCGTCGCAACCATTGATTTCCATGTTATTGGCGCAAAAAACTGCTTTGGAGGTTTTTTTGGAGGAACAGCACATTGCTTCACGGTGGTTGTGGAAAATGAACGGCATAAAAAATTACACCTACTTCGTAAAATTGAATTCATTTTATATATTTCAGTTTCTAATGTATTTAGCAATTACTACGAAAAATATATTAAGCAACAATATTGAAATAGAATTTATAATTTTTTTTTTTTTAGTACGTTTGTTCCGTTTGGAACAGGCTAAGGTCGGAGACCATGCTGCCTAGTCTTCAAAAAGATAATTTGTCTGGAATTAGAATTTATAATGTTATGTATCAACCGGCTCTCAATACCTTTATAATTTTATTAATTGAATACACAGATTAGAAAGACTATGTCTACAGATTCAATACAGGAATTCAGTTTTTTTTTTTTTACTTTCATTTATGTTTATCGGCTGAAATTGAAATCGTCATTCGCTTGTCACTGTCAAATTACTGTCAAAGACTCACTGTCAAACTTTGTGTCATAACGTAAGAACAAGGAATTACAATGTAATTCCTTGTTCTTAGTTCATAACCATAGATTAATCTTTAATTATTTATCTAAGTACACAATATACAACGCACACTTTAAAGATATTTTGTACTTTTCTAGTAACTAACAATTATAAATATTTACGTAAGTACCTAGATAGTGTATCTAAAAATTAAATTCGTTATAGATATTTTTCCATTAATGTCTGATAGGGTATATTGGTAGCAATGAGACTAATAGTCCGCATTAGTAACAATTCCTGTTTCTCCTATTGACTAACCGTTTAGCAAACGCATACTAGCTACTTTGTACAAAGATCGTCTAAAAAACTTGTTAGCTGTGAACCCTATTCTTAATCTGTGATTTATAGCATAAACCAATGTGTATTGGTATTGATTGTTTTTTTTTTAAATATCTTTCTGTTTCTTGCATTGTCACATAGCAGACAGAATAAAACTTTTTCTGCTCAAATTACCAAATTTAATTTACATTATCCCATAAAATACTTGCTAAACGTTCTAAACTATGCATACATATGCATAAAAGTATGCACCCTTTTACTTAAAATTGCTTCAATACAAATCTTATGAATTCCACATAGATGCTACCGATATACCGAAATGGTATATTTAAAATACCAAAATTATTCTAATGTCGAGTTGAGCATAGACTTAGTATACTGTACGATGTACTAAGAGTTTAATGATTTATGTAATAATATTCGATACATTTGTCGATATTTAAGTTCAAGTCAAATTGTTTCGATATAAAAATTTGTCAACCTATCAACCTGTCAACCTGTCATGCTTAGAGCCTAATCATAATTAATAATTCATAATCGTAAAATTAATAAGGATATACAGGTTTTGAAAATATAATGAAGAATCTTAGGTATTAATCAGCATTTTGTAGCCATTACCATTGCTCAGACGACAATACTTAATGTCTATCGATATCAAGTTGTAGGTTAATATTAATACTAAGATTATATATTCATCATCAGTCTTATATCAGCACTTAACTGTCCACTGCTGAACATAAGCCTCCCCCTTAGGGGGTTTTGCCAGTAGTTGCCAAGCTTGGCAGGCGGATTGGCAACCGCATCAGGAGCGATAGTAATAGCATTGGGGACTAACCTCCCCAACTCCTCTAACAATTCCATTATCATCTATTAAAAAAAATTGTAGTTTAGTGCACTAAAATCATTATTTTGATTTAAGTTTATTACGAATTTAGTTCATATTGTTTCTTGAAATAAAGATTTCTCTTAAACAAAGATTTTAATTTTAGTTTTATAATCTCTAAAATTAAAATTTTAATAAAAAAATATTTTTAGAAATATAGATAATCTGCCGCAATATCTGAATTATTAGGTTTAATTAGATTACTTAGATATAATCGTGAAAGTGTGTTTGTGTTTTATTTACTAATCTCAATGAAAGACGTAATGTTTGAAATGAAGAAGAACATAGGCTATTTTTTATTCTACTTACGCTTATGAAGTCGCGGCCATTGCTAGACATAAACGAATGAATACAATTAGATAGTTACTTGCACTATCACACTGATTGTAAAATGAGTTCAAAATACAAGTGACTTGAAAATTTTAATTTCGAAATTTTGTCAATAGAGTCGTGCTTTAGTTAATGAAAAATGTCAAAAGGCGGGGTAACCACAACCGCAGCCCTGTGGCTCGAGGTTTATATATACAGTCGTATCGTCGTTTAGTCCCAAATTCAGTTAGACTCTCCAGAGAGTATCATATTCTGTAAAATGTGGACAATTTTCTGCGTAAGTTTACTAATATTTTATAATTTATTTTATAAAAATAATGTTTAAATTGCACAAGAGATAGGTAATGTAAATATTATATTCGTACCTAGTTATTTATATTTTGCATTATTTCATTTAATATTAACCATCAATAATAATTATAATGTTTTTTTTTTATGGTATTTGTTAAATGGTAGACAAGCGAACGGCCCATCTGATGGAAGTCTATATATGTGAACAGCATTATAGATAACACGCAAAATATATCATAGTATATTTTGCGTGTTATCTATGATGCTGTTCACGTTGATGATGCCCATGATGTTGAACACAAAAGTCAATATTTTTATGTCTACGACTCGAAAGAATTGATACAACATCAGGTCCCTTACACGATTGATAAACGAACCCATTTACAAAATTGTTACTGTTACGCGACTACAACGACGATAGGTCTTCTGAGCCTCCTGGTGGGAGAGTTAGGTTGAGGCCTCGGGGCGGACCCCTTTGCCTCGGCTTCAACTCCGGGGGCGATTATCCCCGGATCGGTTGCTCAATGCTCTTCCCTTTTAGGTGAGGCGTGGTCTTCTGCTTATTAATGTTAGCGAATCCATGAGATAAAATGAGGCGCCAAATGTCGCTATATTTGTTTGTTTACTTAGAAGCAAGCGAATCCATTAGATAGCGATATCTGGTGTATCATTTTATCTTATGGCGTCTAGGGGTCATGTATCCTGAACGCCATACTCTTTTAGAATTTATCACCACCACTACCATTCGTGTTAGTACGACTAGTGCGCTATTATATCTGAGGAAAAGTATTAAACATTTGTAGATATACTGTAATTTATCTGGCTTATCCCTTGAAAATTTTTGAAATCGAAACACAGCTACATATGTATAAAAAAGCACATCATTGCATGACGACATATAGACGAATGAAGCAGAGGTACGCATGCCACTTTTACAAATTCTCCTTCTGGGTAATCTGTTACAACTATTTACCTAATGACTTGATAAATCAACTGCATAAAAGTAGATATTTATCTATTTACTCGTACACAGAGATATGTATCATCTAATTTATTGGAACAAACGTTTTCCGCAACTTCCTATCTAGAAGCTAATTCATATATTTCAGTTGGTTTTACTTGCTTGTATGTCGATTTGGACAAATGTATCAGGTCAAGAGTACTTACCGCCGAAAATCGGCGGAGGAAGTTCCAAGAAATCAGCACAAGAGCCTACGGTAAACTAATGTTTTTTCATTAATATTATTTATAAATAAGTGTCTAAGTTATATATACGAGGTTTGTCCGGAAAGTACGTATAAAAGTTTTTTAAAAATTTTATTTTACAATTATTCAGGTAAATCAATTTTATCCCCTTCAAAGTACTCCCCCTGTGACATAATGCACTTGTGCCAACGCCGTTTCCACTGTGAGAAGGCTCCTTGAAAGTCCTCTGTTTTTTCAGCTGCCCCGTCGTAATATGTATTTATAAATAAGTGTCTAAGTTATATATATATATATAATTCCATAGTCCCTTGTTGCCCTAAAATAAGCCGAGTTTTTGTTATGGAATAATAGTAAGTACTATATTATATATATTGATATCAGGATCCAATATAGACAATAGGGGGGAGGGGTAAAATTGAGATTGAAGGCGATTAACTGCTAAAAAGTATTTGATTGTTTGTTTTGTTGACAATATAACACAATATTTTATAAAGTACCGTTGTTGATGGCGGCAAATATTATTATAAGTTCGTTCGGCAAAATAATTAGATCAAATTCGGTTGGAGCAGAGTGGACAAAAGTGTTATAAGTTGACATTGCTATCACATTTTAAGAATTCTCTTCTCTATGTATAATCGTGCGGCATTAAAGCAGCGTGAAGAGATGCATTTGATGGCTGTTAAGTTGATGTTTGCCAACACAATACATATTGTTGTTTTGGCGACCCTCACGTTTACATTACCTTCTTACTATCAGGTTGGGTGTGGTCACTTTGATTAGCTCCTATATAAAAAAAGATTCCTGTGGAGAAAATGGTGAACATGTTTGACATGAATTATAAAAATGGACGTAAAAAAATATATAAACGCGTTAACATTAAAGTTCTTTAGCAGCATTCACAATGCTTTCTGACTCTCTAAAGGATCTAGTGGAAAGAAATAAACCACAAGTAATATTGGACTTCAACTAAAGATATTAATTTCAGTTACCAGCGAATTATGACTTCTCTTATGATGTGCAAGATAATGCAGTAAGTCTTGACTTTGGCCACAACGAAAAGAGAAAAGACGACCGTGCGACAGGCTCATTCCATGTGTTGTTGCCCGATGGTAGAATGCAGTTGGTCGAGTACGAGGCTGGACCAGATGGGTATAAACCTCAGGTATACTTAAAACCTACATACATAATTGCTTCAGACAGTTCAATATTTCCACAAAAAGTTATTGCATTGGCCACATGTATATCCTTTTGATTAAAAATCATCAAATTCGGACCAGAAATAAAGAAAATGTTGCGTAACCTATTGACACAGAATAAGGAGTAGAATTTATAAGATACGCTTTTTTAAAAATCGCTTTATTGTAGTGATATATACCTACTAACCCACTAGAAAACATTACCACGATAAATTTATCCGTCCCATCAGTGTGCAATGTAACATCTGAACAGTCTTTATAAACTTTCACAAAATTTTATAATACGTAATATTCATAGATAATGTTGTTAGATAGTAAGAGAGATGTGTATTCTGACTAAATATGTACATTGCACCTATTATATTACTTTGTTTACAGACTTGATACTATCCTCGCGGATTATAACGTTGTCAAATTATGTATTTTTTCGCAATTTTGAGTAAAATTTGTTTTGATGAAATTTAAAAATATTGAAAAGTTGAACAAATTTTTAGTTTCACAATAACATTCATCATATTAAAATAATATTAATGTCAGCGTTGAAAAGGGAGTTTTTAGGGTCCCGTGCTCCCAAAGGAAAAACGGAACCCTTATAAGATCACTGCATTGTCCGTCCCTCTGTCTATCAAGACCCTTTTTCTTAGGAACGCGTGATGTTATTAAGTTGAAATTAATAATATACATATATTAAGATCTACAATCTTTTAAAGCAATGAATAAAATCAAACTTCTAAATCGACGCAATCAAAAGATACGGACGTTTATGTTCCATTTATATCGCATATTTTGACATTCGCAAAGGGAATCAAACCCTATAGGGTACCGTTGACCTAGAATCATAAAATTTGCAAGAAGCAATTCCATATAGTACAAGTAAAAGAAAAAATCCAAAAAAATTATGATTTTGTACGAAACCCTTATTGCGCGAGTCTGACTTGCACTTGACTGGTATTTTATTTTATTTTATCGCTATATATATATATATATATATATATATATATATATATATATACATATATACATATATACGATCTGTCCGGAAATTCGTATAAAAGTGTTATGGAATGCGAGAAAGAGTAGTGTGGAGGCCAGGTAAGCGCAGGACACCTTCATTATGTCCCTAACAATGCTTCAGTTCTGGTCTGACTCTCTAAAGGATCTTGTCACGATCTGTGAAGTTACCTCTTAACGAAACCCCAAGTCGGCATGGAGCCCGCTTCCGTTGAAGAAAGCGCGTCGTAATCAAGTTTCAGTCTCGAAACTCAGGCAAGAATGCTTTGAAATTTTTGCCGATCTCATAACTGTTTATGGGGATGATGCTGTGAAGGATAAACCGTCCACAAGTATAAAAAAGATTCAGAGAGGGCCGAGAAAGCGTTCCAGATGTTCATCAAGAATTCGTCCCTCCAGGCCAGACAGTTGATGGAAAATTCTACGTCGATTGTTGCCCAGACGCCTCAAATACACAACTCGTGTGGCACGAGTTCGTCCAGAATTGGCGCGAGAGGGGCGTTGGATTCTTCACCACGACAATGCCCCTGCATACACCTCTCTTGTTTCAATGAGTTTTTGAGTAAAAATTCCATTACGGTGACCGAACACCCCCCAGCCATTCGCCGGATTTGGCCCCGTGTGACTATCTTCTTGATTCCCAAAAATCCAAATTGGTACTTCGGGGGCGGCATTTGGGGGACATAAATGAGATAAAAAAAGCTACGACAGCTGAGAAACCTAAACCAGTAGGACTTTCAAGGACGCTTTCTCACAGTGGAAACGGCGTTGGCACAATGCATTATGTCACAGGGGTTTTCGAGTACTTTGAACATAAATTTATTTACCTGAATAATTGTAAAATAAAATTTTTAACAAACTTTTATAAACTTTCACAAACCTCGTATATATATACGAGGTCTGTCCGGAAAGTTCGTAAAAAGTGTTCTGGAATGCGAGAAAGAGAGATGGGTAGGCCAGGTAAGCGCAGGACATTCCTTATGTCCCTATTTCAATGTTTCAGTTCTGGTCTGACCCCGTGCGGATTAAAAATAACGGCTTGTCACGCCATCTATGAAGTTTTTAACGAAATTTTCGGCAGTATATATTTGCTTCCGTTGAAGAGCATTTAAAAAGTTTCTCTCGAAACTCGGCAAGAATGGCCGTGAAATTTTTGCCGATCTCAGAATAACATTATGGGGATGATGCTGTGAAGGAACCATTACCGTCCACAAGTGGAAAAAGATTCAGAGAGGGCCGAGAAAGCGTTCAAGATGTTCATCAAAAAAAACGTCCCTCCAGGCCAGACAGTTGATGGAAAATTCTACGTCGATGTGCTCAGACCCTCAAAGCTCTATGGCAATATACACGTTTTTCCAGAATTGGCGCGAGAGGGGCGTTGGATTCTTCACCACGACAATGCCCCTACATCTCTTGTTGTCCGTGAGTTTTTGAGTAAAAATTCCATTAAATGACCGAACACTTAAAAATCGCCGGAATCAAAAGATACGTGTGACTTTATTCTTGTTCCCAAAAACCAATATTGGTACTTCGGGGGCGGCATTTGGGGGACATAAATGAGATAAAAAAAGCTACGACGGGGCAGTTGAGAAACCTACAATCAGAGGATTTTCAAGATAGCAAACATCTCACATAGTGGAAAAAAAAAAATGGCACAAAAATTATGCATTTTGTCACAGGGGGAACCCTTAAGGGGATAAAATTGATTTACCTGAATAATTGTAAAATAAAATTTATTTTAAAAAAGAATTATACGTACTATATATATATATAAAGCCGGAAAGTATTATTTTGGAGAAAAATATTTAAAATTTGTAGTGAAATGAAATATCGTATCTGGCATTATTGCCCTTTTATTCTTCATTACTGGTGCCCTAATATATCATTAGCATTAGCAAGTGTACATTTACATCTTCATCCATAAAAAATATGCACTAGGAGAAGGGGATTGGAAATAGGGTTGCGCCATACTTTGTCAAGTCGACCACCATACAGCTCTTTGGAAATCATCCTGATTAATTACTAGTAAATTCGTCATGATGCGCCAAGTTACCTGATTTCCCCTATCATCCCTCATTGACCAAAGTAAACAAATAGCGCAGGCGCAGTAATTCTTATATTTTCAGTCATTTAAAAAAAATACAGGCAACCTCGAATGCTTTTTATATTAATTCCACATTTTGCAATTTATTTAGTCTTTATATATTATATTATGTATAAAAAGTCTTCCAGAAAATATTCAAGCGCCACTAATATAACTAACTTATTCCTTAAGAATCCTTAGCAATGGGGTCTTACAGCCCCATTGCTAGCAATGAGGCTGTGATAATCATGATAAGATAACTGACATGTTTTCATCTTCACTTATCATCCTTCACTGGTGCTCCGCCGAATGCCAATATCGCAGTTAGTGTAACAATTCCATTAACACCCATTAAAAATTTTTAATGAATACACAACCAGTGATTTTGCATGGGGTTCGCCCATGAGGGCGCAACAGTATACTCTGTTAGGTCCATGGTACTGTTCATGTCTATAGGCGACGAATATCACTGTTGCATAATGCATTGCATAATAATTAATTTGTTTTCAATGATCCAAATCAATTAAAGAAAAAACTTGTTTGTCATTTGCAGGTGATGTATATGGGCACAGCGACATTCCCTCCAGCCAGTACGGGTGATAAATTCGACGGCTACCACTACAACGCTGCGTCGAACCGTCAGAGCGTGCGGCAGGCGGCGCCGCGGGGCTCGGGCAGGCAGTCACCGCCCGCGCCGCCGCCGGTACCATCGCCGCCCCTGCTACACGCCGCTTCTAGCAATGCTACCCTATGATCAATACCAATAGCCTTCAAACACATGTTCAGTATTCGTCACTCGTCAACGCGGACGCTATCTGTATTACATCTACATACGTAATTCAATATTAAAAAGAAAAAAACATCAAAATTTAGTATGGCCCAACGCATGAGTCTGTGTTTTCGATTATAAAATAATCACACAAATTATATCGCGTAATGTAATCGTACAAATGTACAGCGAAATTGAGTCTGTTCTTTTTTAAATTCAACTAAAAATGACGTAGACTGAAAATGAAAAAAATTTCGTAGCCTAGGTAAGCATGCCTCACTCTGTAACAATTCGCTTATACCTAAATTGTTATGTGATTTCTCTATGTAGAATGTTAGACCTCTACGATTTCTGTATTTAGTAATTTAGGTATAAGACGTTGAATATACCTGTCAGGATTTAAAAATAAATTATTGTTTTATTTTTCATCTATCATAATTTTCTCAAGAGACTAGCTGTATCCCAGAGATTTGCTTGCGTGAATCAGTATATATTTACCCCCTTACGTTTCCAGATGTCATTTAGAGCTTGATAAGGCCATGCATGGCCTGACCTTTCTGCAAATAAGTCCAAGTAATCAACCCTTTTAGGTACGCCTCGGTCTAAAGCTCGCTTTAAAAACAATAATAGAACATTAATGATTTGTGATGGTATACGAGTAGTACGGATTTTATGGTAGTCTTTACGTGAAGATTTAGATCATTAGATAGAAAAAAAATATCCCAACACAGTTGCGAATTCAACTAGTATACATAGAAAAGGTATTTAAAAAAAATTATTCCTCAAAGTCAGAGATATTTTAATATTTGATAGTTTATAAGTCGTATGTACATAGTAGGTGCCCACGTATGTGAAAATATCTACAATCTAAAAATATACACGTTTCTTTATACGAATACTTACACCAAACCAATCACACTGAAATAATTTACTTATAAGACTAATTTTAAAAACTAATGTTAATATAATAACATACGTCATAAATAAGTATATTTTCCAATTTACATGTTTTATCAACAAATCTTCTCATTTTAAAGTTTATTAACTCATTAAAAGACAACTACTGAGTAATCTAACTTAACGTTCATTCGTAGGTAGTTTATTAACGTAAAGTGTAATAAAAAATTATGTAGTGTGTAATATATCGATGTTCTGATCAGGCCAGTGTACACGGCGGTGCGTGGAAACAGTGTCGAAGCCAACATTGTCGAATGCTTGGTATTCTTTCTGCATACTCATTTCAGCTAAATTACGGTATCTGTGTCAAAAAAAAAACAAAATAAATTCATTTCGGTTTACAATTGGCGAAGATAATGCATAACATACACAAAACATGCAGACAATAGAAAAACAAAAAATGCAGAGAACCTCCTCATTCTTTAAATAGGTTGTTTTTTTATATACAACCCTTAAATTGTTTATTTATTTATTTAAGCGACTAGGTGAGCTTTGCAGTTTTCCTATATGCTTACCTCGGAAAGTACATAGGTACATAAATAAACGATACATAATAACGTGATACACATAATAACAATATATATTTTAAATAAACTTGACATATTTTTTTTAACCACTGAGGTGGCAAACAAGCATACGGCCCACCTGATAATAAGCGATTATCGTGGCCTATGAATGCCTGCAATAACAAGAGTATTACGCGCGCATTGGCAACCCTAAAGAAACTTCTTTAGCCCCTTTTTAAAAAACCCCATGAGAGCCCTCATTTCATAACCTAAGCATTCGTAGGAGAAAATATCTCTGAAACATATTTCAGTTCACCGGATTTGAATAAAATTTAGAACTTTGAAAACATATTTTGTTTTTATCCTAATTTACGCAAAAAAAAAAAAAAACCACCGATTATAGTTTATAATATAATAAAGTATCCACCTTTTAACAAGAACGCAGCAGCCCAACAACAGTAACACTTGTACCGCGAGCCAGGCCAGCGCCAGCGCCACCAGCAGTAGCTCGTGTACACACACCATTGCTCCATCTCCGCTTGTCTGAACCTCTTCCGCTGAAGAGTAAAAATCTATTGTTTACATAAAATTTTATAAAAATTAACCTAACTTTGCACTTTTTTGCAATCAATGACACAAATTCGGCGCGGTATTGACGAATACATTACCATATATATGTATTTTCTGGCTGAGTGGCTCGTAAATACAATTGTAGTTTTACTGAATTATTAAAATATTGCTACGCCACTTACGCAACGCAGCACGATGGTCAGCTCGCACCAACGTATCAGCAGATAGTATATCCCTAGCTCCGACGACCATCTCAAGTTCTAAAGGGACGTGTCCATCAGTGGGCGACCCGCAGCCAGCAGCGCCACCTTGTGCCACAACGCCACTCCGCCCGCCAGCCCAACCAGCCTCCCTTACTGCTGCCATCACTTCATCCGCCTCGTTTGTATCATTAACTTCGCGAGCTGTTCTATTTGGGGTACCGCAGTTAGTCTGAACAAAATTAAAAAAGTTTCCAATTCAAGTATTTTTTGTTTTGTTACTAAATTATAATTTTATTTTAAGTGCAATCAAGCTGACTTGCATTGTAATTACCAAATTCTGCGTTATAGTAAAATATTACCATGTAGTATGTACTTGACTTATGAATATGATGGAATTGAAGAAAAATAGAGTTAGTGTAAAGAGCAAAATTACTCTTCACATACTTACAATTGGACATTTCTTTTCACAAAATCGCACCATGAGAGCAAATCGCACGACATGAGATGTCGGGAAACGAAATGCCTTGAAATTAGCTGACAAACGCTGTGTCCCACTGAACCAGCTTCTAGTGAATGATGGAAAGTCAACCTGAAATAGATATACAAAACAAGGTCTTGTTATGTATCACTACGATGACAAGCCAAGTAATACAATGTCGTTTGCCTTGCATGCGGGTTATTGTCATGAACCTCTATACCTCTAACTGTGTCTGGCTATCATTATATTTAAAGATGACTAACAGTATATACCTGTACATATAAATGCAAAATGCTTATTTCAGTTACACAGAAAACTGATAAATAGAGAAGTATTACTAACCTGCCCAGTAGGACATCCTCTGCTATCTAGCAATAGCACTGAACTGTCACCAAGCCGTGAAGATGCTACTAGATGGTACGCCTCAATCTCCGCTGCATCTAAAAAAGAAGTGCATTTAGATTTTTAGTAGAAACTCGCTACGAAAGCTAAATATACTTTGATGGAATAATTTTTCTTATATTTTATATTTATAGACGGTAATAGGCCGGTCGGCCTATTACCGTCTATAAATATAAAAACAATTACATATAACTAATAGAAAATTAAGATTCTCGAATCGTAAACTCAAGATACTCAAGCAAATTATACTTCCTCCTAGACAGAGCGACAATCTGAAATGTAAGTTGAATAAACCGTTGATTGTTGGTGTTAAGTTGTAGTGCGAAGTTTTTATAGAACATTAACCTGTGGTTTCTATTCTCAGCTCAAGAGGCTCTCCCAGCGAGACAGCTCCGCTGCCGGTAGCCGTATCGTCCTGTGCCCGCACCACGTACATGGTGAGCGGGGCACTGTTCGTGCTGTACACAGTGCTTGCAGCCCCCGGCGTTGCAGCACTCGCCAATTCGCTCGGTAGAGACGGTCTCCTGATAGTAATTATTTCAAGCTAAATTTAACATTAAAATACCATTATTTTGAAGTAAAATTTTACTTATATGCAATCATATAAGTAAGAGAAGCAATAATAGTAGATTAATATCCAGGCTTGTCTTGGTGTACTTAACGCTTCTGGATATATTTAGGACGGATTCCACTCTGACAATAAAAAAAATCTATTTCAATGTCGCTCACACTAGGTTCAATATCGCCAATAGCGGGTTCGATATCTAAAATTGGGTTCCTAAAAAAGGTTATCGTCTACACCGAATTAGGGTCTTTTTTACATCTCATGACATCACATTACTCGCTGCCCCTTGGATCTTACGCCCGCGGACGTCTCCCTACGATGCCACCTCCTAAATCCGGTACTGTTAATATCCTCCTCAATACTATCAACCCTTCACTGTTCTTTAACGGACAAAGGAAGATACCCATAGGGAGATGCTTGTTCTTATGAAAAAGTCCCATAAAAACAGATATTAGCCTAATCACGCTGATCAGATAGGAATTATTGGCAAGTCCGTATCATGGAGCTTAGTTTAATATGTTATTTCTAGGAAAAACCTTTTGCATTGATTTATAATGCTTTATCGTCTTATAAATGAATTTTACCACATCCTGAGATAGAAAATGAGTATTCTGGTGATACATCGTACGTATTATACATATAGTTACGTCATCAGACCACATATATATCATTTATATAGGAAGATAACCTATATATGTGAAATTCTTATAGTACGTAGCGACTAAGCTTCAAATAGGTATTTAAGAGGTTTTGAAACGTTAAAAAAGTATAGCCATAAAATGAAAATATAATTCACAATTTAATAATTTTTCCATTAAAAACATACTTTAGCCTTTAAAAATTTTCAGGAACTAACATGAAGTTTAATTCTCAAAATTACACAAAAATATTAAAACAAATACATGGCAATTAAAAATCTTATCATCTTATGTTTAATTTGCGAAATTTGTAGTTACCACTGTTTAAGCATCTTGGAATATTAATAAAGTTGGAATGAACAACTTGGAATGAATTAACGCAAATTATTTTTACGGGATTTCATGGTTGCAAAATCTGTCTCCTTTAATATGAAGGTAAGGTCTATTGGTAAACCAGCACTGCTTGAATTTTCACTGCCATATCTCATCGTCTAAACTGCTATACAAGTTTAGTTGCAATAGAAAACCTGATGGGACAGTGATACCTACGCAACGGATCTTATACAATGGGGTTATACTGAAAGTTACATTTTAAGAAGAATAATATGAATCATCGACTCGTCCACAAAATATTTGTTGAGTCGATGATTCATAAATACAAATCCGCGTCAGAGCAAATCCAACCTCCAACAAAACCGGTTAATTGCAAGTGTAATCATGATTTGGATATTAGTAATAATTTATAGATATCTGTTAGCTTTCAAAGTATCAATGACCACGGCGATAAACGGCTTCGGTCACATACATTATATACCGGCAACCGCAATGACCCACACTACGGAATACCTGCGTTACAGAATAATACTGCAAAAGCGTATTCTATATGTTCTGTGAGGTCGACGTCTATTCACGATGTTTCCAGAAGCCGTCATGATTACGATTCATTCCTGGTGAATTCGTTATAACCTAACTTCATCCTCACCCAGTGGCATAACTATACCGTCTGGGGGGAAAACGCTTTGTAGTAATGAGGACTAGAGGCCCCATTTCCAGCAATATCCCTCTCTGGTCGACCTCCTTGCGGGTATAAATCATCGAGGGCAATACTTATATAATAATTCTTATAAAATTCGTCACGATGTGCTAACAGGCCTATATTCATCCTCACCTATCACCCCTCGCTGGTGTCCTGCCAGTGTACACCGATAACTCGAGCAGGGTATAAAAAAGGACTATTCCCTCTCCGGCCCGTGGTAAATAAATTTACCGAATGAGGCCTTTCCTTTATCTAAAAAAAAGCTCAATTTTGTAGTTACATTTTTGTTATACGAGTATAACTAGATTTTAGCTACAACTTCATCCTCGTGACCGAGATATATTTAAAGACTCGGATAAAAATTTACCTATGTCCTTCTCCAATACATATAGCGCATATTATAAATTTCATAGTGATCGGTTAAGACGTTAAGGCGTTATAAGGTAACAAACAAACTACGTTCAAATGTACGTATAAATTTATAATACTATAGTAAGGATATATCACTAAATAGATATACATACTTAGCAATACTGTTAAAATTAATGTGTATATCTTTAATTTTACTTGAAAAAACTTTATTGAAATTTTAATAATTTATAATAATAATAATAATATAATAATACTTTATTATGCAGACTACAATGCGGTCCAATTTTGTTAGTAACAATTTTCTTACAAACTATGTTAGTAAAAAAAAAAAAGAAAAACAAATTGATTTAATTAAGCATTTCACCCAGATGTGACCCAGCCGACTAGATCAGCATCTGAATGAAATGCCCAATTATAGGCGAGTTATATTTCTCGCCTATTATTTTTAGAATGCTGTTGGTGCTTGTCCTAACCCTGTTTAGCAATGATGCAGTCCTCTTTCTCCTTACAGCGTAGTAGTCATCTACGCGAGATTGAGCAAACATGCTAGAAGCGCTACAAAAGCGAGGTAGCCCCAACAGCACTCTAAAACTATTATTGTACTGGATTCGTAGGGCACTGAGTGAGGCCTGTGTGCAGTTAACCCACAGACTGCTCGTGTAGAATGTTTGGCAGTATGCTTTGAAGAGTGTGATTTTTACTTCTTCACTACAACGGGCAAACCTGCGAGCCAACATGTTACATCTAACAGCCAATGCCATTTATAATTTATAAATTCTTGAATTTTCTTAATACAGTAATTTTTAATTGATTAAATACATTTTTTTTAGATCATTATGAAATAAATGTTAGAGATTCTTTCTGTGCTTACGGCCACTCGAACCAAAGCCTCAGGCTGGAGGCCCGTGCCATTTTGTCTGCTCTGTCAGCCTAGTTTCGCTACTGTCCTTACTTGTCGATGGTAACATAATTGTATTATCAGCAAATTTTCAAAAATATCTACCTATGCCAAATTTTAGCTTAACCAAGCGCCAGTTATAGAGGTTAAAATATAAATAAATAAATAATAAATAGTGGTTAATAAATACCTACTTAGACTGCAAATTTTAAACGGAAAAATTTACTACATACTAAAGCAAAAATAAGAGTTTGTAAAAAAATACAGCTTCTTACTCCACATAATCACTAGCCAGCTGACATGAGTCAGCAGTACAACCAGTTTATTTCTATTTTGCTATTTATATTTTACCCTGTTTCTCGGACGGCAACCGTGGTGTCAACGGCTTGTGCTCCGCCGCCGATCGCCGGGGAGCACCCGACGCGCACCCAACGGTCGCCTGCTGTCTGGATTATTGGGTTGTTTTGTATCATGACCATCACGTACGCCATTGTTCTAAATATAAATTATTATATTATTTTCTTTTTTATATAAATACACACAAGGATGGTATTTTTATTAGGTACCTACTTACCTAGTTTTTTATTACAATAAATAAATAAGTTGCATTGGTGGAATTAACCTAATACAAGATATTTCTACCTACGTAAGTTAATTACTTGGTTAATTTGAATTTTTTTAAATAGCTTGATTTCTAAAAGTATCCAGTACTCCATCCTAATTAACTACTAACTGCTTGGTACTCATTATGTTATGTTATATTATGGGGAAAAATGTTTGGGCACAACTCAGAAATAAGAAATTTTATTTGGAGAAATGATACTGAGATAGTCAAAGTAGACCTTGCTATGTACGCCTCGCTATATATGCTTTGACCTAAATCATAATCATCAGGGAATACAACCAGATCAACATTTAACAACAAAAACATTTAACAGGAGCCACCTTGTGCTAAGTTTGGCACCTGTTTAATTGCATTAAGCGATGTAGGCATGCATATTTTCATATTTTATAAAAAAGCGTAAAATAAATTTTTATGTTTATTAAATTGTCATTATATATTAAAAATTATGTTGCATCGTTATACACTATTAAAACTTATTTATAGTTTATGTAACAGTCTGTGTCATGAAAATGCAAAATAATAAATATACTACATTTACAACAGTGCGTTTTAACACAAGGTTACGTATTTAGTTTTTTAACTACCTATCTATAAGTATATATCATATGATTTGTTTCTTATAAGTACCTAATCTGAATGAGTAACCTACCTATTAGTCACACCGGTAGGACTATTCGTTATAGCATATGCAAAATTCACATCGCAATCTCCGTAGAGGGGCAAGGAAAGTCGCACTGGCCCTCCGGAGGCGCGCGTGCTACATCGCTCGCCGCGACCAGGCACGTACAACCGACCGCGGAACAGACCGCGTGGTCGGTATGTCACAATCAATTCGGAACCTTCACATTCTACGGTAACTGTAAAAGAAATAAACAAACAAACCGGTCAGACACCTCATGGTCATGCATGACACATAGGATAACATTGCCAAGTTCGTATGCTGTTTATTTGACTTTATCTTATATATTGATATCTCAGAGGAATTATTATATATTGATTTGTTAAGAAATGTTAACAGGCAGGATGGCACCGGCTGGGCAGATTAAACTCTAGCTCTAACCCCACATACATCGTTTGACCACTTTCACGTAATTTGCGAAGAAACCCTCAATATAAGAGCACAATTTCTGTGATGTGGTAGAGTGAGTGGGTAAAAAAAAAAAGTGCCTTGGAAGCGGAAACAAAATCACTACATCAGTCTACTCATGACCACGGCCGATATAACGTAGTATAAATGTCAAAATCATCATCATTATATCAGCCTTTAACTGTCCACTGCTGAACATAAACCTCCCCCGTGAGAGGTTTTCCCAGTAGTTGCCACGTTTAGCAGACGAATTGGCAACCGCAGTCAGACTTTAAAGATGTTTTAAGAGGGACGCTGCTGTCCATCCATCGCCCTCCCCTAGTCGTCTCTTACAACACCCACGGGAAAGGAAGGGGTGGCCTATTCTATGCCAGGATCAAACGGCAAATGTCAAAATTATCCAGGTGAATTATGACATTGTTTAAGTGATCGTATTAATTCCCGTCTCTTATAAACCATAAAAAATTATTACAAAACTATAATATTGTAGGTGAAAACCTAAGTCCTTAAAAAATCGACAATTTGAAAATAAAGATTTTTTAGTAAATATTTGTTTGACATAATAATCTCAATAAAAATATAAAAAAAAATTACGTTTAATATTGTTCACCTGTAATATTTGAAATGCCATAGATTTTACAATATTGTTATCGGTATTTTATCCAATCGATACTGGGAAATAATTTCTATTTAGTCTTACGAGCTTCGATTGCTCATGTATGTGTCACAGCTAAATAAACAATGACGAATTTAATTAATATTGCATCGACACCTATATATGACATATTCTTTACCAATCTAAAAATTTTGACTTTTATCAAATCTCATTCAGTATCAATTAAAAGACCCGACTTAGTATACAATTTATGTGAAAAGCCGAAAAATTTGCAATTTGCAAAGTCCAGTTATTGTGCACTGGTTTATTACCATTATAAACGCGAGAATTTGTGAATATTAAAAAGTAAACCTCAGGACTAAGGATGTATGTTTGTGTATTTCGCTTTATTTCTTTTTTGATGCCTTGGGAATGAAAAAAATGTCATGAGACACTGTACTCTTATTCCATCACCATGCGGATACATTCATCACATAATCTGAAGTAAAGTGTATTAGAAAATATGTAGTGAATAATATCTCACTATTAAGACAGATGACTCTCCTATAGTATGTGGCCGCAGAGTTACGGCGCAGGAGCCAGGAGCCCGTGGTAACTAGATCCTCACTGTGCAGGTCGCACAAACCCCTGCCGCGCGCTCGTCCACCTTCAATCCACGTGAAGCCTCGACAGACGAACCGCTGTTCCACTTCACAACCTATTTTACACTGACAAATAATAATCAGGCTTCAATCATTTTATTATAATAGCTAACCTGAATAACGTCGTCCTGTTTAAGTGTCCAAATATGTAAAATTGTTTCCTAGATTCAAATTAAAATCATCTTTATTCAAATAGACTTGTTTACAAGCTAAATAATGTTTTGTTTAAATCGTCATTGTTTATAAATATACTGCAGGGTACAGAGCGTTGTTTGTTTCTGAGAAGTACCCGCAAGAAACTCAACAGTTATTCTTTTAAATCTGTATTAACTTATTTTATTGTTAAGGAGTTATTGTAGTAATTTTATTGTTAAGGAGGCAAACAAGCTGACGGCCCACCTGATGAAAAGCAGCTACTGTCATGCTGCAACACGAGAGATGTTGCTTGTGCGTTGTCGGCCTTTTAAATGTTTGGAGACATATTTTTTTAAATGCCCCATATCTTATTGTAAGAGAAAAACTAAAGACGGAAGTTAATTCCACAACGTAGATGTACGAGGTACGATGCAAAATTTCCTTCGGTATCTTATTATAACATTTAATGCTCATTATCATAAAAAAAATCTCTTAACAATACTTCGGAACAGCGAGTTTGTATTGAAATCGCTATTTTTATATTTTAATAAGTTTAAAGAAACAGTTGAAGATTTCTGCTTATATACAAAATATTTGTTTCTTTAAATTTCTCTCTTATTGATTCTCGACTTCCCATAGAATAAATTGCACGAATAAAACAAATATGCATTGGATGTTAGCTGCTTTACCTCGTAATAATATTCCATAGGACAGTATACGAAAATACGATAAAATGAAAATACTAAAAAAAAAATCTGGCAGTATAGTAAGAACCTAACTTTGTTTTCATCAGAATATTATATACAATAAATTAATGTTGTGTTCCACAAAAAAAAAAAAAAACTATTTTAATTGTGGCATAAACAATAATTTTGATTTATTAGCTAAACTACTGAACCGATTTTTAAAAAAATTCTAAGCGAGGGATTCCACGTGATGGATAAAAAAGTAATTTCCAAATCGATTTACAACTGACAGTAAATAATAAACATAAAATTTAAAGCGAATTGAGAACCTGTTTCTTTTTAAAGTCAATTGTATAATATCTAAAACGGCCTAGATTGTTTTTCTATAATGTCGCCTCTAATAGAATATTACATTTGTTTATATAGGTAAAAGGAGATTTAATTGTCAAATTTTATTTATATTTAAATTCGTTGTAACCTTTACGGTTTCAATAATGTTTGATGATTTAAAATAATGTAGTTAGGTAAGCTATACACAAAAACGTAATTTTTAATGTTGACGTCAATCTTATGATAATAATACACTCCGTTTTATCATTCTCCGTACACCCAAGGAATAACGTAGATGAATAATCAGATAAGTATCTTTACAGAAAATATTTAGTAGTTTCCTGTAGTAATATTCTAATTCATCATGGAGTAAAATAAAAATATCATTGATATTATGAACACCTAAAAATCGTACTTATATCCTTTTCCATTTTATCAATTTTCCTTTACGTGTCTCTCAAATAAACTCTATTTTGCCTTGTTATAACTGTGTTGATGTAAAAAAAATTGTCACCATTTCATTATATTTATAGAATAATTTTCAAACTTCATTTATGTTTTCCTAAGGCATCTCCCGAGAATTATGTTGAATCGAATATTAATTTCTTCATATGATAATAAAATAATTGATTTACAATGTGTCACCAGAGCCTTCAAACCTCCCATCCAACATTCGTTTTTTTTAAATTTTTTACCATTTTTCTGCATCCTCTTGTAAAATGTTTCTCACCCACGTCCAATTTAAAAGTTGCTCTATAACTATATGCCACCATTTCTTTTCAACTCCAGGGTAACACCATCCATATGAAGGACTTTGAGGAACAAAGCACCATTAAACCAGCCATTTATCAGAAAAACTTAAAATAAAACCGTAGATTTTTTTTCCTAATTTTCCTTAAATACTAAATTATTTTCAACTATTCACACTAAATCGATAAGAGATAAAGTCTGTTCTTGACTTTACTTTTAATCTCAATCGATGTCAATGTATTTTGAATTGATATAATATATAAAGTCTTATTATAAAAAATGCTTTCATGATCAGAAATATGCATCGACACACCTAATGAAAAATGATAACCGTGTATAAACATGAAAAGCATAACAGATACACATTCTATTACAATCTTATTATCTTAAATTTGTACAAACAGACAAAACTCTGTGTTCTCTTTATTTTTTAAAATTATAAATAGTTAGGTAAGTAAACAGACACACGCTGTTCGATTACTTACTTCATCTTTCGTATAGTTTTTTGTTGTAAAATCCACATGCCTTAACGTCTGGTTATTATACTCTTCATAGGAACATCTGTCTATCTTCTTTGGATCTGTTAATATTAAAAACATATATTAAATGAGAACAGTATAAAACTTGTCTAATTTTTTTTAAACAAGTGCTGTTGTATTAAAATAACTTATTATAATTGCTATTTTTTAAATTATTAATTTGTAAATTATCTACTTTTCTTCTCCCTACCCTTGTCTCAATTATTATATGGAGTCGGCGTAATATATTATATATTACAAAAAAAATTAGCTTAGTTTTACGACCGGCCGCCTGCTTTACATCAACCCTCTTTGGAAATTTGTAAATTATCTACTAACAGCTCAAAATATATAATATATATTAATAGGTAAACACTAATAAGAACTATATATTAAAGTTTCTGTAATAATACTTTTATAATTGTTTAAAAATTAAAAATCCTTAACTCTGTTTAGAAAGTTATCTCTTTCTCTCTCTTTCTCTGTGTGTGTGTAACATGAGCATATAAACAAACAGAAAAACATTAATATATATATAAGAATAAAAGCAACATTAATCAAAATAATCTATTATAAATTATGAGGGTAAAGGTAAATACATATATATTTTGTTCTATTGCAAAACAGCAAATGTACTTTTGCATCTACATTTTAGACCTTAGAAGTAGAAACTCACAGGGCGCATAAACAGTACAGTAGGTAGGTATATTTAGTATACTTCACGTTTCAGATCGCGGTTATAATTAACTCTCAGAGGGATAAATAGCGCGTTTCTTACTTCCTGTATTGTAAATAAATATATCCTGTTATGTCCATGGTATTGCTCATGTCTATAGGCGACGGTTACCACTTTCCATCAGGTGGGCCGTCAGCTTATTTGTCATTCTAAGTAGCATAAAAAAAAGTTGCATAAAAAAACCTATAAATGAATCATACATTTCTTTAGGTAGGCAGGTAATTATAAATCCATCATCTTTCGAATATTTTGTGATAATTGATTTAGTTTAACTGAAGCCAACTAACAAATTTAATACTAACTACACCATCATTTTAATAGTGAAATTACAATAATTGTAGAATTATAATTTTTAGTAGGAATAGATAGAGATCATGTTTTAATAAATGTATCTAAATATTAGACATATTTCTTATAACAATGACATAATTGTATTTTTCTAATAGAAGTCTCGTAATGTTTTCTATGTACGAGTAAAATCATACTTATCATCTCTTTACATGAAGATATAAAGCAATATATACATACATATATTTATAAAACTCACAGTCATGCCTGCATTGGTTTTCAATGTACACTGTATAATAGTTGGTGACCCGATAAGACTCGGGTTCTGAGAATTTATCTTCTACGTTTAGGATGCAGTTGCCGATGTCTGCTGCAGATGTTTCCATCAAATCGTTATTCATCAGTATCTCCGGACCGATCCACTGCGCCGACCTTATTATACAAATAAAGAATCATTTAAAAAAAAATTATGTCCTTGAGCGATTTAATGAAAGAAGGATGAACTCAATTTGTATATGTATATATATATATATATATATATATATATATATATATATATATATATATATATATATATATATATATATATATATATATATATATATATATATATATATATATATATATATATATATATATATATTATTACAATACAATTTTTTATTAATACGCCTATGTTACGCCTACTGTTCATATTAGATGTTTTCATAATAAACTTATTTATTAATATTTAATTTACAAATTGTTGTTGTCTAATCGTTCTAATTTATATTAATTAAACGAGATACCTATAATAGAAATAAGACATTGTTGTGTTACTGTTAATTGCTAAGAAGAACAAGTTGGTTAGTATATGATATCAAGATGTTTTCCTGATATATGTTAAATTTTCCCATTTTTCTTTTTTCCTCGTCGTTTTTCCTGACATTTAATTAACACACCTAATTTAATCGTTACATGTGTGAACTACGTATTTATAATATTATCTGGGCCACAATTATTAACGATAACCCGAAATGTGGTTATAACTGTATAAATCCTACTAATATTATATCCTGTTCGTGTGTATAATTACTCAACCACGCTTAAAGACCTGAATTAATAATACATATCTATAAACACTTACCGATATATGCTTTCCCGATTAATAGAAAACATAACGTCATAACATCCATTGAGCGTTGTATTATGAAAAACTTTTATGTTGGGTCCTTCTGCATGTAGATTGTATCCTGGCGTAGCCTCCAAAGCCCACCATCGGTCTTTGCATTCTGCTGGTACTAAATGTTAAAATAATTTGTTAGAATAATTCAGATATATTGTCATATTTAAGTAACAAATTACATAATAATTGTGTTATTGTTAGAGTGTACCCTTTTTGATTTACTTTGTATATTAATAGCATGTTGTAATTTTATTTCTTTATTTAAATTTTTAGGAGTGTATTCTACCAATGAAACTCTTTTATCTGAAAAATATGAGCTGAAGAACAACAAAATTTTTAAATCTATATTAATTATATATATGGGAGGCTCCTACATTAAGGATTATCATCTGCGGGGAGGCTCGATATTATTTGTCTCATTCGACCCATATTTCTTGGGGAAAATTTTTTAGTTCCACTGATAGGATTCCCCTTGAAAGGATATTATTATCCTTCATTAAATTTCATTGTGTATGTGTAAGAAATGAAATTACTTACTACATACTTTGTATTTTTACAACATCCAGTGAGAGTAAGTATTTATGAAACTTAGCCAAAAAATGATAGTCTTTAGGTAATTACATTCCTACTTTTTCATATTTTGTCATACTATCGTTAAATTTGAATCTGTAATACTTGCGCATATTGCTACTAGTAGGTTTAGTATTATTATCTGTGCTACGACCATCACAGATACAACAAAAATAATACCGTATAATAGAGTTATTGACTTTACATTTGCCAGGAAAAGTCAGCCATCTGGTAGATTCGTTTTCAGATGAATATTTTGTAGTTATTTTATATATACACGGTAACAAGCCAAATTATAAGCGGCCACCGCAACACGAAAGGGCATTAGAGGCTTCATCTGCGAGTTACTTTATGTCATGTAGACATAAAAAAAGTTGAGTTACAATACCTAAAGCCAAATATATTATACTTACCAATATTATTGTTTACAATAATAGCCTTGTGGGGAATTCCCGAAATCATTGATACTTATATGACTTAAAAGACGGTAAAGTACGTACATTTCAAACAAATCTTCTTGAAGTAAGATGCGTCATTATCTGATCTCAGTTGCAAATCGGTCGCAAGAGCCACGCCATGGCAGTTACCAGTGGAATGTGAGACCACCAAAGAAGCGCAGTCTTCGAGCTCCCGACACCTCGCTAAACAAGATCCTATTAAAGAGTCCTCTTCACCACTAGCAGTGTACACGAATACTGGCGCTGCCCTCTCGGGACTTAAACCGGACCACCGCACAAAAGTCACGGACGCTCCATTGCTGCATTCTGCCTCATTTGCTAGAACAACGTAAGTACGCTTTTTTATTTTTTTTAAACAAACTTAATAGGTATACCTATAATGCAATATTACTGTTTTTTATACATTTTCACGCCAGGCGTAATGCATTAGGTTCTCTCTCACTCAGTTTAACGATTTGACATACAAATAAATACTATATATTTTTAATACTTAGCATTTAAAAACCTACTTATTAAGAAAAGATACTGTTGTATCCTGAATTCATGACCTTTCTAAAGAAGTAATAAACGAATCAAATTAAAAGTTCCTTCAAGATACAGTTTCAAAGAAATAGATTTCTAATAATACGAAATTTTATATAGTATTCTAAAACTAAATAAATTTCTTCAAAGGCCATAGGTCGGCTATTTTAAATATGGAAATAGATAATTATATAACTATTCATACAAATCACATGGTTCAGGTAATTCATTATCATAAATAATATTTTATTGTATACATAGATATCTTATTTTTATACTTATTCTATGTGAATACATATTGGCAAAACTTAAATATGTAGATATTCATTCAGTTTATCAGAAAAAGTAGGTATATACTCGTAACATGTTGTTTGAGAACTTGTGCTATATCTATTATCAAAACATCTGATTAATCACCTCATTATCTTTTAGCAGATACTAAAAAAATATTACTAGTTACATTGTAGCGAAAAACACGATTACATAAATTAATTAATAAAATGCACAGTAAGTTGATGATTCATCTTACTAGAGGATTTGCGGAATACATAAACAAATTGCAACCAACTGAACGTTTGTTTCATTTTAGTGTGAATATAGTAACACGTAGATAGATAGTTAATTTATTTGCATTACTTACAGCACACAAATTATAACATACATACACAAAAAGAAATTTATTCACACGTATTCGATCATCCACTAAATCTTAGATACAGAGAATTTCATTATTTTAACATTTTGTACTAGCTATTTTGTGCCCACTATATCGCTTACGGCACAGAATAAATATATACATACTAGTCTTTACCGGTGTCTTCATCCTATATAGTACAAGTATGCCAAATGAAGGAACAAACGCACTTTTTGGTTTATACCTCCATATTCAAATTTAATTTTCAAATTCACTGGAATGACATAGATGAATGAGACTAGATGAAAGCCTATTGTAGGATGTTTTACTATACAGGATAAAATTGACCAATTAAAATTGCATTCCGAAATGGACGGTAGATTTCTGAAAAAAATAACTACTGTTCAAAGAATCATAGGTAAAAAAATAAGAAAAAATCTAAGCGTCTCATTACTATAGTTCAGCTGTCAAATTAATGTATGTTTCAACTTCAGCCTGTATAATAACCGCATATTTTACCAGAGGGAGACTTTGTACAAAAGTCGTTTGCTTAGGCACCTCTGTCTCATTTGGGTTTCAACCGTGAAGCAGTTGTGTTTGCATGGATGTGTTTCGGTTTAAAGGGGAGGATATGGCAGCGAATTTACAGGGTATAGAGGAATAACACCTGATTCCTCGGGAATGGCAACGCATGGGAGGTATCATGGGCGAAACAGTGTACTCTGTTATGTCCATAGTACTGCTCATGTCTATAAGCGACGGTTACCACTTTCCATCAGGTGGGCCGTTAGCTTGTTTTCCATTCTAATATGCATAAAAAAATATATCTGCTTTAGTTTATTGAATGAATGAAGTCTAGACATATTTTCCCCCACACGTAATTACGCGGTAAACAAAGTTCCGTGGCTAAATTTTAACTCTTTCATCATTGTGTTGTCCTTTATACAAAAAAGTAGTTATTATCAACTGACTTCAAAAAAGGAGGTTCTCAATTCGGTTGTATTTTTTTATGTGTGTTACCTCAGAACAGCGTCAATTGACAGAGTTCTGAGTATATTTATAATTATTTGGAAAACAATTTGGAAAATTGTTTTCTTTTTTAACTGAAAGGATATTTTAAATATAAATAGGTACTTTTATTTAAAAAAATCATAATATTCAATATCATAAAATCTTTCATAGGTAGTCAAGATTTTGTGACATTGAAAATAAGAACAAATTGAGACAAGGATATTTTATTATATTTACATTGATTGTAAAATTATTATAATCATATCAGTCTTTAACTGTCCACTGCTGAACATGAGTCTCCCCCAGAGGGTTGGAGGTGGGTCTTGTCAGTAGTTGCCATGCTTGGTAGACGGATTAGCAACCGCAGTTAGGTATTGAAAATATTTTAAAAGAGACGCTGCTGCCCATCCACCGCCCTTCTTTAGTCGCCACTTACGAAACCCACGGGAAAAGAAGGGGTGGCCTATTCTATACCGGGACTATACGGCTAAATTGTAAAATAATAAATAACAATTACATTGATTTAAAAACCGGTTCAACAAGGAAATGCAATAGTAAATAAATTTATTGGCGCCACCATACCGTGATGATACAAATAAAAACGCCTCTAGTCTATTCAATAAAAATCTAATTATTGCCTATAGATTTCGTCAGAAACAATAACGGATTAAAGTAGATTCTTTTTATGAATGAAAATTAAATCATCACGTCGCCATTACTCATACATATATATAAACATATCAGTAAACTGACATGTTTACGCTAGCGAGATACTAGTGTGGGTAATAGCTTAGGTAGCAATATAGTCTTATATTTTTTGCCTGAGATTTATTTATTTTTATGCCACGTAGTTTTAAAGTTCTAACAAAAAATGTAAAAATACCATGCCTTCTTATCTCCCAAATTTGTATAACGCAAAATAAAAGGAACACACTTTATAAAGATATAATGTAAATATTACAGGAAAAATAGAACAATGTTTCTAACATAATTTTTAAGAAACTATGAAATAATTTTCACAAACATAGTTATGGCCTGGTTTTTAATGCGCCATAACCGCAAGTAAATCCTAAATTAAGAAATTTCTAATTGCAATATTAGTAATAAAATAATTGTTATGTATATATTTAATATATAAAAAATACAATAAAAACATTTTATCTCGTGTCTTTATATTCAAACAAATTTTTATTTAAAGACACCACATATTTACAGATTATTTTAAACACGGAATCATCGGCATATGAGTTCAACTCGTATTTGACTGATTTTGTTATTACCATAACAATGACTATATACATATTTGACTGAATATTTACTCGCGTTTTCAGTCTGAAATCAGAAACAAATCTCGATTTATTTCTGATTTCAGACATTCTATTTCCTTCGTCACATGTAATTATAAATAATGCAGTATTTTTTTTTATGAGTGAAAATGGTATGGTAACGGTAACTCCGCCTGCGCTAATGGGATACGCTGGCGGAGCACCAGTGAAAGTGAAATGAGAATGAAAACAGGCTAGTTAGCCCATCATGATAAATTCATCAGGAATTAACCATGATAGTTGGTCGACCAGCCTCCTCGCGGTTCCCCCTCTCTAGCTATGGCAATGGGTTGGGTATTAGGATTAGATGATACATTATTATGGGAATTTGAAACTAATTTGATTTTTTTATTTTAAAGGATATATGGTCAGATTGGTTACATAGAAATTTCGTCAAATTCGGTTCAGCCATTTAGTTTTTAAATCAAAACAACTGGTTTATGGTGTGATTACGCTAGAATAATTATAAAATTAATTTTTAAGAGACTTCTATTAGAAAGTCTATATTGTATATGTATTCTATTAATGTCCAATTCATCTTTCGTTTTCTATGTATGTATGTTACACAATATCTTTTTGATAATTATTTTATATTAATTTTGTTGCTAGTAACACAGTTGTTTTTCTATTTACATTTACTTATAGATTCAATCGAATAATGAAAACCTCTATATTTATAATTGTGTAGTAAGCATAGCATAGTATATTTATATGTACATATTACATTACTAAATAATACATGCATACAGTTTTCTGTAATGATTCTGAAATATCTGCAAGATTTTACATTTAGGTCGGTCGGTCTCACACAGTATTATTTTAAGAGCGTTCATAAGGAAGTAAGGCAACAAGGCATTTATCTCTCGATTATCAAGAACAATAGAACATTATTCATTATTTTTGATTGATTATTTAAAAAGTGTTCTGCTAACGAACTAATACGTTAATCAAGCAATAATATTCTTATTTATGACTATTATAAATTATTTTCGTATAGTCAATTAATACCAGTTGAGGAAAAAATCAAAATGACCATATTAGTAAAACAATTTTTTAATTTGCATTTACAAGAAACTATCCAACATACTAAATTCTCCCTTTCCTAATATTCCCATTATTAATATCTCTATATTAATAATGAAAACTAATAATCATTTAATATATCCTATTAAAATGACTCCCAAACGCATAGTTAATATCAGATAAATTCGTTATGATGGGCGAAATGACTTCACCTATTATCACTTATCGCAAATTCCGCTAATATAAATAAATAGCGCAAAGATTACGTTTAAACAATTATATACATTAGATAAATACATTTTCAAAACTTCAACTATCCAAGTAAACTTAGCAAATTGATAATGTCGTTCTCAAGTTTTGCGTTTAACAACACATTTAGTAGCTCATTTTTATTATAATGATTTTACATATTTTATTAGATTTAGGCTACATAGTTTGAATATAGATATAACAATAGAAAATCAAATTACTATAAGCACGTATTCATAAAAGAACTGAGAAACAAACAAACTCTTAGATTATAATTATTAACATATGTGTTAGAACGACAACAGGACAATATATGCTCAAAGCTGATTTGGCGGGAGCAGGACAAAATAATTTCCAATCATGTAACGTTTTGACGTAATTAGTTTTAAGTGATTATAGTAAATTAGAATTAAGTATCCTTATCACAAATTATCACATTTAAAGTATCTAATAAGCCTCAAGTATTCAAATTAAAATAATAACAAATACGAGAATATCTACAAATTTTAATTAAATTTTATTTCAATATTTAACAATATGTAGGCTTCACTTGCTCTTAATTCATTTAAAAGAGAATTTATAATTATTTTATTCTTAGAATTAAATTCATCCAAATCAATGTTTGTAATTAAAAAGGAGACTCATTATTTGATAGTATATTTAACTTAACTAAGTTACAGCAAGTGTCATTAATCAGATTAAATTATGGTACATGGCTGATAGGTGAAGTAATATTTAAAATATTGTGTCTTAGTATTCATGTAGTGCTTTTGCAATATCCAATATAGTTCAGTATACCTGTGCCTAAAATAGTTGTGTTGCGACGTTACCACACCATTTTCACCCATCAAAAAAAATTTAAGATGTGGTTAAAAAGTAGGTCATAAACTGGTTAAAATAAAAAATTGTAGTAAACAATAAGATTGGTACACAAAAATTAATAGATTGAAATGAACTAAATACCTCACAGAATCCTAATTGTTTAGTTAAGACAAAGCAATGACCAAAGACTTACTGTACGAAGAATACGTGGGCGATCGATAAAAACACTACGACGCCGCGACGGCAGTTGGTTACATTCCGATGCGATAAGGTCGCATCGCAGATCGCTTCCAGTTGTAGAATTAACATGATTCGATTAATAGATTTTTTTTCTCAAGAATAGGATACCACGATGTGCAACACGAAGTAAGATAGAAGTTTGTTCTTCTGTAGATCGGAAATTGAACACGCTACGTAGTTAGGAACTTATTCGTGGTTTAGAATTCACACTTATTTCCCAAACATAAAGTACAGTTGTGATTAGGACACTATAGTTCATTAATAATTATAGGATCCGGAGAGAGTCTGTTAAACGGTACCTGGGCACTGGAATTTTTGGATCCAATCGCTGCCACCAAAAATATTATGCGGATTTCCTTAAATAGGTTTTTTTTAAAAAAAGGTACCATTTACGCTCGCGTCAATTTATTAATTAATAAAAAAAAACTTAGGACAAATAGTTACGTATATCCTTAGGCAACATTTCACTTTGAAGATTCAAGACAAACTAATTTAAAAATGACTATTGACAATCAAGAGGAGCAGAAATGCTGACCAGGTGGGTAAAGTGCCAACGCAGCATTAAGCCGTACAGTGCTAGGGTATAACAGTACCTAATACCATTATAAAGTTTTAGCCGATTCAACTGATTGATTATTTTATAGCATTTTGTATGTGATTGTTTAGATTGATATAACTTTTTTATTTAAAAACTTATTGAAATAAAACAACTAAATGTTAAGTTACAAATAGACATACCTACAGATAAACAGCCAAAAACTCTAAAAATCATTGTTTTGGTTCCTATTGCATTCATAAAGCCTCCCTATAATAGTTTTTCTTATATATCTTCCTTGTACATTGTACAGACAGCGACCAATTATGATTCTATTATATGTATTGATTGATAAGTAAATTATAATCTTTTTCGATATGGCGTATCATTTCCGATTACATTAAGGTATTCAAGTTAATATTTTAGAATAATTATTTTTTAATTTCGATAAAAATATTCAAAAATATCGACTTTATTTTTTGTATGTATATTATAAAAATACATTGATCGTAGCAAAACCATAGTTAACATACATATAACATAGTTTTCATTACAAAACTTAATAATTATTGTATCAATTTTAATAAAAAATTTATGGAACTACATATCATTCAGAAAACTTTTTAATCTAACAATTTCCAAATTGGTTTATAAATATCGAATTTCTGAAATAACAGACATAAAAAATATAATTGAATTGAGATCCACCTTATTCTTTTTATTGATAGTTAAAATACACTGTTATTAATATCATATATTGCATAAAGTTTATAAAGATATTTGGTTTCTAAAAATATTTTCAATATAATTACGTAAATAATAAATTATTTTTAACTTTTAATTGTTAAATAAAATTGTTTGAAAGTTTGGATTTACTTATCAGTGTCGACAAATCATGTAACGATAGAATGTGCATGGTGCAGCAGTGGTTTCATGCTCTCAGTTACATTTTACGCACACGAAGGACTTCTTCGTCTCATGTTTACATTACATTTCCAGTCTATTAATACGAAAGTACGTTATACCAAGTCTTTAAACAAACTCATTTTGCATTTGTAATATTAGCATAGTCTTATAACGTACTACGTACTGACAGACTGACAATGAAAACACAAAAATGAGATAAAACAAATTATTACACTAATATGCGTGTTTTGTAAATGTGTACACGTGACAGATATGAAACTGTATGGAATTGAAGTTGCAAAAATAACGAAAATTCACGTATTTATTTTAATTTCGATTCGAAGGTATTCGGAACTTTATTTGTATCAATTTACAAAATATTTCTGATTGTTATATAATATGGCGATCAAATATATAAATATTTACACCATATTTACAAAAAGTATACAATTTTGTGATTTATTTTCCTATTTCATGTTACATTCAGGTACATCACATTCAATTATAATCAAATATATTCACTTAAAACAAATAACACTTCAAAATTTAGAAATAATTAGAATTTATTTTGTTAATATTCCCACCAAATCAGCTTCGAGCATGTATTGTGTAAATTAATGTCCTACTTTTCTGTCTCGTTTTAACATTTATGTTAAGTTTCCTCTTTTTTACATTTCCAATCTATTTACTTTATAATCTTCTTACCTTCTTACCCCTTTATTCATAAAAATATGAAACGTCTTATAAACCTTTTTTAGCTATTGAAAAGTTTTATCTTTTTCTTTTGTGTTAAATTTCCAATTCGAAAGAACGTAACAAAACATTATTATAGTTAAAACAGTTTTGTAGGAGGTTTTAATTTTTATAAAAGGGTAAGATTATATAAATTTTTAGTCAGCCAAACATCATATTGCTAAACACAAGATTTTTTTAAATCAAAATCAACGCATTTTTGCAATGATACAAATAAATAATTAAAAATTTCCCAGATCAGAACGATATTGAAATTAAAATTGTAAACTATTTTTCTGGTGTAATATAAATATACAAATTAATATTAATGTATTAATTTAAACGACGAATTTCAATTATTTAAAAACGAAAACATATTATAAAATATGTTTTAATTTAGATTTTATTTGATTATATTACTTATGTCTAAATAATTATGTGTAAATGAAAATATTCAGTAAAAATAAATATCTTTTCGAATCATTGTGGTCTGTTTACCTGGTTCTTTTCTTTTGATAAGAATTTTGTATTTTTTTAAATTAATCTTCAATATACTTTTTCACATATACTTAGTAATAAAATATATTTATATTTTTATTTACCCAGTTAAAAAAAATTGACTTGTTTTTAGCAAATCATTTCTATGGAGACCCTGTTTCTATATAATCTAAGAGCATAGTATACAGAACTTATAATTAGTAAGAATTCAAAATACTTAATCTATGGTACGGAATCTTAATAGCAAGAAAGCATTTCACACAAGACCGGTTTAAAATGTAAATGTTGCAGTCAAAACTCTTAATCAGTCAAATGTACTATTGACTAGCAACATCAGTCAATAGTACTTTTGACTGAACAGGTTGGTCAAAAATGGTTTTGACTGAAAATTATTGGTTATTAGTATTTTTGACTGCAAATTTGTGGTTGAAAGTACTTTTGACTGACGCTCTTCGTCAAAAGTAGTTTTAACTGCAATAAAGCATCAGTCAAAACTTCAAAAGCACTATTAACTCGTTAAATGTGAATAATAAAGATATTTATTAAATGTGAAATCGTTTATTACGATAAAATTAAGCATTACAATCAATACCAAGAAAGCATACACTTAAATTAGATTAGGACTTTTTAAGAGTTTTGACTGATACAACCAGTCAAAACCACTTTTGACGGAATCACTTAGTCAAAAGTACTTTTAATCAACTCCATTGGGCAAAAGTACTATTAACTGTTATTTTAGTCAAAAGTATTATTGACTAAAGCATACGGTCAAAAGTACTTTTGACTGGTTAAGAGTTTTGACTGCAACATAAATACTGTCTCACGTTTGCTTATACGTCAGTTATTATTCACCATCCTTCCGAGAAAGACACGTATCTTTTATCAATATATTAATTGTTCGTGTATAGTGCAAATGTGATAATAAACATATTACCTATGGATTTACAGTTCTGTATAGTAGAATAACAACAGTTTGGATACGAATTGGAGTATAATGGCTGTAAGTTAAAATTACTAAAACGAAATTTATTTTTCTGTGTTCTCTATTAAAAAATATATTATTATATTTTTGTGCAGTAAATAATTAAAAATTTCAGAAATACTTTCAATAAGAAATTAATCTTAGATTGATCTTTACATTTTTCTTCGTAAAAAAAATCCTTGATATCGATATTATAACTTGATATCAATACTATAACAGGTTTATATAAGTACTTACTACTTATATAAAATAATAATAAATAAATGCTTCTTTAATTAAAGATTTTTCTTTATACCTTAATCCTTTTTGGTAAAACCGCACTGTTATGTCAAAGTTAAATATTATATAAGTGTTTTAACCATATTTACTCGTTTTGTTTAAAAGTTTTAAAGTAAAAACAGTAATAAATACTAGCAGTAGCTCTATATTTACAACATAAGACAACAAAATAGTCACTAGTAAGAAAAATAAATTAAATTAAAAATAGTAATAATACGTACCATCAAAAGCTATTCTTGATTTTAGGAAAGTATTTTATAAATTAAAAATGTCCAATCTTCAAGACCCGAGTTCTATTCACCGATATTAATACATATGCACAGTATATTCCTAATCTGTCGTGCGATAATATTATATTACTAAAAATATTGTTATTTGCCGTATTGTCCCGGTATAGATTGGCCCACCCCTTAACTGTGACTGTTGTAAGAGATGACTAAGTAAATTTAATGGTCGCACTTAGTGACTGCAGCGTTCTCCTAAAACATCACCGAAATCTAATTGTGCTTGCCAACCCGTCTGCCAAGCGTGGCAACTACTGGCAAAACCCCCTTAAGGCGTACGCTTATGTTCAGCTTATGACAGTTAACGACTGATATGACGATTATTATTTATAATAAGCTACCTATATTACTTGTGTCAGAGGCTGCATTATTTCACGAAAATAATTTGATTAGAACATTTCATAACAATATACGAGTACACAGTTTGTTTTGGCAAAATTCTTTGTAGATCTTCAATATTTTTATTTTCTACTAACTGTATCTCGTGGCTTTGCGTGCTTAATCAGTATATATGTAAAGTGTCCTATGCGATATAGCCTATTCATGTACGTCAAGTCCATTTCATTTAAATCTATTGAGCATTTAAGCGTGCTTGAGTAACAATCATATTTAAAAATTTTTACAAACTCGCATTTACATATTATAATATTATTTGGACATAAGAATAATAGAATATACTCCTCTGTGTATGGAAATACCGACTGAATAATCTTAGTACTTTAATGAGTCAGTATTTTCATAGACATACATCTTACGTACTAGATATTCGATAAATGTGAAACTCTTAAAAATTCATATCTATAAATTATTCTAATTGTTTAATTGTCTAATTGTATAATTATTGTAAAATTATAAATAAATATTCACTTCTATATTCACGTTAAAAACTTGAATTTTTCCTTGAAAATGGACGATGGATGGACTGCTTTATTATAACCAGCTAATTACGGTTCCAGGTGTAGGGCCAATACTGCAAAACAATTATTGGCTAGTGACCAAAATCAACTCTATCGTAAATGGAACTCAATTTTAGTGCAAATTAAGAAAATTGCTAAAAAATATCTTCAACATCACTCGAAATAGCAATGAAAAAAAACCCATGGGTGCCCTTTGATTGTTTTGTATAAAGACTTTATGGGCTACTTTCATTCCTTTTCTGAAACTGAGATACTATTTAGGTAATTGTCGTTTAAAACAATAAAATAATAAGCCTCTTGTTTCCTGCTGCAATTTCCATGATTGATTACATTTAGTGGAATATCCAATGACACACTCATAATAAGCCATATCTAATCGATGTACAAAAAGTAGGACTCCATATAAATACGTTCCATTCTAATTTGATTTAGTATTTAGCATTAACGGCATTTTTATAGTTTTCTTTTATATTTTTCTGATATACGTATCAGCATATACTAAAAGCTTATAAATCCACATCGTAGAACACGTCCTAAATCGATATTTTTTTGATACTTTAGGTAACTAGCAAAATACTAATCAGACAAGATAGTCGTGCATCTAGACTTTCAATGTTGAAAAATACTAAGTTGAATAATAATTATTGTAAGTTGTAATCGGAAATTCCTGAATGTAAAAAGTGAGTAAAGCTAAGTAAATGATTGAAATACTAACATATATAATTTTATTCAAGCTAGCTAAATTGTGTGGAAATTCTTTTAGATCTCATAATTTGTGTTGTTATGTTACATAAATAATAATCTATCAAGCTGCTATAATAATATATGATGGAAAAACACGAATTTGTTGTGATGATCACCCGTTTTTTGTTAATATTGATATTTAGAATGCACCCATATATAATCGGTACATGCTGGTGCTACTAACATTGTTGTTTCTGGTTGTTATTTTTTATATTTATACTTAGATATCTATGCTCTGTCTCCTCTCGCTATACAGCCTGATTCAGCTAAGTAAACGTTTCTCAATTGATTTCTATTTTCATTTATATACATAATCAATTCTGAATTATATATATAAATAAGTCTGGATTATATATATTATAAGTCTAGATTATATATATAACTCAGCATTATATCTATAAGTCTGGACTTAAGCTCAATCCGCAATCATGCAAATATTTTTAATATTAACTCACATTTAAGATTTTAATTTATTTTTATCAATTGCTGTATAAATTAATATAGACATATTTATATTAAGAATTAGAAGATACTTTGATAATTACAGTTTTATTTTATATATACACTTATACCCGCATAGGTAACTCAAAATATTATAAATATGCACTTACCTATTTAAGTAGTTAATAAATGACGGGTTAATATCTTTCAGTTGTTTAAACTTTATAAAAATAAAATAAAGTATACCTATTCCCGAAAAACGAAGTCAAGTATAATTTGGCAAACTTTTACCCACATTATAAAAACTACGGGCGGTATAGGTGTGGTTAATTTTTGATCACTAAAACTACTACTTTATCGGCCATCGACTGATATGCAGAACGAACACCGATTCACAATCAATTTACCTTTGTTGAAATTGAAAACAGTTACGCTCATTTCATAATTTATCACTGTGTTTCACAAAAAATAATCCGACTTCAATTATGGCGTAACTAAAAACTTTGATGTAAAAACTAAACTACTAAACCGATTTTGATAAACATTTTTGGTACTAAACTGTATGTATACACTTTCCGATACAGAAAAAAAAATACAACCAAATTGAGAACCTCCTTCTTTGTTGTTGAAAAGTTGAAAAATCTATATGATTCTTCTTATATGTGCCGTATGAATCTTTCAGATTGTATAGGTATGTGATAACGCATTTTACTTCATATATTTCTTATATCTAACCTGACCAACTTTGCAATAAATACTATCAAATTATCAAAGATATAATATCTGTTGTCTTTATTAACTGGCGTTTACAATTGATAAAAAATAATTCATTCTTTATTTGGTGGCGTAGTATCATATAACGTGAACACCACTTCTCATGACTAAAAAGTCGTAATAAGCGATTACAGTGGCGTGTGAGGTCATTCAACTCAAAGGTACTTTATAAATACGAGAGTGAATTTGTTTTTTTTTTTTTATTTGTTTGTTTGTACCTTTTAGCACCTTTTAACCTTCTTTTCAAATATCCGTCATGACTGATTTGGTATACAAATACTATATGGAATGAAGAATAGGCTATTATTTATCCGAGTCAATAATAGTTTTTATCCTGATAAAAAAACGCCCTCTCGATAAGTGGCGATAGGGGTCAAAACAACGCTGAGACAGCCAGTACCTAATTATCTATCCTATCAAATATCAATTATCCTATCAAATTAGACAGAACCAAAATAATCTGTAAGTAGGTCTCTGTTTTCTTTAGATAAAATAATAATTAAGTAGATATAAGAAAAACACAATAAATCATTTACATAAAGTCATTTTACCCTATATAAATCTGTTTATGGCGTTTTTATATGAAACAGGCAACTCATCATCATCTTCCTGTCTATTCCATTTATTATTCAAATAAATAACTAATAAATAAAATGTAGATTTCAGAATGTGGAGATGAGGCCCTTTTATAAAATTCCTACTTGAACCTATTATTCCTATTTTGAAATTTTGAATATGCTTTTGAAGCCCTAACAAAAAAAAAATCCTTTTTATTACAAAAATATATATCCGTCAACGATATCTAAAACTAATCCAAATTTTAAATAGTATTAATAATTGCTGAGATATAACTGCGATAGAAGGACGCACAGACAAAATCGCACACTACAGATTCCTTTACATGATTCTAGGACGATACCTTTATTAATATTAGAATGTTTATTACCTAATTAATGTGTAACCAAACTTATAGATAATAAGATAAACAGCGGCAAAACCCAAAGACAAGAAGATACAAGGTGAAAAAGAGTCAGAGCTGATCCCGCAAGCAAAGTATCTATACAGCGTATTATACCTAATTAATTTTTAGAGAATGACGTCAGCATCATGCTATTAATGCTCATACTTTTGATCAATAGAAAACACGCATTTTATATCTATTGGTTATTCTGTTTAGTATAGTCTAATAAGTTATGTGATAATAAATAATTTTAAAAATTATAACTAGTTGCCTAATCTTTTAACTAAAAGTTTATAACTTCCCAAAACCTTTGTCCTTATATGGCAGTTACAGGTACAGTACAGAACAGTAGTTTCTTAAAATAAGATCTATATTGAAAATAGTATTTTCTTAAATTTATTCTCATGAAAATCTTAGTTCCATTGATTAGTCTCATTTAGTTCAATATGTTTCTTTTTTATTCCAAGCTTTATTTTTTAATAAATTTATAAATATTTTCTTGAAGTGAATCACTCCTGCAGCATAATTGACCTAATACATACTTTTTTTTTTATTTAAATGTATATAAATAATAAAACGGCGATAAATTTTTGTTTTATAAAAAATCAATTTACTATTGTACTGAAAGTTTTATTACTAAAACCTTTAGACACACTACGGTTCATTAGGTGAACATTTAACATACCTAGTTTAGGAACCATATACCTAAACTAGATAAGTTAAGATAATATTACTTGGAAATGCCGATAAAATCTCTTTTCTTGATCGAAGAATTTTTTTACCTATGCATAATATCATCATATTGTGATCATGCCACTTATGTATTACTCAAACAACTTCTAATGCAAAACTTTTATTGTTTCAGATGGCTGTTTTCCGGATTCTGATACTGATAATATTATTCGGTTTAATTAAATCAGCTGTACTAGTCGGAAATTATAGATGTCCCTACAATATGGCTCCAAAAAAGATCAGCAATACGATTATATGTGTTCCTAAAGACGATGAATGAAATTACATTTTTATGGATTGTTCTTATTAGTATTCAGTAAATTTGGAATTTTTGTCTATGATACATTTCAGACAAAGTATCGATAATATTTATCGGTACTCAAACCTGAAATGTTAACCTAACCTCATTGATATATTATTAATTATATTTAAATGTGTAATAGTACCTAGTCTCATTGATATATTATTAAGTATGTATAATATATGATTACTTGGTATTTAATCGATTAATTTGTTAATAAAAATGATGTTTTTTAATTATACTCGAACCCTTTTTAATAACTCATAAGCATCTAGGTTCTATTTTTCTCTTATAGCAATACTCTATAAGGATATTATTTTTGTAATAAGAACTTTTACTATATAAATAGCAGAAAAGGTACCGAAAAAAAATTATACATTTTTGACAAAAAATTATACATTTTTGACAATGTATCTAAACAAAATCAAGACTTCATAGAAGTGTATTTTATAGTGAATATATATATTCATATGCAACTTAATGGCAAATAAATTCAGAGTCCACTTGATGGAAAGGGCTAAAATAGAATTACACGAACCTAAAATGACCTTTTTTTTGTTCATGTAGATCTATTTAAATCATACTGCAATTAAACGGACAAAAAAGTCAGTTTTGTTTTACTGTCTGCAGTGTTATAGAACAATATGGATACAATCCTATATATACGAACTGTATAATGAGAATAACACAAATATAATAAACACAATGCCCATAGAAGTCGTTTCTAGTGCGTTGCCATTTTTGAGTAGGTACTCTTATTTGCTTATAATTCGTACCCTGTATTTCATTACCATCTCCATCTTCAATCGAACATACTTATTACATTTAAGAATAAATATTAATTTAGTTTCGATGATGTAAACCTATAATTTCCCAATTATGAAAAACTGTGTGATGTTTATATCTGCTTACATTTATGGGAATGTGGTGAGCTAGCCATGACTTCATCCGCTGCCATTCTTGAACACTAAGGTAGGTAAAGTTAAAGGTAACATCTACATTATAAATTCACATTTACACACAAACACACATTACACCACACTACGATAAATCGTTAAATCATCAATAAATACGGATCCTCCTCGCGGATCTCCTACGGTCGCGTTTCTCACTGGAAACCATAGTGGTTAATTCTTGTTCAATTGGTCACTATGGGCCAACTGACCTGCCTTCATCCTCACCTATCACCCTTCACTGATACCCCGCCAGCGTATACCGATAGCTCAGGCGAGTCTTCACTCATTAAAAATTTAAATTTAAAAAGTAGTTACTAAGAATACTTTTCAGTTTTATGTTTTTCGTCTTATATATAAAATAAAACATACTGCATAATTGTGTACTCAATAATTGTGAACTATGTCGTTTCATTTGAAATCTCAAGAAGTATTGATAGATCGTACAGAGTTTCATCAGTAAATAGTAGATCTTGGGTCTAGTCAAGTCAGCCACCCCTGATGTGGATCAAACGGATCGCTGTGGTAATCGACGCAAACTGCTGGAGCTTAACGTGTGAATGTGGCACTTCAAGCAGTGCTGGTCGACGCCTTTTAAATAGACGTAAGTAGGCGATACAAGGTCTACAAATATCAGGGGTGGCCAACCAGTCGATAGCGATCGGTACGGTACCTGAGATTTAGTAAGTATATTATTCCTATACGTTTTAAGACAATTAAATAATAATAAAATGATGATATAAAAGTGCTCGTAAACAAGTCTACTACAATAAAGATGATTTGATTTGAATTTACCTTCGCAGATTAGGAAGGTTTTAAAATCGACCCAAAAGTTTTCCATATCTTCATTACCTGTCTAAAAACGAGTTTTAAATATATATTTTTCCTATATAACATAAATAGCAAACAAGCAGACGGTGCACATTGTTGAAAACTGCGATAATTGCGATGCAAATGCGGCTAAACTATTATATATTTATAAGGACGACGAAATAAATAAAATACATATTATGTTTTTAACATTCATTTTACTAAATTTTTAATAGAATCGATTGAATGCATTTCAGTTTTAATAGTAAAAAATAAGTGGCCAGTACCTGCAATAATAAAAAGAGTTCATTCTTATATATTAAATTGAATCTGCAACACACATAATAAAAAGGGGTAACCGTCACCTATACACATAAAGCATAATGGATATTACAGAAAGGAAATATGATGTGTATGGTACTTACGTTTTGCTATTATTAACCTCCGTAATCTATAATTTATTTTTAAAACAAGGGGAAAACGAGTATGCGGCTCACCGGATGGTAAGTGACTACCGCCACCCATAAACACCTGCTACACCAGAAGCACTGTAGGTGTGCTGCCGACCTTTTAAAAATGGATATGCTCTTGTCTTAGAGGTTATGATGTCGTATCGATTCGGAAGTACTGCTGGAAGTTGATTGTAGTTATACGCGAAAAAAGTGCCTTGAAAAACGCACGGTCGAGGACCGCCACTCATCCAGATGGTTAGGATGGAACAAAAATTTCACTGCCATGTCCCTGTTTTTAAATCGAAACACATTTATTAAATTTAAGAGATATACATTCATTTAATATAAATACTTTTTTAATAAGTGATAATAGAATAGTAAACTCGCCTGCGCTATTAGTATATGCTGGCAGGGCACCAGTAAGAAATGATAGGAGAGAATAAAAAGGCAGGTTAGTTAGCCAATCGTTCATCCATTCAACATAATAGTTTCCAGGGATCACGTTGAGGTCAACCTGATAGGGTATATTGCTAGCAATGGGACTGGTAGTCCGCTATACTAACAATCCCTTCTCCTCCACCTTCCCCAATATATATACTTCTACTACTACTCTATTAAAAAATATACATACTAATACATATACTATAAAAAAAATTATATAATATAATGAATTAGTGAGCTAGCCATGACACTCTGTAATACTCTTGAAAACTAAGATATTTGTAAATTCAATATGGATATATCCTGATATATTCAGGATTTACAGTCGCAGTCTACTGTCAATACAATACTCCGCAATAAAATGTACGAGCAAAGATTCAAAATACCCAATTGCTAATATCTAATCTTATTTGCTAATTATAAATGGTTTAGAAGCGTGTATATTATTTTTTAAATGAAAGGGATATTGTCGCTAAAGTTCACATGCTTTGCAATTTTTACGATAACTCAAAAAGAATAAATGGAAATATAATAAAAATATAATATTTTAAAAGAACCGCTAAAAACAAAACAAATCATGTTATGCGGTCCATATACCTAGTTAATCCATAACAATACGGACTAATCATTAATAACAGGTTTAACAAACATGATTCTATACGATTGCCAGTATGCTAAATCTTCAAGTTACTTAGCGAACTATGGTGGAGCTATGCTTGAAGTTTCTTTGCGTTACAGAATTCGATATGAGGATAACCGCAGAAAAACCTAAGTAACTAACATAGCCCGAAGGTTAAATAGGCTGATATAGCAATGAGCTTGTCACCTAGCTCGAAGAACCGACTCCCGATGGAGAAGTAAGGTTCTTGAGTAGCGATCTCGAATGGGCAAACGCAGCATATGACGACCTCCATTAGATGGAGTGCCGACCTCAAATGTATTGCAGGGAATTAGTGGATGCAGATGACTTGGGACCGTTCCTTATGGCAGTCTATGAGGGAGGCCTATGTTCAGCAGTGGATAGATAAAGGCTGATGTGCTGATGATGATGACAAATAGTGTTTAGTCATATTATTTTACATTAATTTAAAATACAGTTAGTTACAATTTTTATTTTAGTTATTTTATCTGTACACGAGTAAATATTATACAACAGTATTTAAAATAGTAATTCAAACTAGTTATTAGAAATTACCTAAATTCTAAATTACTTTATTTAGCAGTATAAACCCTAAATAATGAATTCCTAATCACGATGATGCTAACAATGATCATTTGGTAAACCATAGGTATATATCGGTTTTATGTAAAAATAATGTACTATTTCTAGAAATATTTATACATGTGGAAGTAAGATTAGACTACCGGTAATGTTTAGACATTACCCGTCAAAAACTGCTATCAGATGGGGAAATCTTGTTCACCTCACTGTCAAGTTTGAGACACATTAAATGATGTGAACCATATATTGTTAGGGTGCTTTGTAAACTCAGTACACAAAAAAGAATTTATGCTCCATTTCCTTAATCTCTTCCAAACTATATGAGCTAAATCGAATATAAATGTTTTTAAAAGTATCTGTGACATAACATTGACCACATTAATGTTCTCTTTCCATAAGTTACTAACATAGGCAAAAAATTTACATCTAAATGAAATAGAAAATAAAAATGCTAAATTAAAATTCGCACACAAAGGTAAGAGCCACCTACTCACGAGATTAAAAGAGGAAGTACTCACTCAAAGTCCTCTATTTGTTTGTTACATTTACACATCTAAACTACCAAAGTGATATGTAAATTGGCCAAGGAATATAATTTTAGACCCAAGGAGCGACTAGTGACAACATACCTACTTGAATTTTATGAAAACGATTTAGTTGGCAATATATTATATCAACAACAACCACGCCCCAAATTTTTTTTAAATTCTACATTTACCGACTCATGTTGGTAAATCCCAATATTTTCTAGTTAAACGTAACCCCAGTTAGAATTGATTAATATTTGGCGATGGTTAAAAAGGGACGCTGCTGCCCTCGATCATTAAGTTCTCTTAGTTGCTTCTTACGACACTCAAAGAAAGAGGTGGACTTAATAGAGAGATATACTTATGATCAGACCTGTGTTTAACGTTAATATACCATTGCGAGTAATATGCATGCACGTCGATTTAATTATAGTGATTGTACTTATAACGGACAAAATAATATATATTTACATTCAATATTATATATTTTATCATATATTTTTATTTATACGTTGTAGGTTGTGTCTTGCTACTTAGATATGTGTTAAAAATATTGCTTTACAGGTATACTACATGAGTCCTCTTATATGGTGGTAGCGCATTCCAGAGTAGCGATGCCTCAAGTGTCTAAAGAAATTAGAAAGAAAGACAAAACGATGTAATAGAATAAAAAAACAATAGAGTTGTTAGAACGAAGTTCATGAATATGATAATTACAGAGAATTTTAGACCTACATTTCAAGTATTTTTAGTAATAATAAGGCATTAGTGAGAATAAACAATAAGTTGCAAAGCAATCTCAATTATCTTTGTTGATGTAAAATACGAGTATATAGGTACAAAGCTGAGATCTATATAAAATATATGATGGGACTTACGGACAAACGTAAAAATGTATAGAACTATTAATTAAATGATCTTATTTAAGTTCAGGACACTTCAGTTTAATGAATAATGGGGAGTGTTTGAACCAGTGTAATTTTTGTTTTAAACATGTTTAAAATAAAATAATAAATAATATTGTATTATACATTAGGTATATTAAGATTATTTATTTATTAATAAGTTTTTATATGACCATTTATAATATATATATTAGGTTACAACAACAATGTACACAGGCGGACTTATCCCTTAAAGGTATCTCTTCTACGAGTAGTCAACCTTAATAATCCGAAAGAAGAAAGTATCTATAGGATTTATATACAAATCATAACATATTTATCACTTACCAGGTATATGTGTAAAGATACACAACACTACTGCAACTCCATATAACATTGTAGTACACAATTTCGAACTCATTATTCTCTGTACAAAGTCATTGAAACCTATTCAAGATAAATACACAATTTCCACGGTCCATTTTCCGCTACTTCATGAGCAGAGCACCACTTAAATTGTTACGTTTGGACGCGTAATATTAGATAACAAGTGAACAGTTAGACAAGAAGTCGTTGTTATACTGATTGTGCCAGTACTACGCTAGGGAACACTTCATTCGGGGGGGTGATGAACCAATTGCGCAATTCGACACAGACTATTCTACATGAACTGCACAACAGCTGAGCAAACACACCACTCATAGAATGCCTTAGTGGTTGGGACCACAAAACAAAATTATTGAAAACGTAACACAATCATATTTTATTCTTATTGTGTCTCTGTTGTTAGTAACTAATATTGTCGTTAATAAAGAGTCTCTCTCAAAGGTTGAAGTCTTATTCGACAGAGACTCCAATTCTAATAAGGGTAGCTGGTTGCATTTTATACTTGCAGTGAACGTCGTGCCGCGGCTACTGAAACTGTCCAAGTTGCAGCGTCATTTGCCATGTCCCCACCTCATCGCCGCGACCTTGTCGTGTATTATTATGGGTTTACAGACAACAATTTACAATAGAGTGACGAGCCAACGACGAACGATAGTGAAACGAGCCGATAATAATAACGTTGAATTCCCAATACGACGTGTGTCGCAACCATGCATGCGGGTGCCACCTATGGAAATTCAAAATTATGTTTTACTGACTATTTACAGGTTGACTAGTATATCATTATATCTACTTACACATAACGTTTCGAAAACATCCGTCGTTTGTATATCTATAGAGATGGGTAATTTCCATAAAACCACAGAAGGACGGGATAATAGATGCCATCATATTATCTATTAATAAAGTAAGCATATGCTTGTATCAAGAAAATTTGTATTAGGTAGCAGAATCTCGTATTTTTGATATCCTAGTTGAGAAGTTTAGATCTTTAAGAACGATGAAAATCAAATTTTATTTATTACATGATAATATCGTAATACTGAATAAGAAATTCAGTGTCCATGTCATGTAAACAAACGCATAAACAATTTATCTTTACTCCAGTCTGGTTGTCTTACAAAAAAGACAAGTAAAGGAGACAAAGAGCAACAAGTGTCAGTCACCTACCTAAAAGAAATTTACAGTTGTAATTCATAATTATGCATTACTCAAAATATACTATCTACACGAAACTTATTATATGTTATTCTAAAAGTTATTAAACGATTGCTTTAAATAGTAAAAAGTAATTAAAGAGCAATTGTTACATTATAATGATTCATACTGTAACTACAATATGTATTCATGAAGAGCGCGTACTTGCGATTTATTACGCCTTTCGCGGTGTGCTATTAAATGAATACATTATTTATGTATATGTACACGTTATATGTGTTTAAAATAAGTGAATTAGTCTGTTCTTTTGAGCAATATAAAATGCTAGTTTCTTCACTAGAAAATCTGTAATTCATGGAGGATTAATATTTATTTTAAAAAATAATGTACAATTTAAAAGACGAAAGGACATGGAGGATATATCAATTGAGCAAACTGTTGGAGTATCTTGTGTGGAACTAGAAAATTATAATTATTTGCGTAGGTATATGGTTCGCTGTCGGTTTGTTTTGATTCTTTTAAATGGCCATATGGAGGAAACATTGAGATGAGCTGCGCGGAAAAATAAGAACTTATTTATATGTGAAGACTTTAACGTTGCTCTCTTATCAAGTTGCTCAACTAGTTTGAAATTAATAAATGTATTTAGGTCATTAAAAACAATGGTTCCACTAGGTCAAAAAATAGCATGTCGGCAGGTCATTAAAAATAATTTGGCACGGTTTAAAAATAGAATTTAATCTAATATAATAAAATAATATATGCTTCCAAAATATCACAAGATGGCCCGGATATTACCCGGATGCATGCGAAAAGCTGTTTAAAACTGTTTAACGTGAAACTAGTACTGTATTCAAAATAAAAACTTTTACTACTAATGTGAAAATAAAGTTTGGCGAGGGGCCACGTTTGGTATTTATAAATCTAGAACCAAATTTTATGAGCTATATAAACAACAAGTGCAACAGAAATAGTGTTCCAAGAGTATGTAAAATTGTATTCTAAAACATTTAAACAGGTTTGCAAAACAACCCTCCCAAGTCCCTCTACTTAATTAAAAGACTTAATAACTCTGACAATAAAATTAAAGCCACTTGGAAGGTAGTTAATAGTGAAACCGGTAAAGGCTCATGATATTAAAATTGTTTTAAATATTAATAATTAATTAAAACTAACATTGAAAGTACAGAAAATTTGGATACTTTTTTACTAATATATCACTTCCAACAACTTAATTTTTAATCTTTTCCGTATCTGTGGCTGAAGCTGTACTTAAAAATTTAGCAAGTAATTTAAAATGTTAGCATGCCATCATCTGTGTTTAGTTTTAATCATTTAAATCGCTTAATAATAAAAACTGAGGAATTATGGGGTATATGATATATAGAGATATGCCGTATATCTCTTAAAATACTTGGTAGTATAATTGAAACTATTGCACCGTCTCTTGCTTTTATTTTTAATAAAGGCATAGATGACGATTAGTTTCCTAATGTAATGAAACTCAGTAAAATTATACCGTTTTTTTAAGATTAAAAATGACCCGGTAAACTATAGATCCATTTCCATTCTTCAACCAGATTATACCAACAGTGGTTACGAACAGACGACGAAATGTCGAAATAACATAATCAAGAATATTATCTGTAACCCAGATAAATTATCATATTTTACGTAATTTTAATTCCGTCTCTTACAAACCATTAACCATGCAACGTGAAAGACTAAACCCTGGGGGATGAAAGGATTGTTAGTAATGAAAATTAGTAACCCCATTGCCAGCAATATATGTTACTCTATCTGGTTGACTTTTACGCAGTTTCCCCTAGAAACCATTCCTATTGATATATTGGTAAAATCGTTACAATAGACCTATGGGCCTGCTTCATCTTCACCTACCATCTCTCAATAGTGCCTCGCCAGTGTATACCAAGAAAGCAGGCGGGATTATAGTTCCATTATCACCCATTAAAAAAAATTTAAGTCCTGAGTGACGGCACATCACGAAGTACGCTGGTTCATATGCGCGATTGCTCCAGACAGATTCTTATTATAGATTATTATAAATAATTAAATATTTGCTTCATGCCTATTTACTATATTTGTAGAAAATGCAAAACAACCTACGGTTATATTAAACAGAACTAATTTATTGTTTAAATATGTACAGTCAGGACTTGTTATGACCTACAAAGGCAATTTGTTATGTTAATTTGTTAATAACAATTTCATTGTTATGTAAATAATACGCCGACCAAACACGAGTCACATCGCGTGCACCGTTATATCAAATGTACCATAATGATATGAATTGAAATACCTAATAATGATTCAACACGCAGGTTCAGTATAGGAATTGTAAAACACAAACCTGCTTACCATATCTTAACTCATGGTTAAAATAAAATCTTTAACCAGTAGATCATGCAATAATAATTAGGTTAGAAGATGCACGCGAAGGTCGTGTAGTTTGAAAACTCTTATAATCAATACATCAATTAATCCGCCATTCATTCCCGAGATACAATTAATAATAAATATCTGATTTATCCTATTTTCCTTGCCCTTGGATACAGGATGTTGGGGAGTATGATGGATTTCTCAGCTTTACGGTAAATATTAAAAAAGTAATTATAAAATTTAATAAATTTCGTATATTTGAAAATAAAGTTTTACAATAAAAAAAAAAACAAAAGGAGATTAATACAATACAGACAAAATATAAAAATAAATGGGTAATAAAAAGAAACAAAAAAGGTTACAATCTTCAACACAAGATTCCTCAGAATAAGATATATATATATATATATATATATATATATATATATATATATATATATATATATATATATATATATATATATATATATATATATATATATATATATATACATATATATACATTAACCATATCACATATACAGCAAAATATTTATTAAGAGTTCATTAACACCTCTAAGCTTAATATAGAATGAAGGTGTGCAGTAAAACTATTATATTATATGACCATGGGCGGCGGTAGTCACTTACCATCAGGTGAGCCGCATGCTCATTTGCCCCCTGTGTTGTAAAAAAAAATATAATGAGATCCTATGACGTCAACAGCTAACATGATATATTAAAGCTAAAAGAGCTGGATCGCTATTTTTTAAGTGTTGTATTGCGGTATATTCCTACATGTACATGTAGAAAATGGTCGAAATGATGATGATGACGATGATGTGTATGGAATCATATTAACAATACCTCTATATCAACCGCTGCTATTCATTGCTGAACATAAGCCTTCCCTATAGACTGTCATAAGGAACGATTCCGAGCCACCTACGCATGTAAATTCCATATCGATCACGCCTTTTATTTAAAAATTACAACGAGTAGGTATAAAAATACTAAAAGTAAAAAAAATGCCGCAGTGAGAGCCTCACGCTTAATATAGTTATTATTTCCTATTGGTCCAAGTACTAATTTATATTTCTATTTATCAACCCTTGCGAAAACGGAGCGGGTCGCTAGTTATAAATTAACGAAAACTGCAACAGTACTTCAATAATCAATCAAGCAAATTGTTAGGTAACATTGTTAAACTGGTTTTAAAGCAGAAACAAAACGAAAGGCCTCTTGTTTATAACGAATGTTTTGTCATTCGTACTTGTTGATTTCATTAATATACTATTTTATTTAAATATCTACCTCTAATATAAACAATATAGGAAAAGGTGTTTCCCGTAAAATAAATATCGTTATGGTTCTATATATGAGTAATCATTTATTAACTGTAGTCAGTCTATACACTGTCGACTATTACAGATTTTGCTTCTGACGGCATGGCATATTTTTGATTTTATCTCGCAGGCTATCTAGTCCAGCATTCGATGCTCCATACCTACTTTCCTGTACGTTTTGTATTTTATATAAGTATATATGTGTAAGCCCGAAAGTGGCACTTAAGCCTCACAATCAAATGTTATTACTAAGACAAAACATTTATCAAGGGCTTTGATCACAAAATCTCATCAAGGAGCATCATAATAAAAACGTAGATCTCGTTATTTTCCATACTATGTTTTAGTATCACCATGATACCACCTACGAAATAGGGTAAATATGTAATCAAATTTCTGATTTAAGTGTCTATAATAAGTATTCATAGAAAAATAAAAAAAAAACTTATATTATCAAAATAATAATGAAAAAATAAAATACTTAAAACAATAACACTAAGTATGTTCTTAGTGTTATTGTAATAATATCTCGAGTAGTTAGCTAATAAAGCGAGTTAATAAAGCGTCATTCTACATCTTTAAAATTAAATTCCAGTTTGTTATACATATAATTACAAAATCATTATTCTAGGAATTAAGATGATCTATCCATATAAATGAATCGATAAATGTGTTAAAAGATAATTAAACCTAATTAGATAAATTATTTGTGTAATGATACAAAACTAACAATCCTCCATTAGTAACGGTGCATTGGGTAATAGTTGTTTTGAACAGTAGACGACCTTCAAAACAGAATATTTATCTCTCTCCATAAATATCAAATAATCATCAATCAAGAATAAAAAAAATAACTACAGGCATAATTCCTGGTTTAAGAATTTGACACAGATGATACATTAAATATAACAACAGGATACAAGAATAACAATTCTTGTAATACAATAAATTACAAGTCTTAACTAATTCCATGTTGCTGAATTTTGAATAAGAATGATCAGTTTCAGCAGATGAGGAAATGTATTAATTGCATCATATTGTATGAAGGACACGGAAGTAAATACTTTTACTTCATTATTTTTTAGTAAACAAGCGATATATATATCTACTAATTTAAATAAATTCGACCTTGTCTATAATTTATAAATTAATTATAAAAACTTATTACATAAATAAAAGGTAAATTAATTATGGATGGTTGCTTGTGTTAAACAAAGCCTTGAGCCATTTCAAGCTGTTGTTTATCTTCGATTCCTAATAAAAGAAACCGGTCAAGTGAGAGTTGAAGCGCACATCAAGGGTTCCATACTAAAAATAAATAAATATCTAGAGGAAAATACGAATAGCGGATAGTTCCGAATACAATAGTTTTACAAAGTAATTTTCTATATTGCAATTTTACTATATTAAAAAGAAATAAAAGTTTTACATTCACAATCATTTTAAATGCTATAATACTACATCTAGAGTTAAACTTAGTCACGAAAATCGTCAGATTTTACACGAAATTAGTCACGAAAATCTGACGCACTCAGAAATTAAAATATTAATTTAATTAATATTTTGATTTCTATATTTATATTAATATTTTTTTTATATTTTAATTTTTCTGATGTTTTTTGATGTAACTCATTTATTTTATTCTTTTATTTATTTAATGAACTTTAATATCTATCAGTCAACCGTAACCAGTATCTAATAACAGAAAATATAATTGACTGTGCAACATAATCCTTACTAATATTATAAATGTGAGAGTTAGTTTGTTTGTTTATTTGTTACCTTATAGCAGCTTTACGGCTTAATTAATTCTTATGAAATTTTGTATAGACATACTATATGGGATGGAGAAGAATATAGACTATTTTTATCCCGGTCAGTAAACAAATCCCGGTCACGGGGTTGAGGTCGCAAGTAAAAGCAAGTAAACAAATAAAAAGGGTAGAGTATTTACATATCATGCAAATATAATACGTATGTACACTGTATAAAAATATATGTAATTTGATTTCTATGAATCGTATAATTACAAAGTTTAGAGACGTTCTGCAGTCCACAAATACGCTAGAAGTTACGAAAATGAAATAGTAAAAGTATGAAAAATGCTGCGGTGTAAGTGTCATCCTTATGCTTAATATTATTTAGTTTCTATTGTTTCAAGCAAAGTACGCTTGAACCAATAGAACTTGACCAATAGAACAAGTAAACTTGATCTATCTATTCGTGCGAAGCCGGGGCGAGTGGATTGGCAACCGCAGTTAGGCTTTGGGGATATTTTAAGAGTGGCGCTGCTGCCCATACCTCGTCCTCTATTAATCGCCTCTTACGACACCCACAAGAAAATAAGGGGTGGTTTATTCTATGCGATGAAACTAGATACATACTAAAATATTTAAAAACTAAAAAATACTAATACTGACATATATATTTTTCTATTAATCATCAAATTAGTATATATTTATCATAATATAGTATTGTTTCTACATTTTGGTTTTTACCAAAATGTAGAAACAAAACATATTAACATCTTATTATCAACAACCTGTATTGTCTTTCAATAATTAGTATCTTTCTGTGAAATTTACAAGGAAGCTACTGTTGTTAGAGTCAACAAAATAGAATCTGATCACAATGTACGTATTATTAATAATTTTAAATTATTTTGAACTAAGTGTCAAAAAAAATTGCCTTGACGAGGGGTTAGAATAAGGTGCTCTATAGAGTGACTCTTTAAATTCTAAATTACCAGTCCCATTAGAGTTGAGGTATGTGGAAGAAGAAGACATACTACATCGACCCCAATTAAATGAGAAAAAGCAAGGCAATATTTATTGATAACATTATTAAAAATCGATATAAATAAGTAACTACTCATTACACTCATAATTATGACAAAATTTTAAGCAAATGGTTTTAATCTCTTCCTAATCTATTATATTAATAAACTTTAATTTACTTAATGTATTATATTAATAAAGTTAAATTAGATATAACCGGGCCTTAGAAATCACATGAATAAGGTATTATTAAACTATCCTAATTCTTTACTTAAGAACTAGTATAGTTCCAGATTACTAAGTATGTATATTAATAAAAAAAAAAACATAATCTAGGTGTGATATACTGTTTTCGAAAGTTCAGGGCTAGTGACTGTGCATTGTGCAAAAACAAGTTTACATGATATTATAATATTAATATTCTGAGTAGAATGCTCAGTAGTCAAACGGATACACACCAGAAAGGTCATTTCGAATTGCCACCTTCTGTTAAGTAAAAGTGAGTGGTGAGTGTGTTGTGATGTTTAAAATAATTAACGATATATACGCAATTATATACTTAATTTGTATACCAGAATTCGCGATCGAAAACATATCGGTATGATTGTGTGAAATAAAGACGAACAAAATCCTAAACCAGAAATAAAAATAACTTACCATATTTAACATGATGAACATTTTTTTGTGTAAATACTATTGTAAAAGCGAACCAATAAATATTTACAAGTACAGAAATAAATACCTAACAAGTGACTATAATTAAGTATTATTGATGTGTTAATTACAAAAAAATATCAAAAAAGCATAAAGGAAACCTTATGATGCTACTTTTCTCCATCCGTCTTTCTGTCTCAGCAACTACTGATGCACGAAACGCAATTTTAATTATAATTATTTAGTCTTAAAGCAAGAACACTGAAAAAATTACTGTTCTTACCTAAACTTAAAATACCTTTATATTTAAGTATTACAAGAAAAGTTGGACAATGTTCTTAACTAGGACAGTTTTTGAGAAATTATCAAAAAATCTTCACAAGCAAACCTAGTTGCGCACTCCGATTTTTAAACCACAGATTCACACATTTTGTCCAAAATAAAGAATACGAAATCCCAATAACACCTATTATTAGTCTTTTTTATAATTAACTAGCTAATCCGGTGTACTTCGTACCGCCTAACAATCTAAAATATTTTTGCTGTATTTTTTACATGAATCTTTTCGGTATTTTAATAGTTGTTCTGCTATTCGTGGCGGAGACGAATCTAACAAATTATAGACCATCAAAAACTGTCTAGCCGTTCTGGAGTTATAAGTGATGTAACTAACCCAACTTTCTTTTGTTTATATAAATACAATAAATCATAGGCCAATCTTATTCAATAAAATATTCTTATTCTTGTTCTAAACGAATTTGTGCTAAAGATTTTTATCTCATATTTAAATAAATTTTATAGGTTTACATTTATACCCTCAGCGTGTGAGTTCGACTCACACGAACCGGTTTTATTTTTATTTAAAGCCACAGGTACATACAATCATGATCCTTTTAGCTTCAGTGACCGGCAATTTTTGGGCTATATTTACGTTGTATTACGTTTTACAATTCAGAGTCAAATTAATTATAAAATACAAGTTATTACTTGCGTAGTTACTACTGCTGCTGTTGATTGTCCAGGATAAGAAGAATGTTATATTTAGTATTATATATATATATACAAACAAAATTACTTAATTATTTTCAAATTTAAGTATAGTAAGTATTCTATATCTAATTCTTAATTCTAATTACTAATCTAGAATATAGAGAAGATTCTAGATGTTTGAACTGCAGATTCTGGATACGAAATTTGCATAACACATCATATTAATAGCCGACAGAGCAAAGCACAACAAAGCCTTGTCTAACAGACAGATAAATTAACAGAAAAAAAAAACAGTTCTTTTCTTTTCTGTATATCCAACCCAACCATGACCATGACAATAGGCTAACTTAAATTTTTTTTTTAAATCTCCAATGCAATTATGAAATACGATGAATAAATAAATAATATTATCAAAATATTGCAGATGGCGATGCTGCGAGCTCTCTTCTTATTAGTGACAATATTACTATGTTTGGTCGCTAATGTCTACTCGAAAAATGTGGATGCTGTGAAATGTCCTACCGATAAGATACCAATAAAATTAGGAACTGCAAGCGTGTGCGTACCAAAGAACTATACACTACCCGCAGAAGAGTCGCGACGCTAACATAATACCAACTAAATTAAAGTAATTAATTAAGTAGATTATCAATGTAATGTAAGGAGCATATGACGAAATTGGAAAAAATAAATACTCTCATCAATCGCTATAAATAAGGATGAATGTATTATATTTTTAATAATAAACAATTTACTTATAACATATGAGATGCAATCTACCTACAACTATACATAATATGTTGCATTTCATTACCTAGTTATTTATCAAGAGAAGAAATGCTATAAATTCTACCGAATGATCATAAATCTATATTATAATGTAAGCAATTCATTATTCATTTTGTAAATGTGTAATGTTATCATTAAATATAGAGAAATTGCTCATTGGTTATACCAAATAGAAGGAGTACAATTTACCCAACTAGTAAAACACAAAATAATCATTGGAATGTAAATAAAAATAATTGTAATTAAGTACTAACTAGGTTTTCGGTAAATGCTTACCTACACCTTTATTTTAATCTAATCCAAATCATATATATTTAGTCATAGGCATTAAACTAAAAAATAATAAAAAAACTACCTAGATATTACATAAATGACTTTATAAATAACTTTGAATAGCAAACTAACGGGTCATCTGATAAAACGTGCTAGCGTCTATAAACAATACCATAAGATACTCACAGTACGTTCACGTACAAAGAGTACCATGAGAGTCATAGAATACACTATGACTCTCATGGTACTCTTCGTACGTTACCATTCCTGAGGAGTATGGTGTTATGTCTCCATATCACGTATTTTCACTGCTATATCCCACCCCTCAAAATTTAATACAGCACATATAGCTATTTGACAGGAACAAGTATGAGACCAGTAACGTAACAGCTTTAAGGGAGACCTAGGCGGACGGTATCCAGGACTAACCTCAGGCTATTTGCCCCGCCGGTGTAAACCGATAGCGCGGGTGGGGTTACCGTTCCATTATCACCTATTATAAAAAAAACCTCAGGCTATTACATTTCTGTTAAGAATCACACATCAAGTAAGTCTTCTAAAAGATCACATCAAATTCAACATTGATAATTTTGACTGAACAGAGGAACTGTACCATGAGAAACTATCTATGTCTACTCACTCGATAGCCCCAGTGATTTATGTATTTTCATTAAAATCGGTTAACTAGTTTCGGAGATTGGCGTGAACGAACATCGTGAAAAAGATTTTTTTTATTATTTAGTATGGAGTATATATTGTATGAGGTACTTATGAAGAATATTAACCTATCATCCCATAACGTCATGCTTTTGTTATTTTAAATCGCATAGGCGTAGCATTGTCCTTAATCTATGTGCATAGGTTACCTCACCTGCCTTCATAGCATTTCTACGATTTTAAAGCAGTTATTTTTAAATAAAAAAAAAAAAGAACAAGAATGACTCACTTAATATTGTCATTTTCACAATATATTTTTTCGGTTGTTTTTTAGCTTATTATAAGGTTCCTTTTTTTTTTAAATAATTTTGATGTTGAAAATACCATCTCATTTTTTACTACGATACCGAGTTTTCATATATTGGCGTTGTTATAATGTATTTTCATGTAATGTGTAATTAGATGGAGAAAGTTCGACTAGTTTTAGGATCAATTCGTCATCCTTAATCATGAGCCGCTGTGACATCAGCGCGAGCCCGACTAATCTATTAAAATGTTCTAAGGTTACTATTTTAGTCCTCTATTTTCACTGGCTCCAATAAGGTAAGTACTTACATTTATAAAATAAGACTAGTTAAATGTTTCAGGCATTTATTCCATAATACATAAATAACATCTGTTCCATAACATAATTGTGCTCATGAATAAAATTAATAACTATGCGATTTTTATCACTCCGTTGCTATAAAAGTAGCTAGGTACATAAAAAAGCACTGGTACTTTCTACTGTTTTATACTACTTCGCTTTTATGATAAAAATTTCAGGTACATCGTACAATACTTTGGTTAAAATGACTCACATTGTTATAATATTGTGATATTGTAAAAATTATACAAATGGTAAAACATTATTCTATATATATAGATAATATTATTTGAAACCTTAAAGTATATAGATAGAGTTTGAAAGATTAACCGAATTTGTGTATAAGGTATATAATTAAGAATATTATTATTATATATAGATATTAAGAGCATTCAGTTATTTTCAAAGCGCAATTTGGGAATGTTGATCAAGGCAAGCGTGTTATTATTTTCATTCAATACCAAATACCAATTATCACAAAAACAAACATAATAATTCACATACACAAATTATACATTATAATATTAAATGTAAATAGTTGCGAATTACATTGAAAAGGTTAAACAAATTATAATATTTAAATGAAAATCTTAAGATTATAAAACATGACTTCAAAAAATAGTAATATCTCCAATATATTTGGCAATTATCTAATGGGTAACAATATACATTGGCGGGCGACATGAATTTTTCATTAAGCGAAATAATCAACATATTCCACAACCTAATAAATGTCACATTATTTGTCACTATTACAATTATTTTTATTTTTGTCACTTAAGAATCCTTACTTGTACCATTTTATTACTTGGTCAATTGTTACCTGTAGTATTAACAGTTAACCAATAAATTGTACAACCATTTCAGTTTCACTTCTAAAGTGTAATCATCTATTAGTCCTTGAAAATCGACATCTAAAATTTGATGCATTATCATATGCATCGACTAATACTTATAATACTTCAATGTATATACATATATAATATTTCATTGGATATTACAATTTATAATAATTAAAAAATCTAAACTTAATATTAAAACAAAAGAAAACAACAACAAAAATAAATAAAATGTAAAATTATAACAACAAATTAAAAAGCATAATATGGCAAAAATATCATATTCCTCAATATTTAACAAGACGGAAACATTTGGCATTAGCAAGCTGCGTTGTATGGCAATTTCTTGGCGTTTTTATTGGCCTGAACTGCTTTTCAAAAATGGCGATACAAGAAAAAATATATGATCTAGTAATCTAATAATAAATGTGTATTTTTGAATTATGATACATTTTTATCACAATCTTATTGATTTTACAATTTTTTACAATTAACTGAATAATTTTGTATAACTATATGATTTTTTTATTATGTCCAACATGATTTTATTAACATATATGTATTTATGCCAAACAATTTTATACAATATATTATAATGATAATATCATTATTTGGCAGGAATTCGATCTCTCAAGTAGGAAAGAACAGAAGCCGTGCCTTTTGCGAGTATAGCGTGACGCGGTTGACGAAAGCAATTGCCCATAAGTTCGAGGGATCTGTAAAAAAATATTAGAAATCGCAATTATTCATCATCACCAAAGAGTGAACAATTCAAAAGAGGTATATCATGACAGCCAACTACTCAGAGTACACATTGCAGTTTTAAAATGTCACGACGATTTGATAGGAAGCCTAGGTATACTAAAGCCTATATAAGTCATGGAGATGCACTATACGGCGTTATGATCTAGGTAAAATTAAAAACGTCTTCTTGCGATTCAATATCATAGTTTGCTTTCTTATAACCTAATAGCAAAATCGTGTTGTACCATGCCATAAATAATAAAATAATAAACAATGCCACACAATCACACTAACCGCCTGATACTAGCTAGGTTAGGATGCTAGGCTGGGCTAACTTTATTAAGGCGGGAGGGGGGGGGGGGGGAGTTGGTAATAAGGACTACCAGAACTCCAGGTGTGTTCTTTACAATAGGCTAACTGACCTGTTTTTTCATTCTCATCTATAATCTCTCACTGGTACCACAAATACCGTCTGGGGCATAACCCAAAAGAAATTTTTAAAATAATAAACGTGTTCCAAATTATAAATAATTAAAAAGTTGAAAAAAAAGAAAAGTTTTTATGTAACAGTATTTATGGCCTGATTAGTTACAATATTAAATAATCTATTATGTATACGAAAGGAGTCTTTGGATGATGAATAAATAATTACCTTAGATGTGTAAAGTTTCCTAACTCTGGTGGCACCGTAAATATGCTGTTGTTGGATAAATCTAATACAGCCAGTTTCTTCAGTTTGGGCAGTGCATCTGATGAAACATTGATTTCATCGATTTGATTCTCAGCCGCGAGTAATATTTCCAAATTCTCCAATTCATACACACAACGCGGTATCTTTGTAAATCTAAAATCACAAAACACACATTTTATTATTGCAATATACTACTACTGTTAAAAATATAAGTTATAAAATGACAAGATCAGTAAACAACAAAATTTATGCTGGTTAAACTAGATATTTACTAATTAAAATTAGGTATTTTTTCACGTAAAACAACCGGCGAAAAACAGTGATATTTTTTATTCTGCAATAATGTAAATTATTTCATTCCATCAAATTCTAATAATCCGTTCCTTATTTTCCAACAATAATTTGAAAGACCATGTGTATATTCATAAACTCTAGAGGTAGGCGGGAAAAGAATTATTTGTAATTGGATCTAACAGCCCTATTGCTAGCAATATACCCTATTAAATCGACTTCCACATAATTCCCCCTGGAAACTATAGTGATTAATTCTTATGGAATTCATCACAATCGGCTAACTAACCTGCTTTCATCCTTACCTATTAACTTTCACTGGTGTCCCGCCACCATATACCGATATTGCAGGCGGGGTTACCATTTTATTCTCACCCATTAAAAAAACTTAGAGGTATAATTAACTAGAATATAAACGAATTTCAAAACGTTACATTTTTCGCTCCCCACATTACTTGAATTTTTTTTTTTTTCTATTGATAATTAATGTAACTCTTTGTTGTTAGCAATAAATGTTTTCTTTCTTTCTTTACATTAAAACATAAATTATAGTGAAATAATAAAATTAGAAAATCGAACATACTTGTTGTTAGATATGACCAATTCCCTTATATTTTTCATATCACCAATTTCCACCGGCAAATCGAGTAAGCAGTTTTTACCCAAATCAAGATACTGCAAATGTGACAAGCAGCTTAATTCCGACGGAACATTTGATATGCTATTTGATGATAATATTAACTGGGATAACGTTTCCCGTAGGTGAGTAACACTGAAATAATTACAAATACATATATTAAACGCAAAATAACCTACTTATCAGTTAAATTTAGTTACCTGCACAAATACTCAATCTAATCTTTGTGTAATATATAATTTGTAATATATAATCGAAAAATCCCTTCTCAGTGCTTACTTATATAAAAAAAATCCTGTGAAAAATTTGAAGTTTCTAGATAGAAGTTTCGAATGCGTTAATTTATCAAACAGTCGCTCTTTTTATAAGTAACTGTGTATAAATATTATCGTGTTCATGTGAGTTACTCAACGTACTATTATAAAGGTCGTTCTAATCACAATTGTACACCTCACCGTAACATACAAAAAAAATCGTTAAATTCTTTGTCAAAACCAGCTCGATCAGTACAGATATTTTAAATTTGATGGTAACGTATTGTAGCGAAGCTTTGAAAATCGTCTGTATCATCTGACAGAGAGAGAGAGAGAGAGAGACAATATAATTCTATACTTGTAATTGCAGCTAATATTTATATTACGGGATCTTTATATACAGTGATAACAATTTGCGCAGTGATAACTCTTGCAATACAAGCATTTATGCACTTTAGTGACCGCTTACCATCAGGCGGGCTGTATATTTAATATCCACGCTCGTTGTGAAAAAAATATTAATAATTTTCTACAATGAATAATAACATATAATGACGCTAATCGCAGTGCTTCATGCTTACCCATTAGGTATTTGCAGTAATTTGTTTCTTGATATATCAACAATATGCACTTCTGCACTGGCGGCCGCGATAAACACGTCATCCGGCACGGAGGTCAGATCTCTGGCCGGTAACATGAGAGATTGGCTCTTTTTCAATGTGTACCTATACATGACAATTTATCTGTTATTGTAATGTACATTTTATTAAAACTTAAACCACAATTGTATCGAATTTCCTAAGACCTTTCCATTGATATTTTTATAATAATAATACCCATTCTACAATAAACTAAAATATAATGGGACACAATTTGGAACAAAAAACGGTAAATAGCCTTATTGAAAAAAAGATAATGTTTTGCAATACTATATAACACCTAACTTGAAATAATAACCGTCGCCTATAGACATAGCAGAATTATAACTATACCATCCACGGTACCCGTTACGCATTGAACTCTCGAGAACCAATATGAAATTTCATTGATCATACAAAGATAGACACAGGTAACGATGCACATATGGTTGGTTTACAGCCAAAATAGACAACTTAAAACTGAATATAATTTTTTTTCCTACTTTAGTGTTTTTCAGTAATATTAACATTTAAAAGTTGTACTGTAGAAGAATTTCCATACTTATCAGGCCATTCATTGTTAGCAGCTTTTGTGTCACAAACAAGCTCTTCACTGATGCGGTCTCGCAGAAACTTCATCATTCGATCAGTACCACCCCTTATCACGTCTTGTCTTACAAAAGACAATTTATTGCCTTCCATGCTAATACTTTGCAGTTGAGTTAGTAGCCCGAGATTCTTGGGTAACCTGAAAATAAAACTAGTTGACAGCCTCACACAACGGAAAAGTAAAACTCTATCTCTCTCCTGACATATCACCAGAACATTGAGGTTTCCCTTAATTAATAAGTTATCTGTACATATATAAAGCACCAAAAAATGTCCACTTCAAATTTCTAATTTTATCTAATTTATCTTTCTTTTTACTAAAAACTTTAGTCCTACTATCACAAATACTAAAAAGTTAGCCACCTTTTTTTCTTTTTTTGTCTATAAGTTTAGCCATTTTCATTTGATATTATAACAAACAGATCACTGTTACAGTTTCTAGATTTAGTAACAAAAACTTAATATATAACACACTTTTCCACCTCTACACTTTTCGTATAATATAAATAATAAAATGTATATTTATTAAAAAATAAGATATGGGCTACAGATGAAAAACAGTATTAAGTATATACACACTTATTTAAATTATTATTGGTCAAATCAAGCCTCTTTAATGTCTGTAGCAATGATATGTTTTCTGGCAATACTTCAAGTTTATTATCCCTCATATTCAAAACAGTTAAGTGTTGCATTTGATCACAAAACTCTTCTGTGATTTCCTGAAAATAAAATAATATTATATTTTAACTCAAACTGAATAAATACTATATATATATATATATATATATATATATATATATATATATATATATATATATATATATATATATATAAATATTTTGGAGGTATAAAATAAAGCATGTTTTATTACAAATTTATAATATTTTTATTACAAAATTGATTACAAATTAAAAACAAATTATAAATGTATCTCGAAGTCCACATAATTATTATCTACATTTTTAAAATATCGAAACTACTATATATTATATTATAATAGCTATTATATACTTTAAGCTTGATAACAAAATTACTCACCTTAATATAATTATTAGCTAAATATATTTCTTTTAAAGCTGTACATCCATAGAAATCAGGTAACACCTCAATATTATTGTGGTTTGCATCTAATATTTCCATTTTTCTGAGTTCACCCATTGGCGGAAGCATTCGCAAATTATTATTGCTTATATTAAATTTCTTCAAGTCTGTAAAACAATATTTCACAATAATACAACTAATCAAGTAAGAATGGCACCTTCTTGTGGTAATAAAATTTCCATAAAAATTAAAGTAACAACCTGTGGCTATCCATATCAGTAGTCAGCATAAACAGAACTACCATGCCATTTTGTAACATCACCATCTGAATAAGTGTCTTCTTCACCTAAATAAGCTGTCTATTGTTCAGTTATGAATGAAATACATATAATATACTTTGATTTAACAAAGGGAATGAAGGATGATGATAGATAGATGCAATGCTCCAGCCTCCTCGCTACATGTACTATTTTAAAGAAATCATAATTAAAAAAATTACCTCGAAGATTAACAATATCTGGTGGCAACTCTTGCAACTGATTATGTGACAAATTCAACTCAACTAACCGAACCAAGTATCCCATTCCAGGTGGTAATACTACCAATTTATTGTGAGACATGTTCTGAAAAAATTACTATAATTATTTTTCTAGTTAATAGTAACATAGTAATTGAATGAATTTTCTAAAGTAACTAAATAACTTACTTTCTGTTTTACATATCTTATATCTAACTAAATTTTGAATTATTATTCAACATTAGTAATTTTTATAAAATAATATTACCAATGTGGAATAATGTCAAATTTAGTTATTAAATTTTAACTTTTGCATTGTTTATACATATAAATATGTATAAACAGTAATGTTATACATTATAATACCAATATTAGTATGATAGAATTGTATATTCAAATAAGTATATAAATAAGTAGAGTTACAAAATTATTACATACATTATTTATTTGATTTAATTATTGGCCGTGTGGTTCCGGCTTAGAAAAGATCACCCATTCCTTTCTAGTGGGTGTCATAAGAACAGACTAAGGGAGGGCGAGGGATGGACAGCAGCGTCCCTCCTAAAACGTCTCTTAAGCCTGACTGCGGTTGCCAATCCGCCTGCCAAGCGTGGCAACTACTGGTAAAACTTTTCTAAGGGAGAGGTTTATGTTCAGCAGTAGACAGTTAAAGGCTGATATGATATGTTGATTATTTGATTATTACATATACATTTATATTGATAAAATAATACAACTAGACCAGAATGATTCATACAAACTTACCAAAAAATTCAACATTACTAAATCCCCAAAATCAGGCTCAATTTTTTCCAAGAGATTATGAGATATACTAAACCATCTTAATTCGGTCAGTTTATAGAACTCTTGAGGCAGTAAAGACATCTTGTTATGATCTAAGCTAAGATTTGATAAATTTTTTAATTCACCAAATTCAGCAGGTAAATTTGTCAAAGCGTTATCATGTAGCTGCAATCAAAATATTTTTTATCAAAAATCCAAGCAACTCAAAAGCAAAAATAAAGATGCTTATAATTTTATTATCAGTGTACACACATTAGTAAATGTGATCCTGACATATTAAAAACTATGTCTATGATCACATATATAGATCATACCTATATGCATTAAATGTAATTAGGTAAATATTATAAACTTAAATTAAAAACTTAAACATAGTGTAAACATATAATACCTTGTGGTCCAGCATAGACCCCTTCCTTTCCCATAGGTGTCTTAAAAAGGGACTAAGAATTGTCAAGCAATGGGCAGCAACATCCCTCTCTAAAGCCTGCTGTTGCCAATCCGCCTGCCAAGCATGGTACCTTCTGGCAAAACTTCCCTTATGAGGAAGGCTTATGTCTAGCAGTGGATAGTAATAGTATGTGTAGCAGTTGATGTTAACAATTATATTTAATATATATACTCATAGACATACTATGTACAGATAAGTATAGATTATTTCTATATAGTATTTTATTGACAGTGACATTTCCATATGTTGTAAAAGAAATTGCATGATAAAAATGTATAGTGGCAAAACCTTCAGATCTTTGTCCACCAGGTACCTTCCCTTCATTAAATATTAGCTCAGTTTTAATTTGTAACTTAATACAGGGTGTCTCAAAGGAAAGGTGACATTTGTTTTGGTTATTGCGTGAACGCACTATTCTGAGGGGCGCGGGGGGGTATGTCATTCGGTAGCCTAGCTTCCGGGTTTATAATTTTCATCTCAATGGACATGTAAACAAACAAAATATTGCCGATACTGGAGTGCAACTAATCCAAAACACAAACATCAGAAACCCCTACATTCGCCTAAAGTGACCATATGGGCTGCAATGTCGGCGCGAGGGATTATCGGCCCTTACTTTTTTTAAGATGAAAGGAGACTCACAGTTACAGTGAACTCAGACCATTATGTAGAGATGTTAGACTTCTTTATGCCTGAACTGCAAAACTTTCCTGGTTATAATCATAGAACATGGTTCCAGCAGGACGGAGCAACTTCACACACGTCCAACAGGTCTTTACCACAAGTTTGTGAAATTTTTCCTGCCAAATTGATATCCAGGTGAGGTGACATAAATTAGCCTCCATGAAGTCTCGATTTAACCCCTATGGACTTTTTCCTGTGGGGCTATGTCAAATCTAATGTGTAAGTTTATGCCAACAAACCAACTTACTTGGCATAATTAAAAGGAAATATCCATCATGAAATGGCAGCCATCACGGAAAATACATGCAGAGCCATTATTGAAAATTTCAGAGCTTGATTAAATGAATGCCATAAATGCAACAGTTTACACTTGGATGATATCATTTTCTAGAAATAAATTCCCAAAAAGTGCAGTAACAAACATTTTTTTAATAAACTCCTTATTTAATTTTTTATCGATTTTTAAATGTGAACTTTCTTTTGAGTCACCTTGTATAATAATAAATGTTTTTTTTTTAATGGGTGATAATGGAATGGTTACTCCCCCGCCCTATCGGTATACACCAGTGGGGCACCAGTGAAGGATGACAGGTGATGAAACAGGACTGTTAGCCCATTGTGATGCATTCAACAAGAATTGTTCACATGGTTTCCAGAAGGAACCATATGGAGGTCAACCTAATAGGGCATATTGCTAGCAATGGGGTTGTCAAACTTCATTGCTAACAATCCCTTTCCCCCCATAATAAATGTTTACATAAGTACTGCTTATTTTATGGATCAATATACTAACTCACCTTCAATGTAACAAGTTGTGGAAGAAGTTTGACATTGGGTGAAATTGATTTTATGACATTGGAACTAAGGTCAAGCATTTTCAGTGGTTCTGCATTCCACCAATTATTAAGGTCAGATCTTGCAAAGTCCACCTCTTTACTATCTTCCAATACCAATTCATCTATTTTCCACACATTTTCAGGCACTAAATTGGTAACATTTTCAAAACTTTAACAATTGGTCACTTAATTAAAATTATTTAATAAATAACTTGGATGTTTCCAACTAATAACTGTAAGCTATTAATACACAGCTGTGTACATAAATATAAATTTAACTTAAATAGAGCAAAATATTCTAAAATAAACTAAATAAGAATACTCTTATCTAATTTTTATGTAGTAAATACATGGATATTCATCTATAAGATAATGCCTAAACCTTACACTATTTTGATTTGCAATTTAACCAATTGTTCACATCTCTCTTTACGCCAAGTCTTGATTATTTATTATAATAGGAAAGTAATCAAATGTAAATTTTATTTACCTGTGCCTAAACCTCGATTGGATAAGTTCAGTTGTCCAGTACGTTTGGCAGATTTAATCAAACCAGTAGATAATTCATTATCATCGGCCTTTTTATCTTGAAGATGAAACACAGACTTATTACAAACCTTTATTTTTGAATGAGTTTGAGATCGCCGAGACATTTTTTATTAATTAAATGTACAGTATTATAGATAACAAGTATACTACGCAATATTATCATAGCACAATCATTTGTTCGGATTAGCCCAAGAAAATTAAATCTACCTAATTTGCAAAACTATGGATGTCATGCAAATTACAAATTATTTGATAATTGTCGTTAAAACGCAATACAAAGTTGTGTAATAAAGACATCTAAAAAATTATGTTGGTAACAAACAAACCAATGAACTTAGTACTCAGAGAGGTAACAACTGTCAACAGTATGTATATTAGTGATGCGTGAATCCGATATTTTGTTATTCGAATATTTAGTAATTACTAATTTTGTAATTCGACTACTAAATTAGTAACATACTAATTTCTGTATTCAAATGATTTTACTAATTAGTAATTATTACAATAAAGTCCTTTCTCTGAACCTGTTTATTAGTTCATTCCGCAGTCTGTATCCATTATTACATTACCATCGTAATAAAAAACGACGAAAATTAAAAAGTTCTGACTCATTATATGAGTATAAATTTTATAATTATCTATATTTATATTATAGTACAAATATAAATAAATATATTTGTACATTTTTATTATATTTATAATTATAGTAAAAATGTACGTATAGTACTTACTATACTTTCACAATTTTTCATAAATATCATACTTTCTTTTATCGAAACTTGGTAATTTTTACTACATTTAAATTGGCAATACTTTTATCCGTTAAAAAATTAAAAAATTTCATCGATCGGGTCGACTCGGCTATGTTCGTGCCAATTTGAACTTCAACGACTACTAATGAATGATATTAGTAGTCAAATGATATTAGTAGTTGGACGATATTAGTAGTCCGGTGACATTAGTAGTCGAATGAATAAATTTAGTAATCAAATAATTTGAACATCATTCGAATAATCCGAATGATTTGCTCAATCGAATAATTAGTAGTCGGATTAGTAAAGACGCACATCATTACTGTATGTCTTAATATAGTCTCTCTAATCTGTGTGTATACGCTATGGTGTACTGCTATTCAAAAGCTACTTCTCTTATTACTAAATGCAATATTTGTATATTGCTTATATATCGTAAAATTATCTGATAAGAGTATCGGTGTCAACATCTCATTGATTCGCTATGAAGTTGATATCAGCTCCCACAAGCGATACGCATCGCACAAGACATTAGCATTTCGTCTCGCACCTTTGCCAAATGCGTTTTTTTTTATTTTTTCCCTAAATTTCTTTTTGTTTTGAATCAGGAAATAAAGGACACAGAAAGACGGTTTTCGTTATGTTTTTTTTTTTGTTTGTTTTGCCATATATTTACTTTCATATAACTATTAATTACTATCCAGATGTAATATAATGTAAAATAGAGGAGGGTACGATACAGGATATTACGGCGCGTTACGGAATGAAGGGTCAAAAATCTTCCAATTTATGTTACGTAGTACTTGAACGTTCCCAAAGTATAATTTATGTTACGACGCATCCATCCTAATATTTTAACAAATTTAATTATTGCAAAGTATATTTTAGACAACCGTTACTGCACCAGTAATAAATATGAATTATACACTATTACAAATAATTAACTATAGATTCAATTTAAAAAATAAATTTTGATTATATTTTACTACTACGTGCATGCATAGCAATGTCAGGGCGAGGCTCGACAAGGTGTTGGAGATAGCGATTCAAACACGGGCAGGCGACGTCATAAAGTTCATATGCAGTGTTTATTCCAGATTTATAAATATAGACGGATTTTACGGATTGTTGTAATTATTTTGAAAAATATATTTTTCCCTAACATGCTTGGAAATGTGAGCATTATTTTGACAATCTTCTTCGAGATAAATCAAAATTGCCGTACTGGCCAGATACATGCAAGCCAGCGGCCGGTAAAAGTTGTATGAAAATCCATATCTGTCGTGTTTTGCGGTCAGATAAATTACTATGTAAACTCATATCTGTCCTGTAATTTAAAAATGGAATGACCTTTTACTTCGAAACATTGGTATCAAGGAGATAACTAATAAAAGGTTTTACTTAAATTTCGAACTGGCATGCAAATAGAAAGCTGCTTATTGAAAAAAAAAACAAAGGAATAATATGGCACGTGAAAATTATTATTGTTTGTTATTCGTCATTGAACTTAAAAAGTAAAATTGTGTTTTTGATTTCCGCGCATTGTTTGAGAAAAGTACTATACAAGCCTTGGCCACAACTAGGCATTGATGGACTCACGTATGTGTGCCTCGGCTACGCCTCAGCCCACATTTGCACGTTCGTCCATCAATGCCTCAGTTGCTGGCCGCTGCAGTAATGTACTAGTTTTTTATTTTCTAGATTTATTTCGAAAATTCTCTGACTTAGTACCTATTCATATTTGTAAAGAAATTTTGCAATTACGTGAAAATTATTACAGTATATTGAGTTGTTAGTTTCTAGGTTTAGTACGGATGAGATTTATATATATTCTATTATATCGACAGTAGATATAATATATTTCCATTTGAAATATATTTCCGATACGGAAAAGTGATCTTGTAAGAAATCGAATACTACACATGAACGAAACCGTGGGAAAAAGTTAGTATATATTCGTAGTATTTTTATTAACAAATAATTAATTACAGTAAAATATAGAATAATAAATTTACCTCCAAAATCACTTTCAGAGGTTTTGTTCTCGTGAATAATGAGTTTTTTTATAAGAATTATTCACTTCTTCTATATTCATATTCTTGGTGTTATGCTTGTAACATTTAGACCACAACTATAATATAAATTTTAACATAAATATAAAGAATAATAAAATTACATTATTGTTAGGAAGGTATTACACAAAAATAATAATAAATAAGTTTGATGGTAAATTTCAAATGATAAATTCGAAAAAATAGGTAACGCGTGTTAAAATCCTAGTTCTTAGGTTAAAATACTCGTATATAAAGTCAATTCATGTCATAATTACCTTTTCTTTAGGAACCCCTTTTACTTTAGAAAAAAACTAGTGTTTATGTTCTTTCCTGTCAGTTTTACGAGTATAATAATAATATGTACCTAATTGATTTAATTAATGTATTCTCTGTTATTCCATATTATGTTATGTAATTTCTTATATTGGTATATGCGAAAATAAGAACAAAAGATAATAATTAATAGCCTGCCTACAAACAGCCAGTACAAAATGTGCCTACAGTATGAATTCAGAAGAAATGTGCAAACGTGTACCTAAATAAAACATTAAATATAGAATACATCATATATAAATCTACTACTAAAACCTTTGCACCTACTACATATTTTTTATTTGTAATTTTTTGACAAACAAAACAAAATTTTCTGAGATTCAAGTTTTAAGATTTATATCTTTTGAGCCTTAGTTACTTTATAACTTTAATATTTTGATATATGAACGTTTTCAGCCACATGTGTTAATTTGAGACTTATTGGTTTCGAGCGTAAATCAAATTGAGAATGTCCTTTTGTTGCTTAACTTATTAATGAATAATATGCCTTTTAATCTTTGTTACTAAAATCTATGAACTTTCGAAATATCTACATCTTTACTAGGTAGGTGAATTAAACACCATTTATAATACCAGAAAGAAACGATACAAAATAAATTATGTTAAATATTCAAATATATTCTCTTGATAATTGTTCTTTATTTTATAGCGTATTTAATGAATGATACAATTGCGAAACTAATGGTTTGAAAACCATTCTGCTGTGAACTGAACCGAAAGAAATGTTTTGACGTCCTTCACGTGCCTTTATAAAAACACTTTTGAGCATAACCATATCAGACAAATGAGATTGTTCTTCAAATAAGGACTAAGAATGTTGATGTGATTTTATTTTATAAATTACCTAAATTATTTTCATTCTACTGTACAATTAGGAAATCCCAAAATGGTTTCAAATCGATCGGAACTCAGTATAAGAAAAGTGCTATTAGTATTCTGGTGTTCGATAGTGTTAATGGCAGAGTCAAGTTTCAGTGCTCGTTGTAAACTCAGGAAGTATACACATGAAGCTATTCAAACAGATCTCAACGGAAGGCGATGCTGGGATGATGTCAAAATATTAGGATGTTGGGGATATTGCCTGTCACATGAGGTAAGTATTTTCAAACGAAATTACCACCACACATCACAATCATTGTGTGTGTAGTGGTAATTTATAATGTAAAGGAAGTCAGGAACCGTGGAGGGTAGAGAATAAATTTTGCAGTTGTATTTGCATTAATTATGAAAAATCTTTATCATATCAATATTATTATATCAAATTTTAAATTGGCTATCTAGCTGAGTGTACCAGTATTACTCAAGAAATCACTACCCTATCTATATACCTAAATGTGTAAAGTTTGAGCTTGTATTTGATAGGTATAAATATCAACTTACCTATAATTTCTATACGCAGATTTCAGACTGGCAGTTCCCGTACAAGGAATCATTTCATCCTGTTTGTGTACATAGTGAGAGAAAGCACGCATCTGCGAAACTTCGACACTGCGATCCTGGAGTGGAGCCAGGCACTGAAATTTACCATTATGTTGAAGCATCTAGTTGCAAATGTCAGGTACGCCAGATGTAAAATGTAATTATTTTAGTTTAATTATTTGTTGAACCATGGGATTGAAAACAGTGGCATAGTTGACGGTTTACAGACCTTGTGCTATGTGGGGACGAGGGGCTCAACAAATCATTGTACCCCATAAATTAATATCATTTTAAATATTTGGGATAGATATTTATTAGATTTAAAATATTCAGTTATATAGTTATTGGATTTTGAATTAATACTTCCCAATAATCATTACTTCGTTGTATTTTATCTTACTAATAAAATAAAATTGTAACTAGATGATTGACATATAATATAAAAAAATATATTATATATATATATGACGGCTCTCAACAAATGTAATAGAAGCCTAGAGAATAATTTTTAGAAATTTTGTCTTTCTGTCTGATTATCTGTCTATATGTTTGTTCCGACTTCACGCAAAAGACACTGCATCAAATTAGATATAGTTTTCACAGTTGTATTCCTAAAGATCTAACTTAAAATCAGGTGTATGTAATATCGTGATATGTAATCAAGATGTAACTACTTCACTAATCTTCCTACTTCTAAAATCCCCGCGTAGGTACACAAAATGTCAAATTGTTTAGATACAGTCTATTTTAAAATATGAAAAATACTTTTAATAAAAATTATTGTCAACTTCTAATTTTGCTACAAAATTATAACATCGCGTGAAAATTCTTCAAATTAGGTAGCATTCAGTTGAACAGAAAACCGCATAAAACAAAATTATTACTTAGTCTCAGTTGTAGATATATGTTGTGTATATACTACAAAATAACGTTTTGTACAATAAAGTAACAATAGAGGGACAGAGCGGGCAAAATACTGCCTTACTCCCCTGCCCCTGGTTCTAATAACCGTGAGCACAGGAAGAATCTAACTCAATTTTGTAATGAAAAATTTTAATGTAATGAAAAATTGTGTCGATACGGATGCATACTTAGTAATGATATATAAAAAGGTGAAAATACAACTTCAAGTTTTTTTTAGATCAAGGACCGTCCTCCTCTGATGAATTGACGGGTCTAAGATAGTATAGTTACGCCATTGATTTTATAATACATTAAAAACTACCTATGTTATTTTGTGATTACACCCAATTGAACTTTCGCACAGTGCCTACCATTACCCGATATCGTCACCAATTCTACGCATTGCATTTTATTCGTATCCATGTTAATCGCAAATTCTATTTAATATTTGGTTATTCTGAACAAAATATTAATTTGGTATAATTAACTGCATTTTATATTGCGTTATAGGTTTGTTCTTCAGAAGATACGAGTTGTGAATGGTTACCACCAGATTCATCACTGCTCGGTGGCCTCATTTTAAAAAAGGAATTGGAAGAAGAATTAGACTGATTTACTAGAAAAGATAGACTCATTTTTAATACCTGTGTATCTATTTTGTAATCAACTTAATTCCGCTACATCGCAAGTTATACTTAAGTCTTAATAATAATAATAATAATAAAAATCTGAAAAATAAATTTGTTTATATTTATTTTATATCTTTAAAAATGCAAGCAAGCTGCGTTTTACAACTCACTTCACCATCTTCATATTCTAAAAACTTTAGTAATGACAAGTGAAATTAGTATTAAAAACTAAAGTGAGTTTAGCACACTTATCCTCGTTCAATACGCCGTTACCTTAATGAAATGATGGTGTCTTATATTATATATAGAACACAAATTTAAATAACTCTCGTTTCTCCTAATGAAATTCAAACTTACTACTTTTGTTCTATCACCAATAGTTTTCGCAACGCACGCGACGAAAGATATAGCATTTTTTTACACCTTGAGTTACGTTACTAAAGTTTTAGTAAGGATCCCTAATCTTTTCTAGCAATAAATATAGCCTATATAGGTGAATATAGCTTTCTAATAGTGAAAGAATTTTTGAAATCGGCAAGTAGTTTTTGAGTTTATTCATTACAAATATACATACACACAAAAATACAAATCTTTCCTCTTTATAATATTATTGTAGATGTAGATTTAGTGGTAATCTTCATTCTTTCCTCTCACTTAATATAAAAACCTATTAAATTCGTATCCAGCTCTGATACAAGATATATCGTTATTGTAGCATGGTTAAAATCGAAGTTTTCATCTTAAAAGAATGATTCTATTCTTACCTTCCCTAATCTTTTTTAGAGTTCCATACAAACTAAAGGAACATTTGTGTATTTTTTTTTTAATATAAATTTCTCACTCATAGGTACCATTTCATAACCTTAAGTTTTTTTTAAAACATTTAACAGATACCAGGTCACGCAGGCAGTATTGCGAGAATTTTTTTTTATGTATGTGAGACTGGCTAGTTATAATTTATTTAAAAATATGATTACTTATAAGTAAAAATAGGTACGTTCTAAATTCAAAACAAGCATTAACGCCGAATGGTATACTACCAAATGCTTGGCAGAAGTTTTCTCTGTTGTGAGCAACAAGCGACCAAACACAGGGCTCCGCGGACTACTCCTCCACCACGATAATGCGCCCGCCCACACCGAAATCAAAACGAGGGACTTCCTAGAGAGCACACTGGTCAAACCCCTCCTTATATCTCTGACCTAGCACCCTGTGACTTCTTCTTATTCCCAAAAGTAAAAAATCAGCTTAAAGGGATATAATTTTCGTCGTCGGATGATGGGCTCTCAGCGTTCGAGCAGGCTGTAAACGTAGTGTCTGCGGCGGACTGGAAAAAGTGTTTCGAAAACTGATTCAGAGGCATGAAACTTTGTATAGAGGCTGGTGGATAGTACTTTGAAAAGATGTAATAAAAATATATTTCCATTTTTTTAGTGTCGCAAAACTTTCTAAGTGTCCCACGTATATCTCATTTGTCAATTTTTAATGAAATGATATCCCGTGTGCATTAACTGTATACGTTAACCAGGAATCAGAAAAACTGAAAGCAGGTCAGTTGGCTCATTGTAACGAATCCATCAAGAAATAATGATTTAGAGAAACCGCGTGGAAGTTAGTTGGCATATTATAGTATTAACAATCGTACCACTCTCCATTACTAATAATTCTTTCTCCCTCTCCAATTTGTTATTAAAATTATTAACAGCTGTTAATCAATTACAGCGCGAAGAAATACTATGATAAATAGAAGCAGTACATGCATTTGCGATCCAGTGGTATGATGCTATCTAAGAACAAGGAATTACATAATAGGAATGATAAAATAAAAACTGTAAATCATATAGTTGCCTCTTTCTTCTTGTGCAAATATAATTAGTAAAAAGAGGACGAAAGATACACCATCAGTTGTTAGTTTTCTCAACAGCTATGCGTTAACTATACGCTCCATCATCTTAGAGAGAAGGGAAGCGATCGCAATCGGCCTGTAAATTTAAATATTCGACTTTTTAGATACAGAATGTACAAGAGTGAGCATGAAATTGGACGAAAGATGAGCATGGCCTTTTTTCTTAAACATATACTTTATGATATGGTAACGTAACTTACGACACGTTCCATGAACATAGCAAAATGGTTGAAAGAACTTTTTATTATTATATTCCATATTAACAGGTAGCAGTTAATATAAAAAAGATTGTAACTAGTTAAGGCCCGAGTATTCATCATGTAAATCTAAATTACACCAGTTCACTACCATCAACCCGTGTGTTTTACTCTCCACCAAATTCCCATTGCAACTTATTTGGACGCTCTCGGAAATACCAACCTTCCCTCTGGAATACAATCTTAAATACGTCAATAAGGGAATAGGCCTTAACAGAAAACTCTAAGGGTTGATTCTAAGGAATAATTCATTAAACCTTTCTCTAAAATTAATAAATGATCTCTCTCTGTCGGAGCGTTGCACGAAAAAATGACAAATTACCAAATTTAATCCACTCGAGGAGGCCTATAAAATGGTTTTATATATAGAGTTTGCGCTAAATATCAGAGTAAAATAAATAATAGGAATAGAGTGATGTTTTTAGTAGCAAGACAATTTTTATTAAGGTGACAATTCAGTAACAGATAGGTACAATAAAAAAACTAACTACCAAGAAGTATTTACACTATAACAAATGGACACATAAAACTGGGGTTATGCGACATCGAAAAATTCATTAAAATGTTTTTAAGTCCTTGGTCCATAACGCCCATAAGGATATACTCTAACCAAATAAAAAAACTAAACATAGGTACTTGTTTTATTGTCAGTTTTTTTTATAAAAATATAAAATTTTATTTTATAAAGTAGATTTTTATGACAACAGTCGATATCGATATTTTCAATGAATCTATATAATGATTTTTCATAGTGATACATTGCTATGAATATTCATTTATTTTGTTAATTTATTCTTGTTATTTCGAAAAGTTAACATACATTTCATTTTTCAAGCTTCGTAAATTTAAGGTCACTGCCAACTCTCATAACGTAGTGTTTATTACTCTGTGGTGCTGTCAGATTGTCTTGTTATTTATGTCACCGCATCGCATTTGTAGTTATTGATATTATGATCTTTTTTACATGAAAAGTATATAAAAATAATGAGATTTTGGGCATAATATCACGTTATACATTGTTTTAATAATACTCAACATGATTATACATTATACAAATTTTTCATTAGAGATTTAGCTGCAAAAGTGTTATGGAAAGTGTTAATCATGAAATACTTTTGTGTCATTATTGTTTTATGCGTTTCTTCATGTGAATCCCAGGCTCTGGCATCGGATAAAACAGACACGCGTCCGTTATTGAAAGGTAATTCATTATCGGAACAGAAATTATGGAATATAAAACTTGATATATACTTCTCCAAGTCTCTCCCCCCGGTTTTAAGAAAACCCTTAGGAGCTAATGTACGATTTAAATGCGAGGCTATACTAAACTTCACAAAGGTCGAGAGATACATGAAGAACAAACAAGGTGTAGAAACATCATTAAAAGAGTCTCCCCCTGAACACATACAACAGACACTTATGAATAATGTTAAAGTTTACTGGTTAAAAGACAATAAACCTTTATTAGATGCACATAGAGTAAATACATCAACTAAAATAGATATGACCAATGGAATTATAGGTACTAATTTAACAATCAAAGATGTACATAATGATGATGGAGGTAACTACACTTGTGTCATAAAGCAAAATTATGAAAAGAAACAAACATCTGTACTTAAAATATTAAAAGATGCAGATACTCATGATAAATTTGAAATTCCTACTTATACATCACTATTTCCCAATTCTGACAGCCAAAATGAATTAGAAATTGTTAAAACGACTCCTGATTTAATATCTGAAAGTATGCACTTCCAAGCTACTAATGGAACAAAACAGCATATTAACTTTACTTTGATTCGAAAATTAGAACCAATTTGCCAAGAGTATATAGGTAAAGTGTGTGCCCTGCATTTAAAAGGTCAGTTTGTTTACATTCCATATGATACAACTCAAGCTGAAATTGAAGACAAACTTGGTAAAGCTTTACAAGTAACAAGATACTCAAATGATATAAGTTCAAATTGTGAGGGGTATGCACTGCCTAGTCTCTGCTATTCAACATTTCCAATATGCAGGGACCCCTTGGTGACCAATGATAACTTTATGAAAGAAGCTAAAATAATTCTAAGTATTCTTTCTACTACAAATGCATCAACTGTATCTAATAGCAATTATGATGACAATACTCCAGAAATTGTATTTGCAAATTTACCTCAAGGAGTTTTGCCACAAATTAATGGTATTTTTAATAAAACTGTCACCATTGAAAAGTTGAACTATCGTTATAACTCCACTATACTGAGAAGAGTTTGCAAACAAGATTGTGAAATATTAGAAAATGAATTGTGTCAAACAGAATATGCTATAGCTAAAAGACATCCTCATATTGGTCAGCAATTAACCCTAGAAGACTGTCAAGATTTACCAGAAGATGATCCAGATTGCCTTAAAATAGGAATAGGTGCAGTGATGGTTTCTGATGATGAATGTTATTGGGAGAATGGAAATGGATATCTGGGTAGAGTAAATGTTGCAGATAATGGAATGACTTGCATTGAATGGTCTAAACAAATGCATGTTCGTGTCTCAGATTATCCAGAACTTGCTGGTAGACATAGTTACTGCCGAAACCCAGCTGGATTAAAATCACAACCTTGGTGTATTGTAGAGAAAGATGGAAAAACTGATAAACAGCTCTGTGACATTCCAAAATGTGCTCACAAAATTTGGATTTATATTGTTGTTGTTTTCCTTATACTTACTTTGTCAATTATTGCTTTTGTCATTTGCCTTTGCTATAGACATAAAAACAAAGGAAATGCTGCCACAATAAGAGACATTAACCTACCCAATGCTGATAAAAACATCTATGGGAATTCTCGATTAAATTCCCCTATTGAAATGAATGAATTGTTAACAAATCAAAATATCAACAATCAACCACACCTAACCAGAAACACTCGTGGCAATGGAGTTTTACGCATACCTCAATATTCCCTAGCACAAATTAAGTTTTTGGAGGAACTAGGTGAAGGTGCATTTGGAAAAGTGTACAAAGGTGCACTAAAAAAGAATGGAGATACACAATATGTAGCTGTGAAAGCCCTTAAAGAAAATGCATCTGCTAAAACTCAAGCAGATTTTAAAAGAGAAATTGATTTAATTTCTGAACTTACACATGAAAATATAGTATGTATTGTGGGAGTAGCACTTAGAGAAGAACCCTTGTGCATGTTATTTGAATTTATGGCTCGAGGAGATCTTCATGAATTTTTAATGGGTAGAGCACCTCCATCTGGCAAAGGTCTACCACCAATGAGATTACTGAACATTGCACACAATATAGCATCTGGAATGCAATACCTTGCTTCACATCATTATGTTCACAGGGATTTGGCTGCCAGAAACTGTTTAGTTTCTGATGATTTTATTGTAAAAATATCAGATTTTGGACTATCAAGAGACATTTATAGTTCAGACTATTACAGAGTATGTATTTCTAAATTTTTTAAGATTTGTATAATTAATTATTGAATACTACTTTTATTTTGATACCTGTATATGAAATCTTCTAGGTGCAATCTAAGAGTCTGTTACCAGTAAGGTGGATGCCACCAGAGTCTATTCTTTATGGAAAATTTACAACAGAGAGTGATATTTGGTCCTATGGAGTTGTGCTCTGGGAAATATATAGTTATGGATTACAACCATATTATGGGTAAGTATATTAATAAAGGGCGAGTAATATATATAATATTGGTCATGTGGTCCCGGTATAGAATAGGCCACCTCTTCCTTTCCCGTGGATGTCGTAAAAGGCGAAAGACGATCGTAAAAGGAACGGTGGGTGAGGGATGGGCAGCAGTGTCTCTCTTAAAACATCGCCAAAGCCTAACTGCGGTTGCCAATCCGCCTGCCAAGTGTAGCAACTACTAGTAAAATCCCCCTAGGGGGAGGCTTATGTTCAACAGTGGACAGTTAAAAGCTGATATAATGATGATAAGTAACATACAGTAATATCTGTATATTATAGTTACATGATTTTTTTTATTTATTCATTAAGAATAATTATAAAATTATAACAGCAAAATCCAAATCAATGTTATAAATCTAGTATGCTTACATACAATAGAAGATATAAGATATTTCTGAGCCGTTTCTAATATCTTTGGCAGGCTACTACTAAATATATCAATGATGTTTATAATATTATTTAATAACCGCACTGCGTGAGTTAAGGGAGCGTACTGAAGTAGGTTAGTTCTTACTGGCGGTACATTAAACGTAACCGGATGACGGCGCGCGCTAACATAACCATTCGGAACTCGCAGTTGGACTGTCTCTAGCACTTGTGGGTGATGCACTCATCCGCGTAACACACTCACAACATATTTTACGAGAGCGAGATCTCTCCTCACCACTAGTCTGCTGTATCCCACCATGCCTAAAACGAACAGACTCGGGTACATCAACGGATAATAAGGATAAATGCCATATTCCTTTAGATAGAAAAATTAGCCTATTAACAGATATATTAAATAGCAGTAGTCGAAATTAATATATATATCCAACTAGCATAAGCGATGTCAAAATTGTTGATAACCGTTTTTCCATCATCAGTATCCTGTTGAATATCAAAGATATAAATATCGTAGTGGATATATTATCTTTGTTTACTACTAATTATTAAGTAAAATCAATGCAAGTAATTAAATTATAACTAAACATATTTAAGCAAAATTATAAGAGAGATAAGAGTAATAGAAACCAAAACAATATTTTTAAAATTTTGTCGTATATTAGTTTCAGCATCACACAAAAATTACTACCACAATATAAGTAAAAATTGTATGTGGTTTTTATAATAGTATGTTTGAAGGTTAATTATCTGAAATCCATGGGTACAAAGTTACAGACACAATATTAGTTTCAAATAAAATGTTAAATTGAATGAGTATACATTATTTGTTGATAATGTTGTTTTAATAAATGAAATCAATCAATTTTAAAGCCTTATTTTCTAAACTATGTACTTAAAATTTATATATTGTAGTTCACATCACTCCCCTGTTGAGACACAAAGACCTTGTTTTGATATTATCGGACTTCTGTAAGTGGAGTTTTTATATTATAGCAGAAGGTTTAGAATCTAAACCTTCTGCTATAATTTAAAGTTTAGATATTTACTATATCACTAAATAATTTTAATATAATTTATTTTACCTTAAAAGTTTTTGTTTTTATATAGATACAGCAATCAAGAAGTAATATCAATGGTTCGCGGCGGCGAGCTCCTGGCATCACCAGCCGCTTGTCCATCTCCTATGTATATGCTCATGAGAGATTGTTGGAAACATACACCCCAGAGACGTCCCAATTTTGAGGAAATTGTTAATAGGTATGTGTACCTTACTAATATAATAAAATTGTAATTAGACGTTATCTGTGCATGGGAGATATTTAAGAAAAAAAATATTGGGGGTCTTAACAAGAGTAATATAAGCGAAAACAATAATTTTTAAATAATTTGTTTGCCAGGCCGGCATGTTTGTTTTGTCATCACGCAAAAACTACTGCATCTAATTATATATATATATATATATATATATATATATATATATATATAAAGGACTATCAACTAAATATTTGCCCAGCAAACCCTTTGCAGAGTAAATATTTAGTCTTTATTTTAGTCTCAGAAGTTATTATATTATACACGTTATATCTCTTATATGTCGGAAGTAAACATCTTTAACTTGTAATGCCCACCAAATGATCTGACTATATATGCAAATATCCTCTCAATATATATGTTTCAAGGCGAACTCGAGCGACTATTGAGTCTAGATTTCTGGTACTTATTTACCATATATATATATATATATATATAGATATTTCAGTTAAATTTAAAAAAGTCCAATAAAAGACAACACTTCAGAGATAACCTAAAATGTCCTCGGGGTAATGCAGGTCTCATAGCATGGTTTCTTAACACATAGATATTTTGTTATGCCTCGTGTGGTCACTCCACCAATATAAATTAATACACTTCTTTAATAAAGGTTTGTTTTCCACCGCTTCCACCATATTTTTCATTTATTTGACTTTTTTTTTATATAACTTAAAATGACTGCTGAGTTAATGAGATCATATCTACCAGAATACGCTCAAACTGTTTAGCTTATTTTCTAACATGTATATTGAGTTCCACCATATGAGAAATTATATATATTTATAAAGGAATATACTTATTTGTTACTTTTTCTTTTGGATTATTCAAATACTGCTCTGAAAAAAATAGACAAATATTCGAATTTTAAAATTATCGAATATTTACAAACTCTATTAAAGGTCTAACTTAAAAGCTGGTATATGTTTTATCTTTAGACACCATCTAGAAGCGTTCTATTCCTTTTTTTTTTCTGAAATCGACACATAATGCCGATATATATATTATTTGGATTATTTAGAATCTAACAATAGACAATGTTATTCTACAGGATTCATGAATGGATTCAGATGGGTGGTTGTCCTGACAATGCCCCCTCTGACTCTGGGAGCTCATGTGGGCATAGACCTAGTGCATCAAGTAGAGATTTACAAGAAAGAGTACCCCTCTTGCCTCCACATTGCTCGTCATCTAATGGCTCTTTGACAACAGGAGGGAGTCTCAAAAAATTCAATGTTGCTGGGTCTAGCTCAAAAGGTGCTGAAGACAATTGTTCCACATGCAGCGAAGTGCCCCCTCTTGCACCTAAATTGAAAAAACATAGTGCAGGTTCTCTTATAGATACAGAAAGAATTGGAAGAGAAACTGTCATCCGAATACCAAATACACAGCATGGTAATGAAATATAGTTTTCATTAAAGCATATCTAGAAAAAAGATAGATAGTAAATGTATAATAAAGATAACTTACATTATTAAAACGACAAGAGAACTGTTATTACGCCCAAGTTGTAATTTAAAGATAAAATTGTGCATGTAAAAATCTTCACCGATATTAATAAATTTACAGAAAAGAAGAGTTCCATTTATAACAATTAAAATGTATGTATTTATCATCTACTTAAAAGTTAGTAAGTTTCAATGGTTAGTGTTTTATTAGTTCATACGTTTTAATAGTAAATGTAATTAGAATTCAGTAAAGCGTAAATAGCAGGAATAGCTGCCGCCTTAAATCTAATTAGTTTTATATTTAAAAACAAATTTCCAAAATCTACTTGTATCTTTAGAAATTTGTTTTTAATCTACGATAAAAAAAAAGGACCTGCCTAACTGATAACTATTTTTCACTGTGACACAATATTAATTTTCGTATTATGTAATTAAGGTTAAATAGGATATTTAGAGTTAAAGGTGAAGCAAAAGTTCACATTTGTATTTATATAATTAAGACAATAGCTTATTTATTACTTTCAAGCTTTCTAAAGACTAAACATTAAAAGCTACATATTTCAAGCTTTCATTAAAATAATAATAAATAGCCCTGGACGTAACGCACAGCGTCATCTTTTTCAAACTCAGCAGAGCTTGTGCTGTGCGTAGGAATTAGATGGCTGATACATCATATTTTTTTTTTATAAATACATTCCTAAATATACATGCAGTCACCCAACACAATTCAAACAGTCATATTCTTGAATACAGATGTGTATGATGGAATCTGCGATTACTAAATTTGTCATATACTTAACCATTTTTTTTAGTTTTTAACTCATATTTAATTCTATTTTAATTTCATTCTATTTTCGCTCTGGATGATATCCTGTCCATTAAAGACAAACTATTTCTGTTTTAAAAAGAACGACAATCCGCCATCTTGACGCGTCCGCTTCATTACATATAATTGTACCCGACTAACATAGTCCAATATCTATCTTTAAACCAAGTTGCCTACGAGCTATAATAGATTGGACATATATTATAACTCGTAAGCTACTATCAAAAAATTTAATGATGGGAAAAGTAATCCGCTATCTAAAAACATCCACCGTGGTATTTTACTTCTATTTTATTAATAAATGAAATTAAACCCGTATAAAAACATGTTTTGATAATTAATGTAGATAAAAAATCGTTAATAATAATCATAAGAATTCAATAAAACAAAAAAATATCTACGGATTATGACTAAAATGCACCATTTTAGTGTATCCGTGGTATTTGGATTGCACGAAATCGAACATTATTTATTTACCCGACTTAAAGAACGTAATGCTCAAGAATGAAAATTAGTATTCTATTGCATGTAAGTTGTAATAATGAGAAGAATAATGTTTGTAAGTTTAGTGTGATGTTACAGTAAATGGTATTTCTTAATAATTTTAGTTATTTAAAAATATAAGCTATCAAAATTGTTGACTGATCGTCTTTATGTTTATTTATTTTAGGATTCGTATTTACTGAATATAAAATATATAATTGACTTTTGTTTGAGCAATAGTCATAATGGACAGCTAATTCTTGCTTAATAAGTATTATTGATTGCTTTAAATTCAATATTTAATCGCTAAAGATGAGTTGATTTATTACTTATATTGAGTGATCATTTAATAATTAGTAAGTAATTAACAAAATTTTTAGTACATATATTATTATTTTATCCCGCCACAATATGCTCAAGTACATAAATTGTTTAATTTCAATAACATAATGTGTGTTATGTTTTTACTAGCAGCTGACATGTGGTTATTCATGTTTAAACATTTTACTTCTAAATATCTTGATTGATATTAACATTTATTTTTTCATATAAATTGATTATAAACTTATAGACATATTATTATATGTAGTTGTTAAAAATCTACTCACTACATATTCTTACACAAGAGTCGCTATGCAGGTGTCAAGTTAAAATTCAAATGACATTAAAAAATTAGTTCATACTCATTTGTTTAGCGTCTTACGCCTACCTATAAATTTGAAATTTTTAGTGAGCAATAAGAAGACAAGACATTCCCAAATTTTATCTATTCTGTGTACTAATATGATAATAGTATATTATTTGATCCAACAGTATTACCTATATTATATAGGTAGTTATTTGTTTGAGATTTAGATGCATTGTGAATGTTACCCACTGACAAATAATTTTCGGAAAACGGTAATCTTAGAAAAACACACATGATTTGAAATTTTCTTTTAAGTACGAAAAGCTTTTTCGTACTTAATAATTATGAGCACCTGCCTATCGATAGATACGTTTTCACTACCGCATGATTACATAGAACTAGATAAAAACGTCTGGCTTCATGTTACTTCTTATACGTACGAAAAGAAAACGCATCTATATACATAAGTCATTAATTTTTGAGGAACTGGTATTAAATATACCCAAATCTTATCAAGATGAACAGATGATAGACGGGTTTATAGGCACATTAAATAACATTATGATTTACTATTATTTATTGTACAAATTACATAAGAATATTATTTGCTAATTTTTTTTTTATTAATATTTTCGTGCAATTTATACAAATTTAATAAATTCCAAAGTCACATAAGTTTAGATTGAAATTATTTAAAATGTATCATGTTAAACTTAGTTACCTATACTCTACGTAGATATGCCAATTTTGCCGTAAAACAAGTAATAAAACGATTTATTGTATTAAAATATTCTTACGTAATATTTTATGTAATGTAAGTACATACGTAATTAAGGCTCTAAGATATTTTGATCTTAAGATTTTCATTGTCCACGTTACAATATGATCTTACCAGCTGCAAACTAAGTTTAGCACAAGTATTGATTTCCCTTACGACTGCTGACCTTAAAATATGACTGCCTATATATTTAACATACTTATGTAATTAATCATATCAAACCGAAATCGAACTATTAAGATTAATCTTGTATCATGTTGCGGAGGTACGTAATAGCAACTTAGTCCAGTTCATAAAATGATTCATATCGTATAACCCGCCGATGACAATAGACCTGATAGTGCATTAATATTACGCCGTCAACTTAAGTTGCCTATTAATTAAACTAGGTATACGACATGATTTATATGATTCTTGTATATATATAACTAACATATTATAACCCAAAATCTTAAATTTGACTCTCAAGAGATTATAGACCGCCTTCATTGATCATAATCAGTGAATACTTAGAGTTAGCTTACGTGCCTTTTGAAGCACAAAGCAAATTACAATTCCTATCATCGAAATAAACTGCCATCTTACATTTCCTAAGCAATGCATAAATATTAAAATCGATAATAACCATGACTGATACTGCCATTCCAATTTGTTATTTTTATAACTTAAGAAAGCAACGAGTTATTTCTTGTTTAGAAAAAAAAATACAATAATGATATATAAAAATGAGGTACACAATGAAACAGCCTTTCAAAATTCAGAACTGAAAATTTAGTACCATGCATTTTTATATTGTATACTTTTTAATTGTATAGGTAGTATTTATACCTACCAAGTTTGCGTCTGTACTTGCCAAAGACTTTTTTGTATGTGATACTTTTACTTTTGTACCTAGATGTTAATTGTATTTCTATAATAAAATGATAAGTTTTTATTATATAAAAATAAATTTTATTTATAAAGCCACTCAACAACAGTGTCAATAAAACTTCCAACCTTAACACATAATCCTATAACAAATCATTAAATAATTATTTAGTTTCTTCCTCGTCTTTATTTTTTTTCACGATCAAGTATTCACCATGAACTTTCATATGCACTTTAAGATTATGGTTCCCTGTAAAAGCTTTTTTACAAACTTTACATACATAGGGCTTTTCTCCTGAAATAAAAAAAAAAATATCCTTTTATTACAACAAACAAAGTAAATAATTTCCAATTCATGATAAAACTATTTGGATGCAATTTCGATGACTTGTCTTTACGTTACACCACAACTAATGCATTTTTTTTTGCATTAGGAGTCGCGAACGACATGCACTTTTATAGGAGTAATCGAGTCGATTAGAATCTCCCTCTCGGATCGATTATGTTTGTTTTTCATCGTGAAAAGCCAGAATTTATATTCAACCCGGTTTTGTTAAATTTTCTGATTTAACAAAATCTGCTTGCCTACCAATTATCAACCAATTTAGTCAGGCTAGGCAAGTAGGTCTTACACAACTCTATTCAGATATTTTTAAATGAAATAAAAATTAATATATGTTGATGAGATGTGGTGGTTTTCAGGGAGAAACCAGGCAAAGACTGAGTATATTGCTACAATGGCTTAAGCCCTCTTACTAAAATCCCCTCCCCTCTATCCAACTGCACACTATTAACGTTAGTTCAACAATACCTGTATGTGTACGTCGATGTTTGATAAGTACACTAGCCGAATAGAATTTTGCCGGGCAAAATTCGCATTGTTTCGTACGAGTTCCATCATGTCTATTTATGTGTATGGTCAAAGCTTGTCGAGTCTTATATGTTGCTGGACAACGATCGCATTTATATTTACCCACTTCTCTGTGAGAGTTCAAGTGACGATTGTACTGTAAATAATGAACATCAGTATCAGATGTGTAAGTTAATGTAAGTACATAACTGGTATTTCAAGATTACACATATGCGACATACCCACACTTCGCACGTATAAATATGTAGATCTCTATTTTTTTTAAATAGAAACCATCTCATGTTACTGGTTGATATTGTAGCTTTTTATACATGAATGAATTTTGAAAAATCGGTTGTTGTGGTTTTTAACCCATAGATCGAGATGCATTAGTCGGATAGCGGCTAAGGCACACGTATGTGCAGATCTAGGGGTGTTATGTTGAGGGTCACCTCTATTGCTGTTGTAGGATAATATGTAGAATAATAAAGAATATATATATATAACTGATATACATAAATAAATACATTAAAAAAACATCCAGACGAAAACAATCTCATGATGACAAATATTTATATGGTGGTCGAATCCGCAACGATCTAAAAGTGGAGCGGTGTGTTAAACTGCTACTCCACCAAGATCATCAGCAATAAATGTTTGTTAATCCAGAATATGATCTTTTACTTGTTTGTTTAACAAATACAAAGGTGACATCCATGTATACGTGAAATGCTTTTTTTATTTAAATCAAACAAAAGCGTGTCACTCTTTTTTACGAGCATAGATACTTTCCTTCATATCATATTAAGTATGTTGAAATAAGATTCACTTACCAAATTAGCTAATTTGAACTCCTTTCCACATACAGGACATATATGTATGTGGACATTACATTTATGTGCGTCACATTTTTCCTGGTTTTCAAATGGTCTTTTACATTGTGCACATATTACTTTTTCGGCTGTATGTCTTCTTATATGATGACTCTAAAATATTATTAAATACTTTTATTGACAGATCCTAAAACCAGAAAATGAAAAAAAATTAAAGAGCATTTGAGACAGGAAAATTATCATTAATTAACAACATTGGTCTCGAATGCTTTTTTTATTTTTTTTTAGTATCCGCTGTTAAGCCGAGATGGGCCCCTAACGGTTATCGTCAAATACCATTCTCGCATATCTATACCGACGACAAAATTTCTTATACCTATGGTAAAGTGACCCATAGAGATACAATATCTCTTACATCTTCATCTAAACTAAAACTACGAGAGCCTATTTTCTCTGATAATTGTGATATTATAGAAACTAACTATACCACCTTGTCCATGCCATAATAAAGCGCTCTGAACTGTAAATTCATTTAAGAATATATGTTATTGATCTCTTGTAGTTACCCCATACAAACCTGTAATGCCGGTATTTACCATTTTGTAAACTCTTAAATTCTATAATCTAATGCTCTTTTTAGCATAGTTTGGGCGAAATATTAGCAGGTATTTACACATAGTTTTCTTTTTTAAATCTTTTTTATTTAGGGGCTTTTATTCTATTAAGATATGTCAGCCCAATCATAGCCTAGCATTTGTTAATAATTTTACATATTTACTAAAATAAAGGAAATCGTTGACACAAAAATACAGCAATTAAATATTTTGCCTTTTCTGAATATGGATCCACGAGTATATACGTTCTTAAAAAAAACTATTCTATATCATCTTCGTTTAGATTATATATCTGTAGCAAAGCTTTCTGTTTCAGTTTTGCAAAATACACATAGTTTGAAAATAATTCTATTTACCATCTGCGGTAACTGCGGTATTGTTTTTCCGTCTCTAGTTTCACTTGTTTTATATGTATACAGGTGAAATCTTTAGCCGTACTTAAAACTAAAAATCCGGATAGAAATTTAATAAATCAGAAATTGAAAATTAGAATAATTTTAGGCCTCCAAATACATAACAACATAACCTTCAAGAAAAGAGCATATTCCTTTTTAAAAGGCCGGCAGCACACCTGCAATGCCGTAGGTGTTGTGGGTGACCATGGGCGGCGGTAGTCACTTACCATCAGGTGAGCCGCATGCTCGTTTGCCCCGTGTTGTAAAAAAAAAAAAAAAAACATACGCCGCTTTGGTGACATTGTTCAGTTTCACTGGTAGAACACTCATTGAAAAGGACGTTAACGATTTTGATTTCACCCCGTATACTTACCAAATTAAAAGAATAATAGTCAAATATACACATTTTTAGTGAATATAATGAACACATACCTTTAAGCCAGTACTGTATTTGCAAGAGAATCCACACAAATCACACACATAAGTCTTTTTTTCGCTATGGGATCTAATATGAGTTCTCAGTGTGCTTTTCTCAATAAACCTGAAATTATTTAATTACAAAAGTAGGTTTTTTAATGGATGATAATGGAATAATTACCTCGCCTACGCTATCGTTATACGCTGGCGAGGCACCAAAGTGGTGACGATAAAACAGGTCAGTTAACCCATAGTGACGAATTTACCAGGAATTAATCACGACGATTTCCAGGAGGAACCGCGTAGAGGTCGACCTGGTGTTGGAGATTGGAGAAAGAGATTGTTAGTAATGCGAAATACCAGTCACATTGTTAGCAATATACCCTATCAGGTCGACCTCCACGTGGTCCCTCCCTAAAACCCATCTACGACTCACAACGGGATTATTTATTACTATTATATACCATTGGAGGGAAAGGGATTGTTAGTAATGACCCCATTACTAATAATAATTCCCTTTACTTCCAATAGTATAAGTTTTACTACATAAACTTATCACTGATGTTATACTTCTTGTTGTTATTTTTTACTTTCTATATAAAGGTAATTTCAACTTGCATGGGGTATCAAAAAATAATAGCAATTTATCATATCAGCCTTTAATTGTCCACTGCTGAACATAAGCCTCCCCCTCGGGAAATTTTGCCAGTAGTTGCCACGCTTGGTAGACGGATAGGCAACCGCAGTTAAATTTTTAAGATGTTTTAAGAGGAACGCTGCTGCCCATCTCTCTTCGCATCGCCCTTTCTTAGTCACTTCTTATGACACCCACGGGAAAGGAAGGCGTGGCCTATTCTATGCCGGTACCACAGGGCTATAATAATAGCTTTTAGTACATTATTATTTCTATATATCAATGTGTTGGCGAACAAGCACAAAACCCAATGATTACCGTAGCCTATGTTAAATATCCGACATTTTGGCACATTGCGTGCTCTTTATCTAAATAATTTTATAAAATAAAATCATTTATTTAGGTAAAGCGTACAGCGCTAAATTTGCAGACATACAGTTCATAGAAGAGAAAATAGGCTATTTATCTCTTCAGTAATAGTGCATATAGATATAAGTCCCAGTAAAAGGTACCAGCAGAAAGTCAGCGCTACGGATACTCCGCAGCTTAATGTTGAGTTGGTTGCCTTTGAGAGGCCGCAGAGGCACATAAAACTACCTACAAATTTTTGTTTCGCTTATAAATTCATGCATTATGTGTTTGTAATTGTGAATAAATAATTTATCTATTTATCTAAAATTACTGTACACCTATCCCCCGATTTACACGGTACTTGTTTTACACGTTTTCGCTTTTACACGGTTTTCCAAATAAGTTTTTTTTTTTTTTTTTGTTTTTATCGCACTCTGCTAAATGCTACTGTCTTTGAACACGTGCGCTGTGTACACATTTCACGGGGAATCCCGAGCTTACGTGCTACCTTGCTGCACTGTGTCTGTATTTCTTCGCATAAAATTAAAGTTTTATCTACGGAAAATTGTATTTGAGTGAAAGTTTCACAGTGTCAGAAAGATTTAATTTTTCAGTTTAATGTATTATAATTAAATAAAAAACAGTGTTTCCGTAATATATTACATACTTTAACCTGTCAATGCATTTTATTTTTATATCTGTGTACACCTAAAAATATTGAAAAAAATCACAACTGTTAAATAGCAAAATTATGCATTTTCTGCAAGCTTTTCGATTTACACGGTTTTGACTTGAAAATTTTAAATTTTCGATTTACACGTTTTTCTCAGGAACGTATCTACCGTGTTAATCGGGGGATAGGTGTATTTCACAAAGACCGAAAGTGTAACTGTTCACTAACTCTATATGGCCACTTCCCATCAAACAGTCCATATTTTGGTTAATTCTTACCATTGATATACATGTTTTAGCTTACTCTACAAAAACCAATTTATAGATGGAGTAGAAAAATTAAGTATCTAAAATATTCCTAAGTAGGTTACCTTTTAGAACAATAATCACATATATATTTTACTTCAGCGTGACTACTCCGCATATGGCTCCTTAATTTCCTTGGTGTACCATAACTACGACTGCATAGACTGCACTGTAACATAGTCTGCTGAAATTATTTTTATAATAATATATATATATATATATATATATATATATATATATATATATATATATATATATATATATATATATATATATATATATATATATTTCTTTAGTTATCATTATTATTGGAAGATATAAATTTTCTGTGTTCTATGTATTTTGAAAGATAAAATATGGCAAAAACTAGTTATGCTTTTAATGTTGTAAACGTCATTCCCTGTAATTAGTGTAAATTTATCTGGATCGATTTTTACTGTCTTCACGTAAATTTGTTCCAAAAATTAAAAACATCTTTAAAGACAATGCAATGAGTTTCAATGATTTAAAGTCATTCCAAAAATGTAGTTCTCCATTCTGTTCACAAATTTATTTGTATTAATTGTTGTGTGTGTTTTATAAAAGCAGTTTTATTTATAAAAATGGTTTAGTCCCATACCTGTATAAATTTTATTAATATTAAAATATCAGTTAAATATTGTATAAACGGTATACCCACCTCTCCATTATAGTGTAATGTTCTATAGTGATACTCCAAATATAAGGGTGTTGCATATCTTTTGCCACAAATATGGCATTTGCCCCCTTTTTCGGGTAAATGTACAAGTCGATGACTAAAGAGTTGTGGCCAACAATTAAACTTTTCAGAGCATATTTGGCAATAATTATTATCAACATGAATCTCGAAATGTTTAATAAGTTCACTCTTGTCTGCATATTTATTTTCACACATGCCTGAAATTTTAAAATTTAAAAGAATTCAGATTCATTCTTTCATAAGCATTATATATGAATAGGAGCAAGTTTAAAAGCAGCATTTTGGTATCCCAGCCACAGCGAATGCTAAGCCTGAATGTGTTGTTTTCTAGCTGACGCCCGCGACTTTATCCTTTACCAGGTCATTCAGAAATGGCATTCATGGATGAAGGCCCTTCTAAGGCAACCGTGATCGTTGGAATAATGAATTTAAGTGCGATTGATTAACTTTGGGGGATGAAGAAAGAAGTGGTCATCCTTTGACGGCTGTTACAGAAGAAAACGTGCTAGCAGTGAAAAATTTGATCTAAGACAATAGACAAGTTACATATAAAGTGATTCAGCATATACTGCAGATTGGATCAGGAAGCCTTCACGAGATTCTACACGTGCATCTACGGGTGCGGAGGATCGTTTCACGCTGGGTGCCGCACAACCTCACGGATGTTCAGAAACAGGCAAGGGTGGAATGGTGCCATGATGTGACAGACAAATTTTAAGCAGGCTCGTCTCGCCGTGTTTACGACATCGTTACAGGTGATGAATCACGGATTTATCAATACGATCCAGAAACAAAGCGCCAGTCGACGGTTTGAGTGTTTCAAAACAAATCAACGCCTACCAAAGTAAAGCGACCTAGAAGCGGGGGGAAGATTTTGACCACGAGATTTTCAAATTGGCTGGCTACTTGGTGTCAATTCTTTTACAAAACTAAAGAAACATTAACGCCGAATGATATACTACCAAATGCTTGGCAGAAGTTTTCTCTGTTGTGAGCAACAAGTGACCAAACACAGGGCTCCGCGGGCTACTGCTCTACCACGATAATGCGCCCGCTCATAACGAAATCAAAACAAGGGACTTCCTAGACAGCACCGGCCAAACTCCTGGGTCACCCTACTTGCAGCTCTGACTTAGCACCGTGTAACTTCTTATTCCCAAAAATAAACAATCAGCTCAAAAGGATAAAATTTTCGTCGTCGGATGATGCGCTCTCAGCGTTGGAGCAGGCTGTAAACCAGGTGTCTGCGGCGGACTGGAAGAAGTGTTTCGAAAACTGGTTCAGACGCAAGAAAATTTGTATAGAGGCTAGTGGAGAGTACTTTGAAAAGATGTAATAAAAATATATTTACCTATACAACATTTTTTTAGTGTCGCAAAACTTTCTAAGTGTACATGTACTTAAGTAGGTTTTGTACTACTATACTATACTGTATAAGTTACTATACAGTCTTTAACTATCCCACGGGAACATGTTAAATGCTTACAGCTCCAGTCAACATATAAAATGTTGACTAGAGCTGTAAGGTCCATGCAAACTTTCATTTAAATCAGTCCAACAATTTCTGAGATTAGCCTGTACAAACAGACAGACAGAAAAACAAAAAAAATTGAAAAAAATCTGGATGTGTTCAATTTCACTTCTAACATTATCCTGACTCGGTTTTTAGCGTTTTTTTTTCCTATGTACAGAGATTCTCCCTCTACAGTTTTATTATATGTATTGATTTTGTATTATTACTGTTGTGAATGTGTTGTATAACACAAAGATAGCAAACAAGCATACAGTCCATCTGATGGTATATGGTCATTGTAACTTCTCATGGACACCTAAAATGCTAGGGATGTCTTATGCTCATTACCAGTATGGAAAGCAGTAACCATATTTTTAAAAAAGAAACTACTTATTTAGTGAACTGTACTTAGTCACCAGAATTGAAATCAAACCAGAAATATGTAATAAAGAAAACAAAAATATCATAAATGTTTTTGCCATTATATTGGCCAAGATGACACTTTACGACAGTTGGTTTACTAAATTTAAAATTTTATACAAATACTTACCACATATTAATATTGATGGTGTAGTTTCTTTTTTCTTTCCTTTTATCATTTTTTTACTTTTACTTGGCATTTTATTTGCAGTTTTATCTAAAAGAAACAATTTTCTTATATTACAATAGGACACACATCTAAAAATATCACCATTGATATTGTTCCTGATCAGAATACCAAAATTGTGTTCTAAACTTACTCTTTTCAGTCTCTTTCTTAATAACAGTATTCACTTCTTCAGTTTCAAATCTTTGAAATGTTTCCTGAAGATCTTCATCAGCTATGGCACAATTATCTTCAAATTCTACCTTTATGTCATATGGTTGTTTGATGTTACCATTACATTCATCCAATATTTTTATATTATTTTGTGTAGTAAAGCTTGACATTATTTCTTCTTCTTTAATATCCTGTGTAAATCACAAATAAATACTTAAGTACTACAAATGTACAAGTTAAATTAATCAAAATCAGAATAATTGAAATGTTCTTTATTACCTGTACAATAGATCTCAATGTACTTTCAGATAAAATAGATTTCTCTCTGAATTCCATGAAAAATTTCACAACATCCAGACAATTTTGACATACACTCTGAGGCAGCCCATCACATAAAGTTATCTAGTAAATAATTAGTAGATAATTTAGCAAAATTTTAGTAAATATTTTAGTGACATTAACATAAATTAATAAAATAAATTTGTAATTAGACAACGTTGGGGGGAAAGGAATTGTTAGTAATGGAGTCCCCATTACTAACAATCAGTCCCATTGCTATCAATATACCTTATCAGGTCAATCTCCACATGGTTCCCCTTGGAAATCATCATGCTGAATTCCAGGTGTATTCATCACGGTGAGCTAACTGACCTGCCTTTTCAACCTCACCTATCATCCCTCACTGGTGCCCCACCAGCATATACCGTTAGCGCAGGCAGAATTACCTAACCATGATTAGGCATTAAAAAAAATTAGACAATGTTCCTACATAAGACATGTTAAAAAATATATATATAAGAAGTGTCTTTAAGGGATTTAAATAAAAGCAATAGAAGTCAAACCAATATTTTAGAAATTTTCATGGTAGATTTATGTAGAACACATTGGATGATTAATATTATAGTTCATTATCACAACACTTTTTAAATAATCAAGCAAAAAACTTGAAAATTGTTCATTTTTTTTATTAAAAATTAAAAGAACTTCTCTCTCCTCCATACTACAAAACTCCAACATTGTCACACTTTGGTGGGGTTCAGTATGAACTATCTTAAATACATAGTAACATTACATTTTCTATGTCACTTTTTTAATGTCAATGGACTAACACAGAAAAGTATGGTAATATTATGATTTAAGAGAATGATATGTATTATATTAAAAAATTTCAATTTCAATTAATATGACAAATCCCAAAAAAAATTTCTGAAAAATTAGTTGTTAAACTAGTCTATACACATGAGTTTCTAGCACCCAGCAGCTTCAGGCTTTATTTCATATCAAAGGGTGGTTTAAGACTATAACATTAAATAGGTAATATGATTTAGAGAGGCTAAACATGGAAAATAGAGTCCAATTTACATTACAACACATTAGTAAGAAAATATGAAAGCATAAAATCAAAGTCCACAGGAATGGCAATGCATGATGTGCAGAGAAGTGGGTGAGTGTATCATATATCATACTCTGTTGTCCACTGTCCTATTTGTACATGTTGATAAGAACTTTCTTTAAGTTGGCTGACATTTGTGACAGGTTACATAAAAAACATTGTTAAGGATTACACTGGATTTCATACAAATGTAAATATATGAAAATATTATTTTTATTGAGGGTAGCTTATAGCTATATAACTTAATTTTTAAATATATATATCTTCAACCTACAGAAGTTTCATCACATTTCTTTCTATGGGTCTCGGTTCAAATGGCTTTCCATTCGTCAACGCAGAAATGTTAGCACTCTTTGTACCCTCTATACTTTGTTCAAAACCCTCAGTCGCCTAAGTACTTAAGCAGCAAATTCCAGTACCTTTTTTAAATTCACAATTGTAACCTTCTTTCTAGTAATACTCTCCAACTATCTTTCCCCTCTCACCATACTGGCTTCGCTTCAAATTCTTTTCTCCTACATTCTTCACGACTCTGGAATGCACTTCCTGATACCATTAAGAGACTAAACCATCTTTCAAAAAAAAACATTCATGATCACTTTTTTACTTTATCGGAGCAGTAAGTACTTTATATTATTCGTGTACAATTTCGTGTACAATATATGTTATATATGTGTAAATATATTTGTTATTTATAAATATCTAAAATATTTATTCCTTTATATATGTAATTTTAGTATGTATGTATATCAATAATTACTAGTACCGCATTCGAGTATTCACTATCGTATGGTTGACTGGGAGAAAATATAGAATTAAGTCCACCATGTGCACATATTATGTACTAACAAACATATATGTATGTATGTATGTATATATATATATATATATATATATATATATATATATATATATATATATATACTGTTAATTGATAAAAGCTATTATAAACTACTTACGTTGAGATTTGTCAACACATTGTAATTATTGACGAAAGTTTCGTCTATCGACATCATGTTTTTCTCTGCGACCAAACATGTTCTACACACTTCCATGATGTTTATTAATTATTACGTTACTCTGAGATATGAAACAATATATGTTATATGTTTTTGTTCCAAACAAATTAGTAAATATTTATTATTTTAGTACAGTAAGGTGTTTGGGACAATCGTTTAAATTTTTGTACATAAATTTTGTCTAATATTTATTGTAGATTGTATGTAACATTAAAACAAAAAGAAAAATCTATATTTTAATACTTCTATTAAAAAACACTCCCAATAAAAAAATGTTATGATACATGTAACAAGACAGTACAGACTCTTAAGTAGAACCACTAGCCTGATATGAATTGAGAAAAATATCAACTGATTGTGTATCTTTCGTTCTCCTTTTACTAATTATATTTGCATAAGAAGAAAGGAGGCAACCATATGATTAACATTTCATTTTATCATTTCTTCTATATAATTCCCTATTCTTAGGTTTTACTGACCGTACAGTCAGCCTCTTGCCATTTAAAAAAAAAGTATGTTGTTGTATTGTTGTTTTAATATTCGTACAAAATCGACAGGCAAAGAGCATGGCCCGTATAACCTAATCATAAAAAAAAAATAAAGTATAAAACGCAAAGACTTCATAATAAAATGTAATTCCTTGCTCTTAGATATAACGTATATAAGTAGTTCGTTGCTGTGTTTTTTTCTTTTCATTATGGGTTAAGGATAAAACTTGTGGAAAATAGGTATCTCAAAACAAAGTTAATAAAATTTGCAGGGTGAATAGAAAAAAATTTTGATAAAATTATTTTTATTAATTAAATCAAACCCTTTTTTCTATGTCTACTAAGCTTCCTGTATAGTACAAATGATGTTTTAGTAAAGTAAACATTTTATTCTTTAAGGTTATAATTACCAAATACCCTGTATATCTCTGTAAATATTTTGAACATTATAATGTGAAAATGCAAAATTTTAGAAAGGGTTTAAACCTTTATACTCAGCCGTAATTTCTTCTTCGCAGAGTATGTATTTAGAAGCGTGTAATGTATTTGAACTTCTCAAAATGTATCAATAGGTATTAAGTACTAGTTTTTGATTGAATAAAAGTAAACAGAATCATATATGAATTTGCAATAAAAATTGACATTTGGGTAACAGTCAAAACCATATGTGGCAATCCTGAACCTGGTTCTTAAATACTACTCTGTAACTTAAATGCTTTAATTAATCTGTTGCAATAAGTAAATAAATAAAGTTCTCTTATTATTTTCTTGTAATTTAAAATATTATCATTTTAAATTCGTTTAAAATTAATAATAAATTTGATTATTACGCTCCACGTAAACATTTCTATTTTGAATTAAAATAAGCAATAATTTCTAGGTTATAATGTGGTCCCTATTTTTATTGTTTTTGTTATCTTTACTATCATATTTATTTACCGATGAACTAATACCAAAGCTAGACCATTTATTCATAAATGCCGGTATGTTTGGCATCGATTTATGCAAAGCTAACAAAAATAAAATGTAAGTTTTTGACTTATGTTGCCTAAGTTTTAAATTTAATTAAATTTACCATTTACATTAAATATATATAAAAACAGGAAATTTATTTCAGACCCGAAGCTGTAGGAGTTATTTCAGGTTGCGTGTTTTTGATAACATGTTTTATGTTTATACCGATTGTGTTTGGCTACGATTTGATGGATCGAGAACATTTTCCACATAATGAGGTGAGTAATAGTGATATTGTTTGATTATTTTTTATGTATTTTGCCGTAAAATCCGGGCGTAGAAAGGACCACCTTTTTCTTTCCAGGGAATATAAGAGCCGACAAAGGGAATTTAATAGTTGAGATACGGGCAATAGTGTCCCTCATAATACATCACCAAAGCCTAACTGTGTTACCTGGGGTGAAGGGATTGTTAGTAATGGGGTCTAATAGACTCATTGCTAGCAATACACCCTCAGATCGACCTACACACGGTTCCCCCTGGAAACCGTCGTGGTTAATTCTAGTGAAATTCGTAATGATGGGCTAATGACCTTCCTTTTCATCCCTCACTGGTGCCCTGTCAGCATATCCCGATAGAGCAGGCAGGGTTACCATTCCATTTTCACCCATTACAAAAAAAACTGTGGTTGTCAACCCACCTGCCAAACATGGCAACTACTGGAAAAAACCCTACTTATGGAGGAGGCCTCTGTTCAACAGTGAACAGTTAACAACTGAGATAAAGATTATTATTATTTTGTAGTTTCATTTATACATTTATAACAAAAATACCCTTATAGGTTGCTGTATATTATATGGTAAACACAAAGGTACAAGTGGGCCTGCACCTTTATTTATAAATATTTGAGGTAACTTACCTGAATCAGTCTAGGATAGACTAAGATTACAGAGTGCCAACTGCTTCCACCTACCTGACTAGGTACAATTTTTTTCAGTCTTTATCCCTGTAGCATTGTGATACTACTTACTTTTATTAATATGTGATTGTATCTAATCATATTTATATATGTTGGGAGGAAGGGATTCTTACTAATGGGGAGATTAGTCCCCATTGCTATCAATATACCCTAGCAGGTCAACCTCTATATGATCCCACCTGAAAACTATTATGCTGAATTCCAGATATATTCATCATGATAAGCTAACTGATCTGCCTTTTCATTCTTACCTTATATGCTAGCATATAACCCTACCATTATTAACAATTAAAAATATGTGTATTTTTATTGATGTAACCAATATTGTAGTTACTAGTTTGCAGAATTACTAGCAGCATTGCTATCCATATGCTGTATGCTACTGTTGGGCTTTGCTGATGACGTACTGGATCTACGATGGAGGTACAAGCTGTTACTACCAACAATTGCATCACTGCCTTTACTTGTGGTGTACTATGTCAATTTTAACTCCACCACTTTTGTGATACCCATACCACTAAGGCACTGGCTAGGAACTTCCATTGATATAGGTGAATATGTTTTTCTATTTTAATTCTTTATATACAAAAATATTGTTTATAATAATTTGAATATTGACATTTGTTATATTAAGTCCTAGTAAATTAGAACTATTTAATTTTTTATACATACATACATATCTGTCACGCCTGTCTCCCATTAGGGTAGGCAGAAACAATGGAACGCCAAATTTTTTATACTATTAATATTATAGAAAAGATTAGTAAAGATGTTTGGTGCACTGTCATACTTAAACAGACTTCAATGAAAATTATACACAATTAAATAGACCACATTATTATCCTAGTTAATAGTTTTTTTAGTTAATATTTTTTTTCACTGTTTATTCACTTTGTCAATGTTTCTTTTTTCTAAAGTCCTCATCTTAATTTTCCTTACCATCTGCCTTTTTTGACTATATTTTTAATCTGCCTATGTCCCCTCTGTGTCATTTCAATAATGAGTAAGCTCATCTTTTGCTCCATCTTTTTCTCTGGGCCTTACCCTACTCTACTACTACTACCCGCGTGAATGTCTCAATCACCTAAAATGGCATTATTACCCACATTGAGAACCTATATCCTGGTGTAACACATAAGACTATATCCTAGTTAAAGTGGACAAAGTTGTTAATTACTTGAAATTGTCTAGTTTTTTTTAGTGAACTTCAGTATTTTCCATTTGCTAATTTGATGTCTCAAATACCAATCTATTTTTTTAAATAGTAATGTATTGTTTCAGGTTTTCTGTACTACATATATATGGGAATGTTAGCTGTATTTTGCACAAATGCTATAAACATATTAGCTGGCATCAATGGTCTTGAAGTGGGTCAGTCAGTGGTCATAGCTTTATCTATTGTAATATTCAATATTATAGAAATAAGTGGTGACCAACATAAAGCTCATACTTTTTCACTACATATCCTAATACCATACTTAGCTACAACTTTAGCTTTATTGAAACACAATTGGTAAGTCGTATTAGATTAATTATCAATAACAAATTATATACTTTTTCCTCAAAAAAAAAATCAACCTTTTAGTAGTAGCAAAACTGGTTATTTTGATTTAAAAACTTGAATTTACTTAGATTTTTATACAATTTCTATGAGACTAATCTAAAGTATAATAATAAGAATTTTTCAAATTGGTTTAAAAATGATAAGTTCTGAGATAACAAACAAAAAAAATACAATTAAATTGAAAGAAATTCTGTCTTTAAGCTGTGGATTTTTTATTTTTAAATATAGGACTTTGTAAACTATGGAGTAATCTCTGATTTTCAGGTACCCATCTAAAGTATTTGTTGGAGATACATTCTGTTATGTATCTGGTATGACATTTGCAGTGGTTGGAATACTCAGTCATTTCAGTAAAACAGTTTTATTGTTTTTTTTGCCACAAATTATTAACTTTGTATATTCAGTGCCACAATTATTCCATTTTATACCATGTCCAAGACATCGGTTACCTAAGTATAGTGCTGAAACAGATCTACTATATCCTAGCAGAACAATTATAGTAAAAAAAGATATGTTATTTATAAGTAAATTAACAATAAAATTTGCATCCCTGTTTAGATTAGTTGATATAACCGAAGACAGTGAAAGTATAATGATGAATAACATGACATTGATAAACTTATTTTTGATAAAATGTGGTCCTATGTCAGAAGTACGACTAACTATTAGTTTACTAATATTTCAAGCTTGCTGCAGTTGTATTGCATTCTTAATAAGATATCCAATGGCCTCATATTTTTATGATAAATAATTTTTTTATTACTATTACTTGATTTTTTTTATAATTATCTATTTGAATAAAAACCTACACAAAATTGCACTGTCATGAATTATTTTAAGCATCTATAGATCGACACATTATCTAATTCTATATTATATATATATATTATATATGGTATATGTTACTTGAGTACTTGAGATATTATTTAGTTATGTTTTAGTGCACTATTTATATAGAATCTGATTCAGAATTATTTATAATATGAATTTAATACATATTGCAAGGGTTTACCATACATTGTTAACAATGGGGGTGTTAGCCCTCATTACTAACACTGTTCCCTTAATAGACCTATTGCTGACAATCTATGAAATCGACCCCTACACGGTTCCCCCTGGTAATCTTCATGGTTAATTCCTGTTGCATTTATAAACATGTGATGGACAAATGGACCCGACTTCATCCTCTCTTATTATCACTTACTAAAATCCTCGTCAGCAGATACCAGACTACTACGCTATTATCGTTTTAAAAAAAAATTGTTTTAGACTAGGCCGATACCACTATAGTTTCCAAGGGAAACCGCGTGAAGGTCGACTTAATGGTATATTGCTACTAGTAAGAACACTGAACCCTGTTACTTATCGTTAATTATATTATCTGTGCTTGTTAATTATTAGATGGAATGGGGAAATATTGGTATAGTTTAATAATCGTACCAACATGCAGGCAAAGAGGAAAATTTATTTTTTATAAACTTTAAATAAGAAATATATTGAAAGTAAGTACATAGTTATTTATTATCTGATAATAATTTAATTTACATATAAATTATCTCTGTCGTATAATATAAACTGTGCAGTCATTTGGGTATGTAAATAAGTATGTACAATTAGCTTAAATAGCCTCCATTGTTTTATTTAAATAATTATTCTTAATGTAACCAAATATCATATAGTATATTATCTTCAGTGTCATTTTCATTTATAATTCTGAGAGTTTTTAGAGTCTGCAAATAAAATGTTAATTCAGAAGTGACTACTCCATGCTGAGGACTGCCATTTGCTACAATATTCATTTTTGTTAATTGTTCTCTTAATTTATCTTTAAAGTTATCATGCACTCTTTTGTAAATGGTTCTTATTTGTTCAATAGGTAAAATATCAATTAATGCTTCATGCAATTTAACTAAATGTTTGGAAATATTGCGGAATGTTTGAGAAGGTACTGGAGGTTTGGCATCCCACCCAGATAGTTGAGAACTTAACATATTACTCACTATGATGCAAATCTTATTCTCTATTTCTTGTTTATGACTTAATAAATCACTTTCAATATTAGAGAATCCATTCAGTGACAGTTCTTTAGAATGTATTTTTTCAAGTAAGGCCTTTATTATAGGTAAGAGCCATAATATTACTTGTAAAGATCTGGATACTAAAGCTAAATTTGAAGTAGATATAGTCTTGAGGCCTGCACTTTGTATTGCTCCTGCACCTAATACCAATTGGCAGCAGCGAGAATTAAATAATCTGATTAGCTCCAACATACAGTGAACTAAATACTGGACAATAACAGGAGACTGATTAGTTGCATCACAATACTGTAGTAAAATTTTAATCAAAAGCTGTACTGTGAAAACTACTGCATAGTTTTCTTTATTAATAACTAAAAATTTCCCATCTGGTTTTACTTCCGAATCACACTGGCGTGAAGATGGTACCTCTCCTGACTCACAAATCTTATTTATTACATTTTGCAACTCATATGGTACATCAGCAGTTTTCCATCTTTCATTATTAAGGGTATTGGTCAATTGGGATCTGTGTTCTGCATGCAGATTTTGAATATACTTCATAGCAAAACTTCTCAAAGCCAATTTCATTGCATTGCTGTAATGACCAGTGATTTTTTCACATTCATCAGAAAAAACATCAATAAGCAGAGACAATTTTGATAACTGAGATAAATCTGAAAACACATAGTCTTTTTCTGTTTTTATAACTATCAAATTAGCACACCGTTCATTACAATAGTCAGAAAGAGAAACAATAATCTTTTTTAACTTTTCATTTATAGATATTAATTCTTCAGGAGTCCAGACATCTTCACTTTCATTTCCAGTTATGTCTTCCATTTGAGTTATTTCCAGAATTAGATTATTTAAAGATAAAATTCTATTGAACAAATTAATCAAATGTGGTGTCACTTTTTCAAGAAATACAATACCTTCATTGCATAGTAGTGATGTATTGTCTGCTGTAGACCCTCTTAATACAATTTCTGTATTACCATCTCGTTCTGAAATTATTTCTATAACACACTGTTTTATTGTAGCTTGAATTGATGTCATTGCTTCAATTTTGAAAGTATCTAAAAAATCAAATTCCTTCAAACGGAGTATACCTGACACAATAGATACTATTTTATCTCTTTCTGGGATATCTGTATGGTCAACTGGAGGTCGATTTAGATCAGCTACTATAAATCTTTGAAACTCATTACTAAGCATTTTATGAATCAATCGTTTCATTTCAGTTAACTGTGGAGACAAATGTCTAAATGCTTGTATGCCTGAAAGACGTGTTGATAATACTTTTTGTGTAGAACTAATTAAATCCAGCGCAGCAACATAATCTGAAGTGCTTAGTAACAATTGAATCATTGGCTGTGTTTGTTGGACAGTACCCATTAGTTTCAAAAGATCATGTACATTATTCATGTTGTGATTGATTCTAGTTAAACTTATCAACTTCAAGGGACATTCAGTCAAATTCTTTTTCACATGAGCAATATTTTGTCTGGTCTTATAAACTGTCCTTGCTGCTCTGGCCATTTGTTCCATTATAGTATCATGAGATAGCATAGCATGGAAAAAAGCATCAGATTTTAAAGCAACTTGTTTAGATATTTTCATTTCAATAACATCAAGGTATGTGCTTAATGTTTCTTGTAAAGACCTTATAGCTGTACTAGAGTCCTCTGTATTACTAAGACTTGGAAAAACCTTACTAAATACATCTGGATCATTCAAAGGCAATGATTGTTCATAAAATATCATTGGAATCTCACAATCATTTTCCACTGTAGGTGTCTTTGTCTTTACTGATACATTGTCTTTAAATCTACAATGTCTACGATATCTTTTAGCAATCTTTTTACAATATGTTTCAAAATGTGCCAATGTTATTTCTGGTAAATAAGGGCTAGGATATATGTCTACTTTATCTATAAAATTATCACCCCATGTTTTAGTAAAAAAGTTGGTCTGTTTACCTTTATTAGGGTCATTTAATACTGCTGGAAGATTTTGCGATGATGAATAAAAAGTCCAATCATCTGTAGTATCTTTAGCATATAAATGATATTCTCTCACATGATATTTGAAGCCTGCTTTACGTAAATCTCCAAACTGCAGTGCTGAACATATACCATTCTGTCCATATTGACATAAAATAATGGATCCTTCTCTTATACTATGTTTGTCTTGAATATGTCTAAAATAATAAAATAATATTAATTACATAAATGCTACAATAATAAGTCGTTTCACAAACAAACATTATTTTTTACATTGTATAATTATATACTACACATGATGCATATTATATAAAATTATTCTGTTCATTGGAAATATGCACGAAAAAAGTGATCAAATAAATATTTACTATAGGTATGCGTGGCACCCAATTTGTTTTACTGTCAAGAATATCTAATACCTAAATGAAAATATTAATAACCTTTCAAATTCTGTTGCAGTAGAAAACAATAAACTTGGACAATAAATGCAGTTCTGCCATGAAGGCGTTCTCTTACAATAGGTAGAATTGTTCTCCATAACATCTTCGTTTAATTTAAATGAAATATTAAATTTGACTGTTATTAATATCAGTCAAGCGATAACCACATATGTCATTTCTATACAATAAATGAATAGATAACTAGATTATTTTACGAAATCAAAACCAACCTAACTTGCCCAAAATGACGTATGCAATTGACAATTCTAAATGAAATCACAAAAAAATGACATTGACAACAATAAATGAATATGAAACATATATCGTAAAATGGGGTGAATAACCATGAATCTAATTTCACACTTCGATTCTTCATTCTGTTAGACAAATTGTTATTTTTTACGCATTCTAAGTATATACGGTTATGTAAACTACAAAATAATTTAAATAGTACTTTGGCAGTTTATTATTTATAGGAAAATTTATGTTATCCTTATTTAATACACTAACCGGCTATGAATTGGTTCTATGGAATTCCTTTTTCTTAGCTCCTTCTATGTAATTCCTTTTTTTTTTTTTTTTTTAGTACGTTTGTTCCGTTTGGAACAGGCTAAGGTCGGAGACCATGCTGCCTAGTCTTCAAAAAGATAATTTGTCTGGAATTTTATTTTTCTAATGTCGCTTCAATTATTGTCATAATCTTCAATATTTCATTTGTCAAATCCGGTAAGTACATTTTCATAAATATCTTTTCTTGAGTTTTCTTAAACCAGTGGATTTATCAAATTAAAAATAAATAATTATAAAAAATCATTGTCTTGCAATTCAATAAAAGTATTCTTATAGCTCCTTGAATGTTGTAGTAATATAAGTGAAAATAGCTTTGAAACAAGAAGGAAATCTTAAGAGAAGCGGGATTGAGTGCGGGATATTTTCGGGTTTTTTGAAGATAATCCTAAGTTCGTCAAACATAATGTGTCTTTGAATGACAAATTCAGAGCAATCAAAAAAAAGGTGATGTAGAGATTGGGCTGTATTTGAGTTACACCATGTGCATGATGGGGAAGCGATCATGCCCATTCGGTGCAGGTGTTCGTTGAAATGTCCGTGGCCGATTCGTAATCTACAAATATTGGTGTAAAATTTTCTGTTTGTGTCCTTTCCTTTGCAGAACCACGGTTTTCCAATACGCCAATTAATTTTGCGGTACCATTTGCCTTTAGTCTGTAATATTTGAGTCCAATGCTCCTCCCATTTAGTTGTAACGATTTTATGTATTCCAATACTACAATCTGAGTAACAAAGGGGTAAGTCTTGAACACGAGCAGCACTTGAATTAATAATTTTAGCCAAAGTGTCTACTTGTTCATTCCCAAACACTCCAATATGTGAAGGGGTCCAGATGAAGATAATATCTTTTCCATATATAGTACAGAGATGATAATATTTATTACGAATTTCTTGAATTAAGTAGTTTGATGATGAAATGAATGTGTTATTTTTTAATGCCATAAGAACACTCATACTATCTGTAATTATAATCCATTTCGAATATAGTACCTGTTTTTCTATGTATTCTAATGCTAAAAATATAGCTTTTGCTCTGCTGTGTAAATACTAGCCAAAGTTGAAATTTTATAACCGTGACCAAATCTATTTGACAAATCGTAAAAAGCCACTGAAGTGCTAAGTGCATTTTTGGAACCATCTGTATATATCTGCCTGTAGTCAATAAATTCTGATAAAGTCTCATACATATCGTGCTTTTCTTTTATGTCTTTACGTATAACAATTTTGATCTTACAGAACTTACTCTCATAAAGGCCATTATAACAAGGAAGTATCTTACTACTATAGATGTTATATTCATCTCGTAAATTCAAATCATTGACAATAGTTTTATTCAAAAACATAGAAATGGGGCAATTTAATAATTTGAGTATGAGTGGGTTATTGGAAACTGAAAAAACTTTGAAGAAAAATTTGAGTTTTAGGTATTCGAAACGAAGAAGGATAGGAGGCAAATTACATTCTACTTGCATTGAGATAATTGGAGAAGTATACATAGCACCTAAAATAAGTCTTAAATTCATATTTTGAATTTTTTCGAGTTTTTCTACTAATTTATGTTCTGAGGCATAACAAAAGAAAGCGTAATCAAAATTACTTCTAACAAGAGATTTGTAAAGTAAAAGGATAATTTTAGGATCAGCTCCCCAGTTACGACCAATTACAGATCTTATTATATTAGTGGCTCTTAAAGCACGATCTACTAAGCAATCAACGTATAGATCCCATTTTAAATTTTGATGAAAAATTACCCCCAGAAATTTAACGCTACAGTCTGTTGGAAGAGTTTGATTATTATATATAATATTCATTAATGGAACATATTTATGAACTTGATGAAAAACAACTACTTTACTTTTGGTTAAACTAATATCGAGGGAAAGAAGAGAAAAATATTTCTCAAGTCTTTTTAATGACTCATTTAACACTAATTGCATATCAATAATATTCTTTCCTTTTATATAAATTAATAAATCATCGGCAAATTGCAAGTTGTTCACACTGTTTCCTAAAATTGAATTAAGTTTATAGATATATAAAATATATAGTAGCGGGCTTAGAATACCACCTTGACATACTCCTTTAGAGCTTAACCTAGGTCCTATTAATTTACTATTTACTTTAACATACACTTCTCTATTACTAAGAAAATTATAAATCCATTCGATAAGTTTCATTGGAAGAAATGAGGATAAAATCGAAGATAGAACTGTTAAATTTACATTGTTAAAAGCTCCTACGACATCTAAAAAAACAGATAGAACATATTCATCGTTATTCAAAGCAGTACTAAGGTCGACATAGAAGTTCGCTAAACTTTCGCGCGCTGAATATCCACGGCGAAAACCAAATTGATTCGATGGTAATATATATTACTTTCAATAAAGAACTCTAAACGCTGTTTAATTAATTGTTCGAATAATTTGCCTGCACAGGACGTCAATGTTATAGGTCTATATGAGTCGAAATTTGTAGGATCTTTACCGGGTTTAATTACTGGAATCAAACAATCCATTTTCCATTCTGGTGGGATAATACAGTCCTTCCATAAATCGTTAAAAATTTGTAAAGTTTAGTAAGGTTTATTTTATTCAGCAATCGAAACATATTGTATGTTAAGCGATCAAGGCCACTAGCTGTATCTTTTCTAGATTTTACTGCACTGGATATTTCATCAATTGAGAATGGGTCAGTGAGAAATTTTGGGCATGAATTAACAGAATTAAACTGTTTGTCATCAAAAGGTTGTACAAAATCAGGAGTATATTTGCGTAAAAAATCATTGACCCATGATATATCTTTAAAATGATTTTGAATGTTTTGAATTTAGTTTTCTCATATTTTGCCAAACAGTGGAAATTGGTGTTAATCTATTAAATTTGGAACAAAATTCCTGCCACCCCTGTTGTCTTACTTGCTTAATTACTAACTTTTTAACAGCTTGAACTCTTTTAAAATTTATGTAATTATCGAGAGTTGGATTTTGTTTAAACCTAAGGTAAGCCGCTTTACTATCATTGACAGCTGTCGCACACCTGTTATTCCACCAAGTACTGCAATATGTTTGTGCCTCTTTGAAGTATTTGCACCGCTATTTGATAAGTTCCTACGTGGAACGGAACGTTCCACAGCTGTCAAAATAATTTTACAGAACCTATTGTAATTGTTTAAGGGTTCATTGACATCATACTCGAAATCCAAAAGTAATCGATTAACAGTTTCAGAATAAAGATCCCAATTAACGAGACGTAGGTTTATACGATTTAACAAAAGTTTATTAACTTCATCTATAGGAGCATGTTGTTCACCTGACGGAGTTGATGAAGAGTTCTTTGTGTTTATTTTAGTAAAAGTCGGCAGGTGATAACTTCCTAACGGATCATCATGAACCGACCACTCGCATTTTAATGATATGGATGGGGATACCATAGTTAAATCAAGGCCATTGGGTCTCCAAATATGAGAGCCAACAGTAGTAACTTGCTTATCATTTAATAGTACCAAATTACATTCATCTAAACAATCAAGAATGTCTTTACCTCTTGTATTAGTGGAGGTACAACCCATACATAGTATGATGTGCATTTAAATCTCCAGATATGATAGTGGGTTTAGGAAGAGACTCCAAAAAGAACTTAAATTTGGCTTTAGTAAAACTAGGTGTACTATTGGTAGGACAGTAAATACTGGCAACTGAATACCAAGAATTATTAACTTCAATACTAATAGCTATAGTTTGCAAAGAATTGTCGAAAAAAGAGTGAAGTTTTTTATATCTAATACTATTATGTATAATAATCGCTACTCCATTGTGGTTATTACCACAATCATTTCGTTCTATACAATAATCTTTAATTTTTAATTTGTAATGTGGTTTTAGCCAAGTTTCTGAGATGAGAGCAATGTGAATATGATGTTCATTTAAAAATTGTGTAAAAATATGTCGATTGCTCAGTAGGCTCTGAGCGTTCCACTGTATGATAGTTAATTGGTCTCGATTGAATTTTGTGAAATAGGTCTATTAATGATCATATAACACATTCAAAACACTTTTAGTGTTAATAGATGTGTTCTTTGTGTTATGTAGTGAAATAAGTTTGATTATGCTTTCTATTAAAAGTGATAAACTCTTGTTATCAGAATTTAGAATTGAAATTAGGTCTACATTTTTTTTAGGTTTGTTACCCAGTTTAGGAAATATTTCAGTGCTAAGTATATCTCCAAAAGAAGCGGGTCTGAATTTAGATCTATTTTCAGCAATTTTCTTTTGTTTAACAGGGCATTGCGGTGATACACTTGTGTGATTTCCATTGCAGTGTACACAAATAGCGTTTTCCATTCCAGTTGTACAAGTTTTATAATTATGCTCACCTTTGCAGATGCTGCAACGCTCAAATTCTTACAGAATTTAGCTAAATGTCCATACCTCAAGCACCGGTAGCAAATATATGGAGTGACATTGTGGCGCCAACCTCCAATATCCAGATATTCAGGTAATACAGATGCAGCAAAAGTAATTGTCATTAGAGTTGGCTGTAACACATATCCATGAGTCAAGGTATTTTTTCTTAAAATTCTTTTAATAGCAATAATTTTCTTAGAACTCGATATCATAGTATATATTTTTTTATTAGATATATTTGTAGGTACATTTCTAATAACGCCTGTAACTTCTGTTGAAGAAGCAGGAATACTGGCCTTA